CGGCAACAGCTACGCCATTATTCCATTGACCTTGAAGTTGAGAAGCAGTTCTCGCTTGGTAATTAGCTGATTGAGCACCCAATGGATCGTATCGATTAGTTCCGTAATTTCTCGGTTGTTTTAATTTAAGCGTATTACTTCCTGTTTGGTTTGAGTTACCTCCATTTGAACTTATCGCTTGTCCACCTCCGTAACTATTCATTGATGGTCGATTAGTTGTAACAGTTGTTGAAATTTGATGTTGAGGGTAAGATGACTCATTTCTTTGATCGTTATTTTGTTGCGATGAATATTCTCCTCCAGCATATTCATTTGAACCGCTTGCTTGCTGCTGTTGCTGTTGCTGTTGAGGTTGTTGTTGAGGTTTAGTTCCACCGTTATCCCTTTAATTAGAAAAAAGAACATATTTTACTTCGAATTTCAATTGTGCTGGAAGTTTTCAAGTAAAAAAATGAATGAGAGTTTGATTCGATTACAAAAAAAAATTCAACGCGATTTCGGAGAAAAAATTAGAATAACATTCTCGTTCTCTCATATCATTTCTCTATTTTCTAACTCACATAATTAGGAGCGGCTTTGAAGACTCGCTTAGTCACAGCGAAAGTTTCGATAGAATAAAAGAGGAGACAAAAATCTAAAAATAGAGGAAAAAAAAGTCCCAAAAAAAAATTAAAAAAAAATTTCTTCATGAAAATCAAAAACAGGAATTATGTTGATTACCCGTCATGAATTTCATTAGTTGAGTAGAATCTAGAAAAAGAAAAGTTTCAAATAATTGCTTTTAATTTTGAAATCATTCATTTCGTTTTGACATTTTCGATCATCATTGATTAAAGCTGGAAGTTCACGTTGTGCAAGAGAAACCTTGAAACGGTAAATAATAGACATCTTTTTTCATTTCACTTCTTTATCTCGAATTTTATCAACAAATAAATAATCATATTCCTCCACCGAATACTTTCGGTGAAAGGAAAACTGAAGTAGGATTCATGTCAATGACGACGAAAGTAAATAAACAACAAGTTGGAAATATTTCACCATTTGTTTCAGTCATAGATCATGATGTCCGAGGAAGCGATGATTAATAACTGATGCATTTTGATCATTTCATTACAATCAATAATTGAAGATAAACAGGCGAATGACGCGAATTGATCTCTTCGTAAAGTATCATTAAGGACGCGTTTTTTTTAATCAATTAACTAAATAAATTCAGCCATGTTGATACATCACGGTGTGCCTTGTCCTCCTTTTATTCTTTGTCTTCTGATAGATGTCGCCACGTCGCGACGAACTCTTTTTGTTTTGTTTACTGCAGGACATAAGTCAGATTGGATAGTTCGAAAGAGGCGACTTGTTACTCATCGAGTTCAATTTTATTTCTACCTTTTGATGCATATCAAGATCACTATTTACTATTAGGATGTATATGAATGCCGTAATACAGAATCAACAGTTTTAGAATCTCTGTAGAATCTAAATTGATGAATAAAATGAATATGAAACAAGCCTGTTTTCGTAGCCTATAATAAACATCTTCATGTCAATCATCACTCTGTTATTACCTTTGGTTGTATTAATACTTAATCATGGGTTGGGGCCCATTTTTCTTGTATAATGTGGGCGTTATGTTAGTTGTGAGGGTTTGACTTTGAGAGCAAATTACAGTGAAAGGAGCAACTGTGATAAACCCTGAAGAAGAAATAAGCTGAGATAATTTTTATCTCTCTAGAGGATTGTAACCTAAGTTGTCATTCAGTGGTATCATTAAAAGTGAAAGATATTCTACAAGGAAATCTAGCACACTTATTCTAAAATCTGAAGCTTTCGAATGGCAAAATCGCTAACAGGAACAAATGATCGCATTTAGATCAAGGTCGTCCGACATTAGACTTATTAAAATGTGCTCTCCATAGTTTTTTATATTTCTATGCACGCCTTTTTTTGTCAGATAATCAGATTTATTCTTATGTGATCATCTGAATCTATTGCATGTCTGCACAATTGTGATAACTGTTAGTTTTAGTCAGCAAAACAACGTTTACTATATAATTTGAAGATTAATTAGAATTATATGAAAACATCCTCGGTTCTTCAATAAACTTAATAAATTCTCTCAGATATTTCACGGAGCGAACTAAGATCTTAGGTTCATTACAGCAGTTACCTTTGATTTTAGTAGCGATGATTTTGATAATATTGAGATGTACTTTATGCTTTTTTAGAAATAAAATCATGGAATTTTGTGATATCTCAAGAATAAGATAAGATATTCAACGATCTAAAATTGTTAAAGAAAATACCGCTGATCTTCAATACATTCGATTTATCTAAATAAAACGATAATCATGAACAGAGAGGATGAAATTGGTTTCTATCTATTGGTGACTTGTTCTTTTTTTTTGGATATTTGCTTTTTTTTCAAATGCGAAAATAATCCTATAATTGTTTTTCTTCTTTACGACTATCTTCGTATAACAAATTATTGATTCATCAATCAGATGAAATTTTTTGATAAACGTCATGAATGGAAGAATCATACGACAGAAATGAGTAATCAAATAAACATTTTGTCAGTGTGCAAACTGATTGTGTTTTTGTGCAGGATGTATCTAAATCTGTTGAGGTTGTTGTTTATGGGCGTATCGTTTCAGTGAACGTTGAACATAACGACGAGGACAGAGAAGTTTCATAAATGCCAAACGAAATTCTCTTGATGTCAATGCATAGAGAAGAAAATTCAGCTAAATAAATAGACGAGATGAGAAGCACGTCAACAAAAGCAAACGATTAACACATACAGCTGAATTAGTGTAGCCGAGCCAAGTAAAAAGACGAAAAAGTTGTTCTTTGGATTTTTCAAAATTTAAACGAAATACACCGGTGAGCACGAGAAAAACGAAAAATGGCAACCAGCATGCTATAAATACACCCATGACAACACCAAGTACTTTTGTTGCTTTGTGTTCACGCGAAAATCGTGACCAGGTTTGTGTACGACGAAGTTTACGTAAATGATGAACAAATAGCACAGGGAATGAAACAGGTTCGAGTGCAGGACGCACCGTCGGTGTAACACGAGGAAGAGATGGTGATCGAGAGTATTTTCCTCGATGTATTCGTAAAGTTATTTTCTCTGGTGTATTCGTTATTGCATTGATGTTTTCGAGCGTCGTTGCTGCTGAAATATTTCGACTTTTCGCAGACCGGAAACAAAATCGAGGTAAGATGGGCGATAATTGATATGTTTCACCGCTTGTTGTTTGTTTATAACCTTGTCGAAATGCGATCATTTGTCGACGAGCAAAAATCAAAATTCGTCCGTAAACAAACACCATGATCAATAATGGAATATAAAAAGAGACGGAAGACGAAACCAAAATAAACACGGGATCAGAAGGAAATTCACATCGTTCAGATATTGTTTCATTCATCGCAGTTTTATTTGACACTAAAAAGACAAATTCCTTTGATTCGTCCAGATGTTCAAATAATCAATTACCTATAGAAGTATCTTTTCCTCCAAGAACCATTACAGTTGGACCAGCGATGATTGCTGAGCAAAACCATATACCTGCAATAACAATTGACGAATGCCGAGCTATGAAGGATCGTGGATATCGAATCGGTGACGTGATTGCTATGTATCGATCGAGTGCAATAACACAGAGAGCAAGAATTGATGCGGTTGACGCGCCAACGTCGGATATATGCCATAGGTGGCATAAGAAGCGAAAAGAAGATGGTGTAGTTAACTCAAAACAAATCGCTAATGGAATAACGATCATTCCCACGCAAAGATCAGCGACAGCCAATGAAACGATATAGTAATACGTTGCTGAATGTAACGTTGTTTCACGATAGACAGCCAAAATAACTAGAAGATTGCCCAATAAAGTTAAAAAGCATATGAAAATTAATAACCATATTGCTGGTAGAATCATTTTCTATTTTCTTAATATGTATTTCAATGTGAAGAGATCATTAATTGCAGTTGTCGAGTTGCATCTTAGTTTTCTTTGTGTATTAATAGTAATTCTGTCCGTCTAATCATGAAAAGGGAAAAAGTTCGTCGTCGTTCCAATATCATTGATTGTTCTCTTCTTTTTTGGTTCGTTCCTCTTGAATAAAATGATGATCTATAGAAAAACAAGTTGCTCTCGCTCGAGTGATCGATGCTGACGAAGGCTGGTGGCTAAGAAAAGCGACAATTCAGATTCAATTACTCGTAGAACGTGTGTGATCTATATACAACGCAATTAAACTGATGCAAGAGACGCTAGATATTGTTAACGTTCGTTTTTTTTCTGGGACATTTTCTTTTGTACAGAGCCACATATATCTTTATAATAACATTCTCAAGGTCATTGCATTGACATACAATTTCACTCTTGTGCTATCTGCTTTTTTTTCATACCAACTGGTATGTATATCAATAGGAAAAACATCTTAAATGACATTTATTGACGACCATTAATCTTTTTTTCTACATCGATCTTATGTTTATTTGTCGACATTTACATCGAGCAAAAATATAATTACATCTTGTTTTGTTCTTATACAAATAATTGATTTAAACGAAAGTCAAAACGAGACATTCGATTTCAAAGAGCAACAGTTGCGAATTCTGACTTGCATAGGTTGGTTTTCGGTACCAGGAAAAATCAACAATGGTTCTAATTGATTAATTGATTTCTGCATGATTGAGATCAACAGATAGTTTTCCAGATAAATTTTATCGAGATAAACTAATAATGCTAATAGAGACGTAATATTCGACTTCCGACAACGATTATATTGAAGATGATTTTCATGGGAAAAACCTTTTCATGTTTATTATCGTTACTAATAAATGTTTTCCTTAAAGGAGACTGTAGATCACTATAATACAAGAAATGATTAATATTCATGGCAAAAAAAAAATATTCGTTTGAATGAACAATAATTAAAACTATTCTTTTCTTCAACGATCATTAGATATGCATGTCACGAATTCGATCTTGTCTTTTTCTATAAAGACAGTCAATGACACAAATAAATGCACAAATTTCGTTTTTGCGTAAATACTTTCCTTTTATTTTTAGAAACAAAAAGATGCGATCATCGTTGATCTGACGATTGCGCTTTTATTAACGTCGCCATTATACCGAACAACGTCATAGAGTACTTAAAACGTGAGAACAGGGAAAAGGGAAAGAAGGAAAGGAAAGAAAGAAAGAAAAAAAAAGTCCACCATTGTAATGCAACGGTAGTACATTTGATAAAATATATTTGTCTTGCACTGACTGTCATGGGCCTTTTGTCAGAGGGCCGTCCGCTAAAGTGGACTGAAATAAAAGATGCGTTAAAACAAATTCGAACTTATGGTGTTGATCAACTTATACAAGTTTATCACAAGTGTAAAAATCGTCAACGAGATGCGTTTACATGGGGTGATGAAGTACGAAATTCAGTGTAAAATTCCTTCCTTCATATTGAATGTTTTTCTCGTCAAGGTCGAATTAACGTTGGTAAGATTTGATCATGAAAATAAAAAAGTTCAATTGCTATTGAAAGCTCATAAATTATTACCAGCATTACACAAATTAAACGAAGAAATTCAAGATGAGTAAGTCGGGTCATTTGGTATTTATAAAGTGTTATCTATCGAGATTTGTTTTATTCTTTGTAGGGCGTGTCGTATAGCTTGGCATCCAGAAGCATGTGACTTCGTTGTCGAAGGTGTGCCGTTTCAACCGTACGGATTTTTACCTTCGCATTTTAATACCGTCGAAGCAAATATGCGATTAAGACGAGAACAAGTTCAAAAGCTTCTAGCTGAGCAATCGGATTGTGATTTCATTTTGAATATTGCGGCTTTTCCAAGGTAGAAAATTTTTCTATTAGTGAATAGAATCTCGTCGAAAATTGAATAGGTATGGTCAGGGGGAATATACACATCCGGCTATTGAATATGGTTCCTCCCACTCCGTAGAAGAATCTTTATGCTTTCCTGATTCATTGATTTCACCAATTCACCCAAGAACGAAGTACATTTGACCTCGATCGATTTCATCTTTATGATTAATTACTCATCTTCGTCTATAGATCGTTATCAGAAAATACTCACGAACGGCGACAAGGAAAAGCTTCTGTTAATATTCCAAGTAAATCTCTTGACAACCTTAACAAATTAGCTACATTATCGACTTTGAGAGAGATTTTCTCCCTAGCAAACGAAAACTTTGGCAGCGAGACTGCATCCATCTTTCATTAGTTCTATTTAGATTAGCAGTGTATTTTGTCTACCATTGTACGATGTTTTTTGTTATTGCTTTTAGTATTTAAAGATTCTTCCACACCGTCTCCATTCCGTGATAATTTGTTTAAAGATGATCCCAATCTGAAAGATGATCATATTCATCTGGATAGTACAGCAGCTGGTTGGGGTTGTTGTTGCTTGCAAGTGACATTTCAAGCTGAATCATTTGAAGGAAGCCTTCGTCTCTACGACCAGTTAATACCATTGTGTCCAATTATGGTAATCTTTGTTCTATTTTCATATTTTATCTAAACATTGAACGTTGGATAGTTGTGCTTGAGTGCAGCCTGTCCGATATGGCGTGGCTATTTGTCTGATGTTGACTGTCGTTGGAATATCATCAGCGCAGCAGCTGATGATCGAACAGCTGTAGAGAGACAGCAAGAAAATATATTGTCACGTTACGGTCCCACACCTTTTTATTTAACAGACGAAAAAAGGCATTTGAATGATTTGGATTTTCCTGTTTGTGATGATGTTGTTCAAAAATTAATCTCTCAAGGTTGTAATGCGTACGATTAATTCTGAAAGGATGAAATATTTACTGATTTTGTAGGAATACCTGAAACTTTATCACGTCATTTTGGTCATTTGTTCGTTCGAGATCCACTGGTGATTATCGAAGAATTCCTTCATCCGAAAGACGATTCGAATTCATATCATTTTGAAGTTCGTCGTTAGTAACTTTGTAAATCTACTATTCTTAAGACAATCTTCTTTTAGAATTTGAATTCTCTCGTGTGGAATACGCTGCGATTAAAACCACCACCATTAGATGACGATCTAATGGGCTGGAGAGTAGAATTTCGACCGATGGATGTAAACTTATTTGATCGTTTCACGTAGACAAGAGAAATAAATTCGTTCTTGCTTTCCTTTAGATTCAAATGACCGACTTTGGCAATGCTGCACTCACTGTCTTCGTAGCCTTGATGACTAGAGTTATTCTAACATATAATCTTGATTTTGCTATTCCAATTTCTCAAGTGAATGAAAACATGAATAGAGCTCATCATCGCGATTCAGCACGTCAAGAAAAATTCTATTTCCGATGTGGTAATGAAATATCTGAAATGTATATGAATGAGATTATCAATGGGAACAACGATTTTCCTGGTTTGGTTCCACTAACACGACAATATATTGGCGAGAGAGAAGATATTGATGCTGATACCAGATTTACTATCGAACAATATCTTCTACTTGTTTCAAAACGAGCGGCTGGTAAACAGTTTCTTCTCTTTCATCTTTTTTCTTGTTAAACACAATTCTGTTCAAGGAACTTTAATGACAAATGCATCTTGGATTCGACAATTTGTACTGTCACATGCATCGTACAAACAAGATTCGGTTGTGACTGAGGAAATTCAATATGATCTCGTTCGGAAAATGGAACAAATATCTAATGGACATGAAGATTGTCCGCAAATTCGGCAGTCAAATATGGAGACACATACCGATTTGCATGCTGAGTAATGAGAAAACAACATTTTGCTTTGTTTTGCTTTGCTTTGTAATTTCGTAAGACATTGCTTTGGCCGTATCCCTGTGAAAATTGAGCAAGATATCAGCAATAAATATATACATTTTCGTGTGTCAATGAAAAACATGTCCAAATCGATCACAATTCTCTTTCTGAAAGGGTGTGCGGTTGATATGAAGAGGCAAAAACCAAATGCCGAGAGTGAGGATCAGAGTACGTAAATACTTTAATAAGTGATCGCAGTTCAACTTTCCGAGTTTGACACTGTTGATTGTTACCTGCCACGATATACCGAAACACGAGAAATTGAAACTAGGAGTCAAGCATATGTTCACTCGTTGCGTATACGTGGACAAAATCGCGTCTGGTGACTATAGACAAGTTCGAACAGTAGTCCACATTATCATACTTTACATATGTATGTGAAACCAATTGAAATATATTATTGTCCACGCACAGCCGGTATTGAATATATTTAGGAAAATATGAAACGGCATTAACCGATAGAATTGCCTGAAAAGTGAAAACAGACGAATATGTGAATGCATCTCCGAATGTCATTTGAGCAATGAATATACAGCGGTGACATCTCCTACTGATTCGATATTCCTAATTAGATATTTGTTGTACAAAAACGAGTGGACCATATTCTTTGTCGTATGATTGGCCTTTTAATGGTTTGATACAGACGACCGTTGTATTTTTCGAGTGAACAAAACGCGCAGGTCACTCATCATTGAACTTTAAAAGTTAAAAAATACACACATGGCCGATTCAGATCCAGCTCCATTACATCGCTCAACAGAAATTAAGGACTTAACACATCTAACTGAAAAGGACAAAGAACACATCGCTGAAGATGCTGAAACAACAGACAGTTCAATTCATCGAAGCCCAGAAGTGGAAGATTTAGCCCATATCTCGCCTCAAGATCTGAATAAAACTTCAGCTGATGATCATTCTCATCTTCATCATCATCACCACCATCATCATCATCACCCTGAGCATCAAACTACAAATAATCAAACCAACTAATCTCTTTCTCATTTATGCATTGTTTGTTTTGGGATAAAATACGGTTAAAATTAGTACTTGATAATAAAATTTTCAGAGCATATTTCATCAATTATATCGAGTTAATGAGACAATTAAAGAGCGGAGAACCTGTAATTGATTTCTATGGATCTACATATAATGTAAGGTATATACATAAGTGAACGTCAACGACATATTTCAGTTGTTGTAATTTGTTCGCCAGTTAACAGAATTAGTAAAGCACAACGAGATTTGTATCTGATCATTATCTTATACTCAATTTATAAATCAAAAGAAAGCAGACTTTGATTATAATTGTTGACATTTATTCGATTTTTAAATATTAAAAACAGAAGATATTAAACTGTAAAAAATATATTTATGACGAAAACAACAGTATACGTATAATTGTCTCAATTTGCTACGTCTCTGTTTTGGTTGATAAATGTTCAGGCTATTTTTATTTCTTGTAACATGCGTCACCATTGCAGATAATATATACTTTTTTATTAGAATAGTTTATTCAATAATCTCATAAGGAGATATTTCATTCTATACAGCCTCAAAGCCAATAAGCACGCAACTAATCAATTGCAGTATATTCGTTTTCCGAGGAATGATGTTGTGTTTTTTCAACGCCATTCGTTTTTCGGCAAAGTACTATTTAAACGGTTTAAGCCTTCAAGTAGCTCTAAATAAACAAAGCTCACACACGTATACATGTATGTGTATACATTTATAATAATATAAGACACTGCCGACGATGACTATGACGTATTTCCGAACCATCTCGGTAACAATAAGAGTGATGCACTTGTCGATCAATTGATTAGTCTGATCAGAAGGCGATTAAAGATGGTCGAAAAGAAATAAAAGGGGAGATGCCAAAGAAAACTTTTCAAAGTCGAAAATTTTTGTATAACTTTTTTTTGCGAAAACTGATGATTTATTAATATTAACTTATAGTGTTTTTTGCACGACATAACTCCGATGCCACTAGTGATAATGGTGGTAATACTATACTCTGATACACATGCTTCATTGTTTAACACGAAAGGCGAACAATTACATTTAATGTTTCTTTTCGTGCTAATTATCATAAGTGTAAAAACCTATAAAAAAAAAGATTGATTAACTATGATGTTCGAATTATTACATATGTGAATATCAAAATATCCCTAGATTGCACACAGGTCATAGTTAACGATACATACGATCGATGATGGATAGACCATTATTTCCAAGTAGAAATATACAAATTTTTATAACATTCCCCTTAAAATCGTAGCCAAACAATTTTTAAGAGTGAAGAGAGTAATTGTCCTACTTCCTAGGTGATTATGGCACGGTCGGTTAGGTCCGCTTTCCGACCATTTCCTGTGCAATTCCGGCGGCAAGGAACCTGCTGGAATCGAAAAGCGCTGTACCGGAACCGACTCAGATTTTAACGGATCCAGTCGCCGGAATGATCGATCTGGGTTGACCAACGCGTATTCTTTTTCCTTTATATACCAAGATGCCATTCAGTAAGGATGTGCACTGAACAACAGTTTTCCTTCACCTATTGTTTTCGTGACATACACCCATGATCTGAATAAAGATGCACCCCATGCCATTTTACTTAATTTCTGTACAATGGTGACATCTCCTATTAATTAAAATTTTTTAATTATATATTTCACTGCACATAAGGCGACAAATTCTGTTTCCTGATTGGTCTTTTAGTTATCTGTTATGGACGGGTACTTTTTCGAAGGAGCAAACACGCATCACGCACTGTTAGCTTCAAAGATTAAAAGTTACACACGTGACCGATTCAGATCCAGCTCCGTTACACCGCTCAATAGAAATTAAGGACTTAACATATCTAACTGAAAAAGATAAAGAACACATCGCTGAGGATGCTCAAACAACGGATAGTTCAATTCATCCGAGTCCTGAAGTAGACGATCTAGCTCACGTCTCATTAGAAGATGCAAATAATTTATTAGCCGCTGACGAAACGAAGTAAATTCCATAGGCTGACACATCTTCCGTATTCTATTCATTATATCATAGCATTTCTCTCTTCTATTGATCTTGATCTGACGATAAAGCCATTTCTTCGTTCAATCAAATACATAAACAATTCATATTTCAGAATAAAAATGGGTGCGTCAGGAACCAAACGAGCCATTCAAGCTGAATTATCTCAAGACCAACTTGACTATTTAAAAATGCGAACACGAATGACAGAAGAAGAAATTCAAAAATGGTTTCGTACGTTCATTTAATTTCTTTAGATATCCACTTCAGAGTTGAATCTTTTTCTTAGATGGTTTTTATAAAGATTGTCCGGACGGTCTCTTAACACAAAAGCAATTTATTCTCATGTATAATCATGCGTTTCCAGACGGAGATGCAACGCAATATGCTAAAAGAGTATTTGCTACTTTTGACAAAGATAATTCAGGTTTGCATTTTATTTCTTTATCCTCATGAACAACATTCCATTTCGAATTGTCTAGGGAAAATTGATTTCACTGAATTTCTCTTAGCAATGGATTTAATGGAAAATGGCAATTTAGATGAAAAACTTCGTTATGCATTTCAATTATACGATATTGATAAAAACGGAATTTTAACTAAGTCAGAGATTGAAACAATTATCAAGATGATTCTTTCACTCCGTGGTGAAGCAAACAATGATCGTTTGAAAAGCGATGTTATGAAACACTTGAAGCAATTTATTACAAAATTTGATGAAAATAATGATGCGAAAATAAGTCAAGATGAATTTTGTCGGATATGCTCACAAGACGAATATCTTAGAGAATTCTTATCACCAAATTTTTCCACGTAATTCCTTTTTGTTTGTTATACTTCAAATTCTTTCGGTTTTGTCACGTGAAGTGATGCAACTGAATGAATCTCATGCTCAAATTTCTTTACAATATTTGAGAAATGAAATAAATGTTCTTCGTAAATGAGTCGACATTTGTCTGGAAACAGATAGACATGTTTTAAAACTAAAAATACATACCGCTGTGTGAAGCATTCGTATTTAGGCGAGATTCAGAATTATTTCAATCAGTTACACTGCAAAAAGAGCGTTGCGCCAACGAGAAAGTCAATATTGATTCATATGTATATGTTAATTGCTAGATAAAAGATAACGAGCGTTCGTATACTTTCTCCAATACCAATCTCTGTACTATTTAACTTATTATCAGCATGAAAACGATTTTGCATCTGAAATGAATGCTTCTCTCTTATCCCTACAGATAATTCATCAATAATTGGAAATGTTAGATTGGCAACCTCATTTATATGATCCAATGTGCTAATCAAGATTAGAAGGATGTAATTTTAAAAAATGAGAGGCAGTCAGTATCTGATATCAGTGACGAAATTGAATCGTTATTCTTCCTGCTGATGTCATGTCAATCGACAAATCAAGGATATTAAGAAGAAATTCATTGGAAGAGTGTCACAAAATATTGCTATCAGATGACAAACGAATATGAACAGTATAAAATATTTCATTTATTAATCGGTAGAAGAATCAATAAGACGGTTTTTTTTAAATTCTCTGTTTTGCATTTACTAATGAATACAATATGTTGTTTAACAAATGGTGTGATTGATGACGACATCTATGAACAATTTTTTTTAACAGTACGGAGGATGATGGTATAATGTAGACTGGAATCATTTTCTGATGACTATGCTTTATGTCACAGGGTGACTGACGCACTATTTGCTTATACTAACCGTACTTTTGTTTGGTGAAGAAATTTCTCTTTTGATTTAATCAACGACGAATATGCCAAAACAATCTCCGAATGAAGTCGATCAGATGGTTCAACGAGCACGAGTAAGACATGATTAGAAGAAGGAAATAATTCATTTGAATAAAATCTCTCCCTTTCTCTTTTTCTTCAAGCCATTAAATCGTGATGTAGTTCGTCGTGATCTTATTCAAGCGGTTAATTCATCAGCTTGTAATTTCGTTTTAAAACTATGTGAATATTTTTACAATGACGGAACATCGAAAGAGTTGCTCTGTCTATGTGGAACAGTGATATGTCACTATAAAGGAAGTCGATATAATATTCCAGTCGAAATATGGCTTCAACCTGATCATCCGAATAGCGCACCATTAGGATATGTTAAACCAACAACAGATATGTATGTGTCACCGACAAGTAAAGATGTTCAACCTGATGGAACTATTGTCATTCCGTATTTGAAAAATTGGCGTCACGTAATACTTTCTCGTTCAACAGGTTTCTTTCAACTTTCATTTGATTTTATTGTAGCCAAATAGTGATTTGAATCATTTGTTAAATGCAATGTCAGAGGCATTTAGTCAATCTCCACCAGTGTTTTCAAATGCTGGTTCAGCAACACCATATTCAACAACAGCGTCAATGCCAACGCCACAAACATTCATAGCAAATACAGGTCAACCTGGCTCACATTCATTTACGAATGGAACCTCACGACAACAAAATCTTGAGGACGTTTATCGAGCATCTCTCGAATCGGCTGTCGAAAAGAAAGTAACGGACCGTCTTAGAGAAACCGTTCAAATAAGCAACGTACAAATTGATTCATTACGAAAAACTGAACAAGATTTAACAGACGGTCAAAGAAAACTTCAAACATTAATTAATGATGCCCAACAACAACAAACTCATGCAAAGGTTGCCATCTTTCAGCTAAGAATTCTTTGACAGAAGTGTGTTTTTGTTTCAGAACTATATTGCAACGATTCGAGCAAAAACGAATGAAATGTTAGATGCAGCACAGAAAATGTCATCAGCTGGGAAAGAAAACTCAGTTAAAGATGATGCAGTCATTACACCTGCACCTGTCTACAAACAGTAATGTCCTTTGTTCGTTTTCTACTCATGATTTATTCTTCATTTTTTTCTCTTGAAAAGACTTTTACAAGCTTATGCCGAAGAACATGCAATTCAAGATTTGTTATACTACCTTGCAGAAGGACTTCGACGAGAATCCATTGGATTAGATACTTATTTGAAAGTACGCCATTTGTATTTGTATCTTGAAGTTCGAATGATTTATTTGTTTGTATTTAGCATGTTAGAGAACTTTCTCGAAAACAATTCATTTTGCGAGCAACAATGCATCGATGTCGACAAATTGCTGGCTTGTCTGTGAAATAGACGCTGTTCTCTCTCATACAATAAAATTCAAACTATATAAATAGATAAAAACAATGGAGGCTCCGGGCATCGATCCCGGTGCCTCTCGCATGCAAAGCGAGCGCTCTACCGTGTGAGCTAAGCCCCCTATGTATGAAAACTTGCTTCTTTTAACTCTGTTATTTTGTATTATACATCAAAATTCAAATAAATAACTTAACCATTCGAATACCTGATCTATGCGTGTCAATAAGAACGTTCTGCTGTGAAGCTTGATTACGATTGCTGCTTGGAGAATGATTCATCTTTTATAAAAGACTTTAAATGGTCATGACATGACGACATACGATGATTAATTCGAATGGCAATTGTTACAAGCAAAGACTTCCTTTCTTCAAGAAAAAAGCTGATTGAGTAAATAAAGTAAAACTGCTTTTGATGGTTGTAATATATGAGAGTTAGAGAATAATTCATGATCGTTCTTTTTGGTTAAGCCAATTCTTCTCACTTCATACGAGTGTTATTGCAATATTTGACTAAGTCATTGCTATTAACTTCTTTTTATTGCAAATCGAGCTAATGATAAAAAAAACATGATAGAAAGGGTTGTCAATCTCGTTTATTCGATGTTGATCGTGATCCACTTTTACTGCCGCCCGGAACATAATCACCACGTAATGCTGCAGATACACTTTTACGTTGTCGTTTTCTGCTCAGGTAAAGAAAAATAGCGACTGCAAGTGAGAATGCCAAAAACATTAGCCAATTCTTGGCCGCTAAACAAAAGAAGATATAAATAAAAGGCTATGCACGGCATAATAGTCAAAGAGAACCGTACCCATTTCAAAAATATACGACCATTTGAGAAGACCTGTGTCTGTTTCTGGCCGAGATGAACGTGTTGCCTGTTCTATTTCGGGTTCATCTTCAATTGTTGCATCGTCTGACATTTTATTAACTTTTTAATCTACAATGGAACGAAACAAAAAAAAGATTTCGAAATCTTGCTTTTCTTTTCTCGATAAACACGGCACAAAAAAGGAAAAAAAGCTGTTTATTGTTGCTTTTTCGTTTGTTCAATAGTTGGCACAGAAGCCGACCAATAGTATCCTAATTGAAATATCAGCAAAGAAATCGCCAATGTATTTAAGACATATGTCCAAATAAGCGTTGGATCGCCCGTTTCTTGAATCGATGTAAAGATGCGTGCAATGGAACCGAAGAATAACATTAAAACTGTAATCGCAGAAAGATTCCCTGTTGATTTATCTCGATATATGCTAATCGATTGAAGTAAACGACTGATTAAACTGAAAACGAGTGATAAGCCAGCTAGTGTCTTAACTAACTGAGGCGGAAGTAAGTTTTGGAACATTAAAAATCCAGCAATACTGCATAAAACTAAAGTAAAGAAGAAGAAATGAATCTTTTTCTGATTAATTATTAAAATAATAGACATCTTCTCTTAGTTGGTCGGTGCCTCTCTTTGCTAAAGTTCCTTCATAGCTAAATTTCTTTTTTGCTCTTCAACAATGAGATTATGTAAATTATCTCTATTATTTACATTCTTTCATCGCAGGCAATCCGTTTTGCTGACTTCAAATAGACGTAACGTTTTAACTGTCTCATTATAAGCACCAATACATATGTATGCAAATGGATAAGCATATGGCGAAGGAATGATAGGCAAATATTTAAGATTTATCTGACATTGATATTTTCTGACACAGTTTTAACGCCTAGTGCTTTCAAATATTCTGTTCATAATCATACTACATGTTTTATCACTGGCCAATAGAAGAGCATTAACGTCCAAATACATGTTTTTTCCTTTCTTCAACCTCGCTCGAAGTTTAACCAAAAAATGGACCTCATGAAACTCATCTTCCTAATTTCGATAAGAATATGGTATCTCGGAGTTTCCTCTAAATCATGAGACAAAAAACAAAAGTCCATACGAACCTAAGTACACGACGACGGCTAAATATCTTTTTTGATAATAAAGTACCAATAAGATGATTAATAAGGTTTGAATGAAAAGAAAGTATGAATCACCGTAGACCGAAAGTGCGTATCCTGATGAATAACCATATGCCATCGTTCCAAATATAGCGACTAACATAATGGTTTCAGCAAAGACACTGATACCAACGCCTGATTTGTTCCATTTGATTTTCACGATTTGAGGAAGTTTAACTAATAATGAGCCAACAAGTATTGCATAGCCAAGTATTTTGCTTAATAACATTTTGTTGCAGGCCATATCAAAGAAATGTTGTTTTAACACGAGTTCATCGTAACAATGGGGTGATAGTAAACCAGAGACCAACGATTCAAATGATGATGAGAGTAAATCCGAGAGTCCCATTTCTTGTGTTTGCGTGCTTGATTCGTAGAATTAATCGGCAGCCGGCAACTTCTTTCGACAAAATCTTGTACGATCGTAAAAACAAATGAGTGAGAAGAAAAATCCTAATGAGCAAACGTGTCCACCTTTGGAACCAATCCGATTTTTAGAAAATAGATGTCAGTAGAAACAGAAATCCTTTATCAAAATTACAGACACCTCGTATTAATCATAGTCATGTACCGAACATATAGAATTGAAGAAGCTTACATCGATCTGACGGCAATGACTCGATTCGTCATAATGATTGCAATATTTTGGCAATTGACGAAAACTTATCACACATGCGATCGAGTTAACCAAATCATTCTCTTTTTCTACTTTGACTCGATCTTTTGCAGATGCTGAATATATAGTCTCATGTATGCCAGTTTCACAGGGAGTTTGTCGTTAGGAATTTAGCTTTTCTTTTATGATTAAATTGAATTTGATATTCTATCGAATTATTTTGATGTATAAAGTATGAAGGTTGAAAATAAAACAGGAAATTACATTTTTCATTTGATGGATTTGTTTATCTCGTATAATGAAAAGATCTTTCATAGCGAATAGTATAGATTTTACCAGTGATGCTGATTAGTTCTCATCCTCTGATGTGATGAGTGGCGACTGATGAAAGGAAATCTTTTATTTTGCATATAGAGAATATCTATATATATATATCCAAGGTTTTTTCTCTTTTGAGCTGAAAGAGGAAAAATAAGTTTCTCTTCTAAATGCAATCTTCCTGTTTTTTTTAATGTCTATATTCATTATTATCCAGAAAAACGACAGGCAGTAGTTTTCTTTCCGGTATATGTCAATAGCTAGTGAACACAATTTTGTTTCAAAGAGTCGAGTTCTATTTTCACCCATCTTGAGTGACGATTCTTCTCTATACTTGAAAGTTACATTCAAAGTTAATTCTTTTCAATTTGTATACAATTGAACAAATGACGAATTGATTCGATTGGTATTCATATAACATTTGGACAAAAGGAAAATCCTGCTGAGACGAGAGAAGAAAAGTATACGCTTACTTGATTAAACAAGCAAGAAGAACGAAAGAAGGAAAGAAAAGAAGAAAAGAAAAAGAACCATTCTGTTCTTATTTACTTGTTATTTTCCGAGTTTGGTATAATGTCATCACCATCATCTCAAACAGTGTCGCCACCACCATCATCATCGTCATTATATCGTTCAAATGAACTTGTTAACTTGACTACGGCTTCGCAATTCACGTCGAATTCAACAAGCTTTGCACCACTTCATCGAACAGTCGAGGTCGAAAATCTTCACGATCATATCGATGATAATAATGAGCAACAGCCACCCACAGCGTCGAAGAAAGTTTTGACAAAGTGTATGACTGTTATTGGAGATGGAAGTGACAAGCAAATTTCTTAGCTATTCTTATCTTATAGATGTTCTCCATCACTCTCGCTCTTTGTCTTNAAGAACCATTCGAACTCTATATACTTGACATTTTTCCAGTTTTGTCTAAAGTCATCATCATCATCGTTACTATATCGTTCAAATGAACTTGCTAATTTCACCACAGCGTCGAAGAAAGTTTTGACAAAGTGTATGACTGTTATTGGAGATGGAAGTGACAAGCAAATTTCTTAGCTATTCTTATCTTATAGATGTTCTCCATCACTCTCGCTCTTTGTCTTTTACATCAATAAATAAACAGGCTCATGAAATTCGAGCTGAACTCAAATTCGGAGACAGTTAAAGTATAGAATTACATAAGAAAAGAACATTTCTTTTCATATAAACAATCACGAAACAACGAAATATATTCGACGTCAAAGAAAATAAACGATGAAAAATTCATTTAGAAGATTATTCTTATGTTTGCATGAGAGAACAAACATTATGTTTGTTGTCGTATAGAAGAAACTAGTCATTTGAAAGATAATCTCTCCGACGACTCGTTCTTTCTATACAACATTTCAACTATTTAGCAATTAGTACCGACAAGTCGACTTGGGCCAGTCTAAGCGAATTCACCGACTATGTTATACGGTATTCTATTAGAAAGTGCACGAGATGGAATCTGTCTTGGCTATGGAAATCAGATGTGGAAAAAGATTGTTCAAGAACTTAATTTCGAACACGAATCATTCACTACACTTGGACGATACGAAGATAATTTGGTAGAGAAGATTGCAGAATGTAATTGTGCTGCTTTCATCATCCGTTGCTCACCACACTATGCATTTATAAATAGGTTTGGCTGATATTCTGCATGAAGGAACGCCCGAGTATTATATGCAGTTCTTTGGCGAATGTTTTGTGAGATTTTTCACAAACTATGGCTATGATAAGATCCTGCGTGTGGCTGGAAGACATTTCGGCGATTTCCTTCACTCGATTGATCAACTTCACGATTCGACCAAGTTTAGTTTTCCGCGAATGAAATCTCCGTTGTTTCATGTCCTCGAAGAAGATGAACATGGTGCATTACTTCAATATAAGTAAGATCTCTTTCATTCGTAATGACAAATGCAATTATCTTTAGATCGCGTCGACGTGGTTTTCAACGATATATCGTCGGTCAACTGAAAGAATGTGGATCACAATTCTACCATGAAGAGATCTATGTTCGCATTCAGGAAGATCTTTCTACTAACGAATGTGAATTGTTCATTCTTTTTTTCTTCCATTTCGTACAACACAACTTCGCCATTTAGATACACGTATTATCTTTCGTGTTGACTTTAATAATTCAGCTGCAAAAGAAACATCGAAACGTCTTCATTGTATTCCCAATCTTCCTGACATTACTAGTGACACATTCTTCAAAGTCTTTCCATTTTGTGTTCTGTTTGATCCATCAATGCGTATCACTCATATGGGGAAGTCAATCAAAAGTCTCTTCCCCTANTTTCGTACAACACAACTTCGCCATTTAGATACACGTATTATCTTTCGTGTTGACTTTAATAATTCAGCTGCAAAAGAAACATCGAAACGTCTTCATTGTATTCCCAATCTTCCTGACATTACTAGTGACACATTCTTCAAAGTCTTTCCATTTTGTGTTCTGTTTGATCCATCAATGCGTATCACTCATATGGGGAAGTCAATCAAAAGTCTCTTCCCCTACGACACTGTTGTTAATGGACGACACCTCGACGAAATCTTTCGCTTAGTTCGACCAGATATTCCGTTGGAATGGAGCAATGTAATTGAATTCGATCTTTTCTTACATTATTCTTCTTCTTCGCGTATTTCTTTTGGTTTAGATGCTCAGCTACGGTCGACATATCGTGTTCCTCATGGAAAGTCGAATAGCACTTCGATCAGATAAAGGAACAAAATCCAACGATGGTACAGTTACGAAAAAGCCTAAAACAACAGCAGGAATGACTGGAAGTTCAGCGATTCGACTGAAAGGACAAATGAAATGGATAAGTAGTTGGAATATGATGGTTTTTCTCTGCCATCCCATGTAAATCTTTTTCTTGTTTCAACTTTGTTAACAACACTTTCTCGTAGATTATCAACGACTGAAGAAATGATGAACATCGGATTGACTCTACACGATCTCAACTTCTACGATGGAAGTAGTGAGATTCTAATTGCAGGTATGCAACATGCAAGACAATTACAAGCAGCTATTGACAAAGTATGTCATGAATATATATACGGTGAAAGAACATCGATTGCGTGTTTCGTCTTGTGATGAGAACCGATCTTTATTCTTGCATGTTTATTCATCAATCTTTGATTCGTTTTAGCAACATGCCTGGATTTCAAAATTACAAGCAACAAAAGTTGAACTAAAAGAATGGCGACGAAAAGGCAAACGACTTCTTTATTCGATGATGCCACGTCATATAGCACAGATGTTACAACAAGGCATAGTTGCTAATTCTATTTGTGAAGTAATTCTTTGAAAAGAAAAATGAAAACATTTACTGATCTTTGAATCGAATTTTGCTCTTTCCTAGTCACATAAATTGATCACTGTTCTCTTTTGTTATACATTGGATTTCAAAGATGTTGTTCATAAATTACCTCCGAATGAAATCGTTCAAGTTGTGAATCAAATGGTGATTATTTTTGATCAGTGTTCTGACAAATATGATGTGTTTAAAGTATCTATAGAAATAGGTTATTGTGACTTAATCCGTGTGGATTCAATTTGTAGGTAGAAACAAAAGCGGATTCATCGTATATGATTGTAGCGGGCATCCAAGAACGTGTTTCTCAGCGAAGAATATCGAGTAGTGTAAGTCGAATATTTATTTCTATATTCTTGATATTTTTCGTTCTTTCAAAGTCAGGATCAAGTATAAGAAGTTCAGTTGGTGGAGATAGTCTAGATGAAGTTCTACCTGACATAAAGAATCCACTTGGTTTGAATCAAGCAGAAATTGTTGCTGGTCTTGCATTTGATCTACTAAAACAGTCGAAAAAGCTCATCAATAAAATCAGTAAGGTGCCATTTAAAGTCAAAATTGGTTTTCATTCGGGATCAGCTGTTGGTGGTATTGTTGGACATAAGAATTATCAATATTGTCTTTTCGGTGACACGATCAATACGGTAATTGAAATACGACTGAAAACAAACTGTTAATCAATATCATATTTGTAGGCTAGTCGAGTAACAACAACGGGTGATGTTCGTTGTCATTTGATTGTAACTTTGAAAGTAGTTCGATTCTATTGTTTTTAGATAGGTCGAATTCATCTCAGTGCAACATCATGGGAACTATTGAAAGATTCGATTTATTTCGACACAACTCCACGAGGACAAATCGAAATGAAGGTTTGTTTTCTCTTTCGAAAGAAAAATGGCGACACTCAGTTACATTTCTACTCATATAATAGGGTAAAGGAGAGATGCAAACATATTGGCTGACAGGCGTCAAAGATGCGTATGTTGAACATGCATCGATCGTTGATTCGAAAAGTGAAACACTTGAAAATGCCCTTCTATCGGAATATCATCCAACAATGTATGAAATCAATGATCGGAAAAAATCGTTGGCAAATGTCATTAATAAACTGCCAACTTCATCCGATCAATGTCCATTTAGTAGTTTTCGATCGCCACCTTCTTTTATTTGACACGAAAACAAATGAAAATCCATGTTTTATATGTTGTTTATCGTGTTCATCGTTTTGTTGTCATTCAAAAATATACAGAAACTCTCGTTAGCGACGTTCACTTCAAATTCCTCGTTTATAAATGACCAGATTGCGGAATTACGTTCACATCCAGATCTCATTAAGGATGGGACTGATAATTTTGTATACATTGAAGTGGATATGAAATCCTAATCAATACGAAAATATTTGTTCAGTATGAATAAATTAAGGCTTCTTGTAAGTATCTATCTTTTGATAAAACATGTTCATCGTCTAAGGTTTGACAAGTGTTCAAAAACAGTCTTAGGCTCAGCATATTAGAATTGCCGAGAGGGTTCTCTCCAGAAAGGTAAATCCAAACGAGGTTTCTTCTCGAAACTATACCGTCTTAGTCATATGCTAACGATTTTTCGAGGAGATGATATGTTGAAGCGTATTGCTCTACTGTTTGAGTGCGCAGCTTTTCTCTCGAAAAGTTACCGACAAATGGAGAGACATATGTATGCCTTTATTCGGCTATGTATTACATCCAGATGCCACTATTCCACAATATAACATTAGTTTATATGGTGAAGGGAAAGAGAGAATAGAAGACAGACAGTACAGATGGTAGATGCATGTTGATTGAACATGTCATCTTACATCCAACAATGATTTCTAATCTCGCATCGTACATCCTACGATTATGTAATATCGCTTTAATCTAGTACTACGCAAGATGTCTAACCATTTCATTAACGCATGAATGATTCTTTAGTTGTTACAATTAGAGCTATGAGTATAAACTAAAGATATGATCACAAAAATGTTTGAATAAGGAGGAATGATTCAACTATTCGAAAGAATGGGAACATGGTCTTGTGAATGCCAAAAGTATGAGCTGTGGTGGCACACATATTTTGTTCGCTTATGGTGCAGAAGAAATACAAACATTTTGCTTGACGAGCAGCAAGTGTGTATATTCTGAACATCAGGCAAAAATTTTTTATCATTGAGAAATGTATTTGGAAATGAACGTTCGAATGACACTTTTAGCAATAGATCTTAATATTTAACTACTATCATCAATGCACAATGTCTATCAATCAGCTTTTAGTCGCTCCTTTCATTTGTGTAAAGCGAAAAAAACAAAGGATTCACATGCTCTGTTGGGTTATTCTTTTGGGACGATGTGAATTACTTTGAAAACTGAGTTTACTGTAACTCATCATTGAAAAGTGTACATCGTCTCTTTTCAACAATATCAAAGTATATGTGCGTGCCTTATCAGACAGAAATCTATCATGACTATTCATCGTTTTATTACAACGAGACATACAAAGAAGAAACATTCGAATCGACTCATTTGTATACGTGTGGACATGTGACATCATTCGATTTTGTGAGAGAAAAAATTTTTGTGTTTATGTAAGATATTCGAAATGAAACATGACGCATCTGGCTATTACTTTTTTTGCTGTGTTCTGTTCACATGCGTAAATTCGCTTTTGTTTTTTCTGTTTTTTTTCTTTTTTGGGTATTTTTTAACGGTGAGGGATGATACTCTCGTTACTGTCTCACTCTGGGAAATTTTATTAGAATTTCAAATATATATATACACTTTCAAGGACTCGAATATCATAACGAAATTTTAATAAAAGACAAAATTCATACTTTACAGATTATCTTTCGCTTGTCGAAAAACCAAAAATATGTCCAAACGACAATGTAAGTTTAACTGATCTTAATACTTAGGAAAGACTTTGGTCTTCTTGTTAGCTCGTAATAACGCGTCAGCAGTGCCGAAATCAGCATGGAATAATGCACCTGCTGAAGCAGCAGTAACACCGGTTCCACAACGATCACAGAGTGAATATCCAACACCAAGTGAAGCCATAGCTAATTTATCGTTGCAATCTGAAACAACAACTTCTACTCGTTCGAAAACAACTGGCCCATCAAATCGGCGTATCTTACACTCAGTGGTACCTGATTCCGCAGTGCTCACTCCCATTCATCGCCCAGATCAAGGTGGCAAAGCCGGCCAACCTGTTCAAATCTACACAAATCATTTCCGAGTCTCTATCGATGATGCTATCGTCAATCAATATAATATTGAGATATCTATGGTACGCCGTGACGGCAAATTAACTGCAGCACGAAAGAATGAACGATGGGAAACGCTGCAACAATTGGCTAAACGAGAAAAAAGTTTTCCTATCGTCTGGTAAAAGAATTATGTTTGATATGAACTCATACGAATATGCTATTGATTTTGATTTATAGGTATGATGAAGGTTCCAACCTATATACTCGAGAACTTTTAACCGATTTTACCAAGCCGCTGCGTGTCAAATTGAACATCGATGATGAAGAGAAGGTTTTCGAATTTAAAGTTTTAAATTTGGTCCGTCAAGAGAAAATTCGAGATATTTTCGACTTTATTGCTGGACGAACTAGCATAAGACCACGTGATCCGATTCGAATAATCGAAACGCTATTCAAACAATCGGTCCATAACGATCTCGTATGCATACGAAACAAGTTTTATAGTCGTCGTCAAAAACTGGTTGATCTTAGTAAGTTTTTCTGTGCCAATACCTAAGCTATACTGATTCACACGATTGTTCTTTTAGATGATGGACGTGGTATGGCCAGTGGCTTCCATCAAGCATTGTGCTTAACACGTGGTGGCCCAACGTTGAATGTGAATTTAACTTTCGCATGCTTTTATTTACCGCTCAATTTTGTCGACTTTTCTTGCAAGTATTTGAGAAAAGATATTACTAGAGGAATTTCTCCGGGCGAAATTGAAGGAATTAGACAACTGTTCAAAAATCTTCCCAGTATGTTTGCGAAGAAAGTTTTATTTTGACGATGCTCTTTTTGTCACGCAGTTGAAACGATTCATGCTGGTCGTCCACTTCGATATCGTGTCAGAGGCTTTGGTCGTCCTCCCAATCAATTGACATTCGATCGTCGTTCCGATAATAAATCAGCAGCAGCAGCAGGATCATCTGATGACGATAACACAGTTGCAAAAGTAACTACCACTGTAGCTGATTATTTTGCTCAAAAGTACAAACCATTGAGATATCCACATTTACCATGTGTGGATGCTCGAAAAGGTAGTGAACCAAATGCACATTGGTTACCCATGGAAGTTGTCAAGGTAACATCTTTTTGTTATGAATAATTTTCTAACGACCGTTTTATTTAATAGATTGTAGAATGGGAACGTGCATTAAAACCTTTAGATAGTGTTCAACGTGCGCTTGTGTCGAAAACAACGATCATCAAACCGGACAAACGTTACGATGATATTATTAGAATAGTTAAACAACGAAATTTTCAATCAGACCCGTTTTTAAAGGCGTTGAATATCAAAGTGAATGCAGATGAAATGTTGCAGATTAATGGTAAGTGTGAAAATCTTCTAGAATGAAGCCCATGTCTATGTGTGTTCTCTAGCTCGAATCCTCCCACCACCAGAAGTAAAATATCGAGGTAAAGGAAACAGTGAAGTCGCAGAATATGTTGCTGTTGGGAAATGGGCCATTCGAAATAGATTTTACCATAGTCCTGTGATAAACAAATGGGGTATGCTTTATTTTGGACCAAAGCCTCAAAATCAAATCATTAGTATACTTCAAGAATTTGAAAACCAGCTTCCTCAAGTATGTTTAAATTGATAGACTAGCTTGCAACAAAGTGAAATCGTTTTTTTTTGTGTATGATAGCTATCATCACAATGTGGTGTAGTATTCAGCTCGAAACCGACGACTATGGCTAAACCTCCGCGGCAAGACGAGATAGAAAACGCCATGAAAACTGCTGTTAATCAAGGTTGGCAACTAGCGATTGTCGTTCTGAATGACGTTCCAACTGAAGTTTATGAGTGTGTGAAACAATTGGGTAATCAACAGCTTGGCTTACCTACACAATGCGTTAGCTTTCAAGCACTCGAGCGTAACTCAGGCAAACTTCGCATGTGTATGTATATTTCATCTTACGAATACTCTTTCATAAGTAAAATTTGTGCTTTAGATGTTCAAAATCTTAGCCAAAAGATAAATGCTAAAATTGGTGGAATCAATGGTGTAGTAAATTTAAAAGCAGCATTGAGCCATTCATCTAATGAAGATTTATTTATGTTTTTTGGTATTGATGTAAGTTCTGATAAATAGCTATTAACGGGAAAATACGATGAATTTTTTTCTTAAAATAGGTCACACACACCACATCTTCAACCACATTACCTTCCATTGCGGCAGTTGTGGCTTCATGTGATCCAACTTGTAGTCGTTATGTAGCACGACTTTGTGAACGTATGCATTTCATTTTTGTGTTCATTCTATACGCAAAAATGTACTCGTTATCTAGAATATCCTCCGAAAGGTCGTTGCTCAATTGAAATTATCAAAGAATTAGATAAGATGGTAATTGACTTGTTACAAGTATTCTCTCGTACGTGTGGAAATCGTTTGCCTAATCGGCTTGTTTTCTATCGGGACGGTGTTGATGATGGACAGTTTCAGAAAGTACTCGACAACGAAGTTGATAAAATCAAGCATGCTTGTCGAGGTAAAAAGTTTGTCGTCTTCTTTAAACCCATTGTTTATCTTCTTGTTACTCGTTTAGCTGTGTATGGAAAGGCTCAATTGCCTCGATTAACATTTATCATCGTGAAAAAAAGACATCATACACGATTCTTTACATATGATGGTCAGTATACCAAGAATATTGAACCAGGCACTGTTATTGATCAAGATATTACTCATCCGTCGCAGTTTGACTTTTACCTGTGTTCACAGGCTGCTATGTAAGTCTTTGCTGACCATTTTTATCTCTAATCAATATAACATTTCCCTGATAGTATGGGAACGTCACGTCCAGCATTATATCATGTTCTACATGATGAAAATAGTTTCAATAGTGATGACATTCAACAGCTAACCTATTGGGTAAATATCTTCGAAACTGAATATTCTTTATCGTTATAACACGAATATGTCTTGTCAATACAGATTTGTCACACAGATGCTCGTTGCACAAAATCTGTTTCGATACCGGCACCGGTGCACTATGCCCATTTAGCAGCACGTGCTGCCCGTATGCTTGATTTTCATGATGCGAACGATCGAATTGAGGAAGCGTAAGTGAAAAAAGATTATATTAATAGTTTCTATATAGTTAATTGTGTATTTAGTGAGGGAGATGATCTGGATGATCAAGAAAACTTTACATTAGAAGATATAAAAACTAAAGTGATGTTATTGAACGATAAAATTCAAAATAACATGTGGTTTGTCTGACGAATCATTTTTTTCCTCGAATTTTATTTTTGAATGTATCGATGAAGTTTTTTTCATGTGATGTAACTTCAAAGTATCGATCTACGCATATCGTTTAGAATTTGTCTTATATGTATCAAAAGCTATTGATTTAAAAATTCGATTAGTTTTGCTGAATCCTCTTATTCGATTTGAATTATTTTTCGTCAATAAAAATTGAGATCATATTTTCTGTTTTAAAATAATCCTTCGTATAATAGTGACCTATGTTAAATACAACAACAATCATCGGCACAAAAAGATTCCTCTCTGAAACAATGAAGTTAATGACACGTCATTGCGTATTGTAAACCAAATCCATGTTAACACATTATCAATTTTGCCAGGATGTAGATATGTACATTGACGTTAGAGAGAGAGAAAAGATTGAATCGTTGTACACTTATGAAATATATATGAACTTCAAAAGATAGTTTCATTCCTTCCATCTGTCGATATATTCAGCTCGAAGCATATCGATTGTAAACAGTTCTAACAGAACACGGACTGTTGTTCGATAAAGAGATCTTGTTGAACAGGATCTGATATTTTATCGATAGCTATAATATTTCTCGTACTTCATCAGCGTTTAATGACACTCTTATCGTTGCCCTTCGTCAGATAGATACCTTTCAAAACGGAAAAAAGCCACATTGGTGTGACTATAATCGACTGAACTTACTCGTAATAATCTCTTCGAATGGCAAGTGATTTGACAATAAAAAGACGTTGCAAGTATTTAGTTTTGATATTCGACTTCCGCACAGGTTTACCCAATGGGGAAACAGCGATACTCAAACAACTCTGGGGTGTCGTTGGAGTGATTTAACCAAGGCATCTCGTCACGATGAATATGTTTCTTCGTGTCTTCATCTTCAATTTAATTGAGATATTGAATTGCATGACGAAGGAGCGTCCATTGAAGCGCAGAAACAATTGTGGAACGCTTTGTTTTTCCATTTACAATTTGCTGCCATCGGCGAGGACGAATAAGGACATTGTGGCTATCCTTCAAATTCGTTCTCAATCCGATAACATTTGGGTGATCGCGTGTCAGAAACAAAGGGATATAACATTCGACTGACATTGATTGAAATACGAAAAAACGACAAATTGGACAAATGTAATTGTTCGACTTATTCGATATTGATGCTGTTCTTATGAACAATCTCACGTATCCCCAGTCACATTATGGCAGAAACTCAAATATTCAATTTCCATTTGAGAAAACTACTGTTGTATTTATCAATATGAGTCATAATTGAATGAAATATACAAAAAAAAGAAAAGAACTTAAACAGCATCGACAAAAACATTCACATCTTCGTGTAGATTATTGTAGCCATTGAGAATAACATACAAACGGCGGTAAATTTCCAGTAGTTTTGATAACTGTTTCCTAAGTAAGCAATTTTGTTTTCCAGATCATTAATCTTCTTTGCTTGATCACGATTTATGTCCTTCTGGCGGTCAAGTTCTTGTTATTAATTACAAAACATTTACTTTTACTTCTCGATGGTAGTGCTTTGTTCATCTAATTTTTGTTTTGCAGCATATCATTCTCACTTTTGCCGCTCCCAGGTCGATCAATCCCGTACTCGGATCCAATATAGGATTTTAACGGATCCTACAGGAACTCGATCGGATTTGTTGACCTGGGGTTTCTTGTTACAAAATCGTTTAAATCTATGTCATAATGGATTACAGAGCGAACGATCGAGGTCTTTTATAACTGATGCTTACTTGTATGCACATGTTACCGAGAATAAAAATGTCGATGTATCTATAATTTGGTGATGATATACATTCGTTTTTATATCTAACGCTTGCCGCAGACGAGAGAAGAAGATAAAATAGAAAAAATGTTCTCGGAGATACATTCAAGCTGTGCGAACATCATGTCTGCTTATTCTATAGGCGTGCGTACTAGAAAATGCGGTGACCAAACATCATATTCATTCTATACTCTGATCCTGACGTCCTTGTACGATGAATGAACGCAAGAAAGAATATTTATTTTCTCTCGCAGAATGCAATCTTCTAACGAACATGTTATGTGACAATCGTTCTACAAATGATCGAAGAAATGGCATTAAACATTGGCACTTCATAGTCATATGTCGATAAAAAACAAACTTTATTTGATGCTGACAAAACGGCGTACTTTTTCGATTTCACTTTAAATGCTCTCCCCATATTGATCAAAGCTTTTCTTCCGTCGAACGACCCGCTGTTTAAATTGATGTAGCGCAATTTCCTTCGAAATCCTTTGTATGTGTTCAGACCGGTAGTGTCATGTTATTTGAGCTTTTAATAAAATAGATAACACATTACTTTTTCATATTTACAGCTTCGCCTCTCTGTCCCTCTTCAGCTGAAGAATTGACTTTCGTTATCATCATGTACCAGCAAATAATGTATGCTATAATATATACCCGGCACTTAGGATTGGTCATGCGGTTCCGCCACGAAGGCATCGGAATACTGGGTATCATTACTGAAGAACAAGTCTATTTTGTTGAAAAAAACAAAAACAAAAACGGATACACATAACAAAAGTACTAAATTAGAAACATTCTATTCATTCGATATCTTCCTCGTCGTCATTCTCCTTGTTTTCTGCTTCTTCTTCCACACGTGTAGCGATCTTTCGTTTGGGCACATATCGGAACGCTTTGATCCAATTGTTATTTGTATGTTTTAACGTTAACAAGATGTTATACACTTCATGAAATGCCAATGCTTTGCTCGATGACGAATGAAATCTAAACAAACACCTATTTCTCTCACATGCACGGCAAGTGATCACTCACGTCAAATACTTGTCCAGCGGCAGTTTTGCATGACGAATGTTTTGTCGAACAGCTTTCTGATATGTCAATGGTTCCTTGTTTTCATCATCATAGATACCACCAACGATGTAAACAGCATCATGATCAAAATGAGTCATTTCGTTGGGCGAATCAGGTGTTAAGTAAACCAATCGATCTTTGTCAAACAGATCAATATACTGATCTCTTGTCGAGTGAAAATAAGTTGAGTGTTCGTGAGGTAGCGGATGACGAGACGTTTGGAAATTATCAGATAGATCACTGATGATGATATAGGCTGGTGAGTGAAAACGATGAATATGTTTGAAACAACGAAATACTCGATGAACAAGTGCAGAGAAGTATGAATGCCTTGCATGTGCATACTCGAAACCACCATCGACAACAAAAAAGTCACCTAGTCGAGCAGCTCTTGCCAATGCATACAGATCAAGCCAACGTTTTGGATTGTATTTTGTTGCTAACAAAGCATGTATTGTTGTTCGATGAAGAGATTCTTCTCGAGTAGGATCTGACACTGTGTCGATATATTCTTTTCTTTTTTCCATCACCAGTTGATGACGTTCTTTTCGTGCCTCTTCATCCGACAGATACCTTTGGTAACCGATGGAAATAATGTTGGGGCAACCATAATCGACTAAACTTACTCGTAATAATCTCTTCGAGTTTGAAGTGACTTGGCAAGAAAAAGGCGTTGCCAGTATTTGGGTCTGATATCAGACTTTGGAATAGGTTGACCCCAGTATTGATTTAACCAAGACATTTCTTCATGAAGAACATGTTTCTTCGTGTCTTCGTCGTCAATCTGGTTGATAGATTGAGTTGCATGGCGAAGAAGTGTCCATCGAAGTACAGAAATGACTGTGGAACGCTTTGTTTTTGTATTTGCAATTTGTTGCCATCGGCGAGGACGAATAAGCATGTTGTGATTATTGTTCGAATTCGTTTTCGTTCCAGTATCTCTTTTGTGCGTGAAAAACCAGATCTATTTTATTGGAAGCTCATCGATCCAATCCCATGTGATACATATATCTTTCCAAAACAGCCAGTTTTACAAAATTATGATTCTCTTTCTGTAGACATTTGTCATGTTCGGTGCATTGTTGGATTTTTGAATGCAGAGAAGTCACTGATCCTAGTCACATTATCTACTTTTACCAATAATTCTGTTTAAATTGCCTACGATGAGAGATGGCGCTGGTGAAAATTGTCATTATTTCGAGTCTTCATCCTTAATCATACATTCCCAAGATCACCATAATATCTCAGAAGAAAATCTACGAAAAGAAGAGTTTATTGGTTTCGATGAGAAATCGACATCACAGAATAGAAATTTTGGCAAATAAAAAAGTATTTTTAACCGACACTTATAGATATTCCTTGTTGATGTGAAGATATTTTATGATAGAATTCGATTGCAAATAGCATATTTTGGGTACGTGGAAACCCGAATGAATTTGGAGTTTCTTCAATTAAGTCGTATCATCATATAATAGTATTTTATTTCACGATGGATTATTCTCAATTTTGCGATCACGCTTACGAAGAATTGGCATACTCTGAGTACATGAGAAAAGTTCTCTCTTTACGAGATCAGTTCTACAATTTTTTGTCTTCAAAGAATTCTATTTATATTGGTTGTTCAATAGAACCAATGAAAATTCGCCAATCGTTTAAAAGCAAAATCATCTGATCTACTCTTGTTCTACTAAAGAAAAGAAAGAGAATAGTGCTGTGCTCGTAAACAATATCTATAAGTAGACTGATTGTATTCTTGTTTTGAATTTGAAAAGGTAGAGAATAAGTGAAGAGGAGAAAATGTTGTTTTTTTGTTATTTGTAAAAATGCTTGTCAAAGTATAAATAGACGAAAGAGAATCGCCATGTTATTAAGACTAAATTATTGAAATATATTTTTAGATTGTTTCACAGTTTTGACGTGGAAGTTCGATGGTAAAATAATTGTTTAAAAACTTATGTCAGACAGAGAACAAACGTTATCTGCAAAAGTAAAAGAAGATGTCAGATGAAATCAATTCTCTGCCTAATACTACTCACGGTAATCAAGCATTACTCATCAATCAATCTGAAGTAAACCAAAGCCTTCTTTACTATTGATATGAATGTTGTCTTATTATTCTCTGTAAAGAATGAAGCAACCGATCTGGCTGTGTGTGTTGAAGGTGCATGGAAAAATTATGGCTACTGGTGGAAATCAATGACAGCTTTACATGATGTGACTCTTCATGTTCCGACCGGATTTATGTAGGTTATGATTTTCGAAGTATGCGATAAGAAACCGCTTGTTTTTGCTATTTAGATATGGTTTGCTAGGTCCATCTGGGTGCGGGAAAACGACTCTATTGAGATGTCTCGTTGGTCGTTTACAACTTAATCGTGGCGAAGTTACTGTACTTGGACAACGACCTGGTGCTCGAGGGCATCAAGTACCTGGACGTGATGTTGGTTTTATGCCACAAGAAACCGCGCTCTACAAAGATTTTTCAATCTCGGAGATGCTCCATTATTTTGGTCATCTTCATAATATGAATAGAAAAGATATTTTGTCGAGAGAAAAATTTCTCCTTTCATTTCTTGATCTACCTTCTCGTACAAAAAAGATTACTCAATTAAGGTTTGCACGAGTACATTTACAGAGATTTTCATACGTTAATTCGTTTTCGTATAGCGGTGGCCAACAACGTCGTGTATCATTAGCATGTGCACTACTTCAACAGCCGCAATTATTATTACTCGATGAACCAACTGTTGGCGTTGACCCACTTCTCAGAGAAAAGTTCGTATTGACTATTTATGAACTACTTCATAATCTTCTCTTCGCGTGTTCCTTATCATAGAATTTGGAGTCACCTTATTCATATTTCTAAAACAAGTCGAACAACGATTATAATCACAACTCATTATATTGAAGAAGCACGAAAAGCTAATCGAGTAAATCAATATTGACATTTTCGTTATGTTCAATGAACGATTCGTTTTCTAGGTTGGTCTAATGCGAAGTGGTCGAATGTTGGCTGAAGATGAGCCAACACGTTTACTAGCCAAATATAATCAAACGGTATGTTATTTGATATGAGTACACAAGTGTATTGTCAATACAAATTGGAAATTTAGAGTTTGGAAAATGTCTTTCTCAATCTATGTCGTGAAGATCAAAATCGTGTTCAGCAAAGTCCAAAGAACAGTATAGATAAAACTGATCCAACTGATAATCAAGATGCTCCCGAGACTCCTCACTCACCCGTTCTTGACTTGACAACGGGAGAAACACCATATTCACAAATTCGCAGAAAAGAACTAGTAAAAAATCGTGAGTACAAAGAAGACTGGTGATTGATTAACTATGAATCGATTGTTATTTCAGCGGTACTACGCGCCAGGCGAGCTGCAGTTGATTGTTGTATTTGTCCCCAGATGCATAAGATTTATGCATCTATGGTCAAAGACTTGACAATGATTAAAAGAAGCATTGGGTAAGTTATTAATCATTCTCGTTGTATTTCATGTAAACAATGTCTCTTTTCTACTTTTAGGTTTTTAATTTTTCAATTTTTCATTCCTGTTGTACAAATTTCCCTTTTTTGTCTTTGTATTGGTCGTGAGTAGAAGTTTATTTTGCTTTCAGTCGATATTGGATAGAGCCATGTTCGTTCAGGTGATCCTCAACATATTCCTATGGCACTCTACAATAGTGAAGCAGTACATGGATTTCCGACTGGAAATCTAAGCTTACATCTGCTCAATAAAATCAATCCTAATCAAATTCATTTCGTAAGTGAAATTAAACTCGTCGATGAAATTCGAATTGTTCCTCTCTCTTAGCAATCTTTTAATGAGTTGAACAAAGCTGTCGATGCTGTTAAAGAAGGTCATTATTGGGGTGTCGCAGTAATTAGGTACAATTTCTCTCAAGCCATTAAGCATAAGTACGTGATCCAATCATATGACATTTCATTGCTATGCAGTTTACTGTTACTTTCACAGACTAATTTCAATGAAAACTGATCCAGCAACTCTCAATGCATCGTCCATTCATTTGCACCTCGATATGACAAGTAGGCTATGCAAAAGTATCAACGAGTTGAATTTCATGTTCTGATTTAGATCAACAAGTCTCTTTCGTGATGCAAAATGTCATATTGACTAGTACTCAATTGTTCTTGAAAGATATTCTAGCTGAACATAAGGTCGATCCAGCACTTGCTGATCCACCTGTTATCATAGAGAATCCAATATATGGGGCAAAAGTTCAAAATTTTCTCAATTTTGCTGCACCGGGCATGATGATATCGATCATATTCTTTTTGGCAATTGGTTTAACAGCATTGATATTCGTGGTAGAAAAGAAAGAAGGTCTTCTCGAACGCAGTTGGATTGCAGGTGTTACAACCGTTGAAGTTATGCTTGCTCATATAATTGTCAAATTTTTTATTCAGTTTATCCAAATTATTTTAATGATTGTTTTTGCTGATGTGATTTTTCAAGTTTGTTTTGCATAGCCCAAGGAATACCTGCATTTTTGCTCTATTGTTTGTGATTCCTAGGTTAAAATTGAAGGTCCCGTTATATTAGCAATGGCATTAATATTTATTCAAGGTATTTGTGGAATGAGTTATGGTAAGAACTAAATTGAAGGTCAATATTTGTATGTTCATTTCGTTTTAAAGGTCTATTAATATCTGCCATGTGTGAACAAGAAGTTGAAGTAATGGAAGTGGCATTAGGAAGTGTATTTCCAATCTTGCTCAGCTCAGGTACATGTGCACCGAGCAATTAACGGTATTTCATAATCATTCTCTATTTAGGTGTTATATGGCCAGCGGAAGGAATGCCACCTATAATGCGTTTTCTCAGTAATTTTACGCCATTGACACATGTGGTTGAAGCAATGCGCTGTATCGTTTCCCGAGGTAGAAAAAAATCATTTCGAAAGATATCAGTTGTTTAATTGAATCTAATTTTAGCATGGACACTAGTTTATTTTAAAGTATGGTTTGGATTTGTTATTTCTGGCGCATGGACATGTGGCTTCTTTGCTTTAGCTGCTATACTCTTTGCTCTTCGGAAATAATTCTGCTCTAGTCGCTCCTATATTTTCCTCTTGTCCTTCTCTCTATCACTTTCATTGTATTGCCAAATTTAATTGAAATAAAATGCATATCTCTATAAATCTACTCAGATGAAAAATTCTTCACGTTCTTCTGATATGCTGCACATCCAATTCGAATAAGCTGTGTCTGTTCTATGCTAACAAAGCTTTTCTTTATCATGTCTGAATAGACAATGCAAAGAGACAATTATTAGATTTCGGAATACTGCAGCCATCAGTTGATCTATAGAGAATTCGATCTTACAGTTCCATTCCACACATAACACGCGACAATAGTCTTATTCACACAGCTCGACACTGTCACATAGAAAATGAAGAACAATGACAACAAAATTGCGATTTAATTAATAAACTTTACTGAGATATTCGAGACTAACTCCATAATTCTTTGATGATTAACTATGAAAATAAATTCAGATGGCTCTTAGATATACTATATTATTAACTAAAGAAAAAGCATGTTTCCGCTATGTAAAGGTTCTGTTGCTTTGCAAGGATAATTTAACTACAGCTAACTTTTTTTGTAATATTTCTTGCGAATTATTTGACAAATTATATCCGGAGCTATGTTCATTTGATCTGTTATGATTGCTTACGACATAGACGCTCATCGTAACGGATGTATGCTTGAGAAGAATATGATGGATCAGTGATGATTCTCGAGGAAAAACTGTTCAAGAAGCGTATAATTAGATGTTACCTAATGCCCTCTATTGATTTTCCTCGAGATTGGCTGGGAAAACGATCAGCAGATGATAGACGAGATTTATATTATATCAAATGAATACATAAACAGTTAGATAAAAATAACGATAATCTTATAGAAAAATGGATAAAAACAAAACAGAAACGACTGATATGAATACGCGAGTAAAACACTTTGATTGTCCAGACGAAAGAAGGTAAAGACTAACAAGATATCAATGTCAAAACGTTGACCAAAATCTTTCGTTTAGAGCACCTTCTCGTATATGGACAATTCGCTCATATTTGTTTCTCTTATGTCTGATAGTTCTATCACAATCAATGATATCATCTGGTTATATTGGTTCAATAGTTTCTTCATTAGAACGTTATTATGGCTTCTCGACATCACGTTTGGGAGTTGCTTTCAGTAGTTACGATATTATGGGAGTATTATCGATTCCATTGATATCATATTTTGGTTCGCAGAATAATCGACCGCGCATCGTTGCTTTTGGTGCTTTATTGTTCGCCATTGGTAATATTTTATTTATTTTACCTTATTTTATCAATGGTTACGAGAAAGAATCAACAGCCAACGCATCGAATCAAACAAGTGATCATTTATGTCAAACAAACTCTTCAAATCCACAGATTTACTCGCGTGACCCATGTTCACGATTGTCAACAGCCAAGATTTTGTCCCATTTAACACCCAACTTAATCGACACATACGTGTCGAGTACATATGTAACACCGCAACCACCGTGGACGTATTACATTCTCATATTAGCTATGATTATTATGTCAATTGGCGCTAGTCCATTTTACACGTTAGGAATTACATTTCTAACAGACCATTTGAATAAAGATGATCAAGCAATATGTACAAGTAAGTTTAGAATAGAATTTCTTTTCTTCTTCTTGAATTTATTTGAATGGAATACACGAAAATCGAACAAAAACATATTTTTCTCTTTCCCTAGATTTATAAAAACGCGAAAATTGAGGTAAAACTATAGTATTATTTAAATCATAATCATAACACTCTTAATTGCTGCTTTGAATTCTGCTTTAACACCTTGGGATTAGTTTTCTAAAGCTCATCTTTTCCATACGTATGTTCGTGAGGTTCATGAATGTGATGACGAATCGGTGAACGAAGACGTATTACTCGATGATCCGCAGCGAGTGATGTGTCGTCTTCGATTGTTTGTGCACAACGAAATGACAGATTTTCGGCACTGTAATCAGGACGAAAGCCTTTTCTCGCACTTGTTCTTACTTGAAGATGATCAATTTTACCATCACCATCACGTGTGTCGCTAAACGAACCACCTTTTACCGTAAAACGATCTGCGGGATCATCACCACTGTCGTAATCTTCATATCTAAAAATAGTAACGAGCCGAAAGATGAGAAATAACTCTTTTTAAAACGAATTCTAGTACTTAGTTAACGTCCATTCCCACGTATTGCCAAGCATATCATACATTTCATACTTGTTTTGTGCAGGAAAAGCATTCACTGGCGATAAACGTTCGTAGCCATCTCGTGCTTGATTTTCGAAAGGGAAATGGCCCTGCCATAGATTTGCTCGTTTCAGTTCCCAATCATCGCCCCATGGATAAGCAGTGGAATCTAGTCCACCACGTGCTGCGTATTCCCATTCAACTTCAGTTGGAAGTCTCATACCCTTCCAAGTGCAATATGCTTGAGCATCATGCCAGGATACATGAGTTACAGGATACGATAAACGATCGCTTATATCAGTCATGTCACCTTCAGGGCGATTCCATCGAATGTCTTTGATGGCAATAAAACCTTCGTCCTGTAGAAATAGAATCTGTTAGATTAGCTTTAACAAAGGATAATAAGACAAACTTCAGGAGTGATACTTGCAGCAGATTTCTTCGTCGGATTTCCTAGCATAAAACTATATCCTTTTTTTTCTGCTTCAGTTCGATGGCGAGGTTTGTCTTGAGTGTAACGACGAAATGCTGCAACAGTGACCGGATATTGAAAAATTCTTAATAAAGATAGGAGAAAATCAATAGTTCACCCTCAAAAAAAAACTCTCTTAACTTTTACCTAAATGATCGAACATACGCTAGTCGAGCTGGAAATTCCATGTTAATTCCGTCAGGATTATTGATTCCCATGTAGAAAGAACCGCCTCGAAGTTCGACAAAGGACTCTAAATGACGTTGTTGATTGACTAGATCATCGAGATCTTGGCAGAGAGCAAGTATTGGAAAGATGAAGACAATTAGCCACATCATCGTTATTTCTTCTGTGAAGTGGCGGATTGTTTCGAAATACGAAGAAAAGAAATAAAGAAACAGAAATAAATAATTTATGAATAGACAAACAGTGGTATCAGCTGTTGTTTTAGGTATTCTTTATGGAATGGTTGCACTGGGACCTGCCCTTGGTTTTTTAATGGGCTCTGCACTACTTTCGAAATGGATTAATATTGGTCGGAATGAATTTCCAAATGGAATAACGACGAATGATCCTCGTTGGATTGGCCGGTGGTGGGCAGGTTTTCTCGTCTCAGCAAGTTCATTAACGATTCTTTCATTTCTTCTTTGTACATTTCCTGCGAAATTACCTCGGGATATTAGTCAAACAACACAATCATTAGATAAAAGTCAATCAACAGAATCAGTCTGTGCTCTTGGACAAGCGGCAACTCGTCGTCATACGTTGCCTAAACTATCACATCCAACTCAATGTAAAGGTTTATGTCAACTATCGAAACTGAGAGGTATAGTAATGTATGAAGTGTGGAATAAAACTATGGCTGTTCTTTATGTCATTTTAGATATATTAACAAGCATAGTCGATCTTTTGATGAACTTTACATATCTTCTAATTGTTTTGATTAATTCAGTCGAAAGTGTAAGTTATTTTATCAAAATAATCAAATCATTCGATGAAGAATATCATTTTAGATACTCGTGGTATCGTTTACAACATTTATGGTGAAATATATCGAATCGGTATTCAATTTATCCTCATCTCTATCAAGTACATTAACTGGTTCAATCGTTGTCCCAGCTGCTGTATTTGGTACATTTACTGGCGGATATTTAGTGCGTCGTTTTCATATGGGTATTCTTCAATGTATAAAAATGATTTTAACTGCTTGTACAATATCTTGGCTTGGCTTAATTGCACTTCTATTTCTTAAATGTCAGTCAACAACGATATACCAAGGTGATACAACATGTTCGAAATTATGTCATTGCTCACCGCACGTTTATGAACCGGTTTGTTATCAAGAACAAGTGACTTATCTTTCACCATGCCATGCCGGTTGTACAAATATAAACGGAGCAGTAAGATATTGTTTGATTTTCTGTCTAATTTCGTATTCGTTGCATTCCGAATAGGATTATTCAAATTGTACATGTTTAGCGAAGAATCAAAGCGTTCGTTCGGGCTCATGTCAAAATGCATGTTTTACTGAAACGTTCATCTTCTTATCAATCTTATTTCTTGTAACGTTTTTTCAAACATTAATGGCAACTCCACAATTAATGATAATCTTACGTTCAGTTCAACATGAATTACAGTCGTTTGGCTTAGGTCTAGAAAATTGCATTATGAAAGTTCTTGCTCAAATTCCTGCACCTATTCTTTTTGGAATTATCATCGATAATCAATGTTTATTTTGGTCGCAGGCGACATGTGATCGTCGAGGATCATGTTTTCTGTACAATGGAGATCGACTTCCATTTACATTGTTCGGTACGGCGATTATTATCAAAGGAATCTCGTTTTGTCTGTTAATTGTTTTACTTATTGTGACAATACGACAACATAGAATGCCAAATCATGGCTCATCTTCATGTACAACTACTACTGCTCTACCTCTTTCAGCTTCTACTCAAATAGAACAACATTTAGAGCAAGAGAATCCTCTAATCACAACGCCCTCGTAGTCAATCAAATTTCTTCCACTTGTGAATCTCATTATTTTATTCATTTAGAATCTTTCTTTTTTTCTTTGTTTTTTATCTAAACGAACTATATCTGATAAAGCCTTCTAATTATTTAAATAAATATTTGCCGAATAAGTTAATGTACAACTTGTTACTTTTGTTTGTATCAATTATATCAAATAAATAGTTTATTACTCACGAAGCAGACATGTTGAACTTTGTATCAAACGACAAATGTGTCATTTAGACAAAGGGAAAAAGCATTCGTGTCTTGAATGTTACGGTTGAGAAGTCTTTTCCGAGATTAGTTAAAACAGATTTCCAAATCCATTTTCATGCGTGCTTTGCACTTTAATCAATTTGGTGTCGAAACGATTCCAGTGTCATATGACCTGACGAATGCTAAACTCGCACGAAGGCAAAATTATTAATTCAAGTGTTAATTATGAACTTCAATATGTAGCATCATCTGACTAATAGCATCTTCGTGCGATTATCCCGCTTGAAATATTCTGAACTAAAAAAGAATATAAGACATTTGTCGAACGTAGGTGTAAGTAAGAAAATCTGATTGCATCTAAGTCTCTCATATTATTTTTTCTTCCGATATTTTGCCATTTAATCAAAAAAGAATTGCGTGTTACACCATCTCTCCTGACAATGTTGTATATTTGCTTATGTCAAATAATATAAACGTTGGATTATATGAAATAAAACTAATAATAACTAAAGCCAAGAAATTCGATATAAGAACATAATTCGTGGAATTTAACGAGTCAAAGCCTCTGGAAATATATAAATAATGTACGGCAGCGCTGATTTTGCCGTGCATGATTTATCGATCAGATTAGCAGACTTATCAGGAAAATCGATCATTTGCTGTGCTTCATCCTATAACTATCATTCCAACATATCGTAATTGATTGCTTATTTTTTCCTACTGATTAAAATATGCAATTTCAATAGAACGATTGTGAGTACAGGTCAACAAGCGTTTCAGTCAACTGCCCTAGATTTCGCAAATTGCGTTAAGGAAACGCTTGTATTTATTCGATATGTCATTATCGATAATTAACGTTTATTTTAGTCATAAACATCATGTCATGATCGAGGATTGTGTTCTTTTTGCAATGAAGATTTACATTATTCGATATAGCGACTGTTATCAAAGGGAATTTCGCTTCGTTTATTGATTATTTAACTTGTTGTGACAATTAGGTAACTCAAGATGCGAAATCATGTTACATTATCTACTGTTGCTCCTTCTCAAATTGCATTAACTTCAGAATAAGAGGACTCTCTAGTTTCCATACATTCACAATCAATCAAGCTTTTATTCTTCTGTCTTTGAATCAATGTCGTCTCGTATTAAAACCAGAATTCTTCTCCGGTTTGTTCTTTGTTGCGTTCACATGACTGAAATTGAATGCAAACATGGCAATTAGTAAATTATAAATAAATTCCTGCTCAATGAATTAATACAATAATAATGGTTATGTCACAGCCTAGACGAAAATGATGATAGTTTTGCTTGAAGAAATCTTTTCCTATAAAATGAAAAGAAAAGAAAGCATTAGACATAGAAAGGAAAATAACAAATTACTTTTCACTATGAATAGAGAAAGTTATTAATTATGAGAGAATCATTTTCAGCAATCGAACTACTACTGTTCTTGTTGTTGGTGGTGTTAGTGGTGATGTTGTTGTTATTCTTCGTCTTTTTCTTCTTCTTTTCCTTCTAACTCCTCAAGTAGATGCTCGAGACGGAAAAAGCAAGGTGCTGGGGAAAGAAGCGAGAGCATTGACGTCAGCAAAAAAGAGAAAGAAGACGAGGCGGTGCGGTGTTCTCATGCGATTATGAGACAAGAACGAAGAGTTTTCTTCTTGGTCTTCTTCTCTCTCAGTTGTTGCTTCTTCTTCTTCTTCTTCTCCTTCTTCTGTTTGTTGACGGCATTCTTCTAGACGATGACGTTCTACTAAAAAACATAAGAAATCGCACCACCAAAGCAGAACACATTAGATGACAAGCATCACCGATGGGTAAGTCACATATATTCTATTTACTACGAAATATATTTTACCTATTAGAGGATGATCTGATTTAAATTTTTCTCTAATGACGACTGAGAGATGTGATTCAACGCTTGATTGTAATTCCACAACATTTGATTATGATAATTATATCTTATCAATGGTTGGTGATGGACAATCAACAGAAAATTCCTCGGCAACTGAAGATAATGTCAAAACAGATTATCGTTTATCATTACCGTCATCTTCACATGTTCATACATACCGTTTGAACATCAATTCGACAATAAGTGAAAGAAAAAAGAAATTCTTATCACGTATTATAACTATTGTTGCAATATTTCTTCTTGTTGTTTGTATTTTACTTGTTACATTGACACTTCGTCTTGCACATAAAATCGACGAGCTTGTCCGTCTTAAACAACTTATGCCAAAACCGAATACATTTCTAATCATATCAACAACAACTTCACCATCAACAGTAACAACGACAACAACACCCTCAACTTCATATACTCTTGTTCATAGACGACGAACATCATCATCCTTTTTTACTTCAATTATTTAACGAACAATTCTTCTGAACAAATAAACGCGCATGCACACACATTTACAAACTTTGACTGTCCTTGTTTTCTCCTGACATCTTTCTTGTTCTATTTGACTTGTCAATTCTTTACACTAATGGAATTTTTGTTTTGCTAATGCCTTTGCGCATTAGTAGAAGTTAATTCTTCTCTCCTTCTGTTTTTTCTTATCAGACATAGTTTCAGTGTTATTTCAGGTGATTATTACTCACACTTTTTTTCGCTATGTCTATTAGATACACAAAAGGGTTAAATAGGCTAGAGTTAGAGCCGAGTTCTACATCTTCGAATACTATGTCAAGGCAATCAGCAAACGAAATCGATCAATTGATTCGACAAACCCGAGTAAGAAGGAAAAAATATATCAAATACCGATACCGAATATGACATTTTTCATATGCAAAGCCGACCAATCGTGACTTGGTTCGTCGTGATGTTATACAAGCGATTCAATCCAATGTCAGCAGTTTAAGATTGGACGCTGCTACGTATCGCTATCCGAATGGAACGACGAAAGAATCACTTCGCTTACAAGGAACTGTTATATGTCGATATCGAGGAAATCAGTATAATATCCCAATCGAAATATGGCTTCAACAAGATCATCCGATTGTTGCACCAATAGCTTATGTTAAACCAACAGCAGATATGCATGTATCAACGACAAGTAATGATGTTCGGATAGATGGAACGGTTGTTATACCATACTTACGGAATTGGCGTCATGTAAACTTCTTCTATTCTCATTAAGTCATAGTAAAAGAATCTTTTTCTAGCCGACTAGCGATTTGAGCCATTTGTTGAACGCTATGTCCGATGCATTTAGTCAAACTCCTCCAGTATATTCAGCTCCGACTTCGGCTGCTGTTAACCATTCACCATATCCAACAACGGCAACGCCATATCCATTGGCAACAACTCCATATCCTCCAGCAACGACGCCTTATCCACCGATGACAGCAGCGTCAATGCCCATGCCCGAAAGATACAATGGAATGTCGGCTGGATCAAGCACATCTCATTCATACCCATATGGGTATCCACAGACAGAAATTCCAGCGGATGTCTATCGAGCATCTCTTCTATCAGCTGTCCAAAATAAAGTCACAAATCGTCTAAGAGAAACAATACAAATGAGCAATGCCCAGATTGATTCATTACGAAAAATTCAAGAAGATTTAAATAATGGAGGAAGAACATTACAAAGCTTAATTCGCGATATGCAACAGCAACAAACTGATGCAGAAGTAATTAACTATTCTTTCTCCATATCAAATCTCTTTCTATCTTAATTGTATGATTTTAGAATCATATGAAAAACATACGAGTGAAAACCAATGCCATATTGGATTCATCATCTAAAACATCATCTGGAAAAGAAAATTCAGTCGAAGAGGATGCAGTCATTACACCTGCGCCAATCTACAAACAGTAATGTTCTTTGTTCGTTTTCTACGCATGATTTATTCTTCATTTTTTTCTCTTGAAAAGACTTTTACAAGCTTATGCTGAAGAACATGCAATTCAAGATTTGTTATACTACCTTGCAGAAGGACTTCGACGAGAATCTATTGGATTAGATACTTATTTGAAAGTACGCCATTTGTATTTGTATCTTGAAGTTCGAATGATTTATTTGTTTGTGTTTAGCATGTTAGAGAACTTTCTCGAAAACAATTCATTTTGCGAGCAACAATGCATCGATGTCGACAAATTATTACTCCATCTATATAATAGAACATTTTTTTGTAATTTATGACAAAGTCGATTTTATTTCACGGATATAAATATCAGTTTTTGAACAAAACAAATGAAAACCTGAGGAGACGATTTATTTCGAGAGAAAAGAAAACAGTCGAGATACTGTTGGCTATCAGTACTGTTTACAGGAAAAGACGATATTGGTGATTAATATTCACGACATTCGATAGGATAAAAGAAAAAACAAACATTAATGTCAGTATGAAACGGTGACTTTGTGTGTGTAGTGACGCGTGTAATGTATACTTATATTGGATAAATTGCATTAATAATAATAAAAATAACATAGAAAATGGCCGAAAAAAAACTCAAATATAATAAACAAGTTACTGAGAGCAGAGGAGACTCTTCGATGGTAATGCAATCGAGAACATAACTTGCTTTATATTCTATTGTTTTATTTTTTTTAGCACAGAGTGCTGAAAGAAACTGGTAATACGAGCAACTCGTCCGATGGTCTTTATTTTAAATCTGATGATCAATTGAAAGCGAACTCAGAAGATCGCCTGACATTGTTATATAGAGAAGGTATTAAAAGACAAGCGATGGAAGTTGAATTGGCTGCCGAAAAGAAGCAAACTTGTGAAATATTTGAATTTGATGACAAAGTCGAACTAAATGAAAACATTCCTGGTGTCAACATGGGCTTCCTCGATCGTTTACTCCATCAATTAACGCGAAAACCACCTTCCGAATCAGACTACTACAGTGATGATGTATTCGAAGGTGGCGAACAGCGTGAAGTGAGAACTGTATTCAACAGTTATACAAGTACTGATGAAACAGAATCAACCTATGAGCCGCCGACATTTATGGACACTATACGTTCATTTATCGACGACATTGTTGAAGAAGCAGATGTTATCCGTGGTGTCATCGATGAACGTGTTTTTGCCGACCGACGAAAGCGTCGAGCACAATCTATATCGTCATCAATAAATAGTGGACAAGTAACGTCTTTTTAAAAAGGCTTTTTTGTTGCGCTTTTTTTAAAATAAATTTCATTTTAATTGAGAATGTGTTATAAGCTGGCAAATACTGATCTTTTCACATGTATACCATGTTTAATCGTATAGCTCAGTTGAGTTGCTTTAATTATTCCATTTACTAAAAATCCATCATCAAATTTCGAGGCCATGCAAGTGTGAATCAAGAGTGTCATTCTCGAAAAAACGTTGTCACATTTCGAAGAATTGGACTGAAACTATTCTCTTGACAGAATCAGTGAGTTTAATCTAAAACTTTATTTTATTTTTATAGAATATCAGTATGAAATTCAGTAAAACTAGAGATAAGTATAATATGAGATCGGTGATGCTGATTCGAAACTACTTGTTGATGGAGAATACGTTTGTTCTCTTTGGGATTCAGTGTTTAGAATATCATTCGCTATTTCCGAAATTGTTGCAATTTTCTTTTCTGATCTTGTTGATGAACGAATAGATCTTCGAGCAAGCAGTTGAATTTGCGAGTCAAAAGCAAAATACCAACTGAAATGACGTTGTCGCCGAAGTAACCATAAGCCATGTCCAACTGCTGCTAGGAGAAGGAACACGCAGGCGAGTGTAATTGACGTTAACACCCAACCGAGATTCTTTTGATTCGTGAATGCAAATGGTCGTTTCGTTGTTGATTTCGTCTTTGAAGAAACTGTTGTTGGATCGTATTTGAACTGTTCATCGTTGTTTTGATAATCTTCATTCGTTGTTAATGTATACATGGAACCAGAACCTTCACTGGTCAGTGTCATAAATTCATCTTCTAGTGTTGCTCGACGATTGATATCAGGTGAAGGAGTTGGAACTAGAGAATGTATCTGAGATTGTATCGATTAATTTTATAGTTTTCACATATCTACCTCGACGAGTTTTAGGACAAGGTCCTTTCCAATTAACCTTCAAGTTCGAGAGATAAAGTGCATCGATCTGTGGATTACGAAACAAAATTCGTGTTGCAATTGATAACTAGAAGTTCAAGAAGAAATGAACAAAAAAAAGAAGAGAATAATATCAAGCATTATCGTACATTTTTTATTTTTGATCTCAATGAATGTTCGATTCGTAGAGTTTTGTTTGTTAATTGAATCTTTTGTAAAGCGTTATCTTGCTCTTTATCTTCCACTATCCATAACTGACCGACTATTTTAAGAAAAAGATTTCTCATGAATGTGAATAACATCCGAAAATGATTTCTCTTTACCGGGTTGACCACGTATTCGTAGAGCAAATGAAAGACAACCGCCAATATCTGTTGCTAATGTTCCGTTATGTTTTAGTATAACAGAACATGCTTGACGAAGACAACGCGGATCGGATGTTAACGTATAAGTCGTACCACCTGATGAAGGATCTATGAAAGTCCATACAGAGAATTTGATAAATTCTTATTAGAAATTTCAACGTGTTCGATTACCATTCACTGATTTCCAGAAAAGAACAGATGCAGTCGGATTTCGTCTTTGACTTTGATTAACATTAAACCATGAGTCTTGTACAATGACATTAGTTCCTTCTGATGATGTCATGAAGTCAAGGTCATTTGTTGATATAAATGATGAAAACGACCACTGATCATGTGTAACTAATGCTGACCATGTTTGACCGTCATCGGTAATGTTTGATGAGAACGGATCAGATGGAACTGTCGTCGCATTTATTCCATCAAAATCAATTCGATTAGAAAAATGATCATTTGATGCTTCCATGAAATTTGTTCGATCATTTTCTGTTCGAGTAATTAAGTCAACATCATTTGTTAGTGTCGAAATTTCATTGGATATTAGTTCATCATCTATATATTGAGCTGAATAAAATGAATTTGGTTTATCTTACTCATACATATAGACTATGAATTACCTTGAACAGTGAATAAAATCGAAAAGATGATGATCTTCATTGCTCTATCAGTTATGTAGTGTTCACTCGTTTACATTCTCTTTTCGACATGATAGTACTCATTAAAACAACTGTCTCAATCAATCATTTGTTTCTAAGACAAACAATGACCTTGTTTAAAAGAAGAAACATATGCTCACTACAGCGTATATTTAAAAAAAGAAGAAGGAACTGATACAGACATGAGAAGAAAAAGAAATACAGTCTAGTCTTTTTTTCAATTCATGGACTCCATTCAAGTAATCCTACGCCTTGGCCATCGAGAAATGAATTGGTCAAGATACGAATCCAATCAACTAACCACCAAATACCAATACCGCCGAGAGTTAACAATTTAAAGACACCTGCAACAATGTAACCAGCATTACCAACGCTTAAATAAAACCAATCAGCACCTAAACCGCCTAAGAAAAACGACAGAAGAAAGGCAGCTAATTTAGACTTTTGTTGATAACTACATTGAGTTGCTCCGTCTCGTCCATATGTCCAACCACGGTGACATATGCATACAGCAGGAGTTGTGTTCGTATTACATACACCTTGGAGACAATCAGCACTTGTTACACAGGGACTAGACGCTCGAGATGTTAGATTTTGGGCTGTGGTGATTGATATTACCAATGAGAAAAGTATGACACCTGGTAGCATCTTTTATAAAGATTCGTTTGTGTCGATTTTGTCGCTTATACGAATGAAAAAATGATGATTTGATTGAGTAGCATCTCTCTTTCTCTCCTATCTATTTGGACAAATACATTTTCGTTCAGTAAATATTAATGTAATTGTCACATTTGAATAGCAACCATTGATCAAATAATGAGTTAATTTCTTTCTTCTAGACTCTATTGTATTCATTCAAATGATACTATTTAATACATCGAAAAAATAAATATTAGTTTTTATCAAAGTAGAGGAACAACAGTTTTTTCATGTCAAACTTGAAAGATAATATCATTTACTTTTTGACTTTCAATCTACGTAAGAAAAAGAGAAGCATCAACCTTGTTCGATGAAGTCGCATCACCGTTAACAAACCGACAATCGAGTTAATAAATATATATATATGTTTTCTATGAAAAATAATTTTTCAAAGTCTTCTTCTTTGTAGCAATGTCTATTCCGTGATTCTAGGCGTAAAGATAAATATGGTGACAGAAACAGCAAAGATTGTATAATTGATCCTGAACAAAGCGAACTATCAATACAGAGAGAAAGATCGAATTAAACTATCAGTAATTATTTTATCGCTAGTACAATTGTTCTTAACATTTGATAATGAATTAGAATTCCTAGAAAGTTCTTTTTCGATGTTAAATTTCTCTCTCCTATCGTTGACTTTATTGACATAAAATGAAATATAAGTGTATGATAGTGATTGATGAACAAAAGTCATTAGTGTCAAACTTGAATTCAAGTATTCCAATTGTAACTCTACATCCACCCTATACCCTCTATATTTAGCTATGATCGGATCAATTCGACCAAAAATTTCCGTGATTATATGAAAAGGATCAACATGTGTTCCAAAGCGATTGCGCATAACTGAATCACCAATGATATTCGAAATGAATTCTTATTGAAAAAAGCTTTACAATGGTCTCAATCTGTAAAACTCTCTCTCTTACAAAAGGAAGTCATAAAAATTTTCAAGAATTATTCATTGTCACACCAATAGACCAATGGCAAATGCCATGAATACCTTTCCAAAATGGAAAATCGCTAGGTTCTTTATTTTTTTATAATATAAAGTTAGCAAGAAAAAGTCTTTATTACAATTGAATAGGCTTTTGATCGATACCTCCATTATTTCGATAAAATTCGTTTTTGACGTGTCCAATTCGAACATGTGATCGATCGATAACATCCACCGGCTGTTTATGACGGCGGCCATATATGGACGATGATCGAGTTGGATATGTTTTATCGTCTTCCTGAAAAGAAAAGTCAAGTAATTCTCGATAGTTGTCGAAGAATAAATTTTCAAACTTCTTTTGCTTGGTCTAATCCTATGAATTTCGAATGTTGCCGATCATCACGATGTGCTTTAGGATTGAAATCATACTGTATATGAAAGATTTGATCATAAATAGATGATGGTTTTGTCTAATTGAAAAGAATTTTGAAAAGAATTTGTCGACTTAAGAAATACTTCTTTCGTTGAATTGAAATAACTTCTTTCGATGGGATGTATGCGACGAGGCGGAACAAATGATGTTGCCGATAATTCACACGTGTATCCGTGTAAATCGTATGTGTTATGCGGCGTCTCAACGTGAATATGTTTGGATGGCTTGTTGGAAGACATTTTCGAAATAACTTCGAATGTTGTTTTTTTATCTTTGATCTTTGCTGAAGTGTTGCCTAGAAACGACACCCATGGTGAAGTGAATGATTTACAGTTTTATTGGGTATTATTTTTTAATATGTTTATGTTTACTGTAGCGAGAAAGGTGTAAAAAAATGCGTACATCCATTCTGAACGATTTTCGACGACGGATCACCATTGATATTTTGAATCAGTTCAATATTGATTTATTTGAAATGAGAAAGAGACTTTAACAGAATTTCCTAATATGTATCTTTGTATAAAACACAGAACAGTAATGTATTGTTGATCTCAACGACGAAGTTCATGCATATATGCATAAGGAATATTTTATTCAATCACAAAGGTAAAAGAAGTCTTTTTTTATCGTAAAAATGCTAACCAAAATGCCATAACAACACATGAGATTGCCACGAAAAGAGACAGTCGTGTACCAATAATCGATGCTAAAACAAGTAAATGAATATCTTATTGAACTTTCTCTCAGTAAGAATAAAACCTTTGTAAAATATTCCAGCAAAACCTTTCTTTTCAGAGAAAAACCATTCACGTAGTTTTGGCACTCGACGTAAGTAACCACATGTGCATATTGTCAATAATACAAAGACAATGATACCGTCAAATGAATATGCTAATCAGACGAAAAAATAAATAAACAGTTCGAAAAACTTTCTTTGTTCCGTTGTTTGAGACTTACCATTGACCATATTAGTTTAGCGTTTGTTTTCTTTCCGAAAACTCTATCTGAAAGACAAGAAAGATCAGTAGAATCTGTAATGAGAAGCTTTTCGTATATCGTATTCATTCCGATGTAGGAAAATCAATTTTAGGTTTTATTTTTCTCGACGACAAAAAAAGCTGTTTTTCGAAATACCATTCAATTCGTTGAACGCTTGGAAATTTTCGCTCATAAAATATTCCCTATCGAACTATCAATGATTTCACCTCGCTTTACTTTACATTTGATGATGACTATCACAATCATGTTAATCAACAAACGAAAATAAACACGGTAGATGGCACTGTATACCAGCTGAAAAATCGAACTAAAATTCAGCTTCTTAGACATACTAATTCGAATGAACATGTTTCATTTCTCTACTTTTTAAAAATTGTATACAATGCAGTTTAAAAAAGAGATTGTTTACGATCGCAAATACCAATTACTATTGATAAAGTTAATGACTAAATAATGATCAAGCAAAAGTTTTGATCGGATGAATAGTTTTATTTTTCGTAAATATGATTCCGACGCGTCCAAAATACATAAAAATGATACATGACGTGCTTGATCAGTATCTTTCGAGAATAAAAGTCGCAGAATCGGTTCAATATCTCTTTTAAATATTTTCGTTTTCGAGCATTGTAATCGAAGGAATAGTTTCACAAATATTTCGATTTCTTTGTAGATCGAAATTTGATTGAGTTCCAAGGATTTGATTTTTCTTTGATGCCCGTTGAAAAATATCACTTCTCTGAATCGATTCTAAATTAGCTTCTTTCAAACATAAAAGTTCGTATTTCAATGTATGCAAGTTCACTGTATGATACAGTAGTTGAGTCAGTTCTTCAAACGGAAAATCGATAAAATCAGTAAATACTAATTCGGTAAGTTTTTCTAATGAAATAATACGATTGAGCAGTGTTGAAATTGCACGAGGAGATGTGTCTGAGTCACATGTGATGTTAAACTGAGTGACATTGGGAAAATAATTCATATAACACTTGGATTTTAATAGACTGAAAACGTGAACATGCTTGACTGAACTGAACTGAAGTTTGCTTGTTGATACTGTGAACAATACTGTTTTGTCGTTTCTCAAAAGAAATTATAATTTTCTCCTCTACAAAACAAAAGAAAATACATGCACGTGTCACAAAATCAGTCGATGAACTTTTACCGATACGGATTCGTTGAATAGAAGATGTCGCTTCCAAACTGTATCTTGACAATCATGCTGCTGCGTGAAAAACCATTGTTTCTTTGCTCAAAAAGGAGAAGTGAACTGTTTCACCCAAGAATGATATCTTGAAAGGTCATGCAGCACAGAACCATCATGATTGATGTCAAAAACACGTAAATGTGGCATATGCTTTGGGATTAATTCTTCCCAGACCTCACTATCTAAGTATGTCGTTTCATATTTTTGAAGTAAAATGTAATGTTTCAACATAATAAAAGAAATTCTTTATCGTTTGTTCGAATCGACTGAAGAGAACTGCTTCAAGTTCCAAAGAAATATACTTCAAGGTTTTCAATTGAACTGAATTCATCAGAAAATGGTGACAATGTTGGCTGATCCCTCTTCGATTGAAAGATTATTTTACAATATTTTAGTTTTGGTAAACGAAATAATTGACGATACAAAAGAGAAGAATCTTGAATATGAACAATGGGATTAATTGTCAGTGATTGTAGTTTTAATACTATCGAAATATTTGACATTCATGTTGTCGAAAAACAAAGTTTCAAGCTGAACGAATTCTTTGATGGAACGTAATGATGAAAAACCAATGTCAACTGTAAGTGTTTATTGTCCGACGTAACATCTTGGTGATATTGTTTGAATCTCGATTTCGTTATTGATAGAAGATTGATTTGAAAAGGATAATTAGAATGAAGAGAAGATTTTGAAAACGTGCATTAAAATTAAAAAATCCATTGTAAATGTTATATAATTCAATATATTCAAATATTTCATAGATAATTTTCATTCGCCAGATTTTCCAATCCCGATCTAATCACAGCAAATAGAGATAATTGGAAAAACATTGATTGAAGTAACTTGTTTGTAGAATAGATTGTTAATTTGCGTCTTTTGTTTTCGTTCTGAATAACTTTAATTTCGTTTCTCGTCATAGTGAGGACGACACTGCTCGAAAGAAGTATGCAAAGACAAAAGAGAATTAGTCATCAGGTGGAATCACATTTCTCTTTCTCTGTTTAAGATGTTGTCTTTCTTCTTCGAATGATTAGACAGAGGTCCGTTCTGTAACAAAAGATTTCCGTGGAAAAGAAACATGTGATGAGCAATATGAACATATTTCTTCTTCATGTGCAATTAACTTCACAGACCATCTGTTATCCTATTTATTCAAAAATTTTCACTTGTACAAACGAAAGAAAAGAGAAAATCATAGAACGCATTTTCCAAACAATCAAATCTTTACTGCCATAAATGTACATCATGTTCTATGTATCTAGGTCTCTTCCCGCGCATGCCAGAATTTTCTCCGTCTTTTCCATTTGATATGAACGAAATCGTCGTTCGTTTAACATATTCTCCCTGTTCTTTACCCATTAAAGAAAGAAAAGGATAAACCTGACGTAACCCTAGACAGATCACGTCTTACTTTCATGTATATATAAACACTCAGGTTATTATGGCACGGTCGGTTAGGTTCGTTTTCCGACCATTTCCTGCAAACTTCGAGCTGGAAACAGCCAGAAACTGATCGGATATTTCCTGTGCAATTTCACTCATTTAAAATGCAACGGACTACAATAAAAGACGTCACTCCCGGCAAGGCCAACAAACATCTTGTACGAATACAAGATCTATGTAATCGAATTGGCACAACTGAATCTCAGGTAAGCGGTTAAGCAATAATCATCTAGCCAAACACTTTGTTTGAAAAATGAGTTACCTTAGTGCCACGTCGTGTCAGTTAATAAGAGCGGGTGGATGATGTGAAAGAAACAAAGATATCGAAATTATAGACGAATTCATAATCCAGACTCTTGCTTCAAGGTTGTATGAAAAGAAAGAAGCCGCGATAACATTATTACAATTATTTTTCTTACTCTTCTCTGTCTGACGATATCGCTAAATGATCGATTCACCTTAGTCATTGTTCTTTTAGGCGAGGAGATGTGATATGCATACGCCATATATGTAGTTCCTCATATTGTAATTTACAAATATGTGTTGATTGAAGTTCTCTTACGGCATACGTGTGGTACGCGAAACGCTGTGTTGAGGAAAATATTTTGTTATCTATCATTCTAATCCTTTCTTTTCTAGATTCCTTGTATCCTTATCGACGATGATAACTTGGAAATTGGGAATATACCAATACTTGCTGCTGATGAAGTTTCCGTCGGTGATGAAGATCTTCATGGCGACCGACATGTTTCGCGTGCAGATCGATTACAAATTGAAATGCGAAATATATGGGTGTCACTAATCTTGATTTGGAAACTTATCCGGGAGACGGTTAAAGAACATTTGATTTGAAAAGGCAATTTTTTTTGTGCTAGACGAAAAACACATATTTAGTGAAACGAATAAACAAAACGGTCGTTCTTGGAAATCGGAACATGACCAAAAAGACTTTAAATACGAACATTTATCCGTGAGTATGTTTCTTTCCAAAAGAACAATAATACAAAATTGTGCATATTGATTCAATATATTAGGGGAAACTGCTTCGGAAGTCTCTTTACACTGACCTATTTGATTCAGTTCGCCCTCAAAATATTTTCCTTCAACTTTTGATTGAACTTCCGATCTTGTCAATATCAAATTAACATGTCTTCTAATGTTGCCCATTATTCACCTTTAGAAAAAGTATTTCTAGATAAAACTTCTTCTTGTTCAGAAATCTTTTCACATTGATTCAATTGTGTAAGTTTATCCTCAGAATAATTTTTTGCAAGTCTCAAAAGAGTTTTCAATCTAGTTAGATATTGGAATACCATTTCTTCCAAGGTTTCCTATTGTTCGTCTTCTATGTATACAATCAAATTCAGCGAGAAAATGTTTACACTAACCACTTTTTAGTTGTTTTAGTAAATTCAACACATGTTCCTCTTTTGAGCCTTTTAATATCTTGGATACTTTAATGGGGGAATATTAAATGAGCACCATGTTGTTGTCCTTTAAAAATGGTGTTCCTTCTATATTTGACCGAAGGTTTTATGCGGCTCTGTTAGGCAAAGAATTTCTTTCGAAAAAATTATCATACTTTCATTATTCTATTCAGAGCATCAGTTTCTTTTCAAAGTATTTCCTATAATGACATGCGCTTACAGTTTTAATACGCTAAATTTCATAGAAAATCTAAGTCTGGATATGACAAGTAATTTTAATTAATAGAGACAAAAGCATCATTATAAATTTTCAAAACAAAAATCATGAAGAGCGCTTTTCAGAATAAGAAGGACACTTGTGACATGAAGTCAAATCGGTACCACTATGTGAAAAGTAAAGTTTTAGGGATGGTAAACAACCATACCAGTTCAATGTGCTCTTTTGTCTTTAGATCGATTTTAATACATGGTACGCACAATCGTTGTTCTTTTGATCCTTTAAATATGTGTTGTTGCTTGTGGCTGTCGAGAAGTAACAGTTTGAATTTGTATTTTTCGTTGTCCTGTTTGTAGGGGTTCGATATTTGCTTGTCGTCTTTTTGAGAAAAAAAGTAACGACTTTAATTCTTTTCGAAATAATGATCCCGTCAGTGTAAATAAATAAAATGATACAACGGTGTTGGTGAAAGCTGCAAAATTAACAATCTCAATAAGAAGACTTTCTAATTGTCTGCGCTGTAGGGTTTTGCTATCATTAATTGTAATATATGAATAAATTCTTTGAATCGATATCGGTAGTGATAAAATTTGAAATATCACAACTTGAACAATAAGCATCAGAGCTAGTTGTCGATCTTTTGTATTCGCCGCACGATTTATTGGTCGATGCCGAACATTTCTGATAGTCATACCACCAAACAAAAGCATACATATTGGTGGAAGAAGGCTAAAGAAAACAAGTAAACTAAAGCTATTGTATGTATTACAAAATGGTGACACGGGCGCACACACAGTGCCATTTAGATTTCCGTTGAAACAGATGAACATCTCCATCCATATTAAACATAACATGACCCACGTTCCACAAACGATACGTAGGGAAACTTTGAGCTGACTAAATGAACGTATACGAACACTAGCAGAACTTGATGCATATCGATCAACACATGCTGCGACTATGAACCATGATGATGCCGATAAAGGCATGTATGTAAGAAAGACTCGGAACCTACAATAGATATCACCATAGCCCGGTTGTACATAAATACCAAAAAGAAGTAAGATACGTGTGAGACAACTGAAATAGAGCGTTATTAAATTAGCAATACTCATTGCTAGAAAATAAATCGAACATGGTTTATTTCGAAGTGAAGAGCGTGTGAAAATAAGACAATTGAGAATATTACCAATCGATCCAGAGATGAGCAAGATAAATGGCATATAAGTATTTAATCCATTTTGAATAGCTGGATAATCTGCCATGGCTACCTGGACGTTGTAGATATTTCTTTTTGGATGATGATGGACTTCTGTATAAAATATATAAATGTATTTGATAACTATTGCTAAACTTCCTTTCTGAGCGAATAATTTGTCTTAGTGCAAAAAAATATGAACGCAAAAATTTTCTTTATCCGTCCTTTTAATTATCTCTATCAATTTGAATTCAGATTTGAAGTGAGCTAAGGGGATAACGAACAGAACGGAAGAATTATGAAAGATGGGGAATAAGCAAAAGTATTCTGTTTCTACTGGTTGATTGTTTTGACAGAACGTGATGAAAAATACATAATTCTGTCAATGTGTCTAAAAAACATCCCATTGTCCAGATTTCTTTGAATCAGCTTGATGTTTCGTGTACAGTTGTGTCATAGAGTCTGTCAGCCTGTTCTGTCAATATATAATTCGAATTAAACTGTATTCGAACAATGATTAATTTTTAAATATCGTAGTTTAAATTGTTAAAAACTTGTCTCAGATGATAACAAAACAAGAAGATACGTGTTGTGGTCAAGGGAAGGCATCATTTAGATAAATCGCACATCATCAGCAACTTTATATATGGACCGATGTTTGTTTGAGATTGATCATCGTCACGTATCCGTAACCACTGAATGAGTATAATAGAAAAGTACTGAATCAGAAACAAATTTTTACTGTGTACATTTCTATGGCAGAACTGTGGTTTCAACGCATATTTTTAGTTGTCATTACATTTCCTACGCACGATGTTAGCGTACCAGATATGTTACTTATACTGCACGATCATTGTTGAATCCAATATCATCCCAAAGGATATAATAAAATGTTGTTCTACAGTTCAAATCCTTACTGGACTTGACGATACTTGATGTTTTCTCCGACAAGATTCGATCGTTGGGTTACTCGTCCCGAGAAGTAAAAGTTAATTCCTATATGTCGGTACATATTCTCGAAGCCTTTCGAATTGCCAAAACACAGACACATACAATATTAGGATTTAAAGCTCATCCACCTTAACTATCATTTTCAACTGAGTGTTCCATTTATTTATTGCTTTTTTTGTCTTTTGGTTGTTCAGAAAATAGATGTAAATGTGTATCAGCAAGGTAATAGATTATAGCGAAAAGAGATAATGAGCGAGTGTGATTCAACGGTAGTTGTACCTTTGCAACAAGCAGAAAATGATTCACAAGATGGCGCTTCAAATGCTCAAGACGGTTCGATAATTCTCGGTGCTTTAAATGCTGGAATAAAGTCAATGATCGTTGAGAATTTGTCTGACACAGCAAGTGCTATGTCTGTTAATATAAATTCCGTCGATAATAATCAACTAGCAAATTTACCTCTAAGCGGTTAGCATTTGCATTTTCTTGATAATGTGTATCAAATGAGTTTTTTCATATGTAAATACTAGTATTTGGAACGACTTTTATTCTCACGTATCACATTGGCTCAAATAAACAACAATCATCTTGGCAGCTATCGTACATCATATCATCCAAACAATAGGAAGATTGATGAACTAGAGCAAAGACTCTTTTTTGCATTTGCTCAAGATTAAATGAGAAAAGAATAAAAGGACATGTTGTACATGAATATGTCGGAAAGAGAGAAAATATATCATACTAGATTCAGAGAAACCGTGCTTGTTTATTTATTTATGAAATATTTCTGTAAAGTATCAATAATAAGACCAAATGATGTAAAAGATGAATAACCTTCCTTGTGAATAAATAATTGAGCAAGTTTAAAAAGAAATTCTTCATTGTCTTCTAGTTCTTCTTGAAGTTTACGTTTTTCGTCATTCGATAAACGTTCATTAAGATAATAATCAAATAATAAAGGATTGATTGTTAGTATATCACTAACACGTTTTCGTTCGATGGACATAGAAAGAAATTTTCTGTCAATAACTGATTCAAACTGAAATCAAGGACAAAATCATTGTATAAATTAGTTTGAAAACTTCAATAATCGATTACCGGTGATCGAAATAATAGCTCAGCGAACGAAGATATTGGGTTTATCAACCATAATTTATATGCATAGGAATTCAACTCTTTCGTTTCATATAGATACTGTATCAATGACATCATTTCCTACAAAAACAAATTGTCAAATTGGATCTGCCGTCAGTACATGGATTCAATCATACTTCTTCATCAAATTGAACAATATTCTCCGATAAAATTCTTTCCCAATCACTGTTCTGTTCAATCATTGTCAAAATTAGTTCATTCTTCAAAGATAATCCATGTGATCTGAAAGATAAAAACGAAAATATTCCTTTCATTCATCGTCATAATCATACCCTTTCATTTGTTCGATCTGTTCTTTTGACCATGTTTTGTTAAGAATTTGAAAGAGCGCTTCGAAATGAATCAGTCGTTTAGCTTTTGACAAATACTTTTGAAAAAGTTGACAACGATTTTCATCTGTTTCAATATCTTCTTTCTTTAACTACATGAAAGGAAAAACGCGCATTGAAAAGAACTGATTCATCGTAAATCTTACTTCAGTAAATGAATCGAATGATGATAATAAAGTTGACAAACGATATTGTTCAAATAATAACAAATCATCCGATTCCAGATTTTGTTTGTCGAACATCTTAAACAAATCAAGCAACCTTCAACAATGAAGAAATGAGGGATCATTACTTGATCAAGTTTTTCAATTAACTTGAATCGAACGCGTCGATCAATCTTTTCCGAACGACACATTTGTTGTAAACATGAAAATAATTCTTTTTCATCAATACCATCCAATGATATACTTTCCAAAAGAGTATTTAACCGTGAAAAACTATGTTCATCACTCGATCTTAATCATAGATAGAATCGAAATGTTGATTTGCATATTGACGAATGAACTTACCGGATTTTATCACTGAGTTTTTCAATGGTGAGTTGTAAGATTCGATAGATGGAAATTTCCTCGAAGATGCTATTTTTCAAGTAAATGATCAAATCAAACTGTTCATGTTGAATCAAAAGATCGGATAAAATTTCTTCTTGTTCAGAAATCTCTTCGCATTGATCCAATTGATTGAGTTCATCTTCGGAATAATTTCCGGCAAGTTTTGAAAGAGTTCTCAATCTAGTTAAACATTGGATTAACATGTCTTCTAATGTTTTCCATTGTTCGTCTTCTTTGGATTGAATTAAATTCAGAGAAAATTCAAGTATTTCGATGCGTTTTTCAATTGAGAGAATCTCTCTTGATGAGATTAAATGAATGAGAAGAACTTTGAAATCTTCGAATGATGTTATTCGTGGTAATAAATCGAAAATGAACGATGATGAAGGATTGACTCGTAGATAATAAGAATAAATCCAACTGGATGTTGCAACGAACGTTGACGAAGCTTTGACTTGATCAAGAGTTAAGCCGAGATTGATAATATTTGAATCATTGCCATACGTCTCAATAAATGTTCCCGGCGAAGAAAGAAACAATTTGTAATCAAAGTCTAATTATGAATAAAAATTCAGTTAGTTCAATTTATTGTTGAAGAAAAAGTCAAACTGGTTTACCGTAGTTGAGAATATTCGTTAATTGTTGAATTGCTTGAATATGTTTTTGTGCTTGTGTTAAATCGCCTAAAGATTTCTTTATATCATAGAATAATTTCAATCGTTCATAATCTTTTCCATCAATTAACGGGAAAACATGTGTGTGTAATCGTTTGACGAGATCTAATTTAATCTGTCGATTCTTTTTCAAGCGTTCGGAAGTTAAAAATGGCTTCATCTTCTTTCGTATTTCGTTCAAGGATAAGTTGGAGCTAGTGAGTAAATGTTCAATATATGAATGATGACATTCGTCAACTGAGATGTCATATTTGATTGCTAATTGTTCAGCATAATCAAATGACGGGTTGTCACACATAAATAAGCCGAGAATTGTTAAACGACGATATTCGGAATCGATTTTAAAACGATTCAAATCAATTGAATTATCCAGTTGATTCAAAATCGAATATTGACGATCTTGAACTAAACGATTGTAATTTTCATTATTCTCAATTAATGTCTTATCCAGAACAGAGGATGGTATGGCATGGAAATTTCGTGGATATGAACTTCTCATCAATGATTGACAATAGATGGATAATTGCAATGCATATTCGTTGTCTTTTTCAATCATAAGATCATTCTAAAAGAAACATGAAAAAAAAAGGTAATTGTCTCGATTCTTACGATTTAATTTGGCAAGTACCTTGGTGTTAGACGCTAAGTAAACCATGATTGACAATGGGGTATCGATATTGATGTACTTTATTGCACTCTTCTCATCTATAAAATCATCGATTTGCTGTTTTGGTTCGTCTCTCGTGTCATAACTTACCGATCGGTGGAGACTTCAACAGTGGAATTTGCTTGAAATCCATCTAAAGAATAAAGGTACATGAATAAGAAAAAGGGAAAAGTGAAGAAAAACCTGTTGAGAGTAATCACGATCATAGAACGAATTGAAATAATATGAATAGGTTGATGTTACTTGAAATTCTTCCTGAAATTCATAAGAATTGCATACAAAAGAAAAACTGGTGAAATTCGTTACAAACATTTGGTATTGATCGATCTCGAATTAAAATCGATTTTCTCAAAACATCTTCCAACAGAATTTCATCACAATGTCGACTGATAAATGATAAGATAGATTCATCAATGAATGACGAATTTTTGTTAATTAATGCCCAACAACATTTCCATGATGGTGCATAATTTTCTTCGATTAAATACGAACATAGTTCTCCACATAGATTCAAATCTTCAATCTATTCAAACATGAAGTTTTTAATTGTGTAAAATATCTAATAGACAGAATTTACCTTCAAACAGTGATCAGCAATGTAGAGCATGCATTGATATTTTCGATTTTGTTTATTTCCTGTTGGAAGACTCAACGCCAACGAAATTAACTACAAAATAGATAAGGACATTTCTCTATGAAAGATAAAAACTAATTCTAACTTACCTTTCCGGTGTTTTTATAAGCTTGTGGGTTCGAATTTAATATTGCAGGAATGATTTGTATGGGATTTGGATGGCGACGAACTATAGATGAATTTCAACGCGAATGAACTTCTATCATATAAATTGAACGTACTTTCAATAGGTGTAATTGAATAATGAAAGAAATCGCAAATATTTTGTGATTCGATAAGATTTCGTTCGTTCATGACAACCGACGGATCATCAATCAAATCCAAGCAATGTCTGAAGGATCATATAAGGAAAATGTAGAAGGTGAATGAAATCTTACTTTGCAAGAAGAATACTTCGATCTTGACTGTTCTTTGCTGAATCAATATAATCTGTTGCTGCTTGAATAATCAATGGAATTTGAAGAGTTGACAGATTCGATCGAACAATTTGGAAACATTCAATACTATCGGACTTCAATAGACTTGATATAAATAACTAAAATCAAATCTTGATTTTATCATATGAAGAGAAACTCCTCTCTGCTTACGTTTGAAAGCGTTTGTGATGATAAACGATGTCGAGCTATCTGTTCAATGTCATGATAAAGTTCATTGCCAGTCGAAATACTGATTCTGTGCATTCTAAATGTAACTTTGATCATGATAGAATACCAATCAATCATGCGAATAGCTTACTCCTTTTTGATTGCTGATTGTATTAGAAGAACAATTGCATTCGATAGCGATTCCTCGGATTCCTATTGCAGACAATTTGACAATTTCATCTGAGAATATTTCTCTTCCACTTACCATCACTCGAAGCATTTCTGATGGAATCATTTTCACTGACCATTTCATGAAAATCGTACATGTTCTAAATATAATTCATATTGATCGAACGATGAAGCTTTTGTGGGAAAAATCTCACCGAATAACGTATTCTAAATCTTGTTTTTGTTGAATTAACGATAATAACTGTTGACAAATGGGTAGTTGAGTTATTGAATTCACATGAAAAACTAAGTCTCGAATAAATTGATCGAATTGATTTTGAGTAAAAATAACTTTCGTTTTCAACGAACGAACTATGGGATAAATATCGACATCGTTCTGCAATTTTTTAATGCAAATATTTTTCAAATATTCATTGGATTGGTGACTGAATTCCATAATTGGTAGTAAAACTTGTTGAATACGTTTATCGATATCATCTTCGTTCGAATCATTTTTAAAAGTTAAAACCAACTCTAAGACGTCTTCTTTGGGCATGTTTTCCAGCTGTTCTAACGTTAAATCCTGTTCGCAGGATTTACTTAAAAGAAATTCTATGCGAAGATTATTGTACAGCGAGGAAAACTCTTGAAGATTCTCGTTTTCAACTGCATGTTTACATAGTTGCAACGAATTTTCCAGGAAACCAAACGATTCAAACGAAAGGATTCTTTCTTTGTACCATTGAACATAAACCGATTGATCGATCGGTTGAATTGTTTCTTCGGACTGGGTTATATATTTGTCACTCCAATCATTTTCTTTTCGTTGGACGACTTCGTCTTCATTGTTCATTGTAGAAAATTCCGGAATTAAATCTTCGTATTCCGCCAGCGTAATCGTTTCAGGGATCTCCGTTAAGATTGATAATAAATCAGCTGATGGTATCGAAGGTATCGCACGATCCAAGACAAGTTTCAAGCCATTTAAACAACCTTTCTAAAGCACAATCGAAGAATTAGCTTTCAAATTTTAGAAGAGACAAATTTGTATTACTCTTGCACAACGAATGGCGATTTGTTGATAAGTCCATTCTCGAAATTTGTCAAAAACATTCGATTGATATTCTTGAAAAACTTGACATTTTTCAATTAAGTCTTCGTATAAATATAGTTTTCTCCTTTCGTCGAGAAGTTTTCTTCGATAAAGAAGAATTTGTTTCTGTGGAATAGTGAGCGGCACCGATTTGGCTTGAAGATCGTTCAGAGCTAAGTTTTCTTTATAAATCGATTGAAAAAACGGTTGATCAGAATAATATAAACTATTGAATAACTGTTCTTTCGTTGCCTGATCAAGACCAAATCGAATCAATCGAAGTTGTTCATCTCCTGACGGATACAGTATAGTTGTACATAATTGCAGGACATGAAGACGTGATTGAATTCTCGTTAGATGCTCTCCGATTTGAGACGAAGATGAACGTGCTTCTTTTTCATGAATTTGATCGGCTAAATCTTTTCGATCGAAAACATCACAAATACGTAGAGCACCACCATAATCACCACTTGATATCAAATTTTCTATTAAACGACATGGATCACTATGTTCAAGTAATATTAATCGTTCATTGATTGATTCAGTAGAATCTTGAAATGAACGAAATAAGCGGGTGACGATATTCACATGTTGTTCGTCGTCATTTTCATCATCGTGAATGGGATTTATTTGACAATCAATCAGAAATAGTTCATTGGATAAAGGTCGATGACATAAACGTGGCCAGGCATTGAATTGATTCGGTTTATAACGATATTCTTCGAGAGATTTCGTACCCTCGTGAAAACTCATTGAACCATCCGAATAGAATAATATTAAAGTCTAAATAGAGTTGATCTAGTTCGTCTTCATTTGTTTAAAAGTATCATTGAACAAACCTTATCATCCCAATAATCGAGATTACAAATAAATGATCGATTTTCAGGTATCTTCAACTAAAATTTCAATTGATCGCAATACAAAGTACATTATATCAGATTGAATTCTTACATTCGTTAGTCGATGTAATTGTTCATCATTCTGATAAAGAACAACAGATTGATCTGAGAGTATTGCGGCAAGGAAAGTTTCATTCGGAGAAAGTGACAAGCCATAAATGTAAACATCATTATCATCTTCTCGAATTTCTTTTATTTTGATAATCGATGGCTTTGTGTCGACAATTTTCCAAACAAAAATCGACTTTGTATCAAACGGTACAACATACAGTTGATTAAGGTTTTCGTCAATGATTGCACATGCAATACTATATTCGAATTTCTCGTTTGCACATGAGGCAATATCGTCAACGCTCATTACATAACGAATTAATTCGCCACTGCGTTTCAAACATAACAAATCGATAAATCTATTTCAATAGGAAATGAAAACAAACAATGAAGAAAACTTGACATATGTCTTACTGAGATGCATCACTTCCGGAAAACCACATTTGAACAAATGAATCTTCGCGACGATTTAACTAAATAACACACAATGGTTTATCATTTTTATCAGATTTAAAAGAATTAAAATACCGATTTTGTTGTTAGTTCATGTAATACTTGCCCATCGATAGAGGAATAAACACAAACAGCACCTGACCAATGTCCATACGCTATGAATTTTCCATTATTGGACCAAGCTAAGTTGTTCAAATAATTATATTCGTCTGATTGAATGACATCGAGTGGAATTTCTAATAAGACATCAGATGTAACAAGCGATATGATGCAGAGATTGTTGTTGATAACTAAAGCCAAACGATCCGATCTATGAAGAGCGAGAATGTGTGACGTTATGGTTCGACAAAAAGTAGAACATACGGAATATGAACAGAGACAGGAGAGGAATATCTTCCTGATTGTTGAAGGAATCGTTGAGCATTGGGAGATATTGTTATGGATGAACTGAACCATCTTTTAAAAGCTAAGAAATAGGTGAATTAGTGAAATTAGATGATCGATCCAAATCGATTTACTGGTATTTAATGACCATGATTGGTCTTTTCCTGTTCGAGTAACTTTTCTCTCGAATGACCATTGCGCTTTGTCAATTAATTCAAATAACAATTCACCGGACATGACTATCCCGATATTTATTATCAGTCTCAATCGTCAATTTGGCTATTTTACACATTTGGCTAATAGTGATGATGATGATAGCCTTTGGTTGGATCAGACAAGGGAAATATAGTCATTAGATGGCGCTATGATACAGTCGAGTGTGAAGGCAAAGGTTTCATTCATTTGAAAATGAAACGATTTAATTAGGCCGGAAAAATCTAAACAGAAGCTTGGTTCAAATACGAGGGCCTATTGTCTTATTGCCAATAAGATATTACCCTGAATTCGAGACATACTCCATGAGACTGAGAATCCAACAGCTACATCATCATTTTCTACACTGAATTAAGCGCAACGTAAAAATTGCTTTCTTTGATAACTTTTAATAACTTCGTTTATATTCTTAATATGAAATGAATCGTGTTTCTGTCATACGGAGAAAAATTTACCATTATGCCCATTTTATATCAAAACATATTGGGCAGGTTAACAATGAGTTGATCAATTAATATCCCGTTGTTATGTAAAACTACCTATCTAATTGATGATTGAATAGATCGTTTTAGTGTTTGGACATATATTGCTGTTTTCGCAACGAATATATATCTCATATGCAATCGCAATTCTTCATCAGTTCGGTTTTCTTCTTTGAGCATACGTCACATTGAATTTCATACTACAATACGCGTCGTAAGTCTATTATTGTTAGTTTTACTTTCACATTTTAGGCGTATAAGTAAATCTACCTTAGCCCTTTGTTGGCGGGCATGGTATATATACCATCTAGACTATTTTCTCAACGTTGAGGAGTGGTATATATTTCAAATCAATCAAAAGTGAGTAGAAACAGCCTGTAGAGTACTTTTCCTGTATTGAGAAAGTAATCCTGTCAGTACTTCGAAATATTAGAAAAATCCGAACATAGTGCATTTGGTAATTTTCAACAGTGTATAATGGAAATTTCTTATCAAAATATGGTAACCAAAGACGAATTTCTATCGGAAGACCAACAATTGATTCACCACTACGTTTATCTGCTAGACATTTTCCATCACTTGTTCCTCCTACTGCCTCAAAAGCTGCTGCGCAGAGGACATGTTATGTATGCTCTCATACAGAAAAAAAAAAGAAAAATCAGTCAAATACACAAGATATCAGTGCGAAGAATGTGATGTTGGATTATGCGTAATTGACTGTTTCAAAGCTTATCACACCTTAAAACACTTTTGATGACGGTTTTTGATTGAATAAATATCTGTTTTCACTGTTTTAAAAAACTTGACTTGTTCAAACAAACCCCGCCAACAAAGGGTTAAAATAAGAGGAGAAGAAAACCTTTGTGTTCCGAATCTTTGAGTAAAGACATAGATTGTTCGTTCAATCAAGAAGTTTTCCAATATTTATCGAGTACATTTATAAATCTAATACGAAAGTTCATCCTTTACGAAGCTATATCCACGAAATCAGATTAGTCATGCCAAATCTTCCAGCTATTCAAAATGGATTAAATACTTATATACCATTTACGTTGCTCATTTCGGGATCAATTGGTAATATTCTCAATTGTCTTATTTTCACACTCTCTTCACTTCGAAATAAACCATGTCGATATGCATCAAGTTCTGCTAGTGTTCATATACGTTCATTTAGTCAGCTCGACGTTTTCCAACGAATCGTTTGTAGCATATGGATCATGTTATCTTTGATTTGGATGGAAATGTTCATTTATTTCTACGGAAATCTAAATGGCACTGCTTGTGCGCTCGTGTCGCAATTTTGTAATACTTACAACAACTTTAGTTTACTTGTTTTCTACAGTCTTCTTCCACCAATATGCATGCTTTTGTTTGGTGGTATGACTATCAGAAATGTTCGGCATCGACCAATAAATCGTGCGGCGAATACAAAAGATCGACAACTAGCTCTGATGCTTATTGTTCAAGTTGTGATATTTCAAATTTTATCATTACCGATATCGATTCAAAGAATTTATTCATATATTACAATTAATGATAGCAAAACCCTGCAGCGCAAACAACTAGAAAGTCTTCTTAGCGACGTTTCTAATTATGCAGCCTTCACTGACACCGCGTAACATCATTTTATTTATTTACACTGACGGGATCATTATTTCGAAAAGAATTAAAGTCGTTACTTTTTTTCTCAAAAAGACAACAAGCAAATATCGAACCGATACAAACATACCATCCTAATCTTCAACAACAAGAAACATTTGAAGTACCACAAGATTAGGAATAGCATATGCTTTACTACGTAGTTTTCGTTTTTCCTTCTTTCGTCTTGCCACAGGCATTTTTCTCTAGCAAAGGTGATTGCTGATCATATTGTCTTTCAATTACATATATAAATATATGTATCTGTATGTGTACACATATACAATTGTATTTTAAAAAATTTTCACAAAATCGGCATTTCTCCATGACGGTTTTCTCGCCTTTAAAAAGCAATTGCACTCAAGAAGTTTATCTTACTATGTACTTCGCTGACTATGCCAAAGTTTAACTTCTCTTGTTTCCCATGCATACATATCCGATTGCGAATTACATGAATGATCTAAAAGTAAAATTGTGTGACAATATGCGCAAGATTTTTGAATACAGCTGTAATTCCATTCTCGAAAAACTTGATATTTTGCAACTAAATCTTCATACAAATATACTTTCCTTTGATAAAAAAGAGCTGAATTTTTCAGAGTGGTTAATGGCATCGATTTATCTTGAAGATCATTCAAATCTGAGCTTTCTGCATAAATCGATCGAAAAAATGATCGCCCAAAATACTATAAACCGTTAAATAAATGTTCTTCACCGATGTTTATTATCAGTCTCAATCGTCAATTTGATTAAATATATCGATTAGAACCACTGTAAATCAGTCGAAGCATGATATGATCATTTTTATTTTGATGCATTGCTTCCTTCTTAGTCTACACGTAGTAGTAATAATTTTCCCAAAAGAATACATAAGAGAATTGGGTTTCTATTCCAAGTTCTTGGTAATAAGAAACGCTCGCTTCTCAAAGTGAAATGCAAATCGTGCTCTAGAAAATAATGTTCATGCTACCATTCGAGAACGTGGTATAAATAGCTTCGAACAAATCGATAGGCCGTAATTCGCGACCACCAGCTGATCAATAGTGATTTTCAAATCATATAATATGAAAAAACTATTCTTTTTTTTCGAAATCAAACTCATAAAGACGTTTACATAAAGAAGAAAAAAAGCGACAAGCCCAGTATAATTGTAATAAACACAGCGATGATAAACTAATTTAAATAATGGTAAGAAAGATAATCTATCTAAAATGTTCGTAGCACAGGGCTGTAGAAACTTTTGAAGAAAAACGCATATCTGTAGAATTGAAATAAAGAATAGTTCGCTAAGTGAAGAACGGCATTCTTCATTTATTTTGTGTCTTCTTCGAATTGAATCGTTCTCCGTTTATCTGGTGAAGAAGTCGTAGTTGTTTCATGATGATTTGAAAGAATTAACGAAGACTCTTTCACTACAAGAGAGAAGAACGTTCAACGGCAGACGACAGAAAAATTCAATTACTTGGAATGAAATCTTTTAATTGATGATTTTGTTCGTATGATAGACGATCAAGACGAGTTAACATTGAATTAAGATCATATTTATCCTATTAAAAACAATGATTCATAGAAACTTTCATCGATTATTTCATCGAAATTACTTCTGATGGAAGTGCTGTTGAATCGTTAATGACAGTGGTGTTGTTTGTATCAAGAACTGTTTGAAATTGTGCATGTTTTTTCAATAATTGTGCTAATTGACGTTTTACTTGATTATGTGTTTGTAAACTAACTACATTCCTAGAGTAGTAACAAGATGTAACACGAAATATCGCGTAAGAGACGTGTACTTACTGCAGACTTTGTTCTTTTTGTTTAATTTCATTAAGCTTAGCTTCAATTAATTGACTTTTTTCTACTAATTTTTGTGAAAAATTCTGATAACGCGATCGATAATCTTTCTTTTCTTTTTGCAGCTCGTTGATTCTTTTCTTATATTTTTTTAATTGTTCGACTAACTGTTCAATTTTCATCTCCATTTCTTTTCGATCGTTGAAGAACGCTCGCCGAGCATTTTCGATCGTTGTCGTACATTGATTGTTCATCTAAAAGATCAAATGATAATCGATGGTTTTCTAATCTAGAAACTATTTACTTGTTGAACTTCTTGTTTATTCGCATGATATTCGTTCATCAAATGATTCAATTCGTTTTTCAATTTCAAATTCATGTCCGTCAACTCTTGCTACGAAAAAAAAAGAAGATTTTAGTAAATGAAAAGAAAGGAATATCGAAGGTTTTACTTCGATTCCGTTGGTAGATGAAAGTTGAGTTTCGAGTTTGATACATTTCTTGTACAGTTCGCGAGTTTTTTCTTGTTCACGTTCAAGTTCATTCTGATAATCATTTGTTTGTTTAACGGTTGAATTCAAATGCGAATTCTCCTTAGTTAAATCATCGCGAACTTTTTCTAAACTTCTGATTTGCTCATATAAACGATCGCGTTCAATCTCGAACTGTTTTTGTCGATCATCGTTCGATTTCCGTAAGATATTCAGCTCAGCTTCGAAATTCAGTCTTAGAAGAGAAATTGATAGAGTCAATGTACAAAAAAAAAGAACTTTCTTACTTTTCGTTTGTTATTTCGCTGATCTTCTTCCATTCATCTTCTCTAGCTGCTTGAACATTTGTTAATAGATTGTGTTCTTTCTCTTGAATGGTTAGTTGTAGTTTGGCTTTGTCAGATGTTAATGACGCGATTTTTTCTTCGAGTTCTAAATAGAAACACATCCTTTGTCTATTAAGAAGAAAATGATTAAACTAACCTTGGACATGTGTTTTAAGCTGTTCTTGTTGCTCTAATTGATCTCGTTGTACTTTAGCTAATTCAATTTTATGATTTGCAACTTCGAGTTTATATCGATGTTGAAGATTTTCATAATCAGAATTTATCTGTGCAATTCGAAGTTCGCGTTCATGCAATTGTCGATTGACTGTCGTCAATTGTTCACTAACTGATGTTAGCTCCTGATGAGTGCTCGTTAGTTGTTGTTTTAATGAATCGCGTTCATTCTACGAGACAGAAAAGAAGAGGTTAAAAGTGTGATAGTGTAAGCTTTTCTTTTTTACTTCGATCAAGGAAGAATTGGTCTTGGATAATGAACGTTCTTTCAACAACTCTCGTTGGGCAGCTGCAGCTATTTGTTCGGCGTGCAGTTTTACTTCTCGTGCTTCACTTAGTTCCTGATTTAACTGTTCCACTTTGGCTTTTAGCTGTGTCAGTTCTCTTGCACGATTTTGCTCAATTGTGGAATCTTTCTGATGTTCTTGACGAATATGTTGCTGAAGAAGATCACGTTCTTTTCTTAACGCACCTAATTCCTTTTCTGTTTTCAATTGAAATTCTTCAGCTATCTGATCCTTTTGCGATAATTCTGAAGCGTGTTCTTTGATTCGAGCATTCAGTTCAAAGCGAACTTTCGTTAACTCCGCTTTCGTTTGCTCCAATTGACTTCCTAATTGTGATAAAGCTAATTTATATGGACCTTCGACTTCGGAAGATAGACGGTCGCGAATTTGATCAATTTTACTATTGTCGAGTAACTAAATAAGAAAACATTGGACTAGGAGAGCGCATTTGAGAATTGAAGATCGAACCTGTGTCTTCATTTCTTCGATTTGTGCTTGTTTCTTTCGATTATCAATTTGTAATTTGTCGAGTAAGTTCTTGAACTTTTCTTGCATTTGGCGATTCTCTTCTGTCGACTTTTCTAATGTTTGTTGACAATCAGCATATGCTTCAGACAACGAAGCATATTCCTTCTTTAATTCTTCATACAATTGTCGAAACTGTTCATTGCGTATCTGCATACTCGAGAGTGCTTTCGCCATCTCGATTCCACCTGTTCCGCTTGCATTCAAAGCACCACCACCTCCGTCCAGACTTGCTGCGAGAGACGAGATCGCTGCCATAATATTGTATGAAAGAATGAATGCACGTGTCAATGAAATTCTCCTTAGTCAACCATGTTCATCGATATCACTTAGAGAAAACCTCTACTGACTTGTGGATAACTTCAGCTCAAAAGCCAATTTTATAATTAGGCAACCTTGTTTCTCGGCGTCGTTAATCAGAATATAAAAAAAGGCAAAATATATTAATTCTATTACATCGGAACAACAGCGACATCTCGAGAGTAGCTGAATGACTAATCATGACCATACTCTTTTGAATAGGACATTATTTGGTTTCTATCAAAACATCGTCGATCTCTCCTCTTCTAATGTGATTCAACATTTGGATGACTTAAAGTCTTATTTTCTTTTTCGACTGATTGATGCTGAAGGAGATGCGAAGCTTTAAATGTATCGACTAAACATACCCATTTTCATCCATAGTTACCTCATTACCTGGAAAATAAAACAAAAATACTGTTTGAATCATGCATTTAATTGATTTTGTACAACGGGTTTCCAATGAACAAAGTGCATATTTGCTCGACTTCCAATAGGACGACATTCAGTAAACAGAAAGAGAGCATGTGAATTCACATGTCAGAAGTAACTTGGTTTTTAAATGAACGTCTTGTGGTTGGTCATCGATGCTTCTAATGTTACATTTTCTAACTTGAATTCTGCATCTCTTACTGTCTCGCAACAGGAAAACTGAGAAAAGATAATGTTTGTTAGTTTAAGCCATTAGTGCGGCCGAGGTAAACGAATTTAGTAGGTACTTTTTATGAGCAAAATATTTCGTTGTTGACTTGTTAATGACAAGCTTTCTAAATAATATCGGGAGATAAGCTTCATCTTTATAAAAATTTACCTTTCTTCCTCAGCCCCATCTCCATCTCTTTTCTGTACAGAATATGTGATAAAAGATGTAAAAAGAGAAGCGCTGCGAGTAGGATTCGAACCTACGCGGGAGAACCCATCTGATTTCGAGTCAGACGCCTTAACCACTCGGCCATCGCAGCTTGAACTTCAAGGATGAACATTTGACTGCCCCTTTGGAACCTGATATTTGAAGTAAACAAACAACGAAGTCCTCCTCAAAACTCGTGGAACAAATACTTTTCATCAAACACTTCTCGAAGTTTTCTCAGGAATAATATACACCATGTTAAATAATGCGTGATTATTAACGTCTCAGCCTACCTTTAACAAAATAATTAGTAACACCTTTATTATTCATCAGAACAAAAACAAGATATGCTTATCACAACTACACATGATTATCACCATCATCAGATCTGATCCAACAGTTTTTGAACACGATTCAGATCAACATTCAGATTACTCTCGCCATTAACAACAAATGGCAACATCCAGTATGATTGATTCAACAACTGTGCTTGAGTATACAAAATATAGCCAGCACATGCCTTCATATCTTCCACACGAAACATTGAACACGTCATCGGCAGCGAACTCGAACCCGATCGATATGGCATCACTTCGATCACCGTCGTGCCCGATTGGGCAAAGTTCATGTTCGACAGTGCACCGCTGTGAACACCAATGATCACTCGCGCATTATAGAACAGCTCGATCCGAGATCGAATGTGACCGGTGTCTTTCGAGTGATCGTACTGAACATAGTTGAGAGAATGCTTGGCGCAGTATGCACGAAATACTTCCACGAACGCCTGTTCGTTGACTATCAGACGACCGCTGTTCATCGCATTCGTAGATGTTCGCTGGATGTAGATGAAGTTCTTTCTTTCGGACGGAGCTGATGAGTTCGTTTTGAGAAGTCCCGAGATCGACCAGTACATGAGACGAGCATCTTGCCAGAGACGAGGATGAATACCAGGTGTTCGACATGGATTGATGAGAAGACGAGCACCAACTTTCATGTTCGAAGAATAATGAACAATCCTCTGTTCGTTCTCCACCCCTACAACACAAACACGCACACACACTCAACCGATTTTTCATGACAGACAACAAAGACACCAACCTAGCATGGACCAGATCTCTTGGACGGATCGATCGAATCGAGCACCTTTGAGAATAAGCACTTTAGCATCGGGATATTGTTGTAGATAGGAGTGAGAGTGAGCTAGTTTGGGTCCCACGCCATCAAGGAAATGCTGAAAACTCCATCCATCAGGAACAGTGAAGATGATAGCCTTGTCATAGATCACAGTCGTTTCGTCTGTGCTGTGGAATGTTCGTTTCAGCGCAGCGCCACCGTAGTTATAACCACATTCATCGTTGAGATAGAGACCGTTGGGGACGAGGAACGTGTTGACAGAGAGATGTTCTTTGCTATTGTTGAACAGCACTCCTTGACTTTCACAAGTTCCATCAGCACACAGTTTAGAGTGGAACTTGTAGTAGGATGAGTTGTAGAACCAGATCTTTGCTTCGTCATCCGAGAAGTGAGGCAGGGAAATGTAGAATGGTGGGAGCGTGTGTGACACATGTTGGATATCTGCTGTTGGAATGGGCTGTTGAGGAATTTGTTGAGTGTGTTGATCTTCGGATGAGGGTGTGAGTGATGGTGAATGTAGTAGTCGGCGGAGCTCATAGATGAGTATGATAATGGAAATGAAAGTGATGATGAATTTGAAGAGTCGAAGTGGACGAAAGTACATTGTAATAGTTGTCGATGATTTACCAGTGGATGATTATATCAATTCACTAGAATCTAGACATGAAAAGAAACAGTTGAATGCTGCGCATATTTGTTCGAATATGGCTATCAGGTGTGCCTATTACTAGAACCATATGCTTTATGTGTTATACTTCGCTTGTTGTCCTTGCCTGCTGGTGCAGTGATAGATAGGTGTTCATTAATTCGACTGTCGGAGTAGTTTTGTTTTCAATCAAGTTTCCATGTGCGGAAAGTACTGATAAAAGAAATGGAGTTGTGTCAGCTGAGAGCGGTTTTGATAATTTGTTCGATAAGATTGGAAATACTTTGGAATAAAGTTACGTGGAGCACAATTGTGTTGGTGAGAAACCTATTGTCACTTCACTCAGATACTTCTAGGGTCGAGAAGCGACTAGACGTGTCTCTCGAAAAGATAATAAACACTTAATGAGAGCGGTTCTTTCCAATTAAACACGTCATTATGCTTAACAACGAAGTAGTAGAGAGAGCTCAAAAGAATTTTGTGTTCAAAAAACTATATGTGTGAATATCTTCATAATTGCCTACGACAGAGCCCGTACAATGATGACAGAAATCAAATTAGTTGCATTTCTATATAGTATGAAACATCAGTCATCGATTATGAGAAACCTATGTATTTGAGTTGTATACAAGAACAAATTCTTTGATCCTATGAACAAATAAAGAGTGCACTACACGATGAAGCGTTGCATTGAATTATTACTTAGAAAATATCGTACGTTTTGTTGTCCTCTCCTTTTAAAGCCCTCCAGTATTATGAGTAATATGCATACTTTATTTTTCTAGTATAGATTTCAATGCTGTACATGCGAAAAAATCGATTCTTCACTTACTCTAAATCCATCGTGACATACTTTGACGAGCAATATTTATCTTCGAGCATGTGAAGAACGACAATTTTCAGGCAAGAATGAGATTGAAATGGCGTATAAAACTTCTCTCCTCTAGTAATAAAAAAAGTAACCGGTCGCTCGGACAGGATCATTTGATACCACGTTTGTGTTATCATAAATAAGAAAAAAAATGATCTAACAGCAATGTCATGTCATGTGTATATTCACACAAAAAAGTATCTCAAAGCGTTTTCTTTCTTAAGCCGTGCTCGCAAAATTTATTAGAACACGTATCTTTCTTATTAGATTACTTGTCTATTATCATCAGAATCTCGAGGTCTTACATCAGCTCTTTTTCGATTCATCAGCGTGTGAAGTCATATATTTACCATGTGTTGTCATTGAGTTTTGAATATCCGGCTAGACCAATATCATTTGGATTTGTTTCGATTTTGAAAAAAAGAGTAAATCTAGTAGTACCTATACAGACAAACATACGGTGATGAGTGTTGCAGTAGCAAGCGTCACCGTCGTCATTCATACAACGGGCGAGGAAAATGAGAAGAAGGGAGAAAGAGAGAGGCAGAGTAAAAGAAAAGAAGTAAAATGTTCTTTGAAAAATAAGCTTCAACCAAGCTCACTCACTTTTTCTTCTTCTTCTTCTTCTTTCTCTCCTTTCTGTTTGATTCTGTGTGTAGTGGCACAGTTACAGAAGAATGGAAAGAGATTGAATGCGTGTAGGTATACCTTTGCAAGTTAACCTCGTGGTCGATGTATTTTACTGTTGGCTTAACTATAGAGAGGAACCAAAGTAAAATATGCTGGATCAAATCACATCAAAATAGATAAGCACTGTTTATTAACTCATTTGTCAGTTGAATAAATAGATATATTTCAATACATAAAACCATTCTCAGCTTCGATTTCCGGTACATGGTAGTCATTGTAGGCATAAACATGCAGTCACGACCAAAGTGTATTTGATGAATTTGTCGAGACAGCTACTGAATGAACACTCTAAGATGTTTTATGTTAATTATTAGTTTAGTATATTTCGAATGAGGGTGAACATTTATGCCAGTATATGATAAAACTCTGCATTACAAGACGAAGTAGAGCAATGGTTGCGATGAAATAAGCAGACCTCGATATAGAGTGTGGTAGAAGGAATTCTGAACCAGAGGACTGATCAGTACCTGAGCTTCGAACGTATTTCTTCCAACATTCTCCACCAATCTTCGAGTTTCGTGACCTTCGGAACATATATCCTCTATGACTGGTTAGTATCTCCGCACTAATATCCACATATACCTAATCGATTCCTACACAAACATGAGCACAAGCAGTCTTTCCAACGTACTTTTTTATACCAACTACAACGTGTTAGTTAACAATCATTTTTATATCTGGCAAAATAAAATAAAGTACAACAAAAAACAAATCGAAACTATAAAAAAATCACACACGTCTTTCACAACTATACATGATTATCATCATCAGATCTGATCCAACAGTTTTTGAACACGATTCAGATCAACATTCAGATTACTCTCGCCATTAACAACAAATGGCAACATCCAGTATGATTGATTCAACAACTGTGCTTGAGTATACAAAATATAGCCAGCACATGCCTTCATATCTTCCACACGAAACATTGAACACGTCATCGGCAGCGAACTCGAACCCGATCGATATGGCATCACTTCGATNCATCATCAGATCTGATCCAACAGTTTTTGAACACGATTCAGATCAACATTCAGATTACTCTCGCCATTAACAACAAATGGCAACATCCAGTATGATTGATTCAACAACTGTGCTTGAGTATACAAAATATAGCCAGCACATGCCTTCATATCTTCCACACGAAACATTGAACACGTCATCGGCAGCGAACTCGAACCCGATCGATATGGCATCACTTCGATCACCGTCGTGCCCGATTGGGCAAAGTTCATGTTCGACAGTGCACCGCTGTGAACACCAATGATCACTCGCGCATTATAGAACAGCTCGATCCGAGATCGAATGTGACCGGTGTCTTTCGAGTGATCGTACTGAACATAGTTGAGAGAATGCTTGGCGCAGTATGCACGAAGTACTTCCACGAACGCCTGTTCGTTGACTATCAGACGACCGCTGTTCATCGCATTCGTAGATGTTCGCTGGATGTAGATGAAGTTCTTTCTTTCGGACGGAGCTGATGAGTTCGTTTTGAGAAGTCCCGAGATCGACCAGTACATGAGACGAGCATCTTGCCAGAGACGAGGATGAATACCAGGTGTTCGACATGGATTGATGAGAAGACGAGCACCAACTTTCATGTTCGAAGAATAATGAACAATCCTCTGTTCGTTCTCCACCCCTACAACACAAACACGCACACACACTCAACCGATTTTTCATGACAGACAACAAAGACACCAACCTAGCATGGACCAGATCTCTTGGACGGATCGATCGAATCGAGCACCTTTGAGAATAAGCACTTTAGCATCGGGATATTGTTGTAGATAGGAGTGAGAGTGAGCTAGTTTGGGTCCCACGCCATCAAGAAAATGCTGGAAACTCCATCCATCAGGAACAGTGAAGATGATAGCCTTGTCATAGATCACAGTCGTTTCGTCTGTGCTGTGGAATGTTCGTTTCAGCGCAGCGTCACCGTAGTTATAACCACATTCATCGTTGAGATAGAGACCGTTGGGAACGAGGAACGTGTTGACAGAGAGATGTTCTTTGGTGTTGTTGAACAGCACTCCTCGACTTTCACAAGTTCCATCAGCACACAGTTTAGAGTGGAACTTGTAGTAGGATGAGTTGTAGAACCAGATCTTTGCTTCGTCATCCGAGAAGTGAGGCAGGGAAATGTAGAATGGTGGGAGCGTGTGTGACACATGTTGGATATCTGCTGTTGGAATGGGCTGTTGAGGAATTTGTTGAGTGTGTTGATCTTCGGATGAGGGTGTGAGTGATGGTGAATGTAGTAGTCGGCGGAGCTNATCAGCACACAGTTTAGAGTGGAACTTGTAGTAGGATGAGTTGTAGAACCAGATCTTTGCTTCGTCATCCGAGAAGTGAGGCAGGGAAATGTAGAATGGTGGGAGCGTGTGTGACACATGTTGGATATCTGCTGTTGGAATGGGCTGTTGAGGAATTTGTTGAGTGTGTTGATCTTCGGATGAGGGTGTGAGTGACGGTGAATGTAGTAGTCGGCGAAGCTCATAGATGAGTATGATAATGGAAATGAAAGTGATGATGAATTTGAAAAGTCGAAGTGGACGAAAGTACATTGTAATAGTTGTCGATGATTTACCAGTGGATGATTATATCAATTCACTATGTAAGGTGCAAAAAAAAAACAAGTTAATGTAGGAAACTTAGCTGATAATTGTATTTGTGGGATAAGTTGTGCCGAGTGATCTTTATTGACTATGTTTCTAATGAAAAAAGTCAGCTAATCTGATTCTTGTACAAAACTTTTGAACTAGAGGTAATACTGTACAATGAAATAACTATTCAGCACCTATTCGTTGCTATGAATGGTCAGTTTGCTACATGCATATAGATAATACGTCTAGCAAGCGATAAAAATCATTTGTATGACCTCAATAAAAGAAATGCAACCTTAAGTGATGTTTCAGTAGCTTCGTTTTCTGTCCGAGTAGCATGAAAAGTCATATATTTACCATGTGTTGTCATTGAGTTTGGAATATCCGGCTAGACCAATATCATTTTGATTTGTTTCGATTTTGAAAAAAAAAAGTAAATCTAGTAGTACCTATACAGACAAACATACGGTGATGAGTGTTGCAGTAGCAAGCGTCAGCGTCTCAGTCATACAACGGGCGAGGAAAATGAGAAGAAGGGAGAAAGAGAGAGGCAGAAAAAAAGAAAAGAAGTAAAATGTTCTTTGAAAAATAAGCTTCAACCAAGCTCACTCACTTTTTCTTCTTCTTCTTCTTCTTCTTTCTCTCCTTTCTGTTTGATTCTGTGTGTAGTGGCACAATTACAGGAGAATGGAAAGAGATTGAAAGCGTGTAGGTATAATTTACCAGTTAACCTCATGGTCGACGTATCTGATTCACTGTGTTATTAAAAGCATGTTCGGTTCTGAAACTCATTCATGAAAGCTAAGGTAAATAAGTTTTACTTTTTTCACTTCCAATAGAATTCACGCATTCTGATGCGGTCGTAAGGGAGTTGAATGAATGTACTACAAACCTCAAATACGAATCGATCATGATGTCAACCATTAGGGCTGTCAAGCGAAATGTTCGAAGAGTAATCGCTATTAAATTTGGTGACTGCTGATTAGACTTCATTTTATTTGTGTTTCTACAGCGAATTTAATGTCAAATGAACTACTGATTTAAAGAAGAAATATACATATGGAGAACATGTATGAATATCATTTTACGAGTTGTGGCAATAAAACTAATGTATATATAAAGAATCATTATTCACATCATTTCGTTTTATGACGTATCATATACAAAAGATTCAATAAGAAAGATATGTATTTTTGTAATAAAAACCCTCTCGAATACTTGCTGTCCATCCATCAAGCAGAGTACTATACTGCAACTTGTTTCCCAGAATAAAAGAAAGATCTGGCAAATGTTGGAGTATTTGTTGCACAATAACTAGCTAAAAGGAGATAAACTGTTCATATGGCAACTATTACATGATACTAACAAAGTATTTGATATTTAAATAGATTTCATCATCGCATTAAGAACTGAAATGAATAGGATAGATTCATCATTGGATAATACAAATGTATGTTGAAATGACAGAATTGAACTTAACTCCAATGATAGTATTGTTTTATTTCGAAAAGCTTTAAAAAAGAAGAAAATGAAATCTATCTTCTGATTAACTGTCATTTTGAAAAATAAACTAATATACAAGAAATAAAAGTCCATCATTTCATTGTCTAAGAGAGTAAGTAGTAAAAATCTTATTTATTATAGAAGAAAAATTCCTTTTTTTTTATTGAAAACAGCATCTAAATATCGAAATCATTTGTATCGAAGAAGTTTAAGATGAGCTTTATTCGTCGTAAATGTTCCTGATCGTGGATCAGTTATTGTTTGACCATTTGTTGCATCAATTGGTATTGGCTTGGGATATTTCTGTTTAATTTTCAGAATTTTTGATAATGTTGGTGTTAATACAAGTAATTTGGAGACTTCTTTTAAATAATAATGAATTTGCTTGGGAGTGTTGTTGGTTAACGAAATATTTTGTAGAAAACAAATAACTCGATACCAATAAAGTCTTCGTCCGTGTGATTCAACTAAATGATCAAGTTCTTCGAGAACTTCATTACGATCATACAAATCATTGTTAGGAAGACGTTCTAAAACTAACTGACGAACTTTAGCGCGAAGACGTGCTGAATGAATTCGAAGACGAGGATCAACACCTGAACATTCACCATGAATTGGAATCATACGACAGGGACTTGGATTTGAGTCAGATTTTACTGCATTATCACTGAAAAGTAAACAAATGTTCCGAAGATTCGCTAAGAAATGAAAGAACTTACTTTGATTTCTTCTTTTCTCGATAATCCACATCTTGTTGAAGAGTGTTTGATGACGATGGAGGAGTATAAGTAGCTGGTTGAGAAGTACGAACAGCTGATATCGATTCGTTTACATTTTTTAATTGATCACTAACTTCATCCATAGTTATCGGATCCAATTGAGATGGACTGTATGCTTCATCCTAGAAAAACAACGAGATCCTGTTCGCTCGATAAGATCAAACGAAAGGTACTGTTTACCGGTTCATCTTCTTCTTCGTCTTCGTCATCATCTTTAAGTAATTCGAGAATTTCTTTTGAAGATTGTCTAGCTGATATTAGTGTGGATTCTCTGAGTGATGCTTGTGGTTGACGAATAATTCTTTGTTGTGCTTCGAGAGAATTCTGATCTGATGGACTGTATGGTTCACCATCTGATTGATCGGAATCATCTGCAAGACCCAATCTTTGCGAAAGTGATGGACGTGATCGTTTCGTTGGAGATGAATACTCTCCGTTCGATAAAATCGTGTGTTTTTTCGTGTTATTCCAGTTGGTTTCTGACGGTGGATAAATACTCATGTTTTCTTCGTTTTTGAAGATATTATCGAAATTACATTCGCTTATTCTCTCTCACATTCATATCTTACTTTCTTTTGACAATCGATCTTTTCCAATTAGAATACACGACTATAGCGACATCAATTTATCTATGCATATACGTTTCTTTTGACCTCTATCGACAAATGTTTTCAAAAAGATGGTTGAATCATACTGATTCTTTGTCTCAGCGGCAATTCAAATTTCAGCTAGACAGATCAGTTCTTTCGATAGAATGTCAAATAACTCAAAAAATAAAGAAAATAGTGGAAATAAATGGACATCAGATGGATTAATAGAATTACTTGATCTTGCAAATGAACAATTACGAACTTTAGAAAGACTTGATTTTTCTCATATTCAAAAGAATGCACAACAAGAACTTGAATCGTGGCACACAGCTGCACTGACACGCCTCGGTCAAATCTATTCGCAACGCTTAGCTGATCTGGGTCAAGTTTATACTCAAGATGTGTGTCCGGATGCGGAAAAATTTAAGAAAAAGATGACAGATCAATTAAAAACTCGAATTATGCCACGTATTTCAAAGATTCTCGATGATCCAACGCCCGATCAAGATAAAGTCGAAAAAATACAGGTTAGTGTCTACTTGAAAACAATTTAAGTGTAAACATGTACACATTGTCTATTTAGAGTGTTCTATGTCATATTAAGTCTGAATATGAAATGATGCGCGATCGTCAATGGATTCGTGTTCAATTGCCTGACATAAAAAGTTTATCGATTCCGATCAAAATTTCTCAAACACCTTTAGCAACACATTTAGCCAATCATGGCAAAGATTTATTAGAAGACTTAAGTGACGAGGACGATAATGAAACTAAAGAAGAAGAAGAAGAAGGTACACCCTCGAAGAAAAAAAGAAAAACTATTTCAATTGACCCTGTCGATGTCTTTCTCATCAATCCTGAACCAATAAAAAAACATTCATTAGATACAAACTCATCTACACTAGCACTGTCAAATGCTCATATCCTTATCCAGGATAAACACAGATTGATATTATTCGATTATCAGAAACAAATAAGTGAATTACAATGGAATGACAATGAATATGGTTCGTTCTACCTTCTCTTTCTGCCTTTTATTTTCATCTTGTTCATTTCAAGGCATTCTTGTGGATATATGTTGGATACCCTCACTATCCGTATTTGCCATTCTTACAATTCACTCTTTATATCTATACGATCCATTGAAGCCAACACCAAATCCACCGGTGAAAGTGGATGCTGTGCAACCATCAGATCGAACACACGTTCTAGCATCTATTTCAGCATTTGAACGCGATATCTATATAAATTATCACAAAGGTGTACATGTTGATCAATATCGTGTTTCATCCACATCTCAATGGACATTAGAAAAGCGTTATTCCAAAGGAGACTACTGTGAAACAAAAGATATTGGTATTCGTGATGTTCGTTGTGATTCACAACATATTTGTGTGTCTGTGATGCAGCAAAACGATTTAAAATGGAGACTCGATGTAATGTCACGTGATATGAAACGAATTCGACGTGGAATCGTCATGGACGCAGGGGAAAATCAACACAAATTCTTCTCAATGCTCATACCGATGCATGATCAACGATGGCTGTTCGTAAATTGGTACACAAATAAACTTTGGTTGGTCGATCAAGAAGAAAAGCCAAGGCTGATGAAAGAATCCAAGATCAAGAATATTCGAAATGCTTGTATGTCTCCGAATGGATGTTATCTAGCCGTTCGAACAGAAAAGCCATCGGCTCTTAAACTTTATAAACTTGATTAAGAAGTTCTCTTTTCCTTTTGATGTTGTAAAGCTCTTTTGTAACAATAATAAAAATGATATCTCGATTTGAGTAGCTGTCTAATTCGACTTATAATATAAGTGGCCTATTCCTAGCACACGACAATCCCTATCTACATAGGAATAGGAATAGATTTAGTTTCACTTATGAGGGTGTGGGTGTATATAGCTATAAGTGAAACAAAATCCATTTCTATTCCTATCTACTCATTTGTTATAAGAGTGATATAGACATCTAAGCGATTGTTGAATTTCGCACATCAGGAAAGTTAAAGAACAAGCTCATCGAATTTTTCTTACCCACGCGGCTGCAAAATGAAAGTGTGAATATGGCTCATTGTTAATTCCTATCATTTTGGACAGTTCTTCTTTGTTGTTCAGTTAAAGAAAAAGAGCACTGTCAATCACATAAGAACATGTGAATGATTGCCTAATTAGATTTCTAGTAGTTCAGATTTTTATCTGAGATCATAACTCGGACAAAGACTATAACTATCGGATAGCTTTATACAGAACTGTCTGATAAACAGTTTATCGTCTATAAATATGGATAATGTTAGATTCAATTGTCACATCTATATGCTATAGTCAATTTGAATCATCCTTTGTTTGTATATTTTGGTGGACTCATGAATACACGGTGGATTATCAAAACAACATCAACAAATTAGTCGTGAAGCTGGTCGAGAAACCAATAACAAAACAAGAATGACTCGGTGAAGTTCATCAACTTCCAGAGAAACTCGTCGATGAACTTAATCAAACTCTCAATGAAAGTCAGAATTTGATTTAATAAAAAGAAAAGTACATTGATCAGTGTTTAGTGGACTAGACGAGATGAAAGAATCTGACACAAAAGATATTCAACGTCAGTTAAATAACGTTTGATAAAATCGTGTGTTTTTTCGTGTTATTCCAGCTGATTTCTGACGGTGGATAAATACTCATGTTTTCTTCGTTTTTGAAGATATTATCGAAATTACATTCGTATTTTACCTTTTTTTGACAATCAATCTTTTTTGAATTAGAACATATAACTGTAGCGATATCCATTGATCTATGTATATATGCATGTTTCATTTGATCTCTATAGACAATGGTTTTTCAGAAAGATGGTTGAATCATACTGATTCTTTGTCTCAGCGGTAATTCAGATTTAAGCTAGCCAGATCAGCCCTTTCGATAGAATGTCAAATAACTCAAAAAATAAAGAAAATAGTGGAAATTAATGGATATCAGATGGATTAATAGAATTACTTGACCTTGCCAATGAACGATTACGAACTTTAGAAAGACTTGATTTTTCTCATATTCAAAAGAATGCACAACAAGAACTTGAATCGTGGCACACAGCTGCATTGACACGTCTCGGTCCGATCTATTTGCAACGCTTAGCTGACGATCAACTCTGTCCTTGGCATTTTTTGTTCTTCAAACACGTATCATTCGTTTTTTGACAAAGATACACACGTAGAATAAAAAGGCTGAACAGGAAATTAACAAAAATTATTTCTTGTAAAACATATTAATGTTTGAATCTCAAACGGAAACGTTACCTCTGCCTACTTTTCCTGTAATAGGCACTTCTATTCAATTCACCTTATAGAGAAACAAAGAATAATGAGTGTATCATGATTCGATAGCAACAGATACAACCAATCAGACGATTAAAACATATTCAGAATAAAATACTATACGCTTCATTTTCCTGTTGTCAGAAAAATTTCTGAAGCTGTTAATCTGAATATTCTTCGTCATGGGGAGGCTCCCTTCCGTCGATTAAGTACGCTGAGAAATATGAAGACAAACAAATTAGTGAAAGAGAAATTTTTTCATACAAAAAATCTTTTGTATTAAATAACCATTTTTCCTGTTTCGTTTTCAAATGGAGATAATCGTCAGTTTTCAATTGCCATCATCATGATAAAGAAAGACAAAATCACAATGTAAGATCAAAGTCGTTGATAATAATGATGATGCCAGCATCCATTAAAAACCGTTGATTTCACAGACGGAAAAACGGCGAAATGTTACAAATAATGTGGTGTGCATATACAACAAACCACTTGACATTTTTGATACAGTCGCGCACAAAAGCTTGAACGTTCAATCGACGTTGTTGATGATGTTGTTGAAAGTTTCTGAGTAACTGGGGTGACTCCAAGCCTTTGCACATTTAATCCAATATCACTAACAGGCAGTTTGTCTCCTCCTGTCGTTGCCGTCGTTGCTCCTCCTGCGACATCATCTATTAATAAAAAAAAAAGGAAAAGAAAAAATGATATTACCATAGCAACAGATAAACAAAAAGATACTAACCTAATGTTTGCCACCCTGGAACTTGATTGGAATAGCGTTGATTAAGTACATGTACATGTTCTTCTAAGGTGGAAATATCTCTAGAAACAGTTGAAGAAAACAATATTTCTGCACTCGAAACTCTCCTTTGTGTTCTTTTACCTTTTTATTTCGTTGACATCTTCATTGTTTTGTGCATCTTGTGGATTAGACGTTGTTTGTTGAAGATCTATTGTGGAAAGTGATTTGACAATAATATTCTCAAGAGTAGATGAGCCAATCGAAGCAGATAAAGTCAGAGAAGAAAATAAATATTGAGCTTTTACAAGTTGATTTCGAAAATATTCGATACAATAGGCAAATTGTTGAGGATTATAGGTTAAATTTGTTGGGTTGCTTTTAAAACCATTAGATGACCTAAAAAAAAGTTAATTCTTCGATTGATATGAAAAAAAGAGAGAGGGATGAAATTACCTTCTCCCATTATCATTTGTTAATTTATATATGAAATCGGTAATTTTAACAACTAATTGTAGCTTTATTTTACTAAAGTCATCTCGTACAGAAGCAGCAGCAGTCATCGTTTCTAATAAGCCATTTAGGCGACCAAGATCTTCATGAATTTCTCCTACGATCTACATCAAATATCAAAGAGAAATGGAAATAAGTGATGAAAACCAAAGTTTACCTTGCTTAAATCTTCTCTGGTAGCTTCTTGGACGTCGTGAACAGACGTTTTGCGAGATGGTTGATGATTCGACACTTTGACTGTTGAATGGCGCGAATGGGAAGAAACTTCAGTATTATTATTGTTGTTTGTTGTTTGAAGGTGATACGTCTTTTGAATAAGTTCCAAAGGTTTGTCTTGGTTTATTCCCGTCGACGTCATCAGAAATGTTAGTCATCGAGAATAAGGAGATCTTAAGGAAAAAAAAACAAAATTTGTTGTTGATCAAATGTAATCAACAATTGTACTGTTTTGTATTCTCGTGAGGCCAATTAAAAATGTGCATCACTTCGCTTCCATGGATAATAGTCGTTAATAATCGACTCCCTTTTTCTTTTGCTGTTTTTTGCCCTTAGTCTTCTTTAGATAAAGATAATGATGAGAAGAAGAAAGAAAAAGAAAAAAAAGCTGTGGATCTCATTTTATACTTCAGCCAATCCTTTTTAATGAACTAGTGAAAATGACAGAAGAACCGAAGATTCTAAAGGAGAGAAAAACGACTTTTTCAAGTTTCACAATACTTTCTTCTTCTTCTTCCGTTGATGTCTTTATTTGACGATGTTACTTCATGACTAATGAAAATAACTAAACAGAAAGAAAAGTAAAAAACGGAAAGTCTCCGCTGTGACTGACAGCCTTCTCTCTTTTTCTCAAAATAAAAGAAAAAGAGAAGTTCATTTTTCATCAACTAACAGTCATATTATCTGGCATGCTTAACAAACTGAACTCTGAACACGAAGATTGATATTGAAAGATTTGTAGATTGTTTCTAAGAAACGAATAACAAGATTAATTTGCTGTTCTCAAATAAGTAAATTGTAATGGAAGAATAAAGAGCAGAAAGAAGGATTTTGTTTGAACTTGGCGAATGCTCGTCCAATTGGATTCCACACCTTTACTTTTTCTTACATTTTCCTGATGTTGTTAAGAAAAACATGATGATGTTCCTGTTGTAGATAAGTCGACTCTCCTATTCTCAATCGGAAGAGACACTAAGTTTTGATGATGTGGAAAGATAAAACTCATTATGTCATAAACAAAACGAGATGAGAAGATATTCTCTCTTGGTATTTTACTTCTTCATTCATCTCTAACGTATATATATATGTTATTCAAAAACATTTCTTTTTCTTTAGACAACAGGGCTTTTGGAACAAAACTAAAGACATATGATTATATGAAATGAAGAGAAGTCTATTTGATCTACTTCGGCTATAAATGAACTCTATTTCACAGAAAACACTTGATTCAGCTGAACTCCTTTTGTGTTGGCTCGATGACTGTTGCACTTCCTTGTCAATTACAATTTTCTCAGTCTCGTATCTCGATGTATAGCTGTCATTGTTGATAAACTCCAAGGTATAGAAGCAAAATGCACTGTGAGAACCATGTTACTTCTACGTCTAGTCAAGATTTTCATCACCATAACGATCATATCCAAGGCGACAGTAACAAGAAGATAGATGGGTATTTTTAGTAGATAACGACATTTTACTTTGATTATCTTGTTTAGCAGTTTAATATCTCAGACTCGTTGATGATGACTGAGCATTTTCATTGTCATTAAATTGTCATAAAAATTTAGATTACAAATAAAAGCTAGCCAAATATAATCGATCGAAATCAGCACAAATCTTTCCTTTGGAGCGAGTGTGAACAAACACGAAGAACGATTTGTTTGTATATGTTGGAAATAAGGAAGTCAATTTGGTCGTGCGATAGTTGCATAGGTCATTCGAATGAGCTACTGAAACATGATCGACAGCTAATTTGGAATCAAGTGTCCAATTCCGTGAAACATATTGATCGTTTGCTGACGCAATATATTAACTACCGGCATTATACTCAGCCGTGGTACTTTCTACTGCTGCAGTTCGTCATCAAAAGTATTCCAAAGAGATCAGTGACGTTAGACTCGAAAGTTGAACAACTAAATTCAAGCTCCACGCTGTAAATATCTGGTGTCGGAATGAGATACATCTGTATAGAAACAGCTTTCGAACTATTCGTTGATAAAATCAATCATATTTACTTTTACTCAATCAGCACATCACAAAAATTCACCACTGAGCAATTTTGAGCGACGTTTTACATTGTGCGTGAATTCATAGGATTCATCTACTCTTCTGAAAAGCTTTTCTTAGAGATTCTTTTACACCAAACTTTCGAAAAAGAGATTCAACCGTTTCTTGTAGTCTACAAACATAAGCTCATTCTTCTTTCGAAGAAAACACCAAACTTGAGTCTTATAGTAAACTACCTCGCCATCACCCGCATGCAGTGTAATCGACTTACCGTTTACACATACATATGTCATGTTCAGATCCAATTATAAACAGATCTCTCAAAACTACATGAATAAGACTACATTCCGACATAAACACCGCCTTTGACACGTCCATATTCAAAACACTTTCATTGAAGAGAAAAGTTTTAAAGTAACTCTGAATATTGATTCCTGGCGACTAGAAGTTTAATACAATCAGTAGGAGAACAGTCTATTTGATTTAGTTCAGCTAATGTGGCACTCGCATATTCTCGAACAATGTTTCCACCTTGTTTGATTGTTTTATGGTGCTTATCTCGACAAATCTTGGTCACTGTTTCAGTTTTGCTCTTTTCATTCTGATTCAATGATTGCTGCATTTCCTTCTCAATTATACATCTTCCTGATGGTGTCGTTTCTCGATGCATCACGAAGACCATGTTGTTCGATTATTGAATCAAGACTTTCATCACCATAGACATTATTCTGTTTGAGAATTTCGTCTCTCAGATTCATTGATTACGGCCGCTGAGAACTTTCGTTGCTGAATTCTTGTGATGGGATAGAAAATACAGGTGGCAAACCAGCGAAGAATCTATCGAAATCAGCAAAGATCTTTTCCACTGGACGAAAGAGACCACCAAATGGAAATTCATTACGTTCATTGTCATTATCATTGTTCTCATTCATTTTCTTTCGGTCGAAATTTATCTACAGATGCAAAAAACGAAACTTCTATCGATGAAGTAAAACATCTACTTATGATACAATAAATTAGACCTCATACTAGAAACATATGCTCGATCGGGTTCGTACGTGATCATCTGCTCACATTCACGTAAGTCTCACATACCATCGTAAGACAATCATCAACAGATGTTCGATTCGCATTCATTGTTTTGAAGAAGATATGATATGATTAAACAATTTTAGTTAAATTTTATTTTGAAAAGAAAAAACTAGAGAATGAACAATAACAAGAGTAACAGTCGAATAGTCTTTCTGTAAAAGAAGAAAAAAACAGAATCGTTCTATTAATATATAGATATCCATTAAAAGTGAATAATAGTGAAATAATATTCAAATAAAAAAGTCTTGGCCTAGTTCATCGTCTCAACGAAATTGACTCATGGATATTCGAAGACCAAGAGATTCTTTTCCGATTTCAGTTGCTTTTGTTACACGACACAGTTGTCCTTTGAACTCGGGTAGATAAGCTGCACCGGACAACGGACATTTCACCAATGGATTTCCACTAAGCAAAAGAAAAGAATATTATGTCAAGCGAAAATCTTGATCATACCGATAAATAGGAACATAGGATGCTGCACAGATATCAAATGGATTGTATTCATCATAGTTGAGTGGTTGTTCGTCCACTGGGTTCTTTTCACATACACTCAATATCTTTCGAGTCTAAAAGCAATTTCTTGTAGGTGCAACAAAACATTCACTAGCATTATCTTCTTGAGCTGCAGCTGCTTTTTGCTGAAAATATGCAAAAAAAAGCTTTCAAACAAGAATATTCCGAAGGAGAGAAATCACTAACATTTGTTTGAATATCGTTCAAATCGAACCATCGTTGCACTTTATCGATATAGTTCATCTGTTGTTTTTCAGACGACCAGAAATTAACGATATGCATGAAGTCATGCTCATCAATATCACTGAAATTTCCATCGAGAATATGATGTTGTTTCATTGCCATGTTCATGTGAAAATAGATTACTCGCTCGTAACGGTTGTTAAGCTGAATATCAATGGTTTCTAGATCTTTGAACGTGCCCAGATCGATCATTCTGGTGACTGGATTTGTGTAAGCCTGAGTCGGTTTCAGTGTAATTTCAGCCGAATTCAACAATTTTCGATGGGATTCGGCAAACTCCTTGCCGCCCGATTCCGGTCGGATCCGACCGAGCCATAATAATCTGGGTGGTAGTAGTTGATTGTTCGCACCAGTCACTCGAATAGCTTCTTCAAGGATCGACACACCATGGAAGTCTGTGTGAAGAATTTTGACATGATAGCAATCGTCATATGTACTGTTCTTAATCAAGCATATGTTCCCACGATCAAAATGCTGTTCGATAGACACAAGCATTAATATTAGTGAGATTGAGAAGTGTTTTTATTTTGGTATCAGCAAAGGACTTTTTGAAGATATGAACGGCGACAACACATTTGGCGGGATACTCCTCTTGTGAAATTTCGCATTTTAAGATCTTGAGGGTGAGGGTGAACAGAAATCTTTTAAGAAAATTTCGTTTAATTCGGTACATACTTAAGAACTGTTTCTTTTATCAGAATGTAGCCTATAAAATTATCTACTAGAAAAAATGATTGATGCCAACGGGGTGGGAGTGTTCCTTTCAGTAGAGGATTAGCAACGCTCATATTGCGTACTTGTGAAATTAACATGATGAAACGACCTGTTAGCTGAGAGCTTTTAAGCTACTCACGGTACAAACTGTAGAAAAATTTCATTTCGAGTGTTATCTCCTGTATAGGAAGACAATTACGGCATAGATAAACAAAATTTCAAAGCGTCTTTCGTAAGTCAAAGTATCACCGTTCGATGTAGAATTAAATTTTTATTCAAATGGAGTACTTTTTATGAACGGGATTGATTTAGTGGAAAAGTTGTTAGCCAATACATCGTTTCTTGTTGTGCATCTATGTAATGAAATTGATCTCCTATTCGGATAGATTGTATACTCTAGAAGACGATATTGATAAAATGGTAGAGGTTAGAACTCACGTGAGAAAAAAAAAAGTTTCAAATGTAATTTCAGCGTTGAGAATTCCTTCACCAATTAGTCTGGTTACAATAGTTGTTAAGTAGAAAACAGATATAGTTTAGAATACGATGATGGTGCGCAAAAGGAAAACCTCATTTACTGGAATTGGAATCCATCGACTCATATTGTTGAAAGTCAACTTCGGATTGTATGCTTCAGAACATAAAATATTATGTCCGATGATGTTCTATCGTAATCGTTGTTCGCCTGAAAGAAAAGTATACGTGGTGCAAATCTTTATATTGTACGTAGAATTCGTTCGAAAGCGACAATCATCTAAAATAAACTGTTTCAATCTCATATGAAACGATAATGTAGATCTAATTGTCTTTAACAATCATGGGCAGGCGGCTTAGAGAGTGAGGAATGGGTGGGTGATTTCTTTTCTAGACACCATTTTAAGGAGGAAATGTGAGGAGAAGCGTCATGGAAAATGAGCGTTTTCCAGCGAAAAAGCGCTCATTGCCTTCCCTGAAACAACAGCTCGGTCCACTAATGTCAGTCTGAATGACCTCTCGCCTTTACATCTTCTTCCTTTAATGCCCTACAATGAGTTTCCTCCTAGCAAGATATTGATTCATCGTCAACTATCAAAGCTTTGCGGTATTCAGTATTCTCTCCTGCATATTGAACAGAATTTCATACTTGCTAGATATAAATACTCTCTTTAGAGTTAAGTCAAATCAACTGAACTCTTCTCGTGTACCATATTTCATACACATACCGTTTCTTGTTTCTGCTCCTAACTGATGTGTATCCAATAATTTTTCGAACTTTTCCGTCGAAGACAAGTAGACAATCGAGCTGTGAAAGCTAAGAAATAACAAGACATTGAAACAAATCAGAAGTGTAATTCTCTACTTACAAATCCTCTAACATAAAGAAACATGCCGATTGTTTAGCCTTTTTATTTTGAAATAAATCAAAGAATAACTTCGATCGATCAACACCGAACGGCGAGAGAATAGCACATTTGATTGCATTATTAAACATCTCAGGTGAAACAATCCGGCACGGAAATGGTCGGTTCTGGGGTATTCCAGATGAGCGGATCTGGTGGCTGGATTCAGCTGGTTTGGGCCGGAACCGACAGGACCATGTCAAAACTGGTAGTCGGAAATTCATGGAATCCTGCTTCAGGAGCCACCGTCCTGGAATGATTTGTTTCTTTTGCGTGTCGTATGAATCGGATGATGATAAAACAAAATAGCAAGCAGCAGCTTTGCCAAATGAATTTGTATGATTGAATATTTCAGCTACAAATTCCTGTACAATCGTAAAAGAAACGCGAGACATAATTGACCGTGTGTACAAATTATTTCATCATATGCATTTTTTATTTTAATTGTAAATCTTCGTCATAAGCTGAGTGAACATTTCGTCAAATCTCTTTTAATTCATGTAGTAGGATTCGAGCTTTTTCATATTCATTGGTTCTGATTGCAGATTCGATAGAATTTAAATAAAAATTCTCATCAATACCGATCGGATCACTCATTCTCTAAAGTAGCAAAATAAAATTGACACGCCTGTGCCAAAAATCTCGATTCGTGCTAAATCAATCAGTACACATTCAACTTATATAAAAAAAATAGTCATAACAGTAACGACAATAGAACATCCCGATGAAACAGAACATCTTATTTGCAAACACACTCAAATAATAACCACAGAACATCGAGAGACGTTGCGGTGAACGAGCCTCTGACAAGAAATTTTTTTACATCGACGATAAATACCGAATGTACCTAGCACATATTGTTCACTTTGCAGACCCTATCGTATCCCTCTGGAAAAAAAATCGGCTCCGATGAGTACATTCTACCTGCGTAGCTACCACTACACTTTGACTATTCAGAACATTTACACGAAATGGAAATCTTAAACGAGCAAATCCATAGAATTAATATCGTTTATTCAAGAGAACAGCTTTTTAAACAAATCTGAATATTTATTTCCACCAACTATTGGCTCATTACCATCAGTTGGAGAACAGTCTATTTGATTTAATTCTTCTAATGTGGCATTTCCATATTCTCGAATAATATTTCCATCTTGTTTGATTGTCGTATGATGCTTATCTCCACAAATCTTCGTCACGGTTTCGGTTTTATTCTTTTCATTTTGATTGAATGACTGTTGCACTTTCTTCTCAATTATACATTTTCCGGATGGTGTTGTTTCTCGATGCATCGACGTTATTGTCGATGAACTCGAAAAGGTCGGAGGAAACGCACCATGAAGACCGTGCTGTTCGATCGTCGAGTCGAGATTTTCATCACCATGAACATTATCTTGTTTGAGAACTTCGTCTCTCAGGTTCGTCGAAGACGACCGCTGAGAATTTTCGTTGCTAAACTCTTGTGATGGGATAGAAAATACAGATGGCAAACCAGCGAAGAATCTATCGAAATCAGCAAAGATCTTTTCCACTGGACCAAACAGGCCACCGAATGGAACTTCCTCATCTTCATCGTCGTTATCATTCATTTTCGTTTTCGTTGAAATTTATCTACAGGCAGAAAAAAATGAGACTTCCACCAATAAAAGAAGACATCTACTTATGATACGACAAATTAGGCTTCATTCTATATTCGTATATGATCTTCTGCTCACATTCACGAAAGCGGTCTCACATGTCATCATAGGAGAGTTATCAGTAGATGTTCAATTCGTATACATAGGTTTTCAGAGCATGTAATGTGACTATGCCTAAGTTATGATTAAACAATTTTAGTTAAATTTTACTTTGAAAGGAAAAACTATAGAATGAACAACAACAAGAGTAGTAGTCGAATAATCTTTCAGTAAAAGAAGAAAAAAACAGAATCGTTCTATTAATATATAGATATCCATTAAAAGTGAATAATAGTGAAATAATATTCAAATAAAAAAGTCTTGGCCTAGTTCATCATCTCAACGAAATTGACTCATGGATATTCGAAGACCAAGAGATTCTTTTCCGATTTCAGTTGCTTTTGTTACACGACACAATTGTCCTTTGAATTCGGGTAGATAAGCTGCACCGGACAACGGACACTTCACCAATGGATTTCCACTAAACGAAAAGAAAGAATATTATGTCAAGCGAAAATCTTGATCATACCGATAGATTGGAACATAGGATGCTGCACAAATATCAAATGGATTGTATTCATCATAGTTGAGTGGTTGTTCGTCCACTGGGTTCTTTTCACATACACTCAATATCTTTCGAGTCTAAAATCGATCAGAGAAGATAATATATCGATGGGATGAAGTCGAATGCTAACCTGTTGAGCAACATCAGGCGTTGGTCCCAATTCTAGCAAACGCTTAGCAAAACTTGCTGCTACTTTGTAGTTTTTCATCTTAAATGCTTGAACCGATGCAGATTTCAGTGTCATTATTTTGTGTACGGGTTGCAATTGAATATGAGTAAAATATGCAGCTAATTCACATGATCGTTTTTCATCTTTGGCGATGTCTTTCTTCGCCATTGACATTTGTAGTCCAACGATGTATTCTTTACAGATTTCGATGAGTTGTTGACTTTCGAGAATATCTTGACGTGATTCGACAACAAGTAATGGCACCGACAACAGAATGGAACGGAAATTTTCAACTGCTTCTTGAAATTTGCCATTTGTTGTTAGACGATAGGCGACTTGAAGACGAGCAACTAGAGTTTCTAGTTTCAAACCAACAGCTGGAAAGAATAGTTTCGGTGAATGTGCATCACGCCTAAAACGAAGACAAATGTTGCATATTTCAATTCTGCAACAAAGATAGAAACAAACCAGTTTCGTAATGGATATGCATATAAAGCTGGTAATGATGGTAAAGCTGTAAAAGCTGTTCGTGAGCGTGAATAGATTTGCAGGAATATTTGTTTGTATTCTTCAAAACTGACGATGCCAACTTGATCATGTAGTAGGCGCATAGCTGATTCGAATGAGCCACTTAAAACATGATCGACAGCTAGTTTGGAATTTTGTATCCAATATTGTGGAACAGATTGACCTTTTGTGGGTGCAACAAAGTATCCACCAGCATCATCTTCATCACCAGCACCGCCGGTTGCGCCAACTCCTTCCTGTGAACATACAATAGTGTCATTCGTAACAGAAGAAAATTATTTGAAAGAGATGAATCACTTACAAGATCAGGTGGTAATTCCAGATCAGTATCACCCCAACCTTCACCTTGTTCATCTTGACTTGCATTGATACCTGAACGTCCAACATCGTCCTCGTCAAGTTCCATTTGCACTTCATCATCAGCCCAGTCACCACCACTTGTAGCCGCATCTTCATAGCGAACATCTGCAGCGAGTTTTGTTGGAACATTAGCGGTCAGACCAGCTCCTGTTGCTGCCGGCTGATTGCTTACTAAACCTGCACCTTCAAAAATTCCTTTCGAAACAGCTAATAATGGCCAATTCGATTCCTGTTGACTGATTGGACATGGAGGTGAAATCAATTCCGCATTTGGATCTATTTCAGGAACCTAAAGCAATATTCTTTGTTTTACTTTCAATTAATCTTCGCAATTGCATCGTTACTTTATCGTCAAGAGATTCTCTTAATTGTTCAGCTTGTTCATCAAGACCGTGTGTAGCTGCCATGACATATGCTAATGATTCTAGTGAAAGGAAAAGATAATGAAGATTGACTTGGATTGATATTTAAAGGATTTACTTTGATTGCATTGGCGAAGAAGTTTCACTCGTTCTTCAACATCACCCAACAGCATAGCGATTTGAAATTGTCCACTCACATCTTTTCGTACTTCAGCAATTTTCATCATTTTTCTTAGTTTTTCGAGATTGCCCGTGATTAAATAGAGAAAAGCTAATTTATCAAAATTCTTCGTTCGTTNGGTGTTCCTGTTGTACGTTGGATTTGTGATTGAATTGTATCGGGTGGTGAATAAACGTTCTTTTTTCGTAAGCCTGAAATATCCCAAACTCGAACTGTTTGATCGAGTGATGCTGATACAACTAAATCATCGGTTGGATGAAATTGTGCGCACATGACATAATGATTATGACCAGTCATCACACAAACACATTGTCTCGATTGCCAATTCCAAATACGAATGGTTTGATCATCACTTGCAGAAATAATCCATGGATATTCATGATGAAAAAATGTCGTACGAATATAATCCAAATGACCCAATAATGTAAATAAGCATTTGCGCGATTTATAATTCCAAACTTTGATTTTATAATCATCACCACCACTGACAAATAATGGTTGTGCATTATGAAAATGAATGCCACGAACCGGTCCATCATGTTCATCGAATTTGTCGATTAATGTTTTCATTCGATAGTCCCATAATTGAATAATACCGGAATGAAGTGATGTTAAAACCCATGGCCGTTTTGGGTGAAAGGATAAACCTTTGACACGTGCTGATTTCGATTCAAACTTTGTCAACATATCTACAAATACAAATAAACATGAGATTTATATTCACAAAAGTGAATTCATTCTAAAACAAAACACGGTGAGATGTATGCGTATTAAAAAATTACTGTGAAAAAAAAATACTGATTAGAAAAAATTGAGAATCATCGGAATGACAAGATAGATCGAAGGAGATACTACTATTGATTGTGAAGCATAATAAAACATAAATTCGTCGACAATTTGCCACGGATTCCGGCCATCATCATAACGAATTGGACAACTATCATCTAGAGAAATTCAAATGAATTGAATAGTGAGGAAAAGTTTTTTCCACTTACGAATTCGTTCAGCTTCTTCGAGAACAACCTTTAAATCAGCACCATCTTCTGGTTTATAACTTTGTGATGTTTGATTGAAACCGCAAAATGATCCAGCTGAGCGAGATAAATAAATTTTAAATAAATCCATTCGTTCGTAAACCCAACATTTAAAATTAACATAAGGATCATCGCGATCATAAGTTATCAAGTAAGATCGAGAATCTTCTCTCCAGTAACCAGCACATTGATAAATATAATCAGGCTGTTCGTAAACACCAATCGGAGTTCCGTACGGATCCAATTGTCGGCAATATTCTCGATCAGCAAACATGGATTTTGTTTGATCACCGCAAATGGACCATTGAGAAACAAGAAATCGTGGATCACACGTGATATACCATCCATGATCACGCGGCCGAGGTGTAACACCGCCGCGAATTCGTGTTCGAATTAACGAATTCGGTTGGCCAACTTGCTTAAATGTCCACATGCCAGTGAATGGGCATTCGACAGGTGCTGGTGGGTCCAAAACAAAAACTTGGTATTTCCAAGCTGCATCGTTGCCGAAACTTGTCCATGAACAGACTTCGAAAAGTGGATCACGTTTAGACAAATCGTCGTACACATTTGACATAAAAGATTTCGATTTTCGGTATCGTAAGATGTTATGATGACGCGATTTGAAATCAAAACAAATGTAATAAGAAAAACATTCACCTGTCGTTACACTTTTAACTAAATATTGTTCTCGATTTGTTTGCTGACAAACATAATAAGTTTCTCTTAACCAACCACGATTATTAACTCGAGCTATTTCGTGAATATGTGTCGAATTAATAATCGTTCGAGCGTTAATATTGGCGGTGTTCACCCATTCACCGGTGAAGTTTTTTGGAAAGAAACAAGTGGCTGTTGGAACTTCGGGGATAATCGGTGTAATAATGACCTTTTCCGGGCCATCCGTCGGCGAATACAATCGTGAACATTCGGCGAATAAAGATTTGGCAAACCATTGTGGTTGATCTTTACGTGTTAACATACAACGAAATTTGTCATACCAACGTTCTGTTCCCACACGTTCATTAGCGATACCAGTGAATATATCACCTTTTTCATTCATCCAATAGCCCAAACATTGGTATAATGGTTGTGCGTCGATGGAAGAAACAAGATCACGACAGTAACCATATGTCATCCAAAAGCGTTCGTTCAAAGCTTCGAACGGTGTACCCGGATCAGGACAGGAGACTAAACGTGAGATTGAATTATCACAAATACCAATACCGCCCTCTCGAAATTCATATGTAAAATGGTATGTGCCATAAATCGTCGGTCGGCATTCCTCAGCGGAGTAAGTTTTTGCTAAATTGAAAGATAAGACTCAGCAGCCAAAGAAGACGAAGGAGTTAACTTACAAAATAAGGTATCGAATTCAGCTTCTTCGTTAATCGTTAAACAAAGATCGTGAAGATTCATTAGATTTGTTTCGAATGAGGTCACCTCATCGCATTCACTTTTCCGTACTTGAAGAATATTTCGAGTACGATTGTAAATTTGAAAACATTGATAACATGATTTTTCTCTAAAACAATCGTTTTCTCTTCATTGTTTATCAAGAACTTTCAAATTTCAACACACTTATCACGATAAATCAATTCATAGTGATGTTTAGATTCATGTTGAAATGGATTCGATCGCCAGTTGATCATATAACATTCGCCAACAAATTTATTGTTTAAAATCGTTATAATATTCGCAGTAGCACCAAGACCGGACTGACGTCGACGAAATTCTCGGATGATTTCACCGTTTTTCTTAAACGATGTATGAGTCTCCAGACCATTTTCATACGAATAGTATTCACCCAGTATTGGATAATCAATCGCACATCGATTTTGACTAGTAACTATATGAATGAAAAGCAGATTTGATTAAAAAAAACAACTGACTATCGTGCAAACCTGTTCCGATGAAAAATATAATAAATAACGGCGTTATAGCCATCTAGAAAAGAAAGAAAACAAATATGGTTACACGTCAGCTTTACACGTCAGCCAACCAATTTCAAGTCAATAATATGATTCATTCATTCGATTCGAATAAATACAACGATGAGATACACAGTCGAAAATCTCAAAATCAATTAATTTGAATTAATACACACTCTTAAATAGCGTTCAATTTTTTTTTACCACGATGGTTTCTTATATCTTATGGGACGGATTACGATCGATAATACGATTAAAAAGAGTTCCTATAAAAATGACAGCTTGCTATCGTTCATTTCAGTGTCGAATTTACTGATTTCAAACAACAAAAATTTCGGACGCATTTAAACCGACCCAGTTTTTCATCATACCGATGATCAAAATCACAATGTTGATCATTGGATTAGGATGAACCAAGGTTAACTACTTTAGTTTCAATACAATTGATTTCGATTGTATTGAAAACTACAAAATACTCATCAAATTAAACAGCCATGTTCACGATCTAAATCAAACAAAATGACGAGACTCTATAGATAAAGGTCATCATTCGATAGATGTCCGTAGATGTTCATCACGTTACTATGACATCTTCATTCGTAATGAACGAATGAAATTTGACGGACAGACCGTTATATTCCGTTTTATGTTGATAAAATGAATAGTAATATTGATGAGAAGTTGAAACAAAAGTTTTTAAATCAAGCTCAGGTATTTCTGAAACGTTTGTAAACTTTTTCTTGCGATCAATCAAATTTCTTTTCATAGAAATTATTAATCTCTTCTGGAAAGTCGATTGAAGATCTCCAAACATTATTTCGAACAATACAACAATCAGGTTTACATTGAACTCTATTCATCGAAATTCTATACACGTATATCCCACTGAAATCTAGATCAATATCCATATTTCCAACACATATTCAAATCAACTGAAGTTATACCTTGCGATGAACATAAATACGAGATTGAATATTTAAAAAGAGGCCAAGTATGTGTTTGCGAATCGAATTCAATATCTTTATACGTTCTGTTTTTTGCAGGCAGCATGGGAAAAACGAATAGTGAAAAGTCTGAACACGATGTGCACGGAAGTGAATCTACCGCTGGCACGACGAGTATATTATAGTTTTCACATGAGATCAAATTCATGATTTTGTTTTGTAGAGAAACGAAAGCGAAATGCGATCAGTTCGAAGACACTGGAATGAACTCGGTCATATTTCTGGAGGTAAAATTTGCTTTTTCGAAGTTCGATCGTTCAAGAAAGATTTTATTTGAAAGATTTAAATCGTTTTCGTCCGGTTTATTCTGCCAAAGATTTTCTTGATGTCATTTGTGTCCTAGTCAATCCAAATTTAAAAATTGATGAAGCACTCTGGAAGTAAGACACATCATATCTTGAACATATCTTCACATTTAACTGTTTGTTTTTATTAAAGTTCTGGTTTAATCAAAATTCCGATCGTTACAAAAAGTTTTGTCGAAATTGTGTGTTGAACGAAGTGAAATCGTTCTTTTGTTAACTATCTGTTGCATTTAGAAAGCGTTTTATTCTGATCTTTGTCCAAACATAATTCAGTACTGTTCCGATGAAACGTTTAATGAAGCTAAAGAAGAAGAAAACATTAAGTTAGCCTTACAAAGTAAATTCACACATAAAAATGAAACTTTTTTGTCTGAACATTGTTTTAAGTTTTGGAGAAAAAATTAAACATCAAATCTGTACGTGAGTATGCACGTCGCGGTTGTCCATCGAGTCTTCGAGGAAAACTGTGGTCAGCCATGTTAAATATCGAACATTGCAATTGGGTAAGAGAAGAAGAGAGGAACTTGGTGTTTGTTACTAATTCACATTTAGCATGTGACTTATTTCAATTATCTCAAACAAAATGTGATCGATTTTGATCTGTTAGTAGATAATTTATATTTCAAAGTAATTAAATGCAGAGAGAGTAGTGTCGAATATTCATGTTTTGTTACGTTAGGATGTGAAATTAACAGCGGTGAATGATGATCAACTCTTCGTTTTTGAAGATTATTTATATCAGGTTAGTGAAGTATCAAGAAACAAAAGTTATTTTGTACGAATGACTCGTTTAGATGCTTTTGCTATTCTCTCGTGATACATACGTTCAAGCATGTTTTACAGCTAGTGCAAGTGGATGTCAACCGACACGATCGTTTATTAAAAAGAAGTCGGGCGTAGAAGAATGTTCAGTTGTCTATCCACCAAATGGAATTATTCCATTTTATGGCTTTTCAATGCTTGGTAAAGGACATAACGTTCGAAAGAAAGTCGAGATCTATCTGTTTTTGTTTCCTCCAATAAAGTGGCGCCAATGTGTTTCGTGTTCGAAGACCCAGTTCATTTATATTTCATTTTCCGACAGTTTTATATAAAGCACTTCTTCAATTTACATCATATCTCAGCAGCACCCAACGTAAGTTTTGCTTTAATAACAAAAATCTTGGTTGGACGAATGTTGAGCCATCTAGGCTATCATCGGCTTATGTGTTTTATTCGAGTCATTACTACGGCAAGTGTCTTCGGAACTGTGGTTTCATTTACAAAACATACAAGTTCAGCCGTGAGTTCGAATCACCACTCTTTACCAATTGAGAAATTCTTCGAGAAAACTTTATTTAGACTTCGAATCGCATTTAAATGGATGATGAGAGCATTTTCTGGCTATTTAGCTTGCAATCAACTATTAGCACTTTGGGATCGAATTCTTGCATATGATTCACTCGAAATTTTAGCTGGTATTCCCATTATCTTTTCGTTTCATCTTCATGTTCTCATTGCATTTGTAATGTTTTAGTTCTGGCTGTTGCAATATTTGTGCTACGCAAAGGAAATGTTCTGAAAGAATCCAGTGAAACAGCTATTGAAGTAAGTCGAATTTCATCAAATGACGTTGATGAATATATATCAATGTCATTCATATAGGCGATATTCTCTGATATATCATCGATTAAAGTGATTCCATTACTGCAGTTTTTTCTTGGATCTTAACTTCAATTTTCGTGGATTGTAAAATGTTCTACGTTAATAAAATAAAATATCGCGTGCATAGCATTACCTTTTCCAGATCAACTATAAACTTAACATACTCAGTACGGACGTGCTGAACCATCCATTTTCATCGTAATTAACAGGTTCGATAGCCAGTTTTGATTTTGTTTTAATCTATTGCAATGTTTGATAATCTGCACACAATCTGTGAATAAACTTCCATTGGCTTCGCTGTACTTTTGCCTCATAGATAAACTAACAATCGGTTGTAAATGTAAATTTATCACAAATCATGCTTCATTTTCGACTGCAAAATCAACTTGTCCCGTCAACCATATTTTTGAGTTGTATCTCTCTAAACAGACGATTTTATTTACTATCTCTTGATTGTACTCGTCTACAATTGAATATATTTCTCCTGTATTTAAATCTGAATTAGATTCACTCGGATAGGTTGATTCAATTCAACATCTCGTTCTACATCTTGTATGCGTCAACAAATTTATGTTCTCTTTTACCTTGTTTACCTACACTTGACACGATGCTTCATTTATGCAGTTTTTATCACACTGTGCAAGTTAATTCAGGTGAATATTCAAAATATCTACCAATGATTCACTTTAGCGCTGATCTCGTCACTATTAAAAGTGTACTCGATTCAGTGAAAATGTTAGTACATTTTACTATTATCACTTATCGTTTCTTTTCTTAAATTCATTGGTATTTAGTGTACCGACGGTGTATGACCAGCGTACAATTAAGAAAGAACAGTCTCACCATTAAAAAGATGCTTAATCAACATTTTCGTCTGTAAACTATGCCTTTATTGAAAAAAATTCCTTTTCGTGAAAATGACATGCTTAAACATCAAGGAGGAAGAGTGAGAATTTAACTATTTCAGACAATGTTTGAAATACGGGTGAAGTGCTTTGTTTTTGAAGTCTCCTATTTTCCATTTGGCTAAAATATCCAATTATTAGTGCATCTTTGTGAAAACAGTGGAAATGCTGTAGATTAAACTGCTTTGTAATATGCTTTTCGAATACTTTGAAACGACCTTTTTCTAAGTGCAGATGCGTCTTGTCACGCTCTATGATGACATAAAGAAATAATAGAATAATCAAAAATACCCACAGATTCTACTGTTTTGATTTGCATATTTCGAGATCACTTTTTATGCTCTTTTATCTTAGCTGGTCTTTTTTGAAACGCAAAATTATTTTACATCTAGTTGGGAGAGATTTAAGGGAAAAGTGCAACATTTATAGTCGTCAAAGAAATGGGGAAATGGCACTGCGGGATTTCAGTATTTCGATACTTCAAACGGCGCTGCCGTACTCCAAAAATTACTCCAGTACTTGACAAATTCCATCGTTTACGGTGTCTTTAGCAGCTTATTCTATACGAATTCATATCCTGTTCGACTTCAAAAGATCTTTTGCTCAACAAAGAATGTTTTCCCACTATCATACATAAAGCGGAAGCGAGATATGATCTATAGATTTGTGCCCAATCGATGTTCGAAGGAGCTGGCGGCAACAAATATGCATTAGTCATGATCCCATGATATTTATGCCATTATTAAGCGACTGAGTTTGCTTGGAATGTGAATGATCGATTAAAGAGCTGAAGTGGAATCAGATTACAGAAATGTTACATCGAAGTATGAGTGTATCATGTGGAGTACTGGAGTGCCCCCGGAGTGTTGGTATACAATTTCGTCAATATGAACTTTTTGGATGAAATATCAATACTTCAATCGGTAGTCCCGTCTTCCAAAGCGTACTCTGCGTAGGCATCCAGCTTATTTTATTTACTCTGAACACTTTTGACTGTACTTCGCCACTTTAAGAGTTTGAGAAATTCTGTTACAAATTCGGAGTTGGCTGTTTCTTCCCTGCGTGAAAAGCTCACCTAATAACAGATTATCCGTAAGAAGATGATACATGTGTTATTGTGTTTATCATGTCTTTGGAATTTTTCTTTTTCTGTCCTTTCATCGTCATCCAATCCAGGTGAATAGTAAAGATCACGAAGACGATTAACCAATAAGCTTTTGTTGGAAAATCTTCCACTGAGCATCTAGTCACAATCATATTGAGATTTATATGGTCATTTCAAGTGAGTAACTTGTAGAAACTTTCTTCATAATAGACTTTTCAAATCAATAGATGTAATGATGCCCTTTACAGGTGCTTCTCGACGATACGGACAGATTTGATCTTTACGCTAGGATTTTGAGCATGCTATCAATACAATTCCGTGTCCTATTGTTACTTTTATTGTGTAGGAATAGGTGAAGTGAAACATTCGACTTCTTCAATAAGGCAATTTTGAGCGCGACTTACGATTGTCTTTGTTATTAGCCACGAAATTTCCAACAGGATTTCAGTGCGAAAAAGGAGGAACTGCCAGGTGAATAATAGGAGAGTATTAATTTCCGATAAAGAATACTACCAGTGAAGAATTCTAGTGTAGATCAGCATCACAAAGTAGGAGGAAATTGAGATCAAGATTTTATTTTGTATTGATGTTGGCATTCAAGCAAAAGCTCAGTGTGAGTTTTGTGACTGTTTAATGAGCATATTTGAAAACAACCTTCTCTGCTCACATTGTTCCACTCCTTGCACCTACTATGGTGACACGTTTCAATCATGTCGAAGAGAATGTCATCAAGATTGTGCTTTTTTGTTAAAAATAAATGGTATCTTCACGATAAAAACTAAATCTCGAAAAAGTATCCAAGCTTTCCAAACATGTCACATCAAATCCAACCATGCAATAAAACAACCACAGCAAGTTAAGTCATACACTAAGGTAGAGTAGAAATTCGTTCGTACTGTTGATTTATTTTACGCACAACTCTGTGCATATCCCATTCAAATGACACCATAACACTCGTATTATGTCAATAAGTTTGTACAAACAACAAAAAATATCTTCCCATAAATACTTGTGAATGGCAGACGTTCGTTTCGTCTGTGTGACCGTGCACTGCGTAGGATTGAAGAGAACTTCACACCGAAGATTTCCAGCATGGAAATGCCGGCGTAATTGCAAAGTGCTCAATGAGTTGGTGAAAACAATCAACTCTGCCATGATATATTGATTGAATAACTGACAAGCAGACTGCTATATCTTAAAATAACAGCGGACTTTTCACCTGTGCACTCGTCTTCTATAAAAAAGATGATTAAAAAGTAGTATTCCTCATGTAAAGAAAAAAAAAGGATATTACATGACGATCAATTATTTATTTGTGTCTACTGTTTATGTGAAGTAGAGAAAGGAATACGATTAAAAGTATATTACTGCACGTGAATGATTTATAAAGTGGCGCTTCTACATGTCTCGGTTCAAAAGTGATTTCTTGACAACGAATGGCACTTTCGCGAGAAAGTTATTCAAGCGATTCAATCTTTCTTCCAATTTTTTTTGGTATAATATTTATTCATGATACTTTTTACCAATTGAAACAAGCTCATTACGCGAAGTGTTTTGTACGCATGAAATTCAATATCTACACATGTGCTTGTTGTAAGTTCTTTTGTTAATAAAGTCGAATCACATGCGTATGACTTTGCCGAGGCAATTATGAAATTACTACTCAATAAACACGCAAGACTAATTAGAATAAAGACTTATACCGCGTCTTATTAGTACACAATAGATCTAGACAAAAATAAATCCAACTAATTTCAAACTCCACAAAATAATCTGTCTGCTTTGATCATGAAACATTTCATCTGAAATTGCTCCTACTAATTCACTCTCTTTCAAGTCGTATTTAGAATCCTAATGATAAGGATTCGTTCCATGGTTTAATTATTAGACGAGAAGAAGAGATAGCTCTGATTCTGTTATCTTAGCAGGAGGGCAGACGCGTTAACATTGAAACAGTCGTTTATTTTATTCTCGAAGTAAGAGTCAACTCAGCAGAAAAGAAAATATCAGACTCATTTCCGTTCTTTCAAACGTCATATCTAATGGATGTTTGAATGAGTTCAGTGCGTGACTGATTGCTTACTAAAACATCGTGTTCGTAATCTTCTTCACAAATATTATCCGTAACCGTCATTCGCACTGAAAAATATGCAAATCAATTTTCTCCTCCCTTATTACTTGCTTCCTCTCTTCTCGTTTTCACTGGAAATATGTCCACGTATCAACGAGTACTACATTCTTTTCTTTATTCGAAAATAATTGTTTTTCTTTGATTACTTTAATGAAAAATGTGTACGTCAATCAATAAAACATCGTTCGATAATAAATATAAATACTGACAGTTCTGTTCATGACAGAAAGATAGAATAAACCCTACACGAACGCGCAGAAACATTCAAACACACTTAGACAACAACAAGAAGGAAAAAGGAAAGGAAGGAAGAGGTTAGTTTCTATAAGAAATACAACGAATGATTATATTATTGAGTATAGCAATAAACCAAGAACGGGTTTCACTAGAATCGCTGAAACTAATGAAAATGCACTTTTCCTGTTCTATATAGTGAGCTGAGAGGATTGCCATGACATGTCAATAGTGTTAATTATCGTATCTATAAACGTTCGAATTCTCTGTTTACATTTTAGATGTTCAAGATATTCAATTGAACAATGATGCTGTCGAATGTGTCAAATAGAGTGTTGATTCGATTCACTGAAAATTATGCACAAATTCATGGAAGAATTGTTTTTCCATTGACAATTTTCGGAATCTTGACGAGCATTGTTACCATTGCCGTACTTAACAGAAAAAACTTTCGTACGCCGACAAATTTAATTCTACAGCACGTGGCATTTTTCGATACAGTCGTTTCAATATCTTACAATATATTTTCATTGTATTTTTACATTCTCCATGATCCCAATCCATTTGTAGGTCAATCGATATTTTGGCCACGTTTCGCAATATTTCATTCCAATGTTGGCCTCACCGCTCATACAATTGCCCTATGGTTAACTTGTTTGCTAGCAATTGTAAGTAACAAGATCAAAGAAATGAACTAATCGAATTCAGCTAATCCATTTTCTTCCAGATTCGATATATTATCATATCTAAGCCAAAAAAAGTCGTCATTAATTCCATCCATGTAACTATTCTCGTTTGGATCGTTGCTATGACCATATGTTTATTGATGATTCCGAATTATTTACTATGGAGTGTAGTTCCTCATCCTGCACGTGAATATTTTCCGCAAAGCTACGATGAAAATGCCACCGAAATTGTTTATTGGGTCAGTACAGCAACAGGTGGACGATTGGAGCGAGTTTCTTTTGGCATTTTAGCCATATGTTTTAAAATTTTACCTGTTTTTATTCTTATCGTATTCAGTGTTCTATTAATTCTCAATATTCATCATGCACGCCAATTACGCGAACGTCTTCGTCGTCGTTGTTCAGGTGTATCATCGTCTTCATCACGTTTAAAACGCGAATTACGTACAACAACGATGCTTGTTTTTATCACATTGTTTACAGTTCTCGTCGAATTTCCTCAAGGTCTTCTCCTTATTGCCACTGGCATCGATAAAGAGTTCTTCGTGTTATACTCACATCTCGGTGACATTTGGGATATAACATCGATTGGTTCATCATTCATTACATTTATCATGTACTGTTCAATGTCTCAACAGTTTCGTATGGAAATGTACGCATTGATATTACCCAAATGGTTTACAACGGTGTTTAATATAAAAAAAGCCACGACTGACATACCTAATGGAATTAATCTGCAACCTCGAACGACAATTACACATACAATTCTTATGTCACCGGGCACTACACGAACTCCACAAGATCTTTAGAAATAATTCTAGTTCTCCATCTGACAGACACGTTTTTTTTTATCTGCGAGCGTTTCCAGGCAGAAGTCCTGCGGAAAAGTGATTTGATTGTTTGTGGAAGTAGTTGTCTTGAGAGTACCAAAACGATTTGATTACCAACTCAAGAGAATATCTCTGGTGAGGATGAGAGCTTTCTGTATACTGGAAAGAACTTCACTTCGTACTTGTGTCAATTTACAGCGTAATATATGCTCGCTTCATTTCATGCAAAAATCATAACTTATTGTTAGACGTCAGAAAGGAACAAACGACTTTCTGATTACCTTGATTGCATTAATCGGTTTTTCTCCCTTAGCTCAACGAATTTGTCTCGTAGTACTGACTGCTTTTTTGAATAATTTATTATTACTGTGCTCAGTTGCACTCGATCGTATTTTTTCAGAGGAACTATAAAAAATAAAAAGTGATTATTCTTGTAATTGATGCTTTTTCTTTTCCCAGTTCAATGTTCAATTTATCATCATCAGTATATTGAGAATGATTGTAAACAAAAGAATCTTTTCTTTTTAAATTGATCCCAACAAAAGCCAGCTTGAATCAATCATCGTATTGCCATTGTAGCCATAAACTTTACGGAAGTTATATGAAATTATTCTTATAATAATTAATTCATGATCATTCGCCCACACGTTCATCAATTTGCATGAATTACGATAATAAATCAAAATGAAATACAAGTTCGCATGTCTGGAGTATAGAGAGTGCTGAATAATTGTTTAGGATCAGTGAAAAAATTGGTTACAATAACGAAAACATATACCACATTGTTTCATGAGTGGAACTTAGAAAAGTGCTTTCCTCCATGTGAACGATTACCTACGATTTCTGCGATATTCCACTGAATAAAAGAACAAAGATGATACTAATCAATATACGAAACGATGTCTTCTATAGATCAAGCCTTTAATTCAATTGATCGTTTCGAACAACTCAGGTATGACAGTTGCTAATCTCTGAAACTAGTGCTTCTTGACTTAGGTCTGCGCAATGTTAAGTTAAGTCTTCTTCTCTTGACTTTGACAAGAACTTCGAGGAGTTCGTTCTTTTTCATTAATTTTCTTGTCATGATAATCTTTTTGTATTCTACTGACTTTCCCGTCAAAATAGCTTTCTATTTATGCTTCTGTTTTCATAAGTTTATCAGATGTTCAGCATTATCTGACGGTTGAAGTGTACCTTGTGACTTGACAAAATATCTCACGTGGGCGATCTGAATCTACGGAAATGAATGGAACCTACCTGAAAATCACTCTAATGATTTCTTTTGTATTGATTATCAAAAACGAGCTTTGCACTTTCAATGGCACTTGTCGTTAAGTTCACCACATATGATAGTCAACAGTTTAAGCACAATTCGCTTGAGTTGGTACGAAATAAGAATAGCTCAGCATAAGTACCATGAATTTCAAAAGGTTCTGATATACCAGAACGAGAGAAAAAGTACTCACTATCAACATTTGACTTTGAATGCTGTACTTTAGAATTATTCTCATTCGCCTGTCCGAGAAATGTGAATACGAAAATAATTAGAGGTGCTTGTTTATTTTTGAATGCCTTAAGCATCACTATTCACTTCAGGACACACATTTTGTTCACATTGGCCAGAATTATCTTAAGGACGGACGAGAGATAGAAAGATAAAACCACCAGCTGGATTATCGAACCGTTTGTTCAATCTTTCGCTATAGTGAAATCGATGATGAGAACGCACACATCTATCTGTCATGGTAGAACATTGTTAAATACCGAGAGAAAATAGGGAGGAGATTTTTGAATGTAAATGAATATGTATATTGTTTTCGTTTAAATAAAAACTTTCATCCAGACAAAACAAGAACAAAACGAATATGAGTTAAAAATAAATCAATCAAAATCCAATCATTTTTGTTTATTCTTTCTAGGTGATGTTTGAGGAGATGCTTGTCGATCAAGTTTCTTTTGTTTCAATCGAGCTTTTTCTTCTTTTTGTTTCTTCTTCGAGTTGAAACTATCGACCAAACGATAAGCAACAAAACCTAGAAACAAGAAAAATTCACTTTTACAAACACGACTATCCAAATTCACTTACCAATAAGAGTAATAATAATGATAGCTGGAATGATAATCAAGAAGTTGTTGTAACTAGTTGTGTAACCAGGTCCTTTTAATTCAACCTGATTGAAAAAATCGAATCGTATCTTTGTCTTCGAGCTTAAAGCTTTTACTTACCATTTTTTCAAATGATGTGTATATCGAACGAAGACAATCTCGTTTAAATTAATGAAAAAAGAAGAAGATCAGCAGAAAGAAATCGACAACGTTGTCAATCCATAGAATATTCCTTCTGAACCAATCGTAAGACAAACGATAATACCTGCGACATCTTTTTGCTCCTTTCGTTCAAAACTATAATTAGTTCTTGATAGAAAATAAAAGAGAAAATATTTTTTATTTTATTTATGCGCCTATTTAGAAGACTATGTGAAAGAATGGTTGCTGACAGAACAGTCCTCATTGCAAGTAGAACTTATTTTAATAATACGTAGAGCAGAAAAGTTAAATGAACTGGTCGATTTAATGAAAAAAAATTCAAAAGAAAGGAACGGATGAAGCAAACGTAATTGATTCTTTAGTGTTAATGCACCAATGATTTATTTGTAATCAATTTTTACTATTACATTCTTCGGCTTTTTTGAATGTTCTACGAATCATTACAACGAGATACGTTCGATTTATCTCATTTTCGGTGGAAAATTGTTTGTAAAAATCGACGGACTAAAAGTGAAGTTAATATGTTCACGCGAGACAGTCTTTCATTCTCGGTTGATCTGTCTAGCCGAAAACGAATATGATATTTCTCAATATATTTCATAATAAATATCAGAAGGTCGATATTTCCAATAAATTATACGAAAATATGAGTTGTATCTCTCGAGAAAACTTGTCTTTATCGATTATTTCGATTGATAGACATCTGTACTACATATGAAATAAAACAATCGAGTGTTGGTTAGAGGTCGCTGTTGCAACATAGACGAAGGAATGAAATTCGCACAGGATTGGTTGTCAACTTACCAAATGTAAAGTAAAAACTGTTATTGTCGTCGTCGTTTATTCTTCTGTAAGTTGATGTATCCCATGTAGGAATGATCAAAGTGTTCTCGCTGACATTGAATGGCATCGTTATCTTAATACTTATTCGATTACAATGAGTTCTTGCCATCAAATTAGTGAAATGAATAATATTACTGGTATGGTTATTTTTTTTTTACTCGTGTTTCATACAAATAAACTAAACTTTGACTTTTAATTTCAATTTAGATCGCCATGAAAACAATCATACTGATGATCATTTACAGCAGGTCTCAGTTGATCAACAGATCAATTCCTTGAAAAAACAGCTCGAAATTGAATTGAAAGTGAAAACAGGTGCTGAATCGATTTTGAATACATACACTGGTCAAAAGAAAGAGACCTACCGTAAAATGTGTGATGAAGCTCAAATTGTTCTGAAAGATGCCAAAGCTAAAGCTGATTTTCTTCGCATGCAAATCAAACGATTAGAGAACGGTAAATGGTGAATTTTTTTGAATTGGCGCCGGTACATGTTTTTGTTCCAGGTTCCCATGATCCTTCCTCGAACAACGTTTTGTCTGGCAACGGAAATGACCAAAATCCCATCCAACAGCGAATTCATGCACTTAAGAAACAACTCGAAATCGAATTGAAAGTTAAAGCTGGCGCTGAAACGCTTTTACAAACATATAGTGGCCAAAGAAAAGAATCTTCGAGGAAAATGTGCGATGAAGCACAAATTCTTTTAAAAGATGCGAAAGCTAAAGTGGAATACATTCGTTTGGAAATCAAACGTTTGGAAACAGATTTATTGTCACCTAAAAGTACAATTAATGCCAAAGAAAATAACTATGCCAACGATCAATCATTGTGGCCATCGGAACAATCTATTCAACAATTAGAACATCATTTAACTATTGAAACGACAATGAAAAAAGGCGGTGAAAATGCGGTGAAAGTTCTTAAACAGACAGGAGCGAAGAAAGAACTTCTTGCCGAAGCGCATCAAAGTTTGTTCGAATCGAAACAACGCATCGCATTGCTCGAAGAAGCATTAAGAAGAAGATATAAGAAAAGAAATGAAAACAATTCCAACCGACATGTATCTCCACTGTACAACGACATGATATTAAAACCGGCAGCTGTTACCGGCAAACTTCAAGTTCGGTGAGTTATAATATTCGCCTGTTATTTTCAATTTCATTCATTTGAAACTGGTTTTTATTTTTAGATTACTTGGATGTCAGGATTTATTTGAAGAGGCACTTCTCCCAGCAGTAACAAAACGCGACAGTTTTGGTTCGAGTCCAGATGCTAAATATAAAACTTTACGTGGAAAAAGCGAATTATCAAGTAAATTTTCATGCGATTCCTTTCCGGAATATCCGAGAGAAAATTAGATACTGACAGAAGACGAGGAGGTGTTTTTCTCTTTTGACTACAATTCTGTAGGAGTCAACAACTCGTCTCGCCATCGTTTCAGAAATATGTACATACTACGATGTACTTGTACAATCGTACAGACATTCTGTGCTATTTGTACTCGGACGACTAGATTAGAATCAATAGGAACTCTTCGATAATTTCTCCTTAACAGTTGAAAAATCTATTGATCGGAAAGAATTACGTGACGACACGGCATGCGTGTTTTCAGCACCGCTATTATATGTCTTAATGTCACAATCACATACGATATGTAAATTACGGTCGTTTGATTAATAGCTTGTTGTCAATAGTGAATTTTCTCGGGATTAATTATTTATTTCGAAAAAGGAACATTCTAGTGCAAAAGAAACAGTCGGTTTTTTTCTTCGTTACTAAGATGAAATCAATGCTATTTTACGTGTTGACAATGTTCGAACCGTGGAAACTGGCTATCGACCATGTAGCCAACAAGCGTGGGATCAACGTTATACGATCGAACTTGATCGAGTAAGATTTCAATTGACGTTTTTCCAGTTGGTATGGTACGAGATATGTTCTAGGCGCGTGAACTGGAAATCAATATTATCTGGCGAGACTATCGTAACATGTGTGCGATACGTTTTCTTCGACTTGAAGATTTTATCAATCCCAATAATGAAATCAGCGGAATGATTATTCATTTAGAGCCGCAAGGCGTTCTGTTTGCCGATGTAAGCTCCTTTTCTTTTCATCAAGGCGAACAAATCGTGCATTTTCTTGATTTAGATTAAATTTATTAATCCATTGGTTAAACCAGCACCGAAATTGAAACGACAGAAGAAATTGTTTACAAAACGAAAAGGTATCTCTTCACCATTGTTTACATGCTTATATCAGATGAACATTATGTCTAATTCCAAGGAAAAAACTTACCACGTCCATCGCATATGCGTATTGATGTTACTTTATGGTATCGTTTAATTACAAAGGGTGTTATAACACCCAACTGCTATGATGGAAACTCGACAATATCATCATCACTTCCAACATCACCTACACCATCCCACTATGTTCAACAAGACATTCAACAGCCGGATGCACTTCGTTCAACTGAAAGTGCACCATTTACCCCCACATATCCACAATTTGATGAGGTACATTCGAACTTCTTCATCTCTTCAATTCATCGTTTCGATCATCTATAGGAGACGTCGCCCATTCATTCCCATTATGTTCGCCCAAACCAAGCAACAAAACAACTCTCAGTTCCAACTGAAATGTCTACAAATGGTTCATCATTCATTTGCGAAAACAATAATAATAATAATAAGAACATCGGGAAAGCCCTTCCACCTCCTGTCGCTCCCAAACCATCATGGCCTCGACAAACAAGTACAGTAGCAGCTATAGCAGCTTCAGCTGCAGCAGCAACAGCTACTGTTCCACCATCATCATCGTCATTATCCACCCCACTTCCATCTTATATTCAGCCAACTGAGGAGAGTAAAACAATCTATGAATTGCCACGCTCAAATGTCGTTAGTACTGAACGTCAACCTTCATTGAAATTCAATCGATCTTCCTCGATGAATCAAATATCAACGAATATTGCTCAATTACAAGAAATTGTTCCAACGAGAAACAAATCGCTCAGTATTCCTGACTCAAGGTTCGTTGATTTCATGTCCAGAAAAGAAAACATCTAATGTGCTTTTGCCGTTTGCTTTGCAGATTTCCAAAAGGCGTTCATATCGATACATTTCGTCTTGTTAGTGTTCTGGGCCGTGGCCATTTTGGTAAAGTTATCTTGTCTGAATATCTTCCGCGTCGTGGCGATTACTATGCTTTGAAAGTATTGAAAAAGGGAGATATTTTAGCACGTGACGAAGTCGAATCATTAATGTCAGAAAAACGAATCTTTGAAGTGATCAATCGTAGTCGTCATCCATTTCTAATCAATCTCTATTCTTGTTTTCAAACGCGTGATCACGTTATCTTCGTGATGGAATATGCATTTGGAGGCGATTTAATGATGCACATTCATCAGGATGTTTTCGATGAACAACGAGCATGTTTTTATGCTGCTTGTGTCGTACTTGGCCTGGAATTTTTACACCAAAATAAAATCGTGTATCGAGATCTTAAACTTGACAATTTACTTTTGGATCGAGAAGGTTATCTTAAAATTGCCGAGTAAGATATTTTTTATATCAAGTTTTGCATATCAGTGAAACGAATATCAATCTATTTCAGTTTTGGTCTCTGCAAGGAAGGTATTGGTTATGGTGGAACAACCAGTACATTTTGTGGTACACCTGAGGTAAATGATTAGCGGCCTTGAAATCGAGCGTTAGCCTAATTTTTCTACTCGAATGAATATTATGATTTATTGAACCGTATGAGACAAGGACCTTTTCATTTTCTGATAATGTTGTTCAATTATTCGGCGAGAAGATCACGTCAAATACCTGGAATAGATATTTAACTACGTAGTTTGGGCAAGCCACATACATCAGTGTGTATTAGACATTGATGATGGATATGTAAATGTATAAACAAATGAGATTAATCGATTTTTTTGACGGATGAGTCTTATCAAAGGGCGACTGTCAGCTGATAGACATTCCTAACTATACATATTTTGAAGCTCCATAGATAACATGCGCATATCGAGTTGCAGTCTATTAACAAAGACCAAATTTTCCATTTTAGTTTTTGGCACCTGAAGTTCTTACGGAATCATCGTATACACGAGCTGTTGATTGGTGGGGTTTAGGTTTGTATAAAATCATGTTTGTAATTGTAACAAAGACGTGTGCTTTGCTTTGTAGGTGTATTGATTTATGAAATGTTAGTTGGAGAATCTCCGTTTCCAGGTGATGATGAAGAAGAAGTTTTTGATTCAATTGTAAATGATGAAGTCAAATATCCTAAATTTCTCTCTGTGGAATCAATCACCATTATGAAACGGGTACGATCGAATTGCTGCTTAACCGTCTAGTTTTATTTCGATATTTTTAGCTTCTTCGCAAAAATGTTTCACATCGATTGGGTGCAGGCGAACATGATGCTGCTGATGTTAAACGACAATCTTTTTTTAAAGTAAATTTCCATCGAATCGAATATGTTCATCAAATGTGCAAATAAATCTTTCTTTTAGAATATCGTTTGGGAAGATTTACTTTCAAAAAAAACCAAACCACCTTTCGTTCCTACTGTTGTATGTATTTATCATCTTGTTCTGCAAATAACTATGCTATTTGTTTTCTATTCAAGCGAAGTGCTGATGATGTATCAAACTTTGATACGGAATTTACATCAGAAGAACCGATCTTAACACCAGCCAAAGATCCTCGTCCAATTCGTGATGAAGATCAGACAAATTTTACTGGCTTTGATTATGTTAATGAATGGTAATTTAGGTGGTGCTGAACTCAATCTATTGTCATTCCATTTTTGACATTTTTTTCTTTCTTTCTATGTATATAATATTTTTCTAATCGTTCATTCTTCCTCTCCAGGTGCTTTTTTTTCTCTTCTCGCTTTGCTCCGGCCTTGTCTTCTGCATTTCTTAAATGATGAATAGCAACTCTTCATCCATTCATTCTTTTCTTTTTTCTTGTCTGTAAGAATTTCTTTATCCATGGATTTATTATGAGAGTGAAATATACTTGTTGAATAAAGCTTAAACAATCGATAGCATTACTTTTAATCAATAAAAACGATGTTATTTTTCGGTTATTCTCAGTGCGACTATGAAGGATACTGATGAACAAGAAGAAAAATATATAAAACTTCAATCGACGTAACTTTACCACAACAGAAAGTGTTATATTTTCAATCTGTAATGGCGAAGACGAACTTATCGTTGACAATAGACTGGACTGTGATATTCAGGAAGTTTCTTTTGTTATAAAACGTACTGAAAATGAATGTCCTCAATCGTTTTGTCTGATTTGTTTATAGAAGTGTAAGGAAAGAAAACAAGAAACTAACTAATCAGGAAGCTTCGTCATCTGCAAAGCATATTCATAATAGATTTCTTCAATGACGCAGAACTGTTTGCATAACAAAAGATTTGTTCGAGAGAATAATTCTGTTTAATGATTAGTAACGTTACTTATTGATTTTCAGTTATAAAGATTGTCAAATACTTAGATTAATAATCTATTTTCCAGATAACTGAATCAATAGTGTAGTACGGTTTTCATAGACAAACAAAACTTACTCAGTTGTTATTTGAGGATTAATTTAGACATTTTTCAAAGTCATTTTGGCAGTTGTTGATAAATGAATCATTTTCTTCCTGTTTACTTACTTAATCCTCGAAATTTAGTCGATATTTTTTGTGATATGATCAATCGTTTTTAATGCTCTATATCCATTTATATGACAACAAGTCGAGAAATATACGATCTTATCGGTCATTCGAAAATAGATCATAAATCATCGAAACATAATAAAGTTGTGAGAGCAATGTGTGTTGATGGCGAATAGATAAACAACGAACAGCGTTTTCTCAGCAGCTGTCTTTACTAAACACGTGATTTTATGTAATTACACGAACAAGATTGAATCTTTGAAGAACAAAATCACGAGTCGTATCAACAGCGAGCTTTCGATTTTATGCACAATAACTCACTCGAAACAAAGTGCATATAAACACTTTTTCCTTGCTCAGTACGTAAAAATCACGTGAACATCTTCAGAGAAGATTTGATTCAGCTATTGATGATCTTGATATGAAAGATTTTGCTTTCGAATCAAATGAATCATTGTGTTCGCAACCGGACGTAATTTATCAAACAATTCCGTAGTGTGCAAAAAAGACATTCTCAGTTAATCTGTATGATGATGTGATCGTTTTTTCGTGATAAGATCAATCATTTCAAATGTTTTTCCTCTTCATGTCGTGTTTGCTTCAGTGGATAAATACATCCTAATTGTTGTTTTCTCTTTTCGTTTTCAGTTGATATATTTGTCATCAATCGACTTGGTCTCTCCTTCTCTTCATATGACGACAAGTTGAGAAAAAATATGATCTTATCGGTCACTTGGAAAAGGATCATAAATCATTGAAACACAATAAAACTGTGGGAGAAAAAGGAGAGCATATGAAAGAGAGAAAGCGAGAAGAAGAGATTCTCTCATTTACATTTTTCGAAGATAGTTGACCGAATGACTATCGTTGCGAAAATACCCTTCATAAAAGATCAATCTACACATTGTGTTCATGGTAAACAGTGAGCAGGTAAGTAGTATAACTCTTGGAAACGAAGACATGTCTGAGAAATTGACCGTCTCTATTGAGAAGCAAACAAACTATATTTTTCTTCGATGTACGTGTTCATTGAACAGGTGGCACGACACTGAACCAAAAGGAAAGTGTTTTTTTCCTGCTGTGCAATGTACAGCGATCAACTACGATTATAACAATTGGATTAGAACACATTTTTATTGATTTTATAACTTATATAAATCGATGTACACTTGTTCAATTGTTTTAGATCAATGGATTCATCATATGAAATATTCAATCGACCATCAACATATTTTCCCAGCTACTCATGTCCATTAGCCGACGTTTCATCGTTTAGTTCAACATCGATACGAACAGATCATGAAAATAGTACAATAACCGATTTCTCATCTTATTACTCTGATACAATATCACATTCCCCTGTTAATCATTCCCATTCAATCGGTATTTCTTGCTGTACTTTCAATCAATGGAAATAATGTGATCTTGTTCTTTTAGCTACAAATCGATGCTCATCATCATTCTCGTTATTTCCATCCCGCACTGATCGTTGCCTTGTGTGTAATGATCGTTCATCTGGTATTCATTTCGGGGTGTCAACATGTGAAGCATGTAAAGCATTTTTTCGTCGAACAAGTCTTTCATCGTATTCAATTCCACTTCCATGTTCACCCAATCGATGCGAAATCAATGCGAAAAACCGTAATAATTGCCCGAGCTGCCGTTTTGATAAATGTAAACGTCTTGGCATGGATCGAGATAATGTCGTGTATGGCAAACCATCGAAACAGAACAATTATTTCAAAGATCAATTAACGAACGTTTTCACTGAATTGATAAAAAGTTTTCAAAGAATCGATCAAACAACAATGGATTCAATCGAAACAAAACTACATATCGATGCATTTGGACAGATCGCTTTTCAACTGTTTTATCAACAAGCATCGGAAACGCATATTAGTTCATTCGATGTTTTTCATCAAATTTTGATTCTTATTTCTAAACACTATTGCAACATTGATTACTGGCTTATGCAAAATAGCAATCTTCGAGCAATTCTCTCTCTATGGCTGTTTGTATATTATTACGAAACAATTGTATTTAAACAAAAAATATCTGAAGAAAAGTTAAATATATTGATCAAGTTGTTAGACATGGAATTGATCAAAATGAATGAATATTATAAATTTGATCAAAATAAGCAAAAGTTTTTTAGAATTGATTTTATGAATACATTTACGAAGTTTTCTGATCTCGTTCAAAATATTCATCTGCAGAATTGAATAAATGTTGAAGAAAGTATTCACAACTTCTATGATTTTGTAACGAGAATAAAAGAGAAGCTCCTCCACCTACTATAACACACAGAAAAAAAAACAAGTGTTCTTCAAGAACTTTCTTTACCATCTTTCCAAGTCAAGTCTTCGATTCTTATTGATCGTTTAACACGTGGAAAAGCTATAAATCGTCGTCAGTTGATATATATAGGCAATTACTGACATCCTCTCATCAACGAGCTCAAACATCTTCGTGAGAGTGTAGATGGTAACACGTAACCACCATATACAATCGGAGTCGTGTTCAAAATAACGGTACCGTGTGAAATACAAACAGAAGAAGGTTAATATTGATATTTCTTTATTACTATATGTCATATAGTAAAAAATTTCAAAATGACAATTGATTTTACTGCCTTATGGGTTTTTCAATGAAGACTAATAACGCTCTTTTAATTGCAAATGAACGTGATTCGATCAAAGATAAATCAGTTTCAACAAACATATGAATATAGTAATCGACAGCTTTCAATGGTATGATCATGTCCTTTCGCTCAATAATCATATACAGAGGGACCGGCATTAAGCTTATCTTTGTCTTGACGTTGTTTGTTTCGGATTGTTAATCGAAACATTTCATGTTAGAAAATACACGCAGCAAAACGATATCTTTCTTATAATTCAACTTCTGTTCATCCATCTTTGGTTAGAACAAAAAAGAATACTTTTTCGCATTTATTTAGGTACTATCGGAATGCGTAGAAATGAAACGTTCTATCGACAGATCTCATCAACAATCAGAAAGCCGATTTTCTCGTCAATTTGATGTTTTTTCGAATACGCTAACTCTCTATATATAGAAAACTTCCGTTCAAATCAATCAGACATATGATGAAATCATCCATATTGCTTCTTTTCATGCTTATATAATAGATATCTAGATATTAGATCGTTCTGATACATCACGTCGTTCAATAATAGACTCGATTATTTTAATATCATTATCATTTGTGATGATCATTTCCATAGGAATGTTGCACGTTCCTTAGATAAGCTTGTAGTTTCGAATAGACTGCTAGAAAACAGAAGAATGCATACGAAACTATGCATAGGAAGCAAAAGAACATACAAACTACAATTTTTCCTTGATGCATCCTGTTGGTGACCTCAATTCAAAATGGTATACTTAATTGCATATTTACCAGCGGCACGATTGTTCGTCATGCGCTGATTAAGAACATTTCTTCTTCGAAATAATCGTTCCGATAAGTCTTTCTTTAACTTTTCATGTTTTGCCAAATAACATGAGACTTGTTCGACAAAAATACAGATCACAAGAACTAATCCTTTCACCAAATACTTGCAATGGATTAAATGTCAAGGAATTATCCTCTCAATAAATCTCGTTGTACACAGTAGGTATCATGCGGTCATCTGCGTAATAAGCATATTATTCTTTATCCGATCACATTCTATCGCCATATTAAAAAAAAACAAGATGTATTTGATTCAATAAAAAGAGATTAGAAATCATCTTTTGATTAATAGCGATCGCTAGACAGAGTTACAACAAAATCCTCGTATCGTCGGTGACGCGATAAACCTTCTTCAAATAGATTTCTCTCACGATTCGACTATTAAATAGACAATAGTGTAATTAATCATTACCGCTATCATGATAAAGTACATTTTCCCGTCATAATTCATCTTTGCTATTAATACTGTTATGACCAACTTGCAAAGGCCAACATTTTTGTGAGAGAAACTCTTCGAAATTCTAACTCGCTTGTTAGGATTGACATCCTTGGAGAATCTCTATACTTATTCAGGCTAACAAGCACTTGGCAGGAGTTGTCTAGAGTAAAAGAACTCATAATGACATGTGTTCACCAGCTGACTTATGTCTGCTGAAGTCATATTGATTGGTAAATCCTATTGATCGATTCTGTAAAAAAAATAACATTCACCTTATTTTCTTTATGCAACTGTATTGTTAATATGTGAAAGATGAGCATCGAAATCGGTCGAGTCGATATTTTGGAAAATTTTATAAATGTGTTCGACATGATCTTATGTTATCATATGTATAACTTTCACTTGATCAATGAAATATGAATAATTGATTGCATACTGAATGCTCTGGATTTTGTCCGTTCGGTTACGTTTTTTAAGCAAACTATACATGCACTGATAGTTTATATGAATACAATTCATCTAATTTATCATCAACTGTTAACTAATCAACGAGGTTATTATCGTCATCAACTAATATTCATATAATAATGACAAAATCAATCAATCCGATATATCTATGTATATATTTAAGCAAGGATTGACAGAAAAGATATGTTGTTTATGTATTCATAAAATATAATATCTCAGAGGAAGTAATCTTTAATAGTAAACGAGTAGAAGGTTCCAAGCAAGTATGTGTGTAACTAATTAGTGACGAAGGTTACTTTTCTCTTTAGGATCAGAAACGGTATTAGAGTCATACCTAGCATTTAGAATTGTTATCATATCAGATGTAAAAAAGACATCACATACATGGTATGCGTATATGCATCGTCGTCGTCTTCTTCTAGTCGTACTGATCCTTGTGGTAAATAGAAAGACATAGACCGAACAGGTATAATATGGCAATGACGATCGTCATTTTTTCTTGATTCATTATTGATCAGATATAAGTACAGAGGAGAAAAAGACACAAGATATAACACTATCAATATACAAACAAATATTTAGCCTATTCTCCATCGAAATACATAGATCCTTTCTTCTTTCTTCCTTCTCGATACTCAGTCAACGCTAGGAGGAGAAGAACACAAGGGAGAAGAAAAAAAAGGAGCTGTTTCTCTTTCTCTATGCGTTCGCGTTGTCTATGCACATAATCGTTGGCGTTCTTGGCCAACATACACATATACACACACACAAATACAACGTCGAATCGTTTCACAAGCACCAATTTCTTTTGTATTAAATCCTTATTGATTGCAATCTTCAAGGAGACACAAAAGCCGACGAAATGAGTTTTTTTATCGATAATTGTTGTTTAAAACTGAATTATCTCGTATGCGGTTCCAACGAATCTTCAACAGAAAAGAAAAAGAAAAAGTTCAGGTCTCGGGTAAGTCTCATCATCTTTGACACAAGGGAAATTTCAGACATATAGACATCCATACACATAGGAAACACGTTATAATCACTGATCATGACTAAGTCACTTGAGACAATTGGGAGATCTGCAGTTTTGACATGAAACACAGAATTGAGAAAGAACAGTTATTCAATAAGGAATATGATTTGATTGGAGAAGTGTTTCTCTTCCCTATGGTTTCTTAATCATGTCCATCGAGAAGCCTTCTCTAAAATCTTGAATTAGAAATTGACTTTCATCTGAAAGAAGAAAAAAGAAAGGATACTTGATTATGGCATCGAGATAAAATCGCTTGCAGATAGTTAATTGAGCTTGAATAAAAATAAGAATATGAACAATGNTTTTAGACTTCGAAGAAATATCAAAGAATAATTTACTCCGAATCGAACTATTTGTAAAAGAATACGACAAGCGCCATTGACAAGATTGATTGCTTCGTCTCGACTTGTAACACGATGATTGTTTATTTTAATAATCTGATCACCGCTACTGATATAGATCTATGAAGTTGTACGTTACATTTCTTGTTCTTCACTATTGAGCGACCATTAAACAAACGTAACGTTTCTGATGTCTAATGAACATGATTTCTTTGATATTATATACACATTGAAATCAAAGTCAATGTATATGACTTCAATGAAATAGAATAGAAGGCCGTTCGACTTGTACATCGAGCGTTTCGAAGTCGAACTTTCGCTTTCGCGTCTCTGTTATTCATCCTCTAGCGGAAAAGAAAATCAAAAGTGATATACTCATGATTCTTAACGATACTTGACCTTTAAGAATAAAGATGAATATCATTGATTACGTCGTCAAGATTGATCAGATAAGAATAGTCGCCTTAAACCATTTTTCACCTTTGACTCTTTTTCTAACAAATTGAAATCATCAAGACAAGCTTCTGTTACCTTTCTCTTTCGTTTATTTTAGTATTACAAAGCCTCTAAAATATGAACAAGTTCCTCTGCATCCAATCGAACCGAAAAGATATTCTCGTGAATCTTCGCTGAATTCTTTTGTTGATCGTCGTTTATCTCATCGATCATCGTCGATATTAAGTAACGGCATAATCATAAAAGTATGTTCAATAGACGCAATTGTGATTGAATAACAAAAGACAAAGAATAAGTCACGATAGAGTTCGATAACTAATCAACATCTTTCATGATTTGACGAGAAAAACGATCACCTGCTGCGTTTCTTTATTCCATTTTGCTTGTTATCGATTATATAGATGAGTTATTCAATCGACCTTGTCTATTACTCAGGAGATCGGAAATCCATCGTCGTTTTTCTTTTTCTTTTGAATACAAAAAACAAAATCGATTTTTTATGTTAATGTCAAAGACGACAAATCGATCATTCCTCCTATTTAGAATGTCATTCTCCATCGAAATCATCCCAATGAAAGATTAGGATTGACTCTTTGCTATGGTATAACATCGAAATCTACAACTAATATTTATATTCAACAAGTAGAGATCATTTTTCATTTTGATTCTCGTTTAATCATGAATATGTATTGAATAGATTGATAAAGAGAGCATCGCCGGTCATCAGGGTGAACTTCGTAGCGGTGATCAGATTATTAAAATAAACAATCATCGTGTTACAAGTCGAGACGAAGCAATCAATCTTGTCAATGGCGCTTGTCGTATTCTTTTACAAATAGTTCGATTCGGAGTAAATTATTCTTTGATATTTCTTCGAAGTCTAAAATAACAAATCATCTCTTTTCTTTATTTTCAAAACAAATCAGTTTTCAAAACCAAATTCCTTCATAATTCCATCGGAAATACCATTGACCGAAGATGATAGTGGAGTCATTGTAGCGTGTAACAACGAATTCGATGCAAGCAACGATTGGATGTATCAAGTAATAACATCCATTTGCACCGTTTCTTTGTTTTTGTTCTAATAGATGTTTCTTTAGCAATCACCGCACGAATGTCAAAGTCTAATAAAGAGTTGTATTAGTTTGTCTTCAACAGCTTTAAATCATTGTTCGAATTGCCGTCGTATTCAGTCGTATTCGCGTCAGTTTCAATATCGTCGTTGTTTATCATTAAATGATCTCAGGCCTTGTTCGTTTTTGGAAGAAAAAGTCCATTATTCGAAACAACTGATTCGTTCACAAAGTCTTTTCGGTACCACGACTGATAATGAACAAGTTATTCTCAAACCACTTCCATTTGATCATGAACAACAGAAAGAAAGTGCAGATGGTAAGACTAAAGAATACGTCCGAATGACTATTGATCTTTTCTTTTCTCGTTGTTGTTAATAAAGTTCGTCGAGAAGATAGCGATAGTGGTCTGGTGTGCGGTCGATCGCGTTCGAATGATTCACATCGTTCACGACATGATCAAAATCAATGGACATTGAAACATTTTCGACGTCGATATCGTGAACAACGCTTGAGAGAACAGTATCAGACAACCGATGATGAACCAATGAGCGAATTAAAACAAGGTCGTTATTGGACACGGCAACAACGAAAAGAGCATTTAGCAAAAGCGAGACAATACCGTGAACGCGCCAAATTCTTTCAACAACATTCAATAGCTCCGTGTTCAGATTCAGCAGCAGAAGATTTTAATTTATTGAATCGTATATTTATTCGAGAAAATCAACAAGAACTAAATCAGAAACCTTATTTAGCGTATAAATATGGTCAGCAATCGTCACTCGAACGAAAAAGATTGAAACGAATGATTCAACAACATTATTGTGATCGAATTCGATCTCAATCAACGACGACCATGTCAATTTCTAGTACTGTTGATCAACCGCCAATGGTTATTCTGTAGTTTTTCTTCTTTTTGCTTTGTTTTTGCTTTTGTATCAAGTGAACAGAAAAAAAGAGAATTATTTATGTCATTGAATTAAAAAATAGAAAATTCCGCTGAACCAAATTTCCTCGATTTTCCAACTTGCATGGAGATTCGATCGCACAATTCGAGACGTGTGGTTTATTCAATAATGAACATTTATCGATGAGGAGCATCCTCATGGTGATGAAAATGTGTTTTTTTCTGTGAGTGTTTACAGCTAAAAGTATTTTCAAAACAGAAGCATAAAAAATGAAAACGAGATCAATAGATATTTTATTCGAAGGACAGTTTGAGTAAATATTTTTTTTTAATACAATGATCGTAAGTATGGTTTCGAATGGTCTATGAAAGTAATTATAGTGACGATCTATATTCGAGTATATTTAATAACTTCATGTCCATCAAGAACGACATACATATTCATATCAGAATCAAATCCAACATCCATCGGTTTGATAGGAGCAGGTGTAGTACCAGTTTCTCCAGCAACGGGAATACCAATACGTGAATCACCGCAATACATTACTATTCGATTGTTACTTTGATCAGCAACATACAAACTATTGTATTTATCGACAACTATTCCCCATGGATTGTCAAGGTTAGGTTTAGAGGCACTGGCAACTTGAGTAAGCGTTATATTCGGTGATGATGCATTAAATGTCCACATGTATATACTATTTTTACTTGCATCGCTTAAATATACTTGATTCGACTTTCCAGGAACAAATTGAATCCCATGTACATTGGCAATATCGCTATCACTAATCATAACAACACCACTCGAAGCATTTTGTGACCATTTCATAACTCGATTATTTCCCGTGTCAACAACGTAAAGATCTAGATTATCATCAACGACCATACCTGTTGCCCCATCGAGCTGATTCAATGCACTTCCAGTGGAGCTAGTTCCAGCATAAATTGTACCAACGTACGAATTAGGTGGAAATCGTACAACTCCGGTTAGTTGATGGCCAGTAACGTATATATATCCGTCTTTGTCCACGGTCAGATATTCTGGATGCGGAATTGCTGTCGCTCCCGATCCGGCGCTAACACCAGCTACAGTCGTGCCACTTGCAGCGCCTTTGGTCCATTTCTGAACACGATTATTATGATGATCAGGTATGTACATGGTATCATTTGCATCGATGTATAGCCAAGCGGGATTATTAAATTGATTAGCACCTGAAGCTCCTGAACCCGTGCCAGCAACAACTTCACCCGTCTGATTCCATCGAAAAGTAGAACCTATAATATTCATGTTTCATCGAATATATAATTGTACATCGATCATCATAGAACTCACAGTAATCAGTGGTAGTTGTTGATGTGGATGCTAAAAACAATGAAATTGAAATCGTACTTCAACTATCGATTTTATTTCAAAAATACTTGAGCTGGTACTGCTTGACGTGGATGTTGAGCTGCTAGTCGAAGTAGAAGTTGAGGTACTAGTTGATGTTGAAGTCGAGGTGCTAGTACTTGTTGTCGATGTAGATGCTTCAATGTGTCATACAGAAATATTTCGCTCTCATATAATCTGACTCAACTCACAAGTGCTGGTCGTTGATGTTGTAGTCGTTGTCGTCGTCGTTGGTTGTACAGCTAAAGAAGGATAGTAAAAAGCATCTCAAACAGACTAGAAAGGAAAACTACATGCCATCAAAGGCAATTGTTAACAATTAGAAACAATCAATTAGTCAACTCATGTAATCTATTTCGGTATACTCAAATTGTGCATCGCAACTCTCGTTTTAGCATACGTACCGATTAAAATAATACTTGCAATGAGTGTTGCCAGTAATATACATGCTAGAATAGAAGCCATCAGCATGTAACAACAGCATCGTGTCATAAGGAATCCTCCAGCTCGTCTATGTAACAGTTTCCGAAATCTGAAAAGGTACTTCTCCCATAAAACAACTGTTTACCTTCGACGTTTGTCCTTTTCTTGGTCGCCCTTATTCTTGTCAAAGAAATTAAATGCATTGAAGTCGTTCTTCGAAAAATAATTGCTCGTCCTAGTTGATGCACTTTCTTTTGTACTGATTAGTGGCTTTTGATTTGAGCTGCCAGTAGACGACGTAAGATTAGATACTGGAGACCAATGAATTGCCTCAGGCTACAAAAAGTGAATGAAAATACGCGACGACTAGTGTTCAATGTTTCATGTCAGGAAATCTCTTTCGAGTAAACCTCCTATCATTATGTAAGCCTTTCTAAAACAAGACTCTGTTGATCTTACTGTTAATCGCTTGTTCCCACTGTGATCTAAAACTCTTGCTTTTAGCAAAAATATATTGATTATCAAAAGATTTACCTGCCCGCGAACCATCATGCGTAGAACATGATGGATAATTTTTGCTGTTTATTAATTCAATTGATCGATGTGAATACGTTCCTGACAAAGTAGTATTTTGCACGCTAAGAGATTGGCAGTGTCTCCGATTCGGTTCGTTCAGTGATTCAACGAAGTTATTTGAATGATCTATCGGTTGACTTCTCACTTCGACGCGAACTGTCGGGCAACTAATTCTTCTTGTTAATGCATCAACTTTCTTTTCCTATTTTCAAATCGATTTTTACCGAGAAGATATTCTGGTAAATACGTACATGTAAGTGTTGCTTGCTAACACGAGTTACCTTGGGCTTTTCTACCTTTGATGGCATTGGAATATAATTTTTCTCAATGTATACGACCTTTTTTTTACTGAATCGATGTAAACTAGAATGTTGTATAAATGTTGTATAAATGTGAAGTATTTTTCAGTTTGAAGAGTAACGAAGTATGTGATTGCTTTTTCGAAAAATTTTACGAAGTTATAATTTCCATTTTTTATTAAAGAAAAAAATAAGGATCTGAGGATCTTAACAAACATCAAGATCACTATCGAAAGCTATTTAAAAAAAGGGCATTAATAAGCAGGATGTTGTACGTATTCACCTAGGAATCTAATTCATGCTCTATTTTATTAATTAGCTTTCTGGCAAATAAAAGAACCAAAAGGTTATTGATGACATACATTTTCGATAGATCGAAAAAGTCATTTTTACTTTTTATTTCTATCCAACGACTCACTTGATTAACTGATTAATAATATTTCGAAAAGAATTGAATAAATTTCATTTTTTATGTATGAGTTCTGCTGCGTATTTGATCATCATTTTCCAAAAGTATGCAATGGTCAAACTCACCATTGAGACTAATAACGAAGGGTGGTGGGTGAGAGCGAGGGTATAAAACGAAGATTTTATGAGATTCTTATCGAGATTAGGTGTCCGAAATTTTACCCTTTTCTTTTCCCGTGTTGCCTATTGTGTATTGACTGCCGCACAGTTACGCGCACTTGTGTCATATTTTTCTACAATAAGATTGACACATTTAATTGACTTTGTGGTTGATTGTAGATCAGAAATAGAACTGATAGTGCTGAATCGATCTGAGTATAAATGATATCAAATAAATCATCAAGAAAGGTCGTTTACATTGATGGAGTCTCCAGTAATAAGTTCGTGTATTAGGTAAGAAAGTCCCTCAATACTGCATCCCGTTCTCGAAAACTGAGGATGATTATTTCGAAATCTAAATGAACGTAAATACATCAATTTTTAACGTTCAGTATTTGTATTCGAAAAGAGCATTATACATAGTATACTACTCGTCACATGCCAATCGTATCCTAGTGATCGCAATGTACGCCACGAGTTCAATTAAAATCTAAGCTTATTGGGTTTTCCCTTTGACCGATCTGTCCGACTTTCAGAAGGTGATGCATGTACTGATGGGCGCGCTAAAGACAGACTATACAGATAAAATATTTGTTTGTTACAGTCTCGTGTATGTACGGCTGCCATTTACAATCAATCATTGATAAAGACTGCAAGACCGTTCGCTATGATCTAGAAGAAGAAAAGGAGTTGATAACTTTCAAGATGACTTCAGTTATGTACGTGCTGAATGTATCTATCGAAATTTTTAAATAATGGAATATCAATAAAGATCATAAAACCACTGAGTAGATGATTATCTTCAGATAATTGTATTTATCGTTGTAGGGAATTCGCATTTTCACAGATTTGTTCAATTCAGACATGTAATGCCCTCTGTTGAACGAATCAATTGTAAAAGGAAAGGAAGGCAAACGACGACCAGTGCAACAGATTGGTTGTTTTTTTTAAGCCAACAACGTCAGTTAAATGAATCATGGTAACTCTTACAATCGTTTGTTTCCTTCGCAAGTAAATATTTCACATCTTTCGCAACAAATATACTTATATAAAGTACAACCAATCCCAAAACTTGACAGAGAATCTTAAAACAATGGCCGAACCTCCAGCAAGTTGGGATCAACAAGACGATGACAGTTCAACTCTGCCATCACTCGCTTCAAAATTGGGTGGCTTAAATGTAAATGCCATGGAATTTGTACCGTCATTTGGTTTCAAGCCAACACCTGCCCCTCAACCTACAGTTCCGAAGACTCCACCATCGACACCGGTTGTATCTCAACATACGACGACGACGACTACTACTGAAGATAAAAATAAACAAGCTGAACCGGTCATCAAAGCAGATGAATTAAATATTCAACAACAAGTAAAACCAGCAGTAACAACTGTCGCTGAAACATACCTTGATGATATTTCGAAGAACGAAATTGAAAGTAAATTGTTCCCGATTATAAATATATATGTTTGTTTACAATTGCGCATGTATAGGAGTACTCGATGATACAGCGAAAAACGCAGCAGCAGCCAACAAAACCGGTACACCAACGAGTTCAGCAGTTCCAAAAGAGAAGAAAAATGTTGTTGTTAAACGAGATATCGTGCGAAAGAAAGAACCGCTTAACATTATTTTCTGTGGCCATGTCGATGCTGGAAAGTCAACTATTGGCGGCCAGCTTATGTAATATCTATTCTGTGTAATACAAAAGAATGTTTTTCAGTGGCATCCTCTTTTGTAGGTACTTGACAGGACAAGTTGATCAACGAACTCTAGACAAATATCAAGCTGAAGCTCGTGAAAAGTCTCGTGAATCTTGGTATTTATCATGGGCATTGGACACGAATGATGAAGAAAGGGACAAAGGAAAAACTGTCGAAGTCGGTCGAGCTTGGTTCGAAACTGAAAAGAAACATTTCATTATTCTCGATGCACCTGGTCACAAATGTTTTGTACCAAACATGATTGGAGGAGCATCTCAAGCTGATATTGCCATCCTTGTATTTATTTATTCTCTTTCTTATTTACACTGTAACTGTTGATTTCGTATAGGTCATTTCAGCACGAAAAGGTGAATTTGAAACTGGTTTCGACCGTGGTGGACAAACTCGTGAACATGCCATGTTAGTCAAAACAGCTGGCGTTCGTTACTTAGTTGTTCTCATTAACAAAATGGATGATTCAACTGTCAATTGGGATCAAGCGAGATATGATGAAATCAAAGACAAACTAACACCCTATTTGAAGAAATGTGGATTCAAGCCTGGCGAAGATACCATCTTTATGCCTTGCAGTGGAATGAGTGGAGCCTTTCTTAAAGAACATCCGGGTGAACAAATTGTATCTTGGTACAAGTGAGTACATATGCATCAGTCTCCTTCCGTAACACGTATCGTTTCTTCCAGAGGACCAACATTTATTGAATATCTGGATGGATTGCCATCATTTAATCGAAGCATTGATGGTCCACTTCGTATGCCTATTGTCGAAAGATATAAGGTATGTTGATCTTTGAGAGACGTACACGATGAAATATAAATATTTCTTTGAAAAGGAAATGGGTGTCATTGTTATGGGCAAAATTGAATCTGGATGCTGTCGAGTGGGCGATAAATGTGTCCTCATGCCCAATCGTACTAAAGTCGAAGTGACAAATATTTACTACGAAGAAATAGAAACCGATTCGTGTGTTTGTGGTGAAAATGTTCGATTGAAACTAAAGAATGTTGAAGAAGAAGTTCGTATTCTTGATTATCGATCAATTGGATGACTTTCAGTTATAATTCTGTAGGAAATTTCACCTGGATTTATCTTGTGTGATGCCGAACAAGAACCATGTGGTGTTGGAAAAATATTCGATGCACAAGTAAATATCAAGAGCCAGCACTAGTGTCCAGATCAAATAAAATAATCAATATTCGTTCTTCTTCTATCTAGGTTGCGATTATTGAACACAAATCAATCATATGTCCTGGCTATTCTGCTATTCTTCATGTTCATGCTGCAGCTGTTGAAGTTCAGTTGAAAAAACTCATCACATTAGTCGATCGAAAAACAGGCGAAAGAACTCAAGAGCATCCTCGTTTCGTTAAACAGGATCAAGTTGCCATTGCAAGATTTGAGTTAGCTCAAGCAGGCCAAGCAATTTGCATGGAAACATTCAAACGGTTCCCTCAACTTGGTCGATTCACCCTACGAGACGAAGGGCGAACTGTAGCGGTCGGCAAAGTTCTCAAAATAATCGAGTAAAAACATTCTTTTATTTATTGTTATTTCGTATTTATATTCGTTCTGAAGACAAAAAAGAAACAAAAAAAAGCCGTATTATCGATAAGATTTTTGTTATGCATCTGATTCTAAGAAGAACATTAAATAAAACATATACAACTCATTCTTTGTTTTCTTGTGCTTACAGATTTTGTCCTCTGTTTCTCATGTTATTTTCACGTTTACTAGTTCCACGAATAAAACTGAATGTTGCTTGTCGACCGAAGTCCATAGAGAGAAATCTAGTTGATGAGTTGAATCAAATCAAATCCAAAGATCTTGCGAAAATACTCAATGAACAGCAAGCAAAAGATTTTCTGCAGCTGAGACGATCGCTAGGTGGCTAATCAATGGATAAATCATTTTGTTCTTCTTTAAATGTAATTGTAGTTGATAAATTCTTTGGTTATTTGTGTTCTTTGAAAGATCGCAGCGAAAATCAACAACATCGAGTTCATGTTGAACCTCGTCTGACGACACAACTGACTGCTGTAAGTGCATATTGTAGGTGTGTGACGAGAACAAGTCAAATTGATTCGATGTAGGACATTGAAAGCGTCTGTAGTGTTGACTTCACTTCGTCATATATCAATTGGACAATTGTCAGTACAGGAAGACAAGATAAGAATAGTTTTGCGATCAAACAGATGAGTTCAATAGAGGTTGATCTGTATGGAAAGTACAATTTCATCAAAACATTCAATAAAGTTGATTACTTATTAGAGCTGTTTTTATTTCAGCTATCCGAAAGCCATAGTAATCCAAATCCCTGCTTTCCTATAATATGAAATATTAATTACAGGAACAATAAGCACGAAAAACGAGAATAACAAGTATAAAGAAATAGTACCAGAAAAAACCAATAAGAAAACGAGAACTGGTTCGAAACTCAGTCAGAAAGTGAGAACAACACCGAGATCACGTAAAAGATAATCACATCAAGACCAAGTACAGCTAGAACAGTGTCGAGACCAAGTCTGAACGAAATGACAAAAGCAAGACCACGTGAGAGAAAGAGTGTAATGAGAAGAAAAAATAAACAAACGATATTTGTTAAGAAACTTTAACATTTGTCATTTTCGGCAACCTTTTATTTGAGATACTTGTAAATTAAATTTCGCTCTGTCGTGATAATGTCGCGGTCCACTTCCATTAAACGTAATTTTTCTTTCAGAATATTTTGTTTTATTTTTTCCGCTTTCAATTTCATTTTGAAGAGATCGATCAGCTCGCTTCGAGACATTTCATTGTGTAAAACTAATTTGTCGTACTTGTTAACGATTGACTATCCGAATCAGAAGAAATGGAGCAGGAAATAAGTTACAGAGACAAAAATTCATAAACTACGACTCACCTGGTCGGCATTTAATCCTGATTTCGTAGAATTAGCCGATGTATTACAATGCGGAACAGAATGGCTCATTGATCTCTGAAAATAGACAGAAAAGGATATGATATTTATGTTCACCGAGAAACATAGAGAGAGAAAGAAAAATAAGATTCGCCGTGGAAAATGTTGCCTGTTGATTCACGTTATTCAATGCTTTTCTTTGCTCTTTGCTATCTCCGTTCGAGCTGTATGTTTCGCGATTGGTCATTACTTTATGTGGATAGTAAGATGAAAGACCGAACTAGCTAAAAAAAGGACTTATTGGTCTGATGGAGAAATGATTCTTTAATTTCAGAGATCACCAATCATAATTTCTTCGGTTAGTTCAGAGTTCTGACCTTTCATTATTTCTAAAATAAGTTTCGTAAATTTTCAGCTACCGGCGATTCATCCATCGAAATGAAACTGCTCAGTTGGAAGTTACGTGGGTTACTGGAATCGGAATGACCCAGGTCAACAAATCCGATGCTGGATCCGATCGGATCTTACCGGATCCGACCATCCGACAAAATCCGATCGGATTCCGGGAAACGGAATTGCATTGGAATCCGACTAGAAAAATCCCGTCGGTTGTTGCAAATTTTATGAGCGATCTTTCTAGCTATATTCTATGATGACCCTTAGAAAATCCAGGAAATCCATGTTTCGGTTCCGACGAGATCCGACGTGGGATCCGATCGGATCCGAGACCGTCGGAATCCAATGCGATTCCGTCACCAGGATTGCATCGGATCCGTCGAATTCCTGTAGGATCCGGTAAAATTCAGTATTGGATCCGATGGGATTCGATGGGATCCGGTGGGATCCGAGTATGGGATTGTTCGACCTGGGGATGTGACGAGCCATCATTCGGTTCTTTCTTGCCGCTACGTGATTGATCGATCATCCGATGGTTTTCACTGTCATCGATCAATGATCCAGAAGAAATAATTTCTTCTGTTTCTTTTTTTGCGAGAACTATACCCTCCGACCATACTGGTCTTAAAGGGACAGTTTAACTAGTAGCAGTCTCCTTGTAGGATGCATAGGAGTAGATAAAAAGACGAGAAAGAGAAAAATCTGTTTTAAGCAGAAGTTACATCTTGAGTACATTTACAAAAAGAAAAACCTTAAGAAGACAATGATTCATCGTTGGGCGCATTAGAAGCATAGCAACTCCAGTTCTTTCAAATGTTGAGTGATCCGAATGTCAATGTCCTTACTATTTGTCTAACTCAGATCTCAAGTATCATCATCATCACAAACCGGTTGTGTAGGCTGGTTCCTCTCATCTCTAGTGAGACTATTTGCGAATTTTCCCATCATTCTGCTTTGACTCTTCCATGCTCCTTCATCTCACCTTTACCCTCTTGACTAACAATAAATAATTGATCACTTTTCGTGCCATTCTAAACCTAAACTTTCTCGGATACGGCACTAATGAGCCATTTGGCAATTTCTTCCACTTGACTACCCAGGTCGACTAATCCCATACTCGCATCCGATTGGATGCAATATTGGATTTTATCAGATCCTATCGGATTTAATACAGGATCCTATAGTTTCCAAATAACGAATTTCAGTAGATCCGACAGGTAACCAAAAGATTATGATAGAATATAACTAAAAAGAACGCTCATCAAATTTGCAGCATCCGACGTGAGATTTACCAATGGAATCCGTCACCAGGAACCCTTTCGGGTTTTGTCGGAACAATGCACCTGAGTAATAGTACTGTTAACCGATGCCGATTCGTGCACGTCGCTGTGCGTTCCACTCTCGTTGCCTAAAATACAATTGTTCAATTTGACTTATGCAGAATGTTTTAACATATTAGAAACCAGCGAAAGAATCTTGATGGTACTTTTCGCATCGATAGCTGCTTTTCTTGGTTGTTCCGCTGCCATAAATTAAGAAATATCTGAAAAACATGCATATTTCCAATATTCCTATCTGTCGCTTTGTTGAAACCCTTTTGATCACGACATTTTCTTGCGCTCTATGTAAACACGAAAAATAGAAAAAAATCTCACTCTTTCTCGTGCGTTTAATCAGCTGTATTTAGATCTATTCTGATCATTAAGACATAAGAAACAAGTATCGCTCATCTGTTGGATTTGCTGACTCTTTTCCGGAAGAATAAGAAGACTTTCACATAAAGCTCCAACATATATCTCACTCTAACTCGCTAAAAATTGTTGTTTAAAATATTACTCTTGAAATCGACATCTAGTCGCTGGTCGGCCACTCGCAGTCAGCCGTTACATGTCCAACTTTCATCTAGCTTAAAATCTTCATCAAACTGAACCAAACCATTTCGTTTTATTCCCTGTTGAAAAATCGCCATCTTTGTGCCACTGTGACTGTCCAAAACAACATTTGTCAGGCGGAGTATTACTTTGAGTGGTTAGCATCATATGATGTTTTTGTAATATAACTGTTTATATAATGTAATTTTATCAATATGCTGATGAGTATGAATACCCAACAATCGGACGTTAGTCAGCTATTTCATTTTGTTCTACATATTGCTGCTACAAACACTATCGCCTACAAAAAGTTTCTTCCAAAAAATCGTTTCTTGTCTGAAAAAAACAGAACAGAATTATTCTGCCGAAAAACTAATACCAGATTCGATATCTTCGACCCCGATTACCCTCCAGTCGACCCTTACTCAACAACCAGAAAATCTCTCATTGCCTAATTACTAATTAGCTAATGAACTGGTTGAAATCTTAAAAACTAATATCGGATTCGAGTTCCCCCGACCTCGATTACCTATCTACTATTTGGTCTCTAGCTCATAAGGGTGAATTTCGGTAATTTAAGAAATCCTCATTTCTGATTGGCTTGGACAAACAATCAAAACTTTTAACGATTTTTTTTAACGCAACTATAATCCTTTCTTTCAGAAAAAAGTAATAAGAACTGCGTCTTATAACTTAGCTGAACATCATATGATATTTGAGCTGTTAGAAGACGAAAGACCGCAAAATATCTCTCTTACGTTGTGTGTGGCATGAATTGATGCCGTCGAGATTGAAAGGTTAGTTTTGAAAGAGTGCGTAGTTTTCAGTTCGTGTTTTCTAAATGTTTATAGAATCGATTCTTTTAGATTTTATAATGCCATCTATTGAATGAATAAATTCAAACAGAACGAAACGAAGGCAAAATACGAACGATATGAGCGATTGGTGTTTTCAATAAACCAACGCCTATCCATAAATGAATTATCTCAACTCAAATATCGCAGAAACAATACGCCAACAACTTCACCAATTCCAAAATGATAGAAAATATTGCCATTAAACGTGATAATCCATGAATGAAAGAAAGATTCAATGACATGCTTAATGATCATGTTGATGCTTCAAAATCAATCACCAACGACCAATTCATGTAATATCCTTTTTATTTTAAACCATATAACTTTCTACAATGAATTTTTTTCTTTAAGTAGTTGACAGATCAAGTTGTAGCTCGTGATTCTCGATATGCACGATGACGCATTGAAAACAAATGATGAAACAACAGAGAAAAGGAAAACGATGAAAGCTGGTCAACTAATTTGGATGGAAACATTCATTCGATTCACCCTACGAGGCGAAGGGCGAACTGTAGCGGTCGGCAAAGTTCTCAAAATAATCGAGTAAAAACATTCTTTTATTTATTGTTATTTCGTATTTATATTCGTTCTGAAGACAAAAAAGAAACAAAAAAAGCCGTATTATCGATAAGATTTTTGTTATGCATCTGATTCTAAGAAGAACATTAAATAAAACATATACAACTCATTCTTTGTTTTCTTGTGCTTACAGATTTTGTCCTCTGTTTCTCATGTTATTTTCACGTTTACTAGTTCCACGAATAAAACTGAATGTTGCTTGTCGACCGAAGTCCATAGAGAGAAATCTAGTTGATGAGTTGAATCAAATCAAATCCAAAGATCTTGCGAAAATACTCAATGAACAGCAAGCAAAGGATTTTCTGCAGCTGAGACGATCGCTAGGTGGCAAATTCCAATCACTACAGCAATTTCAAAAGGAATCCAAAATTCAAATTGATTGTAAAGCAAATCTATGGATAAATCATTTTGTTTTTCTTCAAATGTAATTGTAGTTGATAAATTCTTTGGTTATTTGTGTTCGTTGAAAGATCGCAGCGAAAATCAACAACATCGAATTCATGTTGAACCTCGTCTGACGACACAACTGACTGCTGTAAGTGCATATTGTAGGTGTGTGACGAGAACAAGTCAAACTGATTCGATGTAGGACATTGAAAGCGTCTGTAGTGTTGACTTCACTTCGTCATATATCAATTGGGCAATTGTCAGTACAGGAAGACAAGATAATAATCGTTTTGCGGTCAAACAGTTGAGTTCAATAGAAGTTGATCTGTATGGAAAGTACAATTTCATCAAAACATTCAATAAAGTTCGTTCTGTACATTGTTTTTTTATAGAATGAAAAATGTCTATTCTAGTTATCCGAAAGTCTTTCGAAAGTTCCGTTGAACGACGCGAACGTTATTCTTGTTGAACAAGCAACATATCGTTATTCGAATATGAAAATAGCAACATATGTCTCGCAATTACAACAAATCCGTGCTGTACTGAATACAATACTGCATAGTCAGATGTTATCTAAACAACCCGTTTATCATATATCCGGAAGAGATGTTGCAGCACATTTTGGATTATTTATTGGCAATGAACAGTCTAGCGCCGAGTTTTTTCTCACGAATCTAATTTTCAATAATACAGATGAGAAACAAAAACTATTACTAGATGTGGATCATCAGTTAAAAACAAGTTATCACGGATCAACGAAAGGACAAAAAGAACCGATGGCACAATGTTTATTGAGAGCAGTGGCATTTCTTCAATGTGTGAATGAGAAGAAAAGCTTGTCTCTGCATAAAAACTAAATACCTATTGGAAAAACCTTGTTTTTTTTGTTGATTTTCAATATTGAATACATAACGGAAAAGAAGCTCAGAATTCGTATCCATCGGACTAATTAATCATCAAATACTTTCAATAAGATCATGATGCTCAGACGTTTTGTAGTAGCTTCTACAACACATACTTAGTCACAGAACATGTAGCGTACAGAATCATTACAGTCATGAATGCGCCAGCTATGAGGCCTGGTCGTCTGACTGCTCCTGGTTTCGAAAGACGAAGTACTAAAAATTTCGACAAAAACGTGCTGAGAAATCGAGTTTCTAATAAATAAATATGGTCTTTCTGTTAGATATGAAGTGTCGAATATCACATTAAATTAGAATGCCTCGTGGTACTATTATCATCGATTGTAGAGAAACTTATTAAAAGGATATTCAAAACACGCATACTCTAGGTAAAACAAACTGGTTAATTTGAAATTCGCGTTTTTCTCTTTTGAATATATGATAGACTTGTGAAAAAAACTCTTTTCGAGATTGATTATTGTTCGAATGTTAAGTGTAACAGTCTTAAAAACGTAAACAAACAACCAATAAATGTTTATCGCTGTTCAAAAAACGGTATTGTACAGCAAAACGAAAGGTAATATCTAAAGCATGTTCTCTTGTTCGATTGCATGATCATCCAAACCGATATCTTTCTCTTCATGAGTTATTGTTGCATCTGTCGTTTTCTAAAACAATCAACATTTTGTAAATCAACCCTGACAGAGTGATATTTTATACTTTTCTGAGTACATGAAAACACGGGAGAAGTTCTTTGAAGGAAGACAACAGTGATGCGTCCACCGTTCTCGGATCATTCGAACCTACGGGAAAGAAGTCAACAGGTAGTTAGAAAGACAGTGTTTGATGTGAACATACCGAATATAGATATACCCATCAGACCAAAAGCAATAGTAATGGCAAAGCCATTGAAAGAATACCACACAGGAGACATTGACAGAATTCTGTACCCCGAGTTGTGACTAATGACAGTATCAAATCCATTCTATTCTTTTCGCTTTGATCCTTTCAAATTTACATTACCTTTGCTCTATCAACAATGAATGACTTACATTCAATAATGGTGAACATCCAGCAACTGAAGTTGGTAATAGTCCTCCAGGTCTTCTTTGTTTCCCCGTAAAATTTCCGAAAATAAGCATCAATGTTTGGAGTATCAGACATAGAATAAATGTAACAAGAGCATTCTATACATAAACAGAATTCAATATAATCATCTCAACATTATATATTTTGAAAATATGTTATCTATGGTTAATTGCTATGATCTTGCGGATTTTATCTATATACTAACTCGATGGTTGACACGTGGAGCAAAAAATCCAAGTATATAGAGACCTAGAATAGGTGCTACGAAGGAACCAATCAATTGGAAAATAATCTAGACGAAAATGTAGACTTAAATAAATTGAGAAATGAGTAGTTACTTACTACAATAAGATTGCTGTTCATGAAAGATACAAGGTAGGCCAAGAATATGATGAAAAGGCCAGTGCTGCCAGCTTCAAATAAGAAGATGTTTAAAGTAAAATTTCTAATCAAACTCACACAAAAACTTTGAAACCATTGCTTGTTGTCTATCAGAAACCGAGTGTTTGTTCGATATTCGTTTATAGATATCTTCAAAGACGACTGTAGCTATACTGTTGACTCCACTTGAAAATGTGCTTAGGGATGCACTTAGAATACAGGCTATGAAAAGGCCTGTTAAGCCAGGAATTCGCCCCAATGTCTCCATGACGAATAGTGGATAGAGCTGGAGAAGTGAGAAAAAGTATCATTTCATATTCACACTTATACATGTTCTTGTTTATCTACTTGGTCTGGTTTCGAAACAAGTTTAGCTCGAAGCGGATCACATCGATGATATTTTGCATAGATCAGACATCCCGCACATTCGCAAAGAATAACCATCATCACACACATTCCATAGTTGATCCAAGCAGTCCTGTAAAGCAGTGACGCACACGAAGTATATCTTCGCGAAATGGAAATGACCCTTACTTTTGTGCTGATTTTGTGCTATGAACACACAAATATCTTTGTGCTTGTGTTTGAAGACATGCAAATAATGCTGTATTATATAGAGTATTGCTGAATATCATGTTCCAGACTGTATATCGAACGGTAGGATCGAGAGTGACACTGAAGAGAAAGACAATTGTCTTAGTTAACATTATTTGAATTCTTTCGAATTCGAAGTTAACATTTTTTGCCTTTTAACTTTCGTTAAACGACATCGTAAGTCACTCTTATTCTTTACTCATAGACTATGATCATATTAATTTCAATATCTATTTACAAATGCTAGGAAAAATGATTCCGAGACGTCGATTTCATTACACTTTGCTTTGTAGTTTGTAGACCCGCATTCATGTGAAAATTGAGGATGTTCAAGTTTATGGAACATAAATATTCCTCTAAATGAGCACATATTCTATGGTAGTCACTTAGATACATACATTGAAAGTTGCCAACGATCTCCATTGATTATTGTTTCAAACACCTTTGATACTCCACCAGCATCTATGAAGCCTTTTTAAATCGATTTAACAGAAAACAATCATAATTGCAAACGAATAGAAAAGAATCGAACAGACCGAAAATAATCGTCAATATGACACCGATAAACATCATAATCGTTTGTATAACATCAGTCCAAATCACTGCTCTTATTCCACCCTTGAAGTTAATTCGAAAAGAAATATGAGTTTTTTTCCTTAGAATACTCATTCACATATTTACAATACTCGTGTACAGCGTAGAAACAAATCCGCACAGTCCAACTGCAAGCCACATATTCAATCCAGTCACTTGATTCAATGCTAAACTCGGTCCATAAAGAACAACAGCCATGTATAGAATCTTGATTAATATATTACTAATTTGAACATATATGGAGTTAACTTCGTCTACTTACATTGACAAAAATGAAAGTACATGTCACTGCGATACGAACTGACAGCGAAAACCGTTGTTCAAGATACTATGTGTATATCAATGATTATTTTGTTTTATTGAAAAATGTACATACAGCATAAATACTGGCACTTCCAATTTGACGAAACTTTGGTATGAATAGATACGCATTGAGATATATTGCAATCCATAAAGTGAAAACTACAAGAGAATATTCATCTTAGATACTTTTTCATTGTCCTCGGGAAACAAAACTGATCGCTCCATTTCAATTTCAATCTTCGAAACCGCACTTAACTTAGTTTTCTAACGCTTCTAGTCTACGCGTACTTAATAGTGGATCTAATAAGTGATATCAATCAATTCGAATACTCAAATTGTTGATTAGTGGTATGTTTCAGACATTAAGTAACAAATCCTGACTTGATCAGTTCTCGTTATCCACAGGCACCTACATTAACAAGCTGAAATTTAGTTAATGTAGCGACGAGAATATGCGGTATTGTCTCTGCGTGTACTTACTACAATACAAATACATAGTCCCATATTGATACGTCTCTGAAGGAATTCCAAGTAGAGTTGCGGCTGACATAACGCTTGCTAAAAGGCTCATCGCTGTAGGTAATACCTGTAAGATCGAGAAACAATCGATTCGTATTTGTTTTTCAGAAAAAAAATAAGATTCTTCACCCCCATTCGACCATCAGCAATGTGAAATTCGCCTGCAGACAACTGTTTGGATCGAATACATCCTTGATAAAGACCAATGCTGATCGATATGCCTGCGTTAATATTTCTTAAAACTAACAAAAAAATACGAAACAGACTTACATAAGAGTATTATTAAAACTCCATAATCAGCCCAACTCAAGTACATCTGAAAATAATAAACGTCTCTCAGAATATCTATATATACGCGTTTTCTAGTCATTTGATTTAGCGACAAGCATGAGTCTGAAGGTCTTTGTATCTTCAACATTCTTTCGAAAGAAAAAAAAAGGAGAAAAATGAAAGCATATGATGCAGAGTTATTACAGCCTTTTGTAGAACTAACAAGGCTATCTGTACATAGTCATGCATAGAGACTGATAAGCTAAATATAGAAAAAGCGCAACGAAAAGCACCTACATTATTTCGAAAGAATGAGTTATGTGTCATCGACAGGAAAGGTACCGAAGTCTCTGTTAGTCATTCATGTGCCGAACAATGTCAATAGTTTTTCGATTTTATACTCGTGAAAACTTTATACAATATTTTTCGACTAATAGATCAGTTGCATTAAAATCGGTTCGGTAAAAGAAAAGTCAATTAATTCTCTTCCTTTATTTTTTTTTCTCTTCAGTCAGTGTCCAAATAGACCATGGTATAAATTGACTTTTTGTCTACTCGGATCATTGGCCTTAACCGTACACACTAGTTTTCTTGGTCAACGCATCGACGAGTATGACAATGTCGGACAATCTATTGCGACGCAAACCATACATTGCAAAAATCAAAGTGTACTCAACTACGAAGTCCGATTATTTGTCATCATCATAAAGAGTGTCACATAAATTTTGTGTTTTCTCTCAAAGTTCTAGCAAAAAGTATGTGTCGTTTATCATTATTATAATCAATAGCAGAAACGTTTTACTCAATAGAATCTTTCTTCAATGATGTAATTAAAACCTGTGAACGAGTAGTTAGTTGCATAATTTTCCTGAAGTATGATGTGATTTCATAGTCGACGATGTAATGACCCTTGAGACGACTCGTTTGGATAATTTTTCAGTACCGAATATACATTTCGTCATCGACATCTATAGGAAAGAGTCGAGCTCCATTAAATGATAATCTGCGCTCACTCTCACCCTCGATATGAGCCTAGAAGGATACATTTAGCGTTTCGCGTCGTTATCTTATTCGCGAGCTCAGTTACACTCGAAATTTATCCAAGTGCTGGAACAATTCTAATTTGTATTCAACTATCTGTCATCCACAATTCATGTGTGTCTTTCGCAGTTAGGATGTAAATCGGAAGAAAAACCAAACTTATAGATAAGTGAATTAAAACAAAACAGAATGTTAAAATCGAATCTTTCGATCAGAATGAAAATGAATGTTCGATCAAATCCAAACCAGTACCATTTTCATCTTCTCTTTAAAAATTAAACTATTCACATTCATCAAGTGAACTTTTTTGAAAGCTTCTACAACGAATCTAATCATATTACCTATCCGTTATTTCATTCGTGAAACACAACAGAAGATATCGAGGGTACATCTATTTATTTGTTTATCCGTCTGCTTGGACTCGACGTGCTTATGTATGTGATAGTCGACCGCTGCAAGATATGCATCGTGAAAAATTGAATTGGGAAGAAACGAAGACGACGAGAAAAGAAATGCTTTGTTCTCCTTTTCTCTCTCTATCATCTTCTCTTAATATATATGTTCGAAGTTATCTCTATGCAATTCATTTCCAAACTATTGTACAACACTTTTCTTTAAAATATCATGATGATGACTGTTGATCTCTTAAACCGTCGGTTGTCATATGTCGGCGCATTTTTTGCATTTGCTGCTGTTGTTCTTGGCGTTATTGCATTGGCAACAAATTACTGGACGATGGTGGGAGTTCGAACTCCAAGTGCGGCCATTACGACAGTTAATGGAACGCATCTCGTCAGTGAGAATTTTGACTGGACATGGAGAGTAAGTTTTATCTTCTGTTGCTGAACTGTCTGAACACTAAGTTAATTCTATAGGGTCTATTTTATTTCTGCATGAGTCGTGACAACAACGAATGTCGATTCAGCTTTATGCCATCAGTATTCATTCTTTGCTTAATTGGACTGATGTTTGTGCTCGTCGGTGGAATATTTCTTTGTTGGGACATGTTCAAGATCAGTGACCGCAGATTTATTATTCCGATGTTATTCTTCATTGCTTGTGTGTTAATGACAGCTGGTGTATTCGAATATGCAACATGGCAAAATCTCAATTCTCATTCATCTCGAATGATGATTGCAGCTATGGTTTTCGTTTATTCAGCTTTACCAATTGCTGCTTTCATTGCCGGTCGGTATTCAGTTTTCGATCGATTCGGTGCTAATGGACACGTTAGCAATGGACAAAAATATGTTGCTACAGCCACAAATGGAAATTAATTCGATAGAAAGAACTTTTGTCTTCGTTTTGAAAACATAATTAGCGTGTCTTTTTGTTTTGTTTGTTATTGAAATGTGTTCTTGTCGCTCAGTTATTCGTAAACAATACTCAATAGTTACTTCAATAAATACTTGTCCTTGATGAAATTTGATTTTCTAGTGGAAGGTAACTCAGAAGGAGAAAGAGAATAGAAAATATTCTACGCACATGTTAGTTTAGATTACTGATTCAAGTTTAATGAAAATAGTTGCTTGCAGTCAGTTAATATGACATGAGTGGGGATGTTAGAAGATTGGTTGATTTATATTAGTAGTACTATTGCGGAGATGTGTTCGTAGTTTTCTTGTTCTTATTGATACTTTTTTCTTATCGTATTCGACACGCACGAGTGGCTCTTACCAATGAAGCATGTCTAAAAATTCTGTCGAGAACGAAAAGACGTTTGATGACACTTCACGAAAGCTGACATGTTGCAACCGAGAAAACGTGGCGGTCTAATCAACATGTACCCCTTACGCCGATATCTATGTCGTATTTGTACACTTTGCACTACATTTATATTACTTATCATTACTATTCACTCTTTCTTTGTTTCGTTTGATCCTGATTCAGTCCCATCATCATCATCAATCGATGATTCTCATCCGATACAAGCGATCGAAACAACTGCGATACCAGTAACATCAGCGATTTCCCAATTAGTGATCGGGAACCATTCATCAAATCTACTTACAAGGTAATGAATACAATTGCAGACGAAAATGTATTATATCGATGTACTATGAACGCGTTCACATGTTTTATTCGATGAAATAAAATCTTCATGATTATTTCTGTACTTTGAAAGATTGTCTTAATTCATCTAGGAGAACATTTATCCCGGATATATTTGATCTAACTCTGTGGCGTCATGCTATCATTGGTATGCATGGAAATCAAACACAATGTCGAGTTCCTCGCCAGTATCGGGCAATTGCCAATGCGTTTTGTAATGCACTGGGTCGAGGAAATTGTCCACGAGTTCCATGTACGCTTGTACATATTTCCGATGAATTTACACAGTATGTCGAATGTCTCCGTGGAGGAAAGGTAGCTGTACGTGTTAAACCTGATTGGGTGTGCCGTAAAAGTGCAGCATTAGAAGTGCTATCAAATTCTGAACGAAAACCATCGGTGCAAGCTGAAGCTTATACGAGATTAACATCGGATTTGTACATTCAAGCACTAGGACCATACCACGATAGAGAGACAACAAAATGGGGTTTGACGTTAGAAGGTGAAGCCATTGGATACTATCCCAGTGTTATTCTAAAAACAAGACTATTACCTTTATTTGACATTACAATTGGATATGATCGAAGAATTTTCGATGTGGTGACCGATTTGTATTTATTAGATTATGTAGATCTTTTAACGAATAGAGTGAAACAACGACTGACTGTGAAACAAGTGCTGGATAACAAAGTAAAAGGTGATTATAATGATCTTTTCTTACAAAAAATAAATATGATTATGATTTGCTCGTGCTTAGGTCGACCGCCGATTCTTTGGATGAATAGTAATTGTGATACTCCATCAAATCGCACAGGCTATATGCTTGAGTTGATGCGTTATATCGAAGTTGATGTTCGTGGTAAATGTGGTAATCCGAATTGGAATGAGTCGGCTACAGTTCTGTCAGATACTGATCCGAAAATATTAGCTAGACAAAAGTTAGCTATTGCTGGAGAATATCTTTTCACTGTGGCTATCGAAAATACCTTAACGTATGATTATGTTACTGAAAAATTATGGCAACCATTATCGGCTGGTAGTGTTCCACTGTATTTAGGCGCAACGAATATTGAGGAATGGTTGCCTTGCGCTAATACTTCATGTATTGTTGATTTAAGGCAATATAAATCACCCAAAGAGCTTGCTGACCATCTTCATCAAGTTATTCAACATCGACATTTATATATGCGTTATCATAACTGGAGAAAAAAAGCATCTGTCAAACCAAGTTTTCTCAAGATAATTAATTATCTTCAAGAATCAAATCAACATACAGTAGAATGTATGCTTTGCGACATGATTCATCGAAAAGATCGTGGTGAAACTCGAATCAAGCTATTAACAGCTTCTAATCCATTTGAAAATTCTTTTCCTTCTCTAGTTTAATAATCGACAACAGGAGAATATGAAGATTTGTTTTTTCGTTAAATAAATATCTTGTCCCGATTGAAATTCTCACATTTTCGCATTGAGTATGTTTGCATACATATTTTCAACATGCCAATGCACTTAGAAAGGTCAATTCGATATCTGATTGGTTAGAATCGTAGTCCAACAGGTAGACTAATTTAGTCTCCGAAATGAATTATTCAGTAATTAAATCTCGATAAAGAATGTCGGAATCTCATCGAGATAATGACAAGTCGTCAAATAATAATTTTTCCCATTCTCATCGAAATAGTAAAGACGACATTGATCGACACGATCGAAAACGCTCGCACAATGATTCGTAAGCATTGATAGTGTGTCTTGATTCTTTCGATTGTTGAATATTTTCGTCTTGTAGAGAAAATACTGACGCTAAAGTTTTTATCAGAAATGTTCCAACAAAAAAAGTCACTGATGAAGAATTATTAAACTTTTTCAAACCATATGGCAAAATTTCAGGTTCGAAAAAGCATTTTCAATACTCTCACACATGTCGATTTTTCATTTATTTGTTAGATATACAAGTATTTAAAGATCATATATCCGTGCAATATACTCGCGTTGAAGACGCGAATAAATTACTTAGGAATGCTAAAATACCTTTGTTGTTCAAAGGAAATAAACTTGGTAAAGATGAATTGATGAAATTGAGTTTGTACTCTACTGAATGTATTGTAGACGTCTTATCAGCGAGAGAAATACGATCGACAAGTGTCAAGTCAACGTCGACCGATAGATCATCCAAAAGGTATTTGAAGAGTTTTCTTTTGAGGAAAAATGACTTCCATTTGAATTGAATAGCAATGATAGAAATTCACATCGGTCATTATCCAATTATGAACCTCAAAGAAAACGTTTTATACCACGCGAGCGATCCGCTCTTATTTCAACGTAATGCATTCCTTTTCAACAAGAATTTTTTTTCCTAAAGAATAATCCGATCTTATTTCAGCGAACGAAACGACGATCGCACACATGTCCCTGTATCGACATCAAAGTCTCATCAGTCGTCGAATGATTCCATTCCTCTCAGTCATCAGATACCATATGCAATCTTAACTGGACCGAAAGATGCCAATGCACTTGTTGATTGTCAAATAGTTATAGTCAACGCTCGACAACGGTAACTGCAAATCTGCAAGAAATTGAGTTATGGATCATTTTTCTTCAACAGAGATTACGCGGAAGAGATCGAAGCTCGTCTTTCTTCGCAAGGCATGATCACATCGGTCATTCTCCTTCGCGAAGACTTCACACTGACCGAAGCGATTGAAAATGCAGCTCGTCTACAATGTTTATATGGCATTATTGCCATGCCAATGCACGAAGAGCGACGCACTGCATCTTTTCACATTCTTCACGGACAAACTGAAGGTAAGAAGAACTTTTCCGCTATGTACGCTGAAAGTATGTTTCTTTTGCACTTTAGAACATCGAAATTTAACGTTGGAAGATGGAATTCATATAATTGCTACGAATTATATTTCCTACAAACAACGTCTTCACAACGATGATGTGAACTCATATCGTTCAATTCATGATCCGATTTCTTATGCGAATTCGAGTCCACCGAATAATTCTCGTCGTCAGTTGAGCAACCATACACAAGAAGAGATCGCTCCACCAGTTTTGCATCTCGGTGATAAATTACCGTTGTCAATGTTATTGTGCCTACTTGCCGATGGAAGGCAATTGACTTTGGAAGAGATCGATCGTGTACTTGTTTATTTACTTGAAAAGAAAGCCAAAATGCTAACGTTACCTGCTGGTACATTGCCGCCTTTACCTGCTCAATATGCAACTATAAATAACCATCAAACAGGTGCTTTGATCTTTTAAAGTTCTTTTACTCGTTGATTGTTGTATGAATATTAACTTCCGACTAGACAGCTACCAGAGAGAGCTACTAAACTTATGGATGTATTGTTTTCTGTACAGGCCCTCAAATTCTATCCAACACAAGAACTATTGCGACGTCAGATCCATCATCTGGGAAATCGATCATGTCTTCCTTAATTGAAGCAACACCAGCGTCAATAGCCGAACAAATTCGTCAAATTTTTTCATCGAATATAACCAAACCAAATTCGTCCACCGGAGAAACGATTTCGCCGCCCTTAGTTCCGAAAACATTAATGAATACATTGCCCGACAATCTGAAAATTGAACGAACGGTTGCTTCACAAATGACTAATAACATTAAAGACTCACCAAAAGATTACGTTGGACATCACAACCAGTCGCAACAACAACAACAACAACAGAACACCCAATCTTCATTTTCCTATACGAAAAGCGAACCAGTGTCAGTTACACCACCGGCATTTAGCTACACTCCGTCGTCAGTTTCAAATATTGGTGCATTTGCCGGGCCAAACTTTTCATCTTATGATTCAGCGACATCGCCCTTACCGCTCAATTCGAGTTTAAAACCGACCACACCAGTAACTGTTCCAAATTTTGCTTCTCAACCTTCTACATACTTCTATCCCGTTCCCACACAATGTGTTTATCCGCCATCATTAAATTCGACAGCCGTCAATACAGCCGCGGCAATTTTTCAGGCTTATTCACAATTTAATGTACAGCCACCAGGAGCACCGTCAATTGTTAATCAACAAATGACAACACAACAACAACAACAACAAATTCGAAAATAACAGAGAATGTTTTTTGTAGACTTCGTTTGTTTTGGATTGTAAACAACACTGATTGCTATAGTTAATAAACTGTAATATATGAACGAAATTCTTAGATTGAGATAAACTTTCAATTAATTATTGAAGCACTCGAAAAACGCCCGATTCAAACAAGCAATAAACTTGGATAAATAATCTTTCCCTGCCTACAAAACAACGGTGAAGGTATCGATAATTCACCCGACGATAATACTGGATATTGACATGTACTTTTATTAAACATCGATTGATGCATCTCGTCTGTCGCTATTTGTCGAAATCTATACAAAGTAAATCAATAAGCAAATATTTGCATATGGACAAAAATCCTATTCTTTTCTCTCTCTCGGTTAGATGCAGCGGAAAGACATATCGAGATTTTTCACATATGGGGAACTCAAAGTCTACTTCGTCGTTTGCTAATGAATCTGAGTATGCGTATCAACCAGCTCGAGCCACTGATTCACGTTCACCATGTCCTGCACTCAATGCTCTCGCTAATCATGGATATTTACCACGAGACGGTAAAAATATTCCACCAGAAGTCCTACAGCGTGTTTTACAAGTAGGATAAAACTACTACGTATTTTACCAATTCCTCTACATCTCCTAGGAAAAAATGGGTTTAAGTTGGATAGCCACGAAGACGATTCTTCGACAGGCTTATAAAACTGTGGGTCATGATGGTGTACTTTCTCTTTCGGATCTCTGCTATCATGCACCTGAAAGTATTGAACATGACGGTTCACTGAGTCGACTCGATGCGTATCTGTCGAATAATAAACAAGGCACATTCAACCAAGAGCGTTTCAACAAATTTTTATCCTTCTCTAAAGATGGAAAATATCTCACGACTGAAGACGTCGCTGCTGCTCGTCTATACTTTAAAGCTGACAGCCGTGCAAACAATCCGCAATTTATATGGAATAAAGACATCGAAGAAGCAATGTGGACAGAAGCGTCAATACTATTACATATACTGGGAAAACATGGACAAATTCTCATTGAAGATGCGAGATTATTTTTCGAACAAGAGACATTTCCACAGGGTTGGCAAAAACATCCATCGTTCGGTGTGCGTGAACGATACTCAGCAGTAAGAGCGTTGAAAAGTGCAGCACGAAGATTAGAAAAATAGTTACAGAAATGTGCGAGTGAGGACGTAGACCAGCAATGAATATTTTTTGCGACATGCATTCACAATCTCGCCTTTATTTTATCGAATTTGTCATGGGTAGCAATCCAGTTTGCTGTGTAGTTTTTTTTTCAAACTTATTCATTTGCATCTAATGAGTTGACGAGCGCGCTTTTATGACACTTTAGCAAATTTAGTACAGATTTTTTTGACAAAAAATTAAAAGTCTCTGGCATTCCTAGAAGACAGAGACTGATCACCAAGACTTGAAGAATTTTTGTGATAGTAACCGATTTAGTTAATATCGAACATGTATTCTTCACTGTAGTCCATAATACTTGAATTGCATCTTTTGAATTACTACGAATTGGTTGAGTTACTTCTAACAATGTAATACCAACGTCATTGTCATCGTTTATAGTTCTATACAATGACAAACAAATCACAGTCAAGAAAAATGTTCTAATCAAATGATCATATACGTGAAGTAAACCGGAAGAAAGGCACAAAATAAGACTGTTCAACCCAATTGCTGAGTAACTGTCCATACATGAATTTAATTCATTCCAAATTCGCGAATTTACCAGAGAATATACGATAGCTTTATTACGTCAAGAAACCGAATACATCCATTGAATCAAGTACATGAGAAGAAAGACGCAGAAGATTGTAGACAGGTTCATTCAGAATTCAAAACATCAAAATTTGTATAAAAACCAATGTTATGACATTGCTGCAGAAGAACGTGTGTTTAAGCAGGCATCTTATATTACAAGAAATCACAATGATATCTCCTGAAATCAGAAAAGAGAAAAAGAAGACTTCAGCCGTACTGATACACTTTGTCATATATGAAATCTAATTGAAACTTCATTAGTTTCATATCTGTTAGCATCTATCATTCTTTCCATGGTGACTGTGTATTGACCATTTCCTTTACCGTTACACTATTGATATTATAATACAAGAGATATATGTAAAACTTATGCACCCAAAAGATAATACAAAATTGCTAAGTTATCCGTGATATTAATAAGAACTGAATCATATGCTTTTTCTTAAGTCGACTTAAACATCAACTACCCAACCCTTTACATATAGTCATAGAACATACGGTATTTAACGTATAAAGACAAAGTCAAATTCGCTCTTTTTGATCTCTGCTTTCATGCGTCTGAAAATATTGAGCATGACGGTTCATGCAGTCGACTGGATACGACTCTATCGAATAATCAACAGGGCACATTCAATCATGGACGTTTCAACAAATTTTTCTCATTTCATAAAAGTGGAAAATATCACTCGCAGGCAGATACACAATTATTTTTCGAGCAAGAGACATTTTCGTTGAATTTCCGAACGTATTGAAAAATGCAGTATGAAGACCAAGCAAATAATCTCGACAAATAAATATTCCCATCTTATTTTATTTGATTTATTTCGTGTGTGTGAGTAAACGCTAGATATGATTCCTAGGTTCACCTTCACTCTACTTGAGAGGATTACGCTGAATTTTGCGAATTTGAACATGAAAATGAGGTTGTCGTTGACACCAATATGTTTCCTGACTGAATGGTGTTTGATAATCATTTTCGTCTGAGTCTGATACGATACAGCCTAAGTTAATTCTTAAAAAGACTAAGTGGAGTAACTTATCTTCAATCAATTTTTGCCACGTTGATGGCTCGAACATGATTCTCATATCGTTTCGTACGTCTAACTTGAGATTCAAATATATTAAATGCGGACATGTGGCTAATAATTGCTGGATTTGTTCTAGTGACCAATCATCTTGGAGATTCAACGTTAAATGTTGAAGTTTAAGAAGTGAAATACTCGATCGAGAAAGATCTCGATGTGGTGCAGTAATACAAGCTTTAAATTGACGAAGATTAGGTGTGCGAGTTATAAATGATACCATTTGTGTAGCTGATATATACTCAAGTGTAGCGCACTCTAATGATAAAAGATCGAATGAAAGTTTTTTAGCATCCCAATAACGTATATGATATGGTAGATGCAGATGACGTAGATGTACATCACTAGTCGAATCCATGAAAGTAGACCAGACTTGATTATAGAAGTCTTGCGGATAATAATACCAAGTGAATCGTCCGACAACAATTGATTCGAGTTGTTGCATTGGTAATTTATCAATGAATGAATATAATGTATGAAGATTTATTTTTTCGAATTTAACAGCTCGAAGTTTCTCGAAATTCAAATTAGAACATCGTATTTGAAATGACTGTACATCTGCAGTAGATAAGATCAGAGATTTACATTGTAATCGAATCGTTTCAGGAATATTTAATACTGACAGACGGATACATGCAGGATAGTGTTGAATTGCACTATCAAGACGTTTCTGTAAACCATAAAACGCTTGGAAAAGTTCGATAAATGATAGATAATCAAATATTTTGCATAACAAAACAATACTTAGATCGTCAAAACACGTCATCATGTGTAGAACGACTTGCAGCGTTGTATCATACACAAAGAAAAACACATTTTTATTATCGATAAATATCATAGAACGAGTCAAAATAGGCCGAAGGTAACCCTGAAATTACTTGGCATGTTTCTTATTTTGATAAGTCATCAAACACGTCTCAGTCAAATATACAGTATCAGGAATTAGTGCAGTTTTTCCAATGGAAAACGATGACAAGCTATCTCATCGCTTGGATTCGTAAGAAAAACAAATATGTCCCATAGTCAAGACGAAAAACACCAGGCAAACGCTAGAAATGTAATTGATTGCACAACGTCACATCGGTAAATCACCTATTTCAATTGCTGCAATACATACTGAACAACAACAACAAAAATACTCTATTATAGTCTGTCAAACAGCGCATGATAGATACGTCAATGGTCAAAAACAAAAAAGTATGAAAAGTTCGATTACTGGAAAAAGTCTTTGTTGAAAAGTGCATATAGAAATGGATTTAAACATGAATTAAAATATGATAGTGCGTGTGAGATAACTCGAAATAAATTAAGTAAAAATGTATGATGAATATAAAAATCATCCAATAAACGTTGACAATTAAGAAATTCAAGTGTATGAATTGGAAGCCAGCATAGGGCGAATGCACAGGTTAATGAAACTAGTGTTCTGATCACTCGGCGACGATTGGATGGTGCGCATGGGCCATCTTTTAATAAACTGTTCTATAATAAACATAAAAACTCAAAGTCTATAAGTTGAAAGTTCAATTTTACTTTATGCCGTTTGATTGCGTTCGATGTCTTTCGCAGATAACAAAATAGTCTTGTGTAACAAAGAGCAATAACCAATAGTGGTAATATGTAATAAGCACAGAATGGAAAGTAACATGATGCAAAAAAGGGATGATACGCTGACACTTCACAAGGATTTATCGGCGCCATCTCCGCGTTCGATGTCGATGACGAGAACGACGTATAAGGAAATATGAAAGCAATTGAAACTAGAATAAAATGAAAGGACTATTTCATGTATGAATTTTGACGATATCTTACCGATCCAGATGAGAATACAGATAATAAGCGCATTCAGCGGTGTTCGCCAAGGTGGACGCGGATGAGAACTAACCACATAAAGATATCGATCAACGCTCATAACAGCCAATGTATAACATGTTGCTTGAAGAAGTACCTATCAAATACAAATATATCAGAATTTTTTTTTGTTTTATTGTGAAAGGTCTCTCGATTGTTATCGTCAATTCTAGATGATGACTCGAGAAGACATTCGAGTTAATTATGTATCCTAAGGAAGTCGTTGGAGTATCAGGCGACATATAAGTTCTTTCATTTGTCACTCACATAAGCAAGGTAAACATGAACACGACAGCTAACAATCCCGCTGAGAATCCATTTATTTGTTAATCCTAAATAAGTTGTTAACGGAACGGAAATGAGTAAAAATAAAAGATCTGTTATTGCTAAATTAATAATGTAACAATTCGTCACGGACGAATATTTCTGTTTCCAAACAGCGACAATGAGAACAATTGAATTACCTAAGGAACAAACAGTTAACTTTTGAGTACAAGAAATCCAAATAGTTACCGATTGTTCCCAGAACACAGATGCAAACGAGAGTAATCACTGTTAAAACGTTAAGAAATGCATTGGAGTTATGTTCATCGTGAATAACTACATCATTGTATTCCATTTCCTCTATAAAAAAGAACTTTCTCGATTAAGTTTTCTTATAGTATCGATATGATGAGAAAATGTCTGAATGAGTGGAAATATCCCTGTATGACACTGTTCTATGCATGTTGTGAAATCTCGTAATGAGCGAATAAACACATGGTGAAAAACTCTATACTTTGTCAAGAGAACTTCCTCTCTCATTCTATGATCATGTCTTTTCTCTTTGAAGACTAAGATTTCTCGCTTTTGTATACTTGTTGTTCTCTATTCTATGCTTCCGCTGTTGTTCACTGAGAAGTCTTCGTCGTCGAAGAGAAATAAACACTTAAGTATTGTTCAAATAATTTTCTTACATTTGTCAACGACTCATATGAATAAGTAAAATAAAACTTATCAACCGATCGTACGATGACAGACCGAGTACTTTAGTATTGTAAATTTCTAAAGTCGACTGAGACGCAAATGCAGAATACAAAGGCGAAAAAAAAGCAATTGAGTTTGATTATCATAATCTGAATGATAATAATAGTATGGACTAGAATCTTTAATGGCTATTTAGACCAATGGAACTAAGCTGTCCAAAGTTCGCGGAAAAGCTGTAGCTTCTGTTTTCAAGCTAATCGATATCTTCAGTCTTCTGCTTCATTTATTATTAATATTCCTCTAAGAGTTAGTAACTTTTGTTCTATTCAACGTTATTCAGAAGACAAATATTAGAAATATGAGTTCGATTATATTTTATATGAGGTTCATTACCTACCAGTTCTGCTATGAGCAGCTAGATATGATGTGAGGAAAGTAAAGAAGCTGTTATTCTTCTACGTAAATACTTAACCAAATCTCTTCTTTTTCTTCTGAGCTAAAATAGATACGATTTTCTCGGAAAAGATCAAAGCGACTTGTGTTCCAGATTTTATCCTAATTTTTTACTTACGAAAAAATAGCATCGGTTTTCAACTTCGATGAACATGTATGTAATATCATATACAGAATTACCTGTTGTTGATTGAAATTATAGAGGCAACTTACTAATTGACAACATTGAATTATGTGAAGTAGGAAAATGTTACATTATCATCATACGTGTTCGTCATCAGATCTATTTTGAACCTGAACATTCCAAGACATAGCAACTGTGACTTGGTAACTGTTGAAGAGCATAAGCAATGTGGAAAACATCGTAAATAATCGTCTTAAGATTAAGTTAGTGGATTTCATGTTATTTAAACGAACAGCATCATATTTAGTCGAACGATAATAAACATAGCAGTAGACTGATTAAGCTGAAATGCACTTAATAGCATCTGACATTCTGCGAAGATTATGAGAATAAAACAGAGTTCTAATATCATTGGATTTATCTTTAATCTGAGCTGTCATAGTTGATTGTATATCAACCCTTCAACGACCAGCAACCGTAATATTCAAAAACGAACGAGCCGATTGAACATTTTATCCATTTGGATATGCCATAAACAGGTGGCTTGAACAACATCTGCCTGTGAAATGTTGTGTTAAATTTAGGATGAATCCGGTATAGTTACGATACATATGCTGTTAATTCGACAAGAACAACGTTTGCATTATTAAATAAAGCCGTAGAAAGACTTTCAAACAACTAAAAGGGAAACTATTCAATTACAAACGACGGCACAATACATAGAACAAACATTGTGAAATGTTTTTTTTTAGAAAGGCCACTTTCATACTTGATACTTCTCTTTCGTTTCTAACATGAATAAAAACTTTTCGACCAATTATCCATATCAAATACAAACGTTTATTTTGATATCACACCGTGAATGTATACATAATTTTCCTTTCCCTTTTGATGCACAGTATCTGCCTCAAGAACATTTCACGTCTAAAAACTTCGCTGTTGAAGAGGATATTCGCCGGCACAAAATTCAAGTTAAAGCATTAAAATATATCTTTAAGCCATCACGGGAAACGCACCGACATTTCTACGCTTGATTGATATTCATCAGCTGACAGGAAGTGTTTTTCTTTCATATTTTCTCAGTGTGTAACAAATTCAATCACCTAGAAACTATCTCTCATTTCTTCGATACATAGATCATCACTTTCTATTCAAATTGAACAACGAAATAGAAGCCGATCAAGTAACAAACTAAAATAAAGTGCTGTCTGTCGAGCACGAAACATATGTCTTGTTAAGAGCGACCTCTATAGTTTCTTCATTGGATTGATATATTTTCCATGGTTATTTATCGGAATAACAAACTACCTACTAGTCACATTCTCACCCTCGAGCTTGTTTTCGTTAACGAAGTATTAATCAATCAGGATGGACGTTATTCATGATAAAAACAACAACGAATTTAAAATCGAACTGGACAAATCGTCAAACGATAAAGGTACCATCTGTCTCATCTTCATGTTTCGATTCGATAGAAGTTCTCGTTCGCATAGCATATCTAACCTATGAACTCAGTGGTGACACAATTGACTTTCAACATACCTATGTTCCATCAAACTATCGTGGTAAAGGTCTTGCTGAAAAACTTGTTCTAGTAAAGTCTTCTTTTTTCCTCTAATGTACATTTGATCGTCTTATCCTTTTCATCTAGAGTGCATTAGATTATGTGGAAAAAGAAAAATCTATTCAAAAGATCACACCATCATGCTCCTATGTTGCTAAATTTTTAACTAACGCTCCGCAATACGCTCGCTATTTAGCCAAATAAAGTATTCTTTCTCTATTTATTTTAGATGACTACTATTCGTTTGAAACTTCCATCGAATTTATATCGCCCATGGAAACCATTATATCGTCAACGATCGAAAAAACAAAAAGATCCACCAGCACCGTATACACCATTAGAGCAACAAATCTACGATAATGCAAAGGTTAAATTCGATGAACGAGTGAATATACTCAAAGCAATATTTACAAAAGAGACACAATCGCTGTCGACAAAATCTCGATTTGCTCAACTTCAACTCAAAGCAGAAGAACAAGAGTTTCGGCAATTGATCAGTATGGTGAAGTAAGTCGTTTTCATTCTAAGAACTATCAAGTTTATTCGGAATTGTTCTTCTAGTCAAGAGAATGAACGTTTACTTGCTGTACGTCGTGAAGATGAACGAGTGGCACTGGAAGAGGAAGAACGTATTCGTTCACAAGTACTTAATGTTCTATCTGAAAAAGAATTTCGTGAACATCTGAATGTCGAAGAAGAAGTGAAACAAATGAAGAACGAATCTCGTTCGTGGATCAACCCAAATGATCTGTCCCGTGAAATTGAACGAATGCTCAATGAAAAACATGATTACAACTTTTCGATTGATTTAGCGGGTAAAAAGCGAACACAATCTGGAAAAGAGATTGTTGAAGATAACAAATCAAAATTAGTTTCGATATCATCATTTGAATCTGAACCGAAGAACGTCGCAAGAAAACCACCTGGCGCTTCGAAATACGAAGAATAGAGTATTTTTTTCTTTTTTTGAAATAAAAGAACAAGCAATTGTTGATTGTTAGCATTGATAGGAGAATGTTAGCGAAGATGTTTGTGTTTGTTTTTAGATAAAGAGAAAGAAGAATGTCTCGTTCAGCATCCGGTAGTGCTAACCGAATTAAAACGAGTAATGGTAAGAAAAAGAAAGATACACCAGCGATGAAAACAACGAATGGAAACCACCAGAAAAGTATGTATATCAAAATGTATTTATTTTGCTCAACATTGATGCGTTTAGATGAGGAAATAGAAGAATCTTCGTCAAGCGACGACGATGATGAACCAATTCGAGCCCCAATGCAATTGAAAATTGAAGTAAGAATTCAGCAACGAATTCTTTGGTTTTGTAAATGCATGTTTGTTTCTGGGTAGTTTATTAATTCAATTATGTTTCGACAGTGGGAGCTGGCAAAGAAACTATGTCAATTTATGCTAATGTATGAACCGGGCAATGCTGAGGCTCAACAGTTTGCACCATTGATCGATTATATGTTGGCTCATGAACAATCTTCATCATCTTCCTCATCGGATGATGATGACACGAACGGTATGTTTCGCAGAAAGGTTTAAGCTATTGTTTCGTTATGGTCTTATTTAGATGACGACGGTGATGGTGACGATTCGTCTGCGACTAGTGATAGTAGTAGCTCCACTTCATCAGATAATGATGCAGAAGAAGAAGAGGAACAACAACAAGGAACTGATACCGATGAAGTTCAAGCGCCAAAACCAGTCAATGCTTCTTTATCGCGCAAATGTCCGCATCATTAATGATAAAGTAAAAATGAATGACATTTCCGTCCATTTATCAAGTTTTTTTGAATATATTTTTTTTCAATTCATAATGAAATAAATCTCAATATAATGAATGATGTACTTACGAAATGTATTCAATCGCAAAAGCGAGAATCTATCAAAATTTCGTAGATAAGAACAGAACTGAACGTCTCAAATGAATTCGATCGACCCGGCTTGTGTGGAATTTGTCTTAATCGTCTCTCAGGATTTCATAAACATCGGCTCACATATATGATTCGATCAGATACTTTCTCTTAGCCTGATAAACAATCTGTTGAATATGAATCGACGAATAACATAAAATTTTAACTGAAATAAGATATTTAGGTATATGTTATCTCGAAACTGTGCAAAGTTACTGGGCAAATCTAATACATTTTTCTGATTATCTTTGTTCGCTCACAGTTTCTCTGTGTAGATGCTTATTTTGACTTGAACATTCCTCGGCGTATATTTCAAGCATTTATTTTTGCCAAGATTAATAAAAGAAGAATCACCTGTTACTACTATATTAAGAACAAGAAAGTCTCATCGAACTCTTTCCTTTCTTTCCCCAACACGGTAAATGATATTTATTGGTTAGATTTAGTTAACCAATAGAAAATTGTCTGCTAGTTGATCGAGGACGAAATATGCTTTTTATGGTTTGAATATATTATTTCTTCTTCTAGTTTATTTATCCATTTTATTTACGTCGATGGCAACTTGCAGATATAGTCTTAACGCTCTGGTTAGTTACTTTGCAACTTAAACTAAGCTCTAATTTCATTTCATTTTATTCTGATAGCGTCGCGCGTCATCATCAGCCGCTGTTGCCTCAACGGCCAGTCAAAGAACTGCTCCTCAAACGAAAGCTGGCCAATATGGTATTCCACAACGGATTAAACTACCAAAGGAAAGTATAAATGTAAGCGAATTTTTTACTTGTCGTGACGCTCTGACAAGAGAATTCGTATAGGTAACTAAATTGCAAAATGGAATGGTCGTAGCTTCGATGGAAAATAACTCACCAATCTTTCGCGTAGCAGCTGTTGTGGACGCTGGAGCAAAATATGAACCATATGAAAGTCGAGGTGTTACAACACTTCTTCGAGTGTTCTCCAACATGGTAATAGAGGAATTTCAAAATAACATTCACACGAAGCATCGTGTTTATTTAGAGCACGAAGTACGTCAGTCGTCATGGTATAACAAAAAATTTGGAACGTCTCGGTGCCAACTTCAAGTAAATCAAAGCTTCTCCACTAGAATATTCTAGGTACCATTGGTTTGTTATTGTTAACTAGGTGTGTCCAAACTCGCGAACAAATGATTTATTCAATTGAAGGCCTCCGAAATGAATTGTACGAGACGATATGCATTTAAACATGTATTTGATTGTCACTATCCCTATTTTAGAACACATGGAGCACAATTTTTAGTTCCAATTGTTTGCTATCCGATGTTTAAGCCATATGAGATTCATGATGAACATGAACGATTAGAAGTTGATCATAAGCTTTATTTACAATCACCGGAATTACGTATGTAACTTACTACTGTGTCAAGTGCGACATTTTCTTCGGTGTTTAGAACTAAACGATCTTCTTCATGAAGCTGCGTTCAAGGGCGGTTTGAGCCGAGCGTTATCTGTTTGTCCGGATATGATGAAAAAGCTCTCTCACAGACAAGTAGATTGTTTTTTATGAGTCATTTCTTACCTAACAGTATGATTTGCATAGATGTATACGTTTCATTCCCATTATTACACACCAGAACGCATATCTTTGGTCGGAACCGGCTGTAATCATCAAACACTCGTTCAATTAGCCGATAAATTTCGTTTTTCACCATTGGATTGCGTCTATACACCAGGTTTTGGAAATCTGAAATTAATCGATTCAGAGCCTGAACCATCGAAATACAAAGGAGGTTTGTTTGTTCTTGGTTGATTTCATTTCTGTTTGTCATCAAGACTCTTCCTACAGGAGAACTCCGACGTGACACCCAATCAAGTTTAGTTCATGTCGCCTTGGCATGCGAAGGTGTTAGGTAATTATATTAGACCGAGACTTTTAATTTTGACATTAGTTTAAACCATTTTCAGTTCGAAAGACGAAAAAGGTGTTTTAACAAGTTCGCTCTTGAATGAAATCATGGGCAAAGGTCCAAATATCAAATGGTCAAGTGGTTCGAATCGACTTCAACGTGCTGCACAAGCAGTTGCTGATGCACCGTGTTTGGTAAGTCTCGTCGAAACTAAGAAGTGTTCTGTAAGAGCGAGCAAATCTTTCTAGGTTTCATCATTCAATCTTCATTATACCGAAGCCGGTCTCTTCGGCGTTCACATGATGTGCGACAAGAACGATGCAAATAAGGTTGTTAAAGCTGTCTGGAATGAGTTTAGCAAGGTTTTGAAGAACGGTATTAGTAAAGATGATTTAACAACTGCTAAGTAAGTCGATTTCATTTCGAATAAGTCTCCTTCACTGACAAAGTCATTTGCTTCTTAGAAAAAAGCTCCAAGTTAACCTTCAGATGACAGCTGAACAATCATCTGATGTCTTCTCAAAGATGTTAACACAACCCGATATTAGTGATCGCATAACCGATGTTCAATCACTGGTTGGACAATTAGAACAAGCTGACTATTCCCATGAATCGGTCAATCAATTAGCAAAGAAGATGTTAAGTGGAAAACAACCAACGTTAGTTTCGATTGGAAATCTTAAGTCAATGCCATATATTGATGATTTACGAGCATAAACTTTCATGGTTTTTTCGTTCTTTTTTCATTTCTTCTAGTTTGTAGTACTTACATCGCGATGTGAGAAGATAAGACAATAAGATTGAGAAATAAAACGCCCGTTCTATCCCAAGATTTATTTTCTAGATTGAAATATTTCTTCTTATTAAAATAAATGTTTTGCAAAAGAACTCGTCAGTAGGATCAATATTGTTCTATGCAGTGCCATCCATCATCATCATCATCATATTCATCGTCATTGGCGATGATGATAACGAATGATTCGTTGTAGTTGCTGTCATAGGTACTTGGTTATCGTTGACAGTGGTCGTTGTTGTTGATGATGAGGATGGTCCATTTGATGTCGACAGTTTATTTAGTGAAAGAAGAGTTTCAGGAAAACTCGGTGGTGTTGCTGGAGTATTTGCTGGTGTCATTAGCTGCTTTGAATGAGACAATTAGAAGGATTTTCAAATTTCGAAATCAGAGAATTACTTCGGAAAATTTGCAACATGGGATGGGCACCGTTCGTTCATCAAAGAACAGATTTATCGCTGTCTGGAATAGAAAATACGATGTGTTCTCCTCTCAGTAGAACATAATCAACTCTATCGAACCTCAAGTCTCCAGTCGGTTGAGATTAACAATTGAGTTGCTTGTTCATGTGTACAGCCGGTTTTTGTGACCATTTGATTGATCGTCACAAGATGCGCAAGTGTTTCGTTGTTTATTGTTGAACAATCCATCGTCGTCATGACTTAGTACAATCTGAAAATTGAAATAAGAGCACCGAGTAGACGGTTAATTAACTAAATCAATCTATCTGTCATCGGTCTGAAACGTGTCGAGACGTTGAAATGAAGAGATTTTCTCTTCTTAACAACAAACCTTCGATTGATTTGAAGAACGTTCGTCAAAAGAAACTATAACTGATCGATAGGTAGTCTACATGCTTCATCCGAACAGTTGACGAGATGTGTGTGTGTGTGTTATACTCTCGATCCAGGCGAAATGTCACCCATCACCATGGCCCTATTTGTTGAGAGGAAAGAGAGAGAGAAGGGGAAACAAGTGTGTTGTGAAAGAGGATGATGATGATGACATTTCTCGTCTTTGCGTCTCGTTAGCAGTTTTTCTCTTTTTTTTCTGACTCGTTTGTCGGTGAAAAGAAACTCTTTCTATTTCTTTATTCAGAGTTCATTCTTTCTTTTTTCTCTCTCTCTCCTTTCTCTTCCGTCGTGTGCGGTAAATCAAAGCTTCTATCTTGCATACACATGTGATTATCATCATTCAATGTTTTGTTCAACGTGCTAATACAAGCTTAGACATCTCACAATTCAATTATACTTCTATTCATTCAAACAAATACATAGACTTCTGATCAGAATATCACGAAATTTCTGTAGGAGAATAAAAGATGCGGAAAGAACGAGAAGGAAGATAGGATTACGAATAGTAAAATCGAGTTGTTTTTCTATCTCTTATCTGACGTCTGCAAGGAATAAATAGGCGAGAAGAATCAACTGAGTACATAGTTACATTGATGAACGAAGGAATGCACGCTGCTGCTCTTGTTGTTTTTGTTCTTTTCTCGATTTATTTTATATCCGTTTGCTCGAAGAAATCGAGTCACATTGACAGACTAAACATCGACTTTTTCCTCTGCAAAGATCGTTTCTTGATCACAAACACGATCTTTTATTGCAAAAGTTTATCCAACAGCTGATCGTGATTAGAAGTCAGCCAATACGCTGTCAGTGCATTTAATAAGTTCAATCATGATAAAATTGATTAAAGAAAAGAGTGTTCTCTAAGGAAATGGTGTTCGTACATCGTTAAATTCTTCGATGTTTTTAACAATCCACATATGTAAAACGTTAGTCTGTGAATTTTTCTTCAGGCAAAGCGACTGTTTTCATAGCATATTCGCCTACTAAACCCTTCGTAAAGATTAAGCACAATCTCGGACGTGTTTCAAACATAAAAAACAGTCTTGAGGAGCCTCTCAGATATGAGCACAATAAAAAATAGTGATGGTAAATATTTAATATGAACTAGGACATGTTCAAAAGTTCATATCCTTAGAGTATGAACTGACTTAACTGTATTCAAAAGATCTTTAGGACAAAGATAAGCTATTCTTTTCAATACAGAAATCGGTTACTGTTAGCAAAACAAAGGACATAAGAAGTAATTTTCCCTCTGAAAATATGCAGAATACTTCTATACAAATTACGAGGATTTTGTCTTGTAACAGAACTTGCTAATAAATAAGCAACACAATTATATACAAGACGGACAAAGAGATGAAGTATTGTGTTTTGTTTTCTCGAATTTATTCTCCTCTCACAAATTGACCGTAAGATATTTTCTTCATTCATTTTTATGAACGGTAACGTTTGTCTACACGTGCACTTCTTCAACTTTTAATAAAACAGTCTTACAAGGAAATCGAGAAAAATAAAAACAAAAACTCTTTTTTTTTCTTGTTTGCTCATAAATATTTCTCTTGGATATTTTCATTTTGCAGTCATGTAACGGCATGCATGTACTTTCGATAAACAGCTAAGAAAATAGACGATGAATTCACACAAATACGACACCATCATGGTGTAAAATACAGTAGAGAGACTTAACAGCGGATCCTTATAAATCTATCCGGGTCTGGAGATGAAGTCTCTCCTTTTCTTTATTGACAATTTCAATTCTGGATCTGTATTTAGTTGAAGATAAATGCAACTAGATTTATAGTAAAAGTTGCTCTTTTTCACGTTTATTTCAAATTATAACTGACAACAACTTAGCTAATATCTATAATTCACCGTGGCAATATTCGTGATTTCTGGCTTATGTTGTTTCTTTCGAGCTTAGTGGTGATTTCAAAGCTTGAATTGAAGAATACAGTAGAGTGTCGTGATAGAAAAATGGAGATGTATTTTGAGAAAGCGGAGCAATCGGTTTTAGTACGATGAGTTCTTTTCAATAAAAATATTTCTATTTGTCTAGTTCCTGCACTTCGATGGCAAAATCACGGTTTCCTGTTTGCTCTAGGTCGATACGAAGGCCGAAACATTGACCTGGGTGGCGGCAAACCTACAGTGTAAGTTTTGTTTGGTAAATTTTGGCGTTGTTGAAGAATGATAAAAGCGAAGACAGCAGCTGTAATAAAGCCAATAATAGCGCCAACGACAACTAGAACAACACTGAAACCAATATCAACTTGAAGTTCTAATGCAGTACCAAAATCTTCGACAACTTTTTTTGGATAAATAACACATCCGAGTATAATTAAAAGTGGTCCGACAATTAGAAGTATTAGTGGTACAAGGCGAATAACACGTGATAAGGGCAATAAGGTGATAATGATTGCTAATAAAAGACCAACAAAGAACGTTGCGATTCCAGCAAACACGAGTCCTTGAGATGGCTTGAAGGTTGGTGATGTTTTAGGTACATTTGGAGTTTTCCCATATAAATGATAAGCTGAACGAGTAGCAACTGCACCACTTACCACTTCTTCCACTTTGCCTGCAACCGCCAATATTATTTGTACGACTTGAGTTTGATTTGCTTGTGTTGCAGCGATAAGTGAAGTAATGAAAGTCGTATCAGTCAGAGCACTACCTAGTGCTGTCTCTATTGTTGATAAACCACTGGAGACAGTAAGCCATTTTCTTGACGCAACACCGACAATCAAAAGAGTCAATGCAATAGCACCAACAATAACCACCAATACAAGGAATACTTTTGTAATATTGTTAACTTTTCCCATCACTGCATGTTAAGATATTTCTTCTGTCAATTATCTTCAATCTAACGTTACTTTTATACATAGAGAAAAACAAGTTTTTTCTTCCCGAAGGACGACATTAAAGTACATTTAATAAACATTGGAAAGCGAAAAAACAACAAATAAGTCAATGTACTTCTGACTGAAGGAGAGAAAGAGGATTTCCCGTCTACCTTTCTATTTTCGAGCTTATTTTTATTAGTACATTGAACCGGTATGTATCGGTACATTATTTTGTGAATATCCCTTGGTATCTGTTTATGAATCTACGTTTATATTTCTGTGCGTCTTCGTAAAAGTGTGTCTATCTGTATCTTCGTCGTAAAAGCGTCAATATTTATACGAAAATCTTATGTCTATTTTGCGTCTTAGGATATTTCGTTCGATTATTGCTACAAAGCTGCTATGATGAGAACTTATCATGACGAATTTACCCGAACGATACATTACCGGAAGATAGTAGCTCCGTGAGCCACACAATACAGTCTCGGATCTAGTAATTTTGTGGTTTCTACAGCAAAATTTTTCAACGAAGGATCATCAGACATTATCGCATGGCTTAAAAATTTTTTGATGTACTACATAAATTAAAGTCTGACTAAGTTTTTCCTTCCAAAAAGATTATAACAGCCATTAGATGTGCTTTGTGCTGCACAGCAATATGACCAATTTTTTCGATCATACTGTATCCATTAACAATGCATTCTTAAGTTATTTTTTCAAAACTTTGTATCACAAATGAAATTATCAAACCTGAAATTAAGGTATTTTTCTAAAGCACTTGATTTCCAGGGTGAATATATATAAAAATGCACCTTCGTTGATGGCTTCTTCCTTCTCAACGAGCGTACTTTGTCTGAAAAGCACATGTTCTTTGAAAAGTTTTCTTCTTTTCGATAAATTAGGTCTTGATTACTAAACAGTATAACTATGAAGGAATATACTGTGTTCGCTTATGTAGAGGTAAACACAGAATCGACTTTATCTAAGAATGAATCGATGAACTTTGAATCGTAGATGGTGAATGGACACAGACGATTGGCTTATTCTCAAACACATCGAAAGCAACTTTGGGTAAAATTATTTCTTCTTTTTTCTTGAATATTCATCCTCACCCTCACCCACACCCCCTCTCTCTGTCTCTCTTCTCTGTATAAGCGTGTGACTTATTGTGAAGTAGGGACATNGCGATACTGTTAACGGTTTGGGTTTAAACATCGTTCGTTGCGTTGAACGAGATGTCTGAAAATAATCCAGTGACTATCAAGTACTTTGCAATGTTGAACTTTACCTCAGCGACCAGTCCCAAATCACCTTTCGATTTGTAATCAGCTTTTACTTGATCCATCGTGCGACCAGTACTATCAGCAATTGCTTTGATAATAATAGTTTCACCAATACCCAATTCGATGCCATCGTATTCTGGTGCTACTTTGTTAACACATAAATAAACGCTGTATACTAAATCATTGGCTGATAAACTTCGAACTGAACGAAAGAAATTCGATAAGATTCGAATAATTTCTAAACGAGCAGAAGTGTCTTCAATTAATAATAACGTTGCTGACAAAGCACTGTACGGAACACTACAAATGATGCCAAACTTATAAATATTTGACCATTCTTTTTCAAAGTGGACATTTACCTTTCACCGATTTTCCAACATGCATCGTTGACAGGATCATAATTCGTTTTACCGGGATTATATGACTGTGGATCAGCCACACTAAAACACTAGTTGTACAGAACATTCTTTTCGAAAGAACAGCTTGATTACCTTTTCTGTTCAAGTGGAACGTTTGTCGTTGTTGGCTGTTCAACTTTAGGAACTATTGTTTGGATTTCCTCTTTAACTTCTGCTTTTGTATCAGTGATTTTGATTTGTTTCACAGCTTTCACAGGTGATTCTTTGGCATTTTCTGTTGATGAATTACTTTCATCGAAACTTAACACACGCTTTTTCGCACGTTTCGCTGGAATAATCTTATCTTCTGAATCTGATGAAGGAGAATTGATTGGTGCTTCATTCTTAACAGTAATTGGGGATTTAATTGCTTCTTTTTTAGGCGAAATCACAGGTGCCTGGCCTTTTTTTGTAAAAAAAGAACTAAAATAATTCAGAAGATCATAAATTAACGAGCGTAGGAGAGTTTTAAACGTACGCAATCGATGGTTGACTGGTTTTCTTTGTGTTACTCATTTTAATCTTCTTTGCAGATGACGACAAATATCTCAAATGATGTTCATTATAAAATAAAACTTGAACAAAGCGAAAAGAGAAACAATGTTTCAAAGACATCGGAAAGTACATAGACGAATATGAATGAGTTATTGGTGTATTATGAACGACCAATGGCGAGTTTTGGTAGAATTTTTCGAGAGGCGCCACATAAGTAAGAAGATGCATAAAGTTATCGTTCAATTTCGAGTCATATTTAAACCTTAATGAAGTTATTATAATTTTTTCTAAGTCGTAGAGTTAAATACTGGACTATTCATTTTCTATTCCGAGTAACTGTTATTGTATGATNCTTCGCCGACTTTCATTTTCATCGAAAAATTAGCTGTGGTCTTCCGGGTAGGGTGCAACGAGATTTTCTGGCAAAATGAAAGTCGGCGAAGCATTTTGAAGTATATATATATCGATTCAGTTTTTTGCGCTGACTACAAATATCGTATTTTTATCATAAGAAACTTGAGTATTAAGGGGAAAATCGATCAAAAACTAGGTTAAAAACTATTTTTTTTGTGAACTAACCACTGTTTTGCTAAGTTTTCCATTCTATAGTACCATTCGAAGACTTCTGAAATATCATAAAATGATAGAGCGCGACTTGGGCTATTATAGTATATATGAAGAAAAATCCTGAAACTCTTCTATAAAAAATGACAGAGTCGGCGCCACTACTTCTCGTATGCCCTAAGTAAAAAAAAATCTTTTTATGAAAAATTTCCAAAAAATATCATTAGATTCGAAGTCTCCGCATCGAAATACATCTGGAAATGTCTTTTCGGAAAAATCGATTTTCAATGTTTTTTTTACCCTGCGGACATACAAGCAAACAAGCAAGCAAGCAAACAATTTATGTTTCTAAGACTCTTCTCTACGAAAAAGAGAATATTATTCATATGATTGAGATTTATTTTATCTTCAGTTGAAAAAAACTCATGCCAAAATGGTGTAAATATTTGTGCGGTTAAGAAGTATTGGCTGCCTTTGGTGCTCAACATTATCTGAGGAGGAAGAAGATGACGAGGATTGTTCCGCTGCTCCTATAGCCAATCAATTAACTGTACTGATTATTGTGCTTCATTGGTATCTGTTTCATACATTAACATAATTGGCACGGTTTTTTTTATTACTTTTTATTGGCAAAACAATTGAATCCATTAACTGAATAAACGCAAGGAAGACCATACACTTGAAGTGATCATTCTTTACTGCTTACTTTGACTCTCAATTGTATTCAAACACCAAATAAATGATCATCATCTGATGAATGTTTTTCTACTTTCTCACCGAAATGTCTTGAGATAGAACAATCCATGAACTTCGATTTGGCATTTTCATTCGATGATGTCGTCTGCTTTGAGGAATCGATGTACCTATCTTTCTTTTCTTTTTCATCCCTTGCTAACTTTGATGTAGCTATAGCACTGTCGGATGTCGAGCGATATACTTTCTTTTGTATGTGTTAAAAATAGCATTAAAATGTTCATTACATTCCTCTGAGAATCAGCAAATATGTTTTCCTATTCTTCGTACCTCGAAGCGCTAGGCGATTCCTTTATGACTACGCTCTCCGGGTCAGATTCGAAAGATGATATCAAAACTAATTTTGGTTTATTACCTTCAACAACCTCTCTTTCTAATTGCGGTCGCTTTTTATCCATTTGATCAACCCAGAAGTTGAGATCACGTTTTTCGTTGAGCATGCATGCATGCATGCAATTTCACGGGATAGATTAATCGGATTGATTCACGAGAGAGATTCCTTTCAGATAGAATATTGAGAACCTGCAAACGAATGCGTTTTTCTTCTACTTTCGATTAAAGCTGAGAAAATCGATGTTTTGACTTATTTCTTCGACGTAGATCTTTTTTGTTTTGTTTTGAATATAGACAATCTAGATTTGACAGAAGTTTTAGAGAACTTTCAAATATCCAGGGCTTTATTAGGATAGTTTGATGGCACATAGGTTTTCACTGTGAGTAGCATCCATTCTGATTGATTAACTAACGTTTCGTTAACGAAAACAAACGCAAAGATGAGCATGACACTAGTGTTACTAGTGATTTATCGATACAACGAAGCAATCGTAGAGGTCACTCTCGACAATGAACATATTTTATGTAAGTACAAGCACGTGGGCTTTGAAAATATCCTTGATTCTGACAAAACATTTATCTGTCTACTAGTATATTTTTTTGCTTGATCGATTTCTTCTTTCGGTTTCTTCGATCGTTATTTTCTTCCTTCTGTCTTATTCACCATTATCTCCCAGTTATTATGTTGTCGTTCTGTATCAAGACGCGAAGGTATCTGATGTCGATAAATGACTAAATCACCGTTGATTTTTATTTTCTATTTACACCTAGTCGGGAACGAGGAAGAAATCAGCAACAGTGAAAGAGCAAGATAGAAAAAGGATTAATGGGTACTACATTCTCTCAAGGAAATTTTTCCTTAGCACCTTTCATATCTGAAGAAGTCGAAGCATCAGTTAATCAAATACTGCATGCATTCAATCACGAACTAGCGTTTCAATCCAAACGTCAAAGCGATCAATCTGAGTCTGAAGCACTACCATCAACTTCACACCCTCAAGAAACAACGAGACATCCTCGTCATCATGAACGCTCACACCGTAGCCATAGATCGCGATCATTAGATCAACCTGAGCTCAGTGATCCACATAATCGTATCTCACAAACAAAACTATCTGTAATTCGACGTCAATGGCAATGCCAGTTTTGTTATAAAAAAAACGAAACCGATGCTCAGATATGTGGTGACTGTGGTTCAAATAAAATCAACGTTTATATTCCCATCATGGGTCATATGGATGCTACTTCCAAGAAAACTGAGCAGCGACACAAATCTCTTCTATCTCCACCAGACAGTTTACCTAGGTAAACACCATAGTTTTTAGTTACGTTCATATTCTTTCCCAGTCTTGTAGGCGACATTCTTCAAGTCGGCGTCATTCAAATCGATCATCAACTCATAAGCACGAAAACGTGTTACTTATCGAAGAAGAAGATGTTCATCGCCGAAGTGTTCTCGGCGCACATAAACGTGAAGTCGACGAACATATCGTTCTACAACATGTCGAGAAAATTCTTCGCGCTTGCATTCAATCACACAGTAAATTCAAGGATGATACTTTTCCTGCATCGCCTCATTCACTCTATATTAACGGAAATTCTCTGTCAAAATCTACTTTGGCAATTGTATCAAATGATCAACAATCCGACTTTTATTCCTCGTTATCCAGTAATCAGATCCAATGGTTAAGACCCGATCAGATTACTCCGCAAGAATGGAGCGATAACGTTCGAACGCAGTGGGCTGTTTTTCGCGATCCAAAGCCGAATGATGTCTTGCAGGGAGCATTGGGTGATTGTTGGTTTATCACAGCGCTGAGTGTTCTCGCTGAAGAGCCTGAATATTTAGCGAGGGTACTTTGTCTGAAAAGCACATAATTATTCCTTGAAAAGTTTTCTTCTTTTCGATAAATTAGGTCTTGATTACTAAACAGTATAACTATGAAGGAATATACTGTGTTCGCTTATGTAAAGGTAAACATAGAATCGACTTTATCTAAGAATGAATCGATGAACTTTGAATCGTAGATGGTGAATGGACACAAGTTCTAGTGGATGATCGTCTTCCATGTACGTTGAACAGACGATTGGCTTACTCTCAAGCACATCGAAAGCAACTTTGGGTAAAATTATTCCTTCTTTTTTCTTGAATATTCATCCTCGCCCTCGCCCAACACCAATAGGTCCCATTGATTGAAAAAGCCATGGCGAAATTAAACGGTAGCTATGAAGCAATCATAGCTGGTCGCTGCTGTGAAGGTTCGTTTCATTCACGTCGACTGAAGAACTCAGCTGATTAGGCACCTTCTTGATCTCATAGGTTTGGCTACCGTCACCGGAAGTCCATGTGAGACATTGATTCTTGGTCGTTCAAACAATCCTGATGATAAAAATGTTGATTATGATCGTTTATGGTCAAAATTATTCATTGCACGGTCACAAGGATTCTTAATGTGTGCAATGTGTAGTAATAATCTTGTCAGTAAAGAAGAATTTGAAAAATACGGATTATTGAATGTCCATGCTTATTCATTACAAGATATTCAGCAATCTAAAGATGGACGGCATCGATTAGTGAAATTGAGGAACCCATGGGGTGGAACACATCGATGGACAGGTAAAGCTTTGCTCTTGTTTCATGTTGAGATAGAGCAAGAAGTGTGCTGTAGGTGATTGGTCAGATCAGTCTCGCTTATGGTTGGAGAATCCTGATCTACGTCGAGAGTTATTAAACGAAAAGCGCAACAAACGAGATGGTGTATTTTGGATGCCATTTGTATCGTTTGTGAAGTATTTTGAGTGTGTCGATATTTGTAAACTAAGACACAATTGGTATGAAGTACGAGATTCGGCGAATTTCTATCCAGCTCCGAACATGGTACAAGGTGTGTATCTTTGTTAATGAATATGAAGCAGATCAATAAGTCTTTTCTATTCCTATTTCTTCAGCCTACTACTTACACCTATCAACAGCAACAGAACTTGACATCACACTTCATCGAAAGATTAGTAAGAATCTTCGTATTCACCGAAGCAATCTCAGTCTTTGCGTCGCTGTTATCAATATGGAAGAACAGTCTCGTGGAAGTTATCGCATCTACTCCATACCAATGATTAGTCAACGTGCACAACATAAACTTATTTCAACAGATGGTTATTTATCGGCCGGCGCCTATGTTATTTTACCATTGTTATTTAATCCAACAAATAAAACTCCCGATAATACGGATTACACTATTGGTGAGGAAAGAAGAGTTAATCGAGAGGAAAATAGGATGTTCTTTTTTGCTTTAGCTATTCATAGTTCTCATGTCGTCGATCTAGAACGCATTCGGATTCCATCCCGGATTGAACGTGAGTTTTTAATCAAATTCTGTATATTCTACGGCGATCAAGTTCGGCTCACGAATCACTCCGATCGGGACACCAGTCAATCCGACGGTGTTTGTGTCTATGAATTAAAAAAGTATTGGGATGGTCTTGTTTTACTTGTGGAAAATCGTCACCCATCAAAATATGTTCATTTTTATTTCAACTGCCTGGTATCACAAAATGCTTCGATATCACGAAAAGATGGCTACAAAGAATTGGTCGATGTTATTCCGCCGAACTATCGACAAATCATTGTAGCAGTATCGCGAAAGAATCCTGTGCATGCGTTCACTATCGGCCATGATTTTCAATATGATCTCTCATCACAAGAATTCATTAAATATGGCGATGGTATGGGACAAAGACATTGGCCATCAATTGATGAAAATCAAGCAAATGATGATATTCATTTACCTCAATATATTTCTACAGCAAAACAGAATTAAAATTCGTTCGTTTTAATATTCAGCAAAAGAAAAAAAAATCGGTTTTCTTAGTTTTTATTTGCTTAGATTTACGTAGAATAAACAATGCAACTCCATTCGGATTCATATATGTATAGAGATAGAAAATAAGAACGTGATTGAGTTGCGTCCTCTTCTCAATGTAAATGTAACTATTTTGTCATGAACGAAATCTTAATGAGACTCATTATATCACTTGTCCTAATGGAAGTCTTTTTTTGTTTAGAGCTCTTAAAAACTAATCTTATTCTTGTTGTCTTTGAACACGGTTTTGGGTAATCTGCTACTTCTTTGTTTATTCATCATGTTAACAACGGCACATGAATTTTTTTCACAAAATCAAAGTATAGCAGATGTTGATTACTTTGATAGAAGAGGTTGGGGAAGCAACTCTTTCTTAAATTCTCAATGGAAAGATATTATTTTAAGTTCAGCTTTGATTATTCTTTTTCTTCTAACTATATCATGTTTTTATTATCAACAGCCGTTACGAGAATATATTTTGAAATTATGGCAACGGAAAATGAATGAAAATAATGATGGTAACGAACAAAATACGATTTTAAATCGAACACCACCATTGCAACAACCATCATCAACGTATTTAACAGTACCGGAGCCGTATTATCATCGTAGTTAATTCTATCGAACAATACCACATGATTTTTTGTTGAACTTCTTTAGCTCTTCGAAAGAAATTTATCGTGAAATAAACAGATTTGTACTAGAGAGAACGAAGTATGATTTAGAACCAGATTAAAAAAGAATTTTCGCAAAAATTAATGCCCCGGGTGAGGATCGAACTCACGACCTTCAGATTATGAGACTGACGCTCTACCGACTGAGCCACCAAGGCGACTGACTGCTGTTGCACAACATTCAGTGCCAAGAATTTCCACTTTTTCTACTACAAACTACACATTGGTGCTATGAAAACCAATTTGTTCGAACATCACTCATTTAACGTATTTCTTCCTATATGTTGGTATAGATATATTATTTCAACATCGAACAGAAAATGTATACAGAAAAAAACACTTTTATTTAACAATTAATACATGTCATCTTCTTCGCCATCTTGATTATCTGGATCCATTTTCTTGATTTTTTCTTGTCGTCGGTAGAGATCAGCTACTTGTTCAGCACTTGTTGCATCTTCGACTGACTTGTCGTCTCGTTCGCGAAGAAATCGAGGAAAACGAAGTGAAATACCTTTTCCTTCGTCAACCTAATCATAAACAAAGTTTCGTCTTCCGATATCGATATGTTTTTTACTCACAAGACCAATTGCTGCATGATGATGAGGCGACAAAGACAGATCGGCACATTTGACTTCCCAGACTTTTGCAGCATCGAACCAAACATCCGGCGTCAAGGATGACGAATAACGATAATAAGCAAGTGACTTAGGAATAATATGTGGCTCCAATGATTTACCAAGTGACACAAGTAATTCATCAGTAAAACCAGTACCCAGCTAGAAAATATTCATATTGCAGCAAGTTCGTACTTCAAGTCAACCACGAAAACCTACTTTGCAAATACACTGATATTCTTCGTTATCTTTGTCATAGCATGCCAATAAATATCCTCCATAGACACCGGTTCGTTTTCCTGTACCTGTATAACCACCAATGACGACGAGATCGAGCGTATCTCCAACGCCATCGAGATAATCTTTTTTCAACTAAACAGCCAATAATAGACTGATTACATTGACGATGTTAAATGGATTTACTTTGAGCCATTTATGTGATCGTTTAGCAATTTCATAAGTTGCATCATCATCCAATGTTTTCACCATCAAACCTTCACAACCATCTTTCACCGATTGCTCCAAGTACATATTGATTTCATCAATATTCGATGTTGTACGTGATTCAGCAAAAACAAGTTCACCGGGAATGCAACGAAGTGATTCATGTAAAAGACGACGACGTTCGCGAAATGGTTTTTCAACCAATGATTCGCCGTTCAAATACAGTAGGTCAAATGCGAATATGCAAACTAAATGAAATCATTCATCAAAATTCAATAAGAAAAAAAAACAAACCTTGAACTTTAATTTCTTTAATATCTGCATCCTAAATATGAAGATTTTCAATGATCTGTTTTGATTTGTCAAAAGAAAACAAACTTTTCGTTTCCGAGTTGATAATGTTTGAAAGGGTAATAATTTCTTCTGTTCAATATCATAGGCAACACATTCTCCATCCAGAATCAATGATTTCACTTGTGGTTGGAATGCATTATGAATACGCTCAATAATATCCGGATATTTTGATGTATTATTTTCTGAATTTCGTGAATAAATATAAATCTTTTTATCTTCTGTTAAATGGATCTAAACGAAATCTTATCTTTAAAAGAAAAGTTCCAATTGAATCAACATACTTGTGCACGTTCGCCATCATATTTGTATTCACATGCGAATTCACTTTGTCCACAACGTTTTAATATTTCTTCGATACCTTTAGACGGATGTGCTAACATTGGTTTCATTGGTATACCTGGTGTTGCCTTGCATAATTCTCTCAAATAATTAATACCACCTTTATTAACAAGCACGTCGACAAGTATATCATAGGATGGACACTGACAGAATGCATCTTTAACAGCAAGTGTACCAGCATCGAGACGTTCTTTCAATGCTGTTTCTTTTAAATCTGAATAATCGTGACGAATACATGCATGTGCCAACGCAACAAGCATCGATTGTTCAGCTAAACCGATACGAAGTTTGCCGATCAATGATCGAGCAAGATACCGAGTTTCATGAGATTGGCAAGAAACTAGAAGACTTTTGATAATATCGCTTTTACGTTGTTGACTCTTGTTTCCGGTTAGTTGAGCAATTTCTTTTAATTTTTTGTAGACATGCGATACTGTTAATGGTTTAGGTTTAAACATCGTCCGTTGCGTTGAACGAGATGTCTGAAAATCATCCAGTGGTTAACAAGTACTTGACAATATTGAACTTTACCTCAGCGACCAGTCCCAAATCACCTTTCGATTTGTAATCAGCTTTTACTTGATCCATCGTGCGACCAGTACTATCAGCAATTGCTTTGATAATAATAGTTTCACCAATACCCAATTCAATGCCATCGTATTCTGGTGCTACTTTGTTAACACATAAATAAACGCTGTATACTAAATCATTGGCTGATAAACTTCGAACTGAACGAAAGAAATTTGATAAGATTCGAATAATTTCTAAACGAGCAGAAGTTTCTTCAATTAATAATAACGTTGCTGACAAAGCACTGTACGGAACACTACAAATGATGCCAAACTTATAAATATTTGACTATTCTTTTTCAAAGCGGAGATTTACTTTTCACCGATTTTCCAACAAGCATCGTTGACAGGATCATAATTCGTTTTACCGGGATTATATGACTGTGGATCAGCAACACTAAAATACTAATCGTACGGAACATTCTTTTCGAAAAATCAGCTTGATTACCTTTTCTGTTCAAGTGCAGCATTTGTCGTTGTTGGTTGTTCAATTTTAGGAACTACTGTCTGGACTTCCTCTTTAACTTCTGTTTTTGTATCAGTGATTTTGATTTGTTTCACAGCTTTCACAGGTGATTCTTTGGCATTTTCCGTTGATGAATTACTTTCGTCGAAACTTAACACACGCTTTTGCGCACGTTTCGTTGGAATAATCTTATCTTCTGAATCTGATGAAGGAGAATTGATTGGTGCTTCATTCTTAACAGTAATTGGGGATTTAATTGCTTCTTTTTTGGGCGAAATCACAGGTGCCTGGCCTTTTTTTGTAAAAAAAGAACTAAAATAATCCAGAAGATCATAAGTTAACGAGCGTAGAAGAGTTTTACACGTACGCAATCGATGGTTGACTGGTTTTCTTTGTATTACTCATTTTAATCTTCTTTGCAGATGACGACAAATATCTCAAATGATGTTCATTATAAAATAAAACTTGAACAAAGCGAAAAGAGAAACAATGTTTCAAAGACATCGGAAAGTACATTATGAATGAGTTATTGGTGTATTATGAACAACCAATAGCGAGTTTTGGTAGAATTTTTCGAGAGGCGCCACATAAGTAAGAATAAGTATAAAGTTATCGTTCAATTTCGGGTCATATTTAAACCTTAATGAAGTTATTATAATTTCTCTAACTGGTGGAATTGAATACTGGACTATTCATTTTCTATTCCGAGTAACTGTTATTGTATGATTGAGATATGCTGTTACTAGGAGAAGATCAATAAATTGAGTTAGAGGAAGCCAATGATGCTATACGTAATTGAATAGAATAATTGTATATAACATTTGTAATCTTAAGTGGAAGTTTTGGAAGGTCATTTATTAAAAAGTAGACTAACTATTTGGGTAAATTACTGGTTGATTATGTTTCATAAATAGGCGACTTCGCTCGGTATTTCTCAATTATCTCTAAAAAAAGAACTTTTGTACACATAATCACCTTCTATATCATCTCCGCAGTCATTTCGCGATGAAATTTGTCAACTGAAAATCCAATCATCGTATTTTTGCGTTCTTGATGTATGAAAAAAGTGTGATGACAACGTCTTACATACGATGCACGAAAGGGAAAGAAAGAACGAAAGACACGTGTTTCGAATATCGTAGGTAACATTGAAAGTAGAACAGTCAATGTAACGAAAAAATCAAATCATTTTCATAAACGTAAAACAAACGATGTCATCAAGTGGAGGCTTAAAAAAGTTGATTTTTGTCGTTGTGATTGCAGCTGTTGCTGTACCATTACGATATGGTTCAACAAATCATAAATATCTTTTAATGCGATTGTTACACTCAACATTAACACTCAAGAATTGTTTCGTCGTGGATCCAGACCGACAATCACTCAGTCCAGCTTATCGTGCTTTCGAAGAAATGTTGAAAATGAGCCCACCGCAGTCATTTGCCCATTCAACAAATCCTTTAGCGACGATTCAAAGCGTACGTGCAAGTTTTTCCTTTAGAGACATAATTCCTGAGCCGTCTGGCTGTCATATGATCAAAGAAGCATTTACACATGATGGTCGTACAGTTGATGGCTATTGGATTGATTATCGTGAGAAAGATTCACGAAAGCAGTCCGAGAAAATTATACTTTACTTTCATGGCGGTGGTTATATGCTTGGTGACATCAATTGTAAGTCATTCTGTTTTCGAAGATCAATAAAATACTTTTACATTTCATAGTTTATAGTGGAGTTGAATGTCATTTGTCTCGCCTATTCAATCTACCTATTCTACATCTGGAATATCGTCTCATTCCAGAACATCCCGTGCCATCAGCTGTTGAAGATGCAGTAACAATTTATCGCTCTCTTCTCACTCAGAATGTATCACCATCTCGAATCTTTATCATGGGAGATTCAGCTGGAGGTGGATTAGCTCTCTTAACAGTTCAATCGCTAATTAATCACAAAATACCTGTTCCACATGGTGTCGTCGCCATAACACCATGGACTGATTTCTCAGCGTCCGGTGAGAGTTATACTCGTAATCAACCAACAGATGTGATGCTAAGAACAGACAACACCAAATGGCAGGCTAAAGTGATCATGGATACTTATGGATCAAAACTTTTACCAACTGGTCCAATAGTGAGTCCTCTGTTCGGTTCATTCAAAGGATTTCCACCATTGTATGTGAATGTCGGTACAGCTGACATACTGGAAGATGATGGAAGAGCAGTCGTAAAGAAAGCACAAGAAGCAGGTGTTAAAGTCAAGTTCGAAGCAGGTTTACATATGATGCACGTTTATCCACTGTTCTTTTCATATTTTCCTGAAGCGCGTGATACACTCGACAATATTAACAAGTGGATGCAGTCGATATAATCACAAATTATCGTAAAGAACGATGATGTTTTGTTTTTTCATAAGTAGCTGGATAATCAAGAATAGACTTTCTTTTTATATTATTGTTTGTTAGTAAATTAAGGATAAAACACGTAATAAAAGTCCTTCACGAAAAGGAAATTATCTCTGTGCCACAAGATATTCTCTTGCGTTTCTGTCACATTGTTCATTAACTAAATTCGCTGGAGAGAGTGATTTGCCATCGTTTCGATTAGAATAGAACAAAAACATTTTCTTGTGTGTTCAGGAGATTAAACACAGAAGAAATCGTACGAAATAACAAACATAGATTTAATCAATACTACTTCTTTGGAACGTAGTGGTATTATAAAACTCTTTTTTTCTAAATATTTCGTCACCTTTCGAACATACCACACCAGCGAAAACTAGTGTTTTTCTTGTTTACACACATGACGAAATATCCATTGCGCAAATCCTGTAAAAGTTGCGAAAACGACGAGAACCAATCAGAAATTTATGAATAGAACAAACGCCAAAAACGGTCATGTTACTCTCCGTGAGCGTATAAATACTCCGTATGGTAATGATAATGATTCGCTTCTGCTTTGTGACTAACTATCGTTTGTTGAATTTCAACTCCCTAGAAAAGTATGTATGTTACTTCCAAGACACTATACAGAAGAGAAAGTGTCGTATATCTAGTAAACTATTTAACGATTGTCTCAATTGGGAAGAAAACTTATCCAAATTCATAGAGATAGCTTTGGTGATTTCAATTAATGTTTTCGTGACACGAAAATAATTTTATTCTAGATAATTTCTATTCGATTGTAGAGAAGCAATATGGCTAATACAGAAGTTTTATCGACGATACCAAATTCGTTTGTTTATGAAGATCTAGTTTCACAAGTTCAAACGATACAAAATCAAATGAATGACTTTGAAAAACTTCTCGCTCAACGGTGGCAAAATAACAAAAAAGATGTGCGCGACGAAATCCAATACCATTCATTTACTTTTATTGATCCCTATGGTAACGAAATGATTGAAGAACACATGGATCATGAACCCGTGAACAGTGTTATTCAAAAATTCACAAGAACCTACGTTCCAAAATATTTAAAAAATTGGATCCAGATTGGTACGTTAACCGGCAGTGGTTTATCTGCACTAGATGATTGTGCTTTAAAATCAACGATGTCAAATTTTGTTGATGATGTTCAGTTTATCGCCTATGGAGAAATTACTGTCTGGTTCGGACGTTACGACACACTTCCACCGCAAAAGTTCGTTGTCAAGGTTCTTCTAAAAGATACTTTGGAAGAAATCAAGACTCGAATTAGAGACCAATGTCGTGCCACAAACTTTGAACTACGATTTAGTGAAAGAAGTGAAGCACGTACACCGACCGTCGAAAATTGGAATTCCAGTATAGCACTCAAACCAGAGGATACCATCTTATCGCGTCGATTGTATCAAGATAACTATATTATCATGGCCAAAGTCATACAAACGGTGAGAGATATTACATTTGTCAAACTCTTTCGCACTCTATCTTCTTTCACGTTAATTGTAGGCATCGAACTCAGATAATACATGTAGCCTGTTTGTTCAAACTCTTACCGGAAGAAAACTTTCATTAATTGTTACTTCAATGACAGATGTGACAGATGTGAAACAGATGATACAAGATACAGAAGGTATTTCTCCTGATCACCAACGTTTCATATATGCCGGTAAACAATTGGAAGATGGTCGAAAATTATCAGATTATCATATTCCCAATGAAGCTGTTGTCCATCTAGTGCTTTCCCTACGAGGTGGAATGTATCATTTTACTAGCGGTCGGCAAGACTTCAGTCAACTACCAAGTAGTTGTGCAAATGCTATCCGTAATGTTCTTTCGTTTGAAACTAAAGACGTCGACGACTATCAGCAATTGTCATCCGCTGATTTACAAGAATATATTTTACAAGCCAACATGGTCTTAACGTCTTTACATGGTAAAATCAAAGCGATTTATGCTCCATCGGATCTTCCCAATTTGAGAAACATGATTTTACCAGCACCTATCGATGATGCACAAGATGATGACGACGACGACGACGGCTCTTCCAATCAACAATGACTAGCTTCCACACAAAAACAACTTCGAGTCTACCGATTATTAGAACGACAAACTCTCAAACAACTCCTCATCAAAGAAGAACAACTCANATAAAGTTATCGTTCAATTTCGAGTCATATTTAAACCTTAATGAAGTTATTATAATTTTTCTAAGTCGTAGAGTTAAATACTGGACTATTCATTTTCTATTCCGAGTAACTGTTATTGTATGATTGAGATATGCTGTTACTAGGAGAAGATCAATAAATTGAGTTAGAGGAAGCCAATGATGCTATACGTAATTGAATAGAATAATTGTATATAACATTTGCAATCTTAAGTGGAAGTTTTGGAAGGTCATTTATCAAAAATTAGACTAACTATTTGGGTAAATTACTGGTTGATTATGTTTCATAAATAGGCGACTTCGCTCGATATCTCTCAATTATCTCTAAAAAAAGAACTTTTGTGCACATAATCACCTTCTATATCATCTCCGCAGTCATTTCACGATGAAATTTGTCAACTGAAAATCCAATCATCGTATTTTTGCGTTCTTGATGTATGAAAAAAGTGTGATGACAACGTCTTACATACGATGCACGAAAGGGAAAGAAAGAAAGAAAGAAAGAAAGAAAGACACGTGTTTCGAATATCGTAGGTAACATTGAAAGTAGAACAGTCTATGTAACGAAAAAATCAAATCATTTTCATAAACGTAAAACAAACGATGTCATCAAGTGGAGGCTTAAAAAAGTTGATTTTTGTCGTTGTGATTGCAGCTGTTGCTGTACCATTACGATATGGTTCAACAAATCATAAATATCTTTTAGTACGATTGTTACACTCAACATTAACACTCAAGAATTGTTTCGTCGTCGATCCAGGCCGACAAACACTCAGTCCAGCCTATCGTGCTTTCGAAGAGATGATGAAAATGAGTCCACCACAGTCCTTTGTCCATTCAACAAATCCCTTAGCGACGATTCAAAGCGTACGTGCAAGTTTTTCCTTTAGTGACATAATTCCTGAGCCGTCTGGCTGTCAAATGATCAAAGAAACATTTACACATGATGGTCGTACAGTAGATGGCTATTGGATTGATCATCGTGAGAAAGATTTACGAAAGCAGTCCGAGCAAATTATACTTTACTTTCATGGTGGTGGTTATATGCTTGGTGACATCAATTGTAAGTCATTCTGTTTTTGAAGACCAATAAAATACTTTTGCTTTTCGTAGTTTATAGTGGAATTGAATGCCATTTGTCTCGCCTATTCAATGTACCTATTCTACATCTGGAATATCGTCTCATTCCAGAACATCCCGTGCCATCAGCTGTTGAAGATGCAATAACAATTTATCGCTCTCTTCTCACTCAGAATGTATCACCATCTCGAATCGTTATCATGGGGGATTCAGCTGGAGGTGGATTAGCTCTCTTAACAGTTCAATCGCTAATTAACCACAAAATACCTGTCCCACGTGGTATTGTCGCCATAGCACCATGGACTGATTTCTCAGCGTCCGGTGAAAGTTATACTCGTAATCAACCGACAGATGTGATGCTAAGAACAGATAATACCAAATGGCAGGCTAAAGTGATCATGGATACTTATGGATCAAAAATTTTACCAACCGATCCAATAGTGAGCCCTCTGTTTGGTTCATTCAAAGGATTTCCACCGCTGTATGTGAATGTCGGTACAGCTGACATACTGGAAGACGATGGAAGAGCAGTCGTAAAGAAAGCACAAGAAGCAGGTGTTGAAGTCAAGTTCGAAGCAGGTTTACATATGATGCACGTTTATCCACTGTTCTTTTCATATTTTCCTGAAGCGCGTGATACACTCGACAATATTAACAAGTGGATGCAGTCGATATAATCACAAATTATCGGAAAGAACGATGATGTTTTGTTTTCTCATAAGTAGCTGGATAATCAAGAATAGACTTTCTTTTTACATTATTGTTTGTTAGTAAATTAAGGATAAAATACGTAATAAAAGTGCTTCACGAAAAGGAAATTATATCTGTGGCACAAAATATTCTCTTGCGTTTCTGCACAAGCGAAAATTGGTGTTTTTCTCGTTTACACACATGACGAAATATGCATTGCGCAAATCCTGTTAAAGTTGTGAAAACTAGGAGAACCAATCAGAAATTTATGAATTAAACAAACGCTGAAAACAGTCATATCACTCTTCGTGAATGTATAAATACTCCGTATGGTAACGACAATGGTTCACTTCTGTTTCGTGACTAAATATCAATTTCTTGACTTTCAACTCCAAAGAAAAGTATGTATATTACTTCTAAGACATTATACAGAAGAGAAAGTGTCCTATATCTAGTAAAATATTTAACGATTGTCTCAATTGAGAAGAAAACTTACCCAAACTCGTAGAGATAGCTTTGGTGATTTCAATTAATGTTTTCGTGACATGAAAATAATTTCATTCTAGATAATTGCTATTCGATTGTAGAGAGGCAATATGGCTAATACAGAAGTTTTGTCGACGATACCAGATTCATTTGTTTATGAAGATCTAGTTTCACAAGTTCAAACTATACAAAATCAAATGAATGATTTTGAAAAACTTCTCGCTCAACGGTGGCAAAATAACAAAAAAGATATGCGTGACGAAATCGAATACCATTCATTTACTTTTATTGATCCGTATGGAAATGAAATGATTGAAGAACACATGGATCATGAACCAATGAACAGTGTTATTCAAAACTTCACAAGAGCCTATGTTCCAAAATATTTAAAAAACTGGATCTATATTGGTACGTTAACCGGCAGTGGTTTATCTGCACTAGATGATTGTGATTTAAAATCAACGATGTCAAATTTTGTTCATGATGTTCAGTTTATCGCCTATGGAGAAATTACCATCTGGTTCGGGCGTTACGACACTCTTCCACCGCAAAAGTTCGTTGTCAAGGTTCTTCTAAAAGATACTTTAGAAGAAATCAAGACTCGAATTAGAGACCAGTGTCGTGTCACAAACTTTGAACTACGATTTAGTGAGAGAAGTGAAGCACGTACACTGACCGCCGAAAATTGGAATTCCGGTATTGCACTCAAACCAGAGGATACCATCTTATCGCGTCGATTGTATCAAGATAACTATATTATCATGGCCAAAGTTATACAAACGGTGAGAGATATTACATTTGTCAAACTCTTTCACACTCTATCTTCTTTCACGTTGATTGTAGGCATCGAGCTCTGATAATGCATACAACCTGTTTGTTCAAACTCTTACCGGAAGAAAACTTTCATTAATTGTTACTGCAATGACAGATGTGACAGATGTGAAACAAATGGTACAAGATATAGAAGGTATTCCTCCTGACCACCAACGTTTCATATATGCCGGTAAACAATTGGAAGATGGTCGAAAATTATCAGATTATCATATTCCCAATGAAGCTGTTATCCATCTAGTGCTTTCCCTACGAGGTGGAATGTATCATTTTACTAGCGGTCGACAAGACTTCAGTCAGCTACCAAGTAGTTGTGAAAATGCTATTCGTAATGTTCTTTCGTTTGAAACTAAAGATACCGACGATTATCAGCAATTGTCATCCGCTGATTTACAAGAATATATTTTACAAGCCAACGTAGTCTTAACGTCTTTACATGGTAAAATCAAAGCGATTTATGCTCCATCGAATCTTCCCAATTTGAGAAATATGATCTTGCCAGCACCTATCGATGATGCACAAGATGATGAAAGTGAAGATGACGATGACTCTTCCAATCAACAATGACTAGCTTCCACACAAAAACAACTTCGAGTCTACCGATTATTAGAACGACAAACTCTCAAACAACTCCTCATCAAAGAAGAACAACTCCGACTTGCACCACAAACACAACAACTACTCGCATCCATTCAAGATCGAACTGACATCGACTGGATGGATGTCATTGCTCAACTTCAAACTACACTCGTCAAAGAAACTATCGGCGAAGATGCGACTGAAAACGAAATTCAACATGCTCTCACTATCTTCAGAAGTGCGCATCAGATCTATGCAGACGATCAAGAATTCCAAAATCTCTCTCTCTATGTTCGACATAATCGTGCACGACTAGGTCATCTCAAACTTGCTGATCAAGCACCAGACGTACAACTACTAGACCTAAACAATCACTTTCATTCATTGTTATCTCATTGTCATTCTCCTCATCGACCTCTCTTGATCATTGCTGGCTCATACACATGACCGCCGTTTCGTGGAGTTGTACCACAACTCCATCAGCTCATGGATGCATACAAACATCGTGTTGATATGGTGACTGTTTATATCGAAGAAGCACATGCATCCGATGAATGGCCCATCGGTAGTCGAGTCTGTTATACTCAACCGAAGTGTGACGCCGATCGAATCGGTATTGCGCTGGATTTTATCAAAGCAACAGACTATCGAATACCTCTGTTGATTGATCCAGTATCCCTTGGCAATCCGTTCAGCAAAGAATACAATCCATGGCCTATTCGATTCTATGTGGTAGATGGAAAGAAACGATTGAGCTACATAGCTGCACCGATTGCAGGATCATATCCACTGGAGTTGATTCGAAATGCACTGGACGAAGCAATTCAACAATCTCAATAGTTCGTGTTTCTTTTTGTTCGATGTGAGAAATGATGATCGCATGTTATTGTGATGTGTAAAAGAAGTAGAATGATGTTTTTTGTCGAAAGTATATTTAGTGTACAGACAAGAGGCTGATATATGATATTCTTTTGATATCTCAATGATACGAATGATCATTCTCTTATACTTTCTGTTTATGTACTTTTCGTTTTTGAATGAATAAATAAACTCGAATTTTCTACTATGTCGTTTTCTTTTCTTACTAATGATAGAAACTGTACAAACTGGACGATGTTGACACTGAAAAAGTACCTTAACAAAAAAAGAGGCTTCGCCATTTTCGCTGTGGAATGATAGTGTATACGATAGTTATCTGTATTGCTTAGAATACGATTCCATTGATAAATTCAACTTTTCTGTTATAAATGTTCGTTTTTATTCGAGATTACATTTATACATACTCAGATCAAATGCACCCCATGGAATGCGACCAGAAGTGATAGAATTTTGGAAAATGTCGGAATTCTAAGGTTTTAACCCGATCGCTCGTCTTGGGGAGCGTGTAAATAAAAACATTGTCTCTTCAATCATATCTTCGCCTTCACTGTTACTATTTGAAAAGCAAAATATCTCAGTTCATATTAACAATATAGGTATATTTGTGACAGATGACCTGACCTCGTTCCGTAGGATGTTACAAATAGAACACGAGTTGAAGAATGAGAATGACACCTTTTAAAGTTCTCTGACACGAACCATATGCGATAAGTAAAGAGTGTAAATCATCTTTAGCCCCATCTATATTGTATATACCATTATAAATTAAAAATTACTATTTTGTGCTGTCAACTACATGGATTCAATGAAGCTAATTCGATCTTATCTTATTCTGTTTGTTTGAATTCTTCACACTTACTCATTTTTTTATACCAATTAGTGTCTTTTATTAATGATTTGCTTATCATCTTCAGTCACCTCACATAGTCTAATTAAACAACGATTCTAAAACATCTTTTTCAAACGCACGAAGTCAAATCAGTGGTCATTTTCATCCGTACTACTGATATATCATATGACCAATGTAACAAAAGTTCTACAGCCTCTTCGGAACTTCATATTCATATGAATAGAGTTCGAAAGCGGTTAGGTCCCGCAAGACTTTCATGTTGAATATATTTATTAGTTATTAAGTAAGAGATACAGGCAAAATAATATCACTTGGTAGTTTCAATATGTCATGCTGAGTTTTTCCTCTCTACGCATTCCAATTGTGGAAAAGGAAATGAATGTGATTGCGTTGAAAAAAATTTTAATCTGAAGGCTGGTGAGTGAGTGATGAACATGTGGTCATATCGAATGAAAGTAGCGTTGAAGTGTTGAATATTGAAATGAAGAAGTAGAAACGGATTCGTGCATTTCAAGAAAAAATTTTCGATTGACACTTTTGAAGACAGTTCGTATTTTTCCTCTTTTGGTAAAAAGATTATGCTAAATTCTACTATGTAGGAAATCACACCTCTCGTTTATTTTATCTGAGGTTGGACACGATACGAGTTATGTGATGTTAGAGATTGATGCACGACGTAAATACAACTATATCCCAGGTCGATCATTCCGGCGACTGAATCCGTTGAAATCTGAGTCGGTTCTGGTACAGCTCTTCTCGATTCCGGCACAGTTTTCGCCGATTCCAGCAAGTTCCGGCAGGTTCCTTGCCGCCGGATTCCGGCCGGAATTGCACAGGAAATATCCGATCAGTTCCTGGCCGGAACCGACCGTGCCATAATAACCTGGGAAGTCGTACGACGCCCGTATTGTAAGTGGTATTTACGCGAAGTTTTTTATTTGGAAGAAACTTCGATCTACGAGCAGGAAAAGCATTCATATTTTATCAGGACACTGTAAGCCCCGCCGACATGAATGTAAGGCGGAGAATGATTATACTGAATTTGTACCTTTATTTCAGTGTACAAGTAATTGAAAACAAAAATATTCTGATTTAGGTAGGATGAAGATCATCCAATAGAAAACAAATGCTGCAACATTTATGTACAGTACAGCAGTAGTGTTCGAATTTCCTTGTACGAGAAACTGTCTTCCGACTGTATCGCTAAAAGAGCCCAGGATAGATTTGTACATCACCATACTTAAAAAAACTTCGATAAAAACAAGTTTTCCTCGAACAGAAACAGCCAAATAGATCTGCATATTTTGTTTTTTTTTCCATAGGAAAGCTTGCCGTCATCTATTTCACCACCACCTGCACCGAGTCCAGCGCAAGTGATCGCAAATGAACCACAATTGGATGAGCAGGGTAGTCTGATTGAAACACTGTTAATGGAACAACAAAAATTGGCTATTGAACATAAGAGAAACTGGTTATTTGGAGAGGCACGAGGTGCTGCTGATAAAATGGATAGAATTCATAGCGTAAGAACGAACCCCAAGAGTCGAAACTAAAAGGAAGAAAAAGGGAAAGAACCCATGTCGTACGTTCCGGCGTCCGGATCCCTTGGGATCCCGCAGGAAAGCCGCGGAAAAAACACCGGATCCCGCAGGAAAGCACCGGAATTCACTGGAACATGGAAGCAGTATTCCGACCGGAAATTTTGGGATTTTTTTCCGGTGAATTCCAGTCGGTTTCACGTGGTTTCCGATAGGAACTAACCGGAAATCATCGGAAAAAAATTCAAAAATTTCCGGTCGGAATATTGCTTCCATGTTCCAGTGATTTCCGGTGCTTTCCTATGGGAACCGGTCCGTACTCTTTGACTTGGGAACATATAGCCCCCGGAAAATAAACTTTTTTGGGCCACGGACTTCTTAGCGTATCTCTCTCTCTCCTTTTTATACAACAAGCTCTTGATTATTGCGTACTTTATTTCGCCTCTTCTCAATCTCTTCAATCATTATACTCTGATTTGTAAGCACTCCCGAGTGTTACAATAAATAGCTAAAACACACAGAAATTGGTTATTGAACAACAAAAATTGGCAATGAAGCAAGCAAATGTCGACAGAATGATGAAGGAAAAAGCGGATCAAATCAAGCAACTATTTGAATAGTGAGTAGTTTCAAAATTTGTCCAATCAGATATGATAATTGAAAATTGCATGCCCTAGATTTAAGAAAAAAGAAGTGTTTTATCGAGATTCAAGTCAATGGAAAGATGTACGATGAAATGATGCTGAAAGTACGTGAACATATTTCAATTTAAAGCTTTTTAAGATGTCCTCAATATGTTTTCTAGTTATTCGACGATGCTGCGTCATTGACCTGCGGTGAGTGTTGTAAATTATTGATCTGATTCTGATTTCTTTGGCATTGACAGTTTTCGATAAGAAGGAGTTTATTCTTATGTAAGTAGCCATAGATAGTGAGATATAATATTGTTCTGATGTTGTAGAACATGTTTTTTTGTCAAAAACAAAACAAAATTGTCTATTGAAGTCATATATTGTTTTTTCAGCTTGTTTTCGTTCTATTTGCTCCGGCAAACGTGGTTTTGGATACAAAGATACCCTACTGAGTTACCCGGCATTTGACAAATACATCGAAGCATACATATATAAGTTGAAACTTGAATTCAACTATTCAATCTCAAAATAAAGGTGCAAAAATAGTAGGATAGTTGAATACTCGGATTCAATTTTTAAGTTTAACACTACTGCGGATTCGAAGTTCTTGAACTTCTGAATAAAGGTATGTTGAGTTGCAATTTCAACCATGTGAAATAACGTCTTTGCCGTTTGCAGGTGTTCGCACTGATGGCCGAATGGGGGGTAATGCTCTTACCCAGGACGATGATTCCTGAAGCAGGATTCCATGAATTTCCGACAAAATCCCTGAGGAAACTCGCCATTTCTGAGCGGGATCCGCTCATCGGGAATGCTGCTTCTATGAAATCTCCGGAATACCATGGAACCGGCCGTTTCCGTGCCGGATTGTTCGACCTGGGTACTGGTGTTATCATTTATACAAGTGGAGAAAAATAAGTCTTTTTATTTTTAAAATGTCAATAAATAAAAAGAACACTCCTCTTTTATTTCATCTTCTTTCAATCAAATAGCATCAACGCTTTCTTTAAGATAAATTGGTAGACTGTCGTTGAAGGAAAGCATCGATTTATCTACGCACTGATATATTTCCATTCGTTTCGAACTCTTTACATCAGCATAGTTCTCAAAATTGATCGATGATTAGATGTCAAGAAAACTCATTAAGATGAGTGTAATGGAACCATCAAAGGAAAAATGGTCAGTTCAATAAAAATATCGTATCATGAGTGTGGGAATGAAAATCTCATCTCTTCAGTCACATCTTTGCCATCACTGTTATTGACCACTAAATCCTGGCATTGTTCAATAATCAAGCAGATTTGCCCAAGATGGAGTCTTGCTATACCGAATAGTTTTTCACAGATAAAGAAAACCTAGAAATAGGCGTGATTGAATATCCATAGCAAGAGTATATTGATGTGTTAGATCGTCTGATTTTGATTCATTAGTAAAGCTGATTCAATCTTATCTCATTCTGTTTGTTTGAATTCTTCACACTTACTCATTTTTTTATACCAATCAGTGTCTTTTATTAATGATTTGCTTATCATCTTCAGTCACCTCACATAGTCTAATTAAACAACGATTCTAAAACATCTTTTTCAAACGCACAAAGTCAACTCAGTGGTCACTTTCATCGGTACTACTGATATATCATGTAACCAATGTAACAAAAGTTCTACAGCCTCTTCGGAACTTCATATTCATATGAATAGAGTTCGAAAACAGTTAGGTCCCGCAAGACTTTCATGTTGAATATATTTATTAGTTATTAAGTAAGAGATGCAGGCAAAATAATATCACTTGGTAGTTTCTTCGCGATCCATCTTTGCACATCAAAGTTTGATGAGCTAGGAAAACTATTTTGTTTAGCCTGTTCAATCAGCTGTGTGAGTTCATAAATGGACCGATGTGAATATTTACAGTTCTCGCCGAACGGACATGAGCCAGTCTGAATCCATTTATTACACATCCTCTTCGATCGTTCGTCTAAGAGGATCTCCGCCGGATCTAAAGACGAAGCACACTTTTTCTTCATCGACAATTCAAATGATCAAACCTTTGAACTGAAGATAATACATTCGTTTATTATTGATATGTTGAACTGCTCGATTGTGATTCTTTCGATGAGTTAAACCAGGTGGAATTCTTTTATCACAATATTCACAATGATACTTTCGACCCATCTCCAATAAAGAAAATTTTCATTGAGACTGACTTTTATTTATATATTTTCATTGGAAACACTTGTAGAATTATTAACAGAAAGGAAAACAAAACAGAACAAAACGGTTCCCTCTTTTTGCCATTTGTTCAGTATTTAATGAAAAGAACACAGTTACGATTGTTCTAATGAATAAATAAAAATAAAAGAGAAAGATACACCGGTAAACTGAGCACCAGATTTGAACTATGACGAACAAGTGGTGCATTTCAACTTGATCCACTGCTTAACTTCGACAATTGATGCAACGTTTCCGTTACATTCCTCAAAGCACGGTGCGTTGTTGTTAAAACTGAATGTAGACTGTTTAGTTGCGTTTGATAATACTCTTCTTGTCTTTTTAACAGAAATGACCATTGATTTTCATCCTGTTCAGATCTGAACGAGAAGAAAAGAAAAGTAATGCATTGATGTTGATTGAAATCGAAACTCTTACGAGTATTGGTTCAACCATGATGGATAACTTTGTACAAGGCGTTCGGTCATTTGATCGATTTGATTCAATTTGATACATAAAAATATATTGACAATTAGTAAAAGTAACATTCTAGAACAAGAAAACGTAACACAGAACGTAAGCATCGTTACTTCTAAGCAAATGCTTACGTGATAAAACAGAATGGGATGAAGACACTATTCCGAGATAAATCTGAGATAACAGCATCTGCACCTAGAAGAAAGTTCATTTCGTAAGGAAAACTTCATATGAGCAATGACAAACGTTTTTGATCATGAATGGGCTCCATGTCGTCGTCTTGAGAGTTTATGGAAAGATCATTGACAGAGGATAAAAGTTCATCTGGTTGTTGTTGCCGTGACAGCCGTCTCGTCGGTAATGACGGTGATTCAGCGACATTTGGTGTTTCATTATTATTACTAATGCTAAGAGCTCGAGGTTTGCTGGAAGATTCTTGATCAATACGTTTCACTAAAGATGAAAGTCATTAGAATGAAAATATCAAGATATTTCTAGCATGAAGTTACATACTCAGATCAGTAAATGAATCTTGAAGAGCAGCCAAGGCATTTTTTTCGATGAACGCTGAACGAGCACATAAAATATGACATTTTATAAAACGGGAAATTTTCTTTTTGATTTTCAACTTCTTCATTTGTCGAAATACTATGGTATTTTGATTGATTCATGCTTTTACTTTTTATACTGCTCCAAATATGACACCATCAACACACGATTGTATGAATAACAGAACGAGCAAAAAGGAAAACAGTCTGTTGCCTCCACTCACGAACACGAGAAAGAAAGAGAAAAGAGAACGGCGAAACAATTTTCTGTAGGAGTAGTTGCCGATGACGTTCTCTCCACGATGGCGTGATCATGGTTAAAATAGCTTCCAATTGGAAGTTTTCTCGACGCAAAAAAATAGATAAACGTGAAAACGACTTACTTTTGATAATTGCCATTAGACTCTTGACATACCGGACCTCACAGGTGACTTTTAGATGAGTTTTATTCGGGCCTGTTTGTACCAGACAATAGCGAGATGCTACAAAGAATGAATCAGCGTATTTAATTCCTTCATTTCGAACTTCAGTATCGAGCATATAATGTGATTTCGGTTGTTCACAGTCGATAATCTATAGAATAGAAAAAGTTTCCAGAAAATCACGGTTCGTTGTTGAACTTTGTCGTACTTGTCTTTCATTTGAACAAATTGTTGTCGATCCAAAAACGGCAGAAACTGTTACTTTATAAGTGCATACTCGTTCACGTTTTCCGGTTTCATCATTCATTTTCCATTCAACCGAATGAAAATCTACATAAGTGAGAAAACATCAAAGGAAAAGTTCATTTTCATCCAACAAACCTTTGATACGACGTGACGCCCGATAGGCAACAAGGAATTGATTATTACCAAATATGCAATCGAATAGATGTTCAACTGACATTGGATACGTTCGATTGATTAGTTCAGTTGCTAAGTGTGATTGGCAATGACATTTTGTTAGATAGCGGACTTCTACAAAGATGAGGGAAAACGATTTTCGACGAAACTTTTATCAAGTTTTACAACATACCAGACGTTGGACTGATGCTTGGTTCGGTAGAAGTCAATTGCGGTCGACGCATCAGTGTATTCGTTCGTGCTTCTTCTCCAATTGGAATTATTCCCTCATCATCAGACGCATGCTCACCACGCGACGAGACACTTGATTGGTCATCTTCTTGTTGTGGAAGTGGAGTTGGAAGAATTGAATTCGGAGTTAAACGCTAAATAAATACATTTTTTAAATAGAAATAGAACTGATGTTCGTTGATCATAGTAGACGAAAAACGAACAGGCTGTTGTTGGAAAAAAAGTAACAACATATGTGCAGGGCAGTCTATTTTTACTGATAGTCATCATTTTAACTAACAACATCGAAGAACGAAAAAACGATGCCGTTATTCAATGAGTTGAAACTCTACGTATTGGGCTGCACAATGACGCATCGAAGTGAATAAACTTACCAACACAATATTCGACAGCTAAATTTGATCGTTAAAGACATGTTTCTCGAAAAAGAATCTGAGATAAGAAAAACAGATATTTACATCGTATTTATCCAAAGATTGCGATGGCGATTTGGATGATGGCTTATCTGATGGAGAATTTAATGCTGATTTACGGTAACTGTCATCATCATCTGTCGTCATATCGAGATCATCACCATAACTTTCATGAATCATTGTCCATAGTTGTTGTGAAGAAATTCGCTAAAAAATCTAAATTGAACGAGAAATTCTTCAGTAGAGAACGTACCTGATTCTCAGTGACTGCTTGCCATATTCGATGCATGATTGCATAGGTTTTATCCCGTGTTACAAAGCTTGCAAAGAAATATTTCTCGCCTTTGTTTGTTTTAATTTCAATAGCATTGGAAATGACTTTGGCAGTTTTCTCACGAGTTATACCAACAATATCGTCGAATTTTAAACATAAGTGTGACTTCCAATTGAGTATATTTGCATAAAAACATAAATAATTCTGTGATAAATATACTCGACCTTGCACTAAGATATCCTTTTGCCAAGCACAGGAATAATCTGGAAGAAGCAAAATATTGAGATTCCAATCAAGTATCTAGAAACCTTTCTACGTACCAACGATCAATCGTTCCTCGTCTGGGACATCTTTGAAGAGTTTACGAAATTCTTCGTATCGTTGACGGTACGTTGACTGAAATGGCTAAATGAAAATTAAACTTATGTATTTCCGAACATTCTCGCATTTTAAATCAAGCCATATTTCACGCAAAGCATCCTTCAGTGTTAATCTAATCTGTATACATATAAATGAATTTAAAAAGCAACAGAAGAAAGTATTGTTTGATTGATAATGTTAGTTGATAGTATGTGTATGTCTACTTGTTTATTTACTTCACTAGATTTGCGCTGATGTTTTAGTTTGATTGAATGTCGTCTTATTCTGTCCGGGTGTCGATGAGATTTTGTTCGTCGGAAAGGTGGTGATGTATGGTGAATGTTATGTTCACCAACCCATGAACGTCGCCGTTTATCATTCTCGTGCGAGGATCGACGACGTTTTGAGGAATAATCATTGGTAAATGAGAGGGCATTGGAAATGGATTCGGAAGCACTAGCAACAACAAGTGCACTTCTACCAAGTTCAGACGAAGGTGTAGATAATCCTGAACATGATTCGAAATCCAGCTGAAAAACTGGTAGATGTGAAAGAACAGAACTTGACGCAGAATGAGTAATGAATGGTTTGATTTTATCGCTTGATGAACTATGATTATCTTCGTTGTCGAGTGAATCGTTCGGTTCGTCTTGAGTAAATTCGTTCGGAGAAGATTTTGATGTCGAACTTGTCTTTCTTTTCGAGAATCGTAAACTATTTGAACGTAGAAACAAACGAACGGTGTCCATTAGAAGTTGAATTTGAATGAATGAGGAGAACGGATGCAGAAAATAGTAATTAAAAGTACAATGTTTATACTGACATTTTTTCGGACATGTTGCTTTTTTACTTCTTTAACATCGATTTGTTCTTCTTCTCCTTCTCCTTCTCTATGCTCTTTTTCTCTCGAGGCTCTTCTACTTTTAAACGAGTCTACTACTCATCATTTTTGTCTCGTTCTTTTTCTTTTGAAAGAGTATTCACACGACGAAGAAGAAAAAATAGAAGAAGACGGAGAATTTATCAACGCCGACTCATTACATCGTACGATGATTGACTCATTGAAGCGTTGAAATACAAAAAACACCACACATACACGAATTACATAAAAGCAGCAGTAAATACAAAGCTCAGATTATCGTACGATTTCAATAGCCAATCAAATGGATTCAGAATGATAATTTCTACTTACATTATACCAAGCCTTCTTCTTTCGCGATGACGACGATGATGATGGAGTTGTAGCAGCAGTAGATTTCTTTCGAATTTCAGTTGGAGTGTTGTTGTTGGAAGAATCATTATTGATGACACTGTTTGAAGAGAGATCTTCAGTACTTTGGCTTTTAACTGGTTCACTCCTATTCCTTCTATGATCGATTCGACGTTGTTTGCTTTGAAGATATGAAACTGACGATGAGTCTAATTGATTGACGTCATCATTTTGTTCAGACGAAAGATCGGAATTGAATGAGGGAGATGTAACAACGAACAATGTTGAATTAGCAGAATCTGACGATGGAAAGGTTTCGGTATTGTTGTTCGTGTCGGTAAGATTCGACGGAGAACTGTTGCATCGTTGAGTATCGAAAGGAATCGATGTTGAAGATATCAATTTAACATGATTGGATTCTTCACTTGGACTTTCTGGTATGGGTGAAATTTCTGGTGGTGAGGTGCTAGAAAACAAGTGCGTATTTTCATAATGAATTCTTTTTTTTCTTCTGCTTGAATAAAATCAATTCACTAGAGAGCAGCGAATCTACCTGAGTAGCAATTTACTCTTAGCCAGAATGGTTTCGAACGAAGGTAAAGAAACCATTCGACGGTGAACATGTTTTTTCTTAGTTGACGGTATATCTCTATTGTTTGACATGAAAAAATAAAAATGTGTGAAAAAGGACTTTTTCGTTTTCTTTTCATAACTAAACATCGTACGATACTGGTTCTATCTCTTGTCAATAAGAGATAATAGCGTGCTCAGTTCTACTTACTTGCTGATTGCTTCTTCCATCGACATCGCATCAGATATCTCCGACATAATACAATCTGAAAGCGAACAAATATTGCAATTTATTTCCAAAAGGCTTGATTAAAAGCGTTGAATTAGTTATTTTCTTTCATTCACATAGATATACGTATGCAACCAAAAACAAAAAGCACAACTCATAGCGACTTTCACAACAAATGAATAATGATTATAATAGGTACACCAATAATATTCTGAATATATTCTCCTCTTGGCCTTTGACACCAAGAGATTTATGTTGGTGGTCGATTTTGTCTAAACGAGAAAAGAAGAGAATTAGATAAGGGAAACAAAAAAAATGAAACACAGGCAAGCATAGCAAAGCGAAGCTTATCATGTAACACAAAATGGAAGATCAGCTGCCTTCGAGCAAATATGCTTCTCGTAAGCTTTCACTTCGTGTTAATGAAACTCATCTGACGTTAGTTCAATTCTTTCGTAGTTAGTATTGGTTATACGTAGACGGAGACACACTTTCCCTGGTGACAACGATGTACATCCTGTTGATTAATATTTTTATGTGAACATTAAATATGACTTCTGTAATTCAAGAGTTTCATTAGATAAATGTTGTCTTTACTTAGGTACGAATATGATCGTTAGATAAATATATCAGTTCGATAGTGCAAAGACAGAACTGATAAAATGACAATGAGTAACAGTCATTTTCTTCTTATCTTTGCCGAGAGAGAACGTTATATACAAAGACGACAGAATTCAATTATACGATGAACTAGAACGATTGAGAGGCTTTTGAGGAGAAAAAAAACTTACAATTTCCATGTTTTATGAAGGATAAAAAAGACCACGAATGCAATCATACAAACAATTCCAACGACAATATAGGCCCAACCGAGAAACGGGTTTTTTCCTCCCATCCATGATGTTGTACTGATAATAAATTGTTTTCGTCCGGAAAAATTTATGACCGGGTAATCTTAAAACAGTAGAAGACACAACTTTGCCTTTGTTATCACCTAATAAACAGTGCTTACTATATTGAACTTTCAATGTATAGTTTCCTTGTGGTAAACCACCTTGAAATGTTTGCGAACTATTTGTATTGAGTCGTCGGTACAGTTTACGAAATGCTGGCATTGCAGCTGTTCGCATCCAAACGATGAAATCTTCATTTTTATAACCATTGTTGTCACTGTTGTTCTTATCTAGATCCCATGCAGTATACTTCCAATTAGGTGGAGGCGGATTATTTTGAAAATCTATTTACGTAAGAGATTGTATTTCAAACAGAGAAAAATTCAAAATATTTACAAGTCGAAGCATTATTTGGATTTTTGAATTTAACATCTTTATCCGTTGTCCAAGCGATGCCAGTATTTAGAAGTGGAACAGTTTGACTTCCATTGAAAACGAGTGTTAATGAATCTAGTTGACAAGAAAAGAATGTTTTTTGAAGATGGATAAACAAGAACATGAGATACCGTTAAATTTCGAATTAGCAATTGCACCGCACGGTGTATAATCAGAACCGTTCACTGACTTTTGAAAAGGTTGACAATCTTTGCTCACTGCATCTGTTTTACCCAATAATTGATTGTCATCACGAGATTTAACATAGCGACGATGGTTTTGATAATAATTTACCAGACCATAATAGAAATAAACTTTCCCCTATAAAAAAGAAATGTACATCACTATCTAGATTTTTGCGAATCAACAAACTGTGAAAGGTTGATCCAAATTGATTGGTATATCACAGGTACATGAAGATCCTCCATTTTGTAAAACCTTAGCGCATGTTGTGTTGCTCACAGTTGTGCTCATACAATTTCCTTCTGTGTAGTCGAGATCATATTCGAGTACCTTGAACGAAAACAAATGAATGCATATAATTATCTGAGCAAAATCTGTCATACGCGTTCCGATGTCACCACTAAGACGATACCAATTGGAATGAAAAGTAAACCAATAATTAAAAATACCGGCAAGGCTGTATCTGCAGTTATTATCGGTTGCCAAGCAGGTAAACGTTGCTGTTTAAATGCTGTATCTAAACAAATGAAGAAATTATAAATAGGAACTAGATAAAAATACGAAAAATTACCAGCTGGTTTTTTGCTTTTTTGTTCTTCTTGATCGTCCTTGCTAGTTGGCTGATTGGACATTTTGAAATGAATTATTTTATAACAACAAAAAAGAGTAGGGAAAAAAATTAATTATCTGCCATGTTGAGAAAATAATAAAAGAACAAGGAAACACGATGCGACTGGGTGAACCATCTGTTCCGTCATGAGATATGAATCATCCTATTAACAATGACAGTCTTCTATTTTTCCGAGTGATTTATTATACAAGTCTCAAATAATTTATATTTTTTATCTTTAAAAGTGATTAGAAATCGATTAAAAATCGAAGTAGGACGAAAGCTCACGACAGATGTCAGTAGCTAGCGCATCATGAAACTTCAATTTATCGAACGTCAGCCTTGCGTACTATGTCAGTATATCAGGATGTGTTCAAAACGAACGCTTTAATACAAACATAAAATAGCTGCAATTGTTACATATTCAGCAGGAAAAAGGCTTTATTTCAAACGAGGAACGGCGAATTTGCGACTCCCTGGGAGTATTGTGGAAATACGCCATTTTACATTTGAGATAGGATCTTTGTAGTAAAAACAGACAGATGACTCCGTACTTCACCAAATCCATATTAATACGACATGTGGTTTTTCTCAATATACTACAATATTAGCGTGTTAGTTCGTTTTGAAATAATACATTCTACGATCTGTTACTTCAGTATACGTATGTCAATCATATAGTATTAGAAAATTCCAATGCTCTAACCAGTCGATTCTTCACTGATATTAGTATTGACACATCTACTTGTTTCATCTATCAATTGATCACAAGGGAACAGACTCACGTTGTATCTAATTCGAGTTTATTCATTGAAGAAGAAAAATACAAACATAAACATAAAGTATAAGAGAATGATCATTCGTATCATTGAGATATCAAAAGAATATCATATATCAGCCTCTTGTCTGTACACTAAATATACTTTCGACAAAAAACATCATTCTACTTCTTTTACACATCACAATAACATGCGATCATCATTTCTCACATCGAACAAAAAGAAACACGAACTATTGAGATTGTTGAATTGCTTCATCCAGTGCATTTCGAATCAACTCCAGTGGATATGATCCTGCAATCGGTGCAGCTATGTAGCTCAATCGTTTCTTTCCATCCACCACATAGAATCGAATAGGCCATGGATTGTATTCTTTGCTGAATGGATTGCCAAGGGATACTGGATCAATCAACAGAGGTATTCGATAGTCTGTTGCTTTGATAAAATCCAGCGCAATACCGATTCGATCGGCGTCACACTTCGGTTGAGTATAACAGACTCGACTACCGATGGGCCATTCATCGGATGCATGTGCTTCTTCGATATAAACAGTCACCATATCAACACGATGTTTGTATGCATCCATGAGCTGATGGAGTTGTGGTACAACTCCACGAAACGGCGGTCATGTGTATGAGCCAGCAATGATCAAGAGAGGTCGATGAGGAGAATGACAATGAGATAACAATGAATGAAAGTGATTGTTTAGGTCTAGTAGTTGTACGTCTGGTGCTTGATCAGCAAGTTTGAGATGACCTAGTCGTGCACGATTATGTCGAACATAGAGAGAGAGATTTTGGAATTCTTGATCGTCTGCATAGATCTGATGCGCACTTCTGAAGATAGTGAGAGCATGTTGAATTTCGTTTTCAGTCGCATCTTCGCCGATAGTTTCTTTGACGAGTGTAGTTTGAAGTTGAGCAATGACATCCATCCAGTCGATGTCAGTTCGATCTTGAATGGATGCGAGTAGTTGTTGTGTTTGTGGTGCAAGTCGGAGTTGTTCTTCTTTGATGAGGAGTTGTTTGAGAGTTTGTCGTTCTAATAATCGGTAGACTCGAAGTTGTTTTTGTGTGGAAGCTAGTCATTGTTGATTGGAAGAGTCGTCATCGTCATCATCATCTTCACTTTCATCATCTTGTGCATCATCGATAGGTGCTGGCAAGATCATATTTCTCAAATTTGAAATACTATCTGGAATATAGATTTCATTGATTTCTTGGTACAAAGATGAAAGAATAGCTTTTCCTTGTAAAAGTGAATTCTGTAGCTCAGATGGCGACAATTGTTTGGTGTCGTGTATGCTGCTAAGTTTGAATGCGAGCACCTCTTTAATCGCATTAGAGCTGGTAACAGGCAAATCTTCGAAATCTTGTCGACCACTGGTAAAATGATACATGCCACCACGTAATCGCAATACCAAATGTAACGTACTTTCTTTCTGGACATTGTAGTCACTTAGTGCTCTACCATCTTCTAGTTGTATTCCCATAAATATTATCCGTTGTTGATCAATGCAGATACCATCTGTTTCTTCAATTAATTTCTTCAAATCTTGAACTTTCATCTTTGAAGTAACTTCAAGAGTCATACTTTGTCCGGTAAGAGTTTTCACAAATATCAAGAATTGCCCTTTGTCACTTGAATGAGTCTTAAAAAGAGAAATAGAGCGAAATCTTCTATCAGTTATGGTCATACTTGTTTGTTGTGGACTTTTGCCAGTATGATACTGTTTTGTAGATACAGTTGACTTGACATAACTGTATCCTTGGATTTTAGAGGTGTACCTTCAGTCCAATCCTTCTCGCTTGGTGTTTTATTTTCTTCTACTGTGGACATTTTTAATTCCAGATCTGTAAATCGCCGGCGTTCTTTAACTCTCATTTTGATTTTCTCTAAGTCGTCCGATAATAATACATTAATAACAACCTTTTTTGTTAGAAATGACTCATGGATTCTCATCCATACAGTTACTTCACCATATGAAACAAATTCATGGCTAGCTGTGAAGTTTGATACAGACGATTTTAAAGCAGATTCGCTCAAGGGCGAAATAGTACTTTCATTTAAAAGACCAACTTTGATCCATGGTTGTAAGTATTTGGGAACATATTCTTTTCTGTATTTTTTAATTGTTTTACTGATAGTTTCATGATCCATACATTTTATCTTCGTTCGATTTCCATATGGATCGATGAAGGTCAGAGAACGCGATTTGAGTTCACTTTGCATTTTCTTGTTTTTTTCCCATTGATTATCGAGAAAATTTTCCATTTCAATCATTTGAGTTTGAATTGTTTGCACTTGAGAAACTAAATCTTCGTAGACAAACGAACTTGATGTCGGTAAAACGACGCCAACAGTTGCCATGATTAATATTGCTTGCTGATGATTTATCTAAAAACAAACATAGATGTTCATCAGTTATGATCGCTTACTACAAATATCTTCTCTCAGAAAAGACAAACTGTATTAGCACAAAACATTATTCACGGCCATGAGTGATTGTTCCTTTGAATCATATAGTCGTTTTTTGTTTATGACAACCATAGGGTTTTTTCCAACACAGAAGAAATGCACGTAGCAATAGTGCATAGTCAAAAATTTCGAAAGGACCGACTGAATCAAGTATCGCATAATGTGGATAGTGGCTAGAAGATGGATCAGCCTCAATGAAGTACATCATTCAACAGGTACCATAGTAGGATAATTTGTATAGAGAACCGAATCACATTTCAGGCAGCATGCGTAATTACGTCGTCAATGTAGTCGATGGCATAGAGAAAATGTGTATAGGATATAAATAGGGTAAAAAAACTGATGATTCACGTTTTTTTTACACATTGAGCATTTTATTTGTATCAAAGAATTATGACAGTTGTCATTTTCATTGTTTGAATTCTTTTGTAATTACCAACTGAAGTCAGATCTTCTGTTGCGTAAACATTTCCTCGATGTAAGTACTCAGACAGTCCCTATCGCTCAGATATTTATCTAATCTTCGTTTCTCAGGTATCAACTATTTCGTGATATCATAAAATAATCAGTCTTTAAACTGATACGCTTAAAGGTTATTAAAAAAGTGCACATTTTTAGTCAGACAATCGATTAATCTATTTATAACGAAAGAATTAATGGGGAAATATTTTCTTTCTTTCGTATTTTACTATGCAGTATTCCAAAGAAAAATCTCTCTGGTCGTAACAGCTTTCTAAAAGATCCTCCTTATCCTCAATTCCCAAATTCTATATTGATATTTATAGTGTCATACACAAGTGTGCTGAAGCTTCGGCCTACGGAAAATACAATTTCATTCATTCCGAGTAACAAAGTGTGTCAACAAAATAAATGATGTCAAACTAGCTGTACAGAATCGACGTCAGGAAGATTTACCTTTCGGTGATCTTACTGCATGAAAAAATTGGTTATCTAGTGAATTGCTGGTGCAGTGTAATAAGTAAACGCAAATAGCGTTTTCATCTCGAGAGATATCGTATGCATATATGAGTGAATTCATTTTAGTCACTTTGCGATAATATGGGAAAGAAAATACTGAAAGCCAACCAGTGAATATGATTTTAGCTAATTGAATTTATCAGCTAAATTGTTATCAATGGTTTGACATAAGTTTTTCTTTCTCCACACTCAATCTATAACTTTTATAACCAACTCTCACGTATCCGAGAGGTTCAATAAAAGATGTTGCTATTTAAATCCTTCATTGATTGCGACTTTTTCATATGAAACGAAAAGCTACTTGTTTGTGTTCTTCCGTTAATTATATTATATGCATAACAAAACAATAAACAACGAATCACTGTTTTTGTTTTTGTTTTTGTATCTTGTTCAACAACAATTCAATCTGTTCCCCCATGACGGGTTGACCACGACGTGTTTTCTTCACTAGCTTCTTCGAACGTTGCTGTTTATTGGTTTTGTATCGAGCCATAGCAGCATTCACCGCTTGTTTATGTTCTTCTTTCGCCTTTAACAAAACGAGAGCCGTGTGAAACAAAAAAAGAACAACGAAATAAACGATTACTTTTTTTGCGACTTCTTTTTCTTGTTTTCGCTGAATGTGAGCATCGCGAATCTTTTGATTATGTGATTTTCTTTCGAATGGTTTCGAATCTCCTTTTTTCTTCATATTGTCTACAAAAAACAAACCGGAACATAAAGACAATCATATGGATATTAAGCAATTTATTTATTTATGTCCGGTTGTATATTTACTAAACAAATGTGTTTTCTCATTTAATTCAACTAGAGGTTTAGAAAAAACGAAAGGAAGGACAACCAGATAGAACAAGACTATTTGAAATGAAGTTCATTTCGATTTTGAAAGTATCGATCTTGTTGTTGATGATGAAGCAAGTAATAGCTGATTGGTACTAAATAGAGAAACACCGACTCCAATGATGGACATAAGAACAGCAGCACTAAATGAAAAACGTTCTTTCTTCACAGTTGAATTGGTTAAGTCATGTCGCTAGAACAATGAACAGAATCGATGAAGAATGAAAGCTCAATTAAAATAATCCTACAGTGAATAATCTGGACCCTGTTTTCGCTGCCATTCCCAAGACCATCGTTGCCTACAATGAACAGTCTAGAAACGAGAAAAAGGAAAAACAACACATTACAATACAATGTCATTGATCCACGCATGTAACCAATCACATCATTTGTTCCAAATAGATGGAGTTCGTTTGATGTGGTAATTGCGATTTTTGTATTTCAATTTTCAGTTAATTTCATTAACGTCGTATAAATATTACCGTCAGCACTTCTGTTCTTATTTGCAATGTGATCGACAAGTTTTTTTATCTATCAACTCTGTTAAAAACGAATGTTCGCTCCTTCAGATCTGATTGAAATATTTCTATTTAAGGTAAAGGAAGAGCAATGAGAAACCGCTTTCGTGAACATCTAATTCCGCTCTGCTGATAATGAGAACCTGTGCTATAATATGAAAACTGAGCAAAGAAAAGTGCCTTTTCAATAATTCATGATTTACCTATACTCTCGTCTTGCTATCGATTTTTCAGAATAATTGGTTTTCCGATGTGATGCTTATATTTATTGAGATATAAAAAGCACAATATTTCCAACTCTCATTCGAGATTCACATAAGAAATGACATTTAAATCCTGGTAACTGCAATCGGTTAGTTTCTTCATGCAAATTCAATAGAATTGTCTTTATGCACACAGATGAAGCCCAATATTAGTTTATAATGTTTATTTATTTATATGAGAATCAAATTCATTGATATCAGATTAGAATTACCATTTATGTATATCTGAATAGCACTTTCCTATGATTGGTCTAGAAAGAGAATCCGTATTTTATCACACAAATCAATTACATACTCGACATTTCTATTTTGCTTTGCTTGAAGCATGACCGACGAGCTTTCGATTGGTTACTCTTATCAAAAACGATCATTTATTTCCAAATTAAACCCTGAGTCACCTCCATTTCATCCATCTTCATTCTATCAACAGATACAACGAGCATCACAACCAGAGTCTTCATTGAATAACTATAACAATCATTTCCATATTCAACCTGTTACAAACGAATTTTACGACAATCATAATTATTCGTGTTCCACAACGATTCATCCAATAGAACCTACCGATCACCAAGTATCACATTCACATTATATTGAAAAAATGATACCCAATAGTCAACACCCAACAACTTCATCTCACATCGAACCACTGGAAACATCTTCTTCATCAGACCTGCTTGAGCAGCCCTCTTCTCAAACATCCACTAATATTCATGAAGAAGAAATATCGAACCATCATGAAGATTCCGATGAAAACAAGTAATTAATCTTCATAACCGTTGTCTTATTACCAAAAATCTTTCTTTTAGCGCTCAACATGAGTCTACTGAGGAAGAAATTCCAGTAACACAAACTGAAACTAACGCTTTGTCTGCTAAATCAGAACATACAGCCAATGAATTATCAACCTCATTACCTGATATTGCTACAGAAACACTTGATCAAAACGAACCTGATGATGTTCTCGGAAACAGCTCTCTACTAAAACAAGTAAACACAAAAACGAAGTGCTAATCACTAAAAACACTGAGTCATCCTTTGTTTAGACAATCACACCAGGAACTATTGATACTCGCCCACTTCGCAATACTCTTGCGACAGTCTCATATAAATTATATTTAGTCGATGATCTGACCAAAGATTCTCGTTTGATCGAAACGGTCACTAACGAAAGTTTCTTTATTGCTGAATATGAAATCTTACCAGCTATTGATATTGTCATTCAATTAATGGATCGTGGTGAACATGCATTAATTGATTCTGATGTTCGTCATTGCTATGGTGAAAATGGTTGTGAAGAAAAACAAATTCCGCCAGTCACATCAACAAGTCCTTATCGAATGAGAATTGAATTAGAGCTTATTGATTGGAAAGATGCACCCGATATCTCGACATTGCCAATAAACGAAAGACTTCAATGGAGGTTTGTTCCATCTATTTCATCCAACTTTTCTTTACAACTGCATTTTAGTGATAAAAAACGTCAACGAGGAAACTTCTGTTATCGTCGAAAGGATTACGCGTCCGCTCTTCAATCTTACCGCAATGCATTGAAATTCTTAGACATCGAACAGAATCCACTACTAGAAGAAGAAGAAATTCAATCTGCAACCATAATTGAACGATTTGTTCAAGTGCAGAATAATCTTGCACAAGTTTATCTTTTGAATAATCAGTATGAACAATGTTTGGAAGCGGTCAATGCTGTTCTGAAACACGACTCGAAAAATGTCAAAGCACTGTTTCGACACGGAAAAGCTTTGTTTGAACTAGGAAACTATGATGAAGCAGTTCCGCCGTTAAGATCACTGTTACAGAACCCGAGTAAAGATGTGGAGAAGGATAAAGTGACAGAAATGTTGAAGATTTGTGAAACGAAATTGGCAAAATACAAAAAGAATGAAAAAGAAATCTACACGAAAATGTTTCAATCAAAAACCCCATCCTCAACAACAACAGCAGCCGTACTTGAAGAAAAGAAATCGCCAAAAAAACCTGTCGAAAAGGTATAGATTTATTTGATTTTCCACAGGCAAAGAAATGATTTCGTATTGGATAGGTTGCGACGAAGACAAAAAGTAACAATAATTGGTGGACGTATGTCGCAATGGGTAGTGCTGTCGTAGCTGCGGTGGGTCTTGGTGCGATCATTAAATATCGATAAACGCTTTGGTGAAGTCTTTTTTCTGCTTCTCCCGATGTTATGTGTCTTTCAATCTTAACTCGAATCATCCATGTTGTTTTCGATTTTTCATATCAAAATACACCTAGGAATAAACATTCAACTGTTGTCCGAATGACAGCGCATATGTAGAAATGGATTATTTCTACATTAATGAAAGTAAAATTCGATTTCGTATCGTTGCTGTATAACTTGTGAACTAATCTATCTACTTTTCTTTCTCAAGTATCGGGTTTTAAATAACAAGCATACAATATTTAGCATTGTAAAAAAAGTGAAATTCATACTTTGATATGTTGCTCATACGGCACTTATGACAATTCAAACTATTGCATTAAAATAGATCGGGATACACGCCAATGATTATTAGTTTATGACATCGTTGTAATTGATGTCTCTGTATATACGAATGCATTCATGTAAAACTCGACGAGTGGAAATAAAGGGACATCAAACATTGATGTTTTTAATTTTATTATTCCGCTAAGTTATTTTATGATGAATCTTCTGTAAAGAAATCAAAAACGTCTTCTAAAAGATTACAGATTACAATTCAACACAGTCAAGAGAAGTCTATGAACAGTAATACATAAGTGGCGAGTGATCGACTACATTAACTGCTATTGTTGCTGGAACACACTGATCAAAACGAACTTGATGGTGTTCTTGGAAAGAAATCTTTGCACAAGTTTATCTTTTGGATAATCAGTAATGAATACTGTTTGAAAGTAGTCAATGCTACTCTGAAACACGACCTAGCGCACTTTTTGAACTAGGAAACTATGATGAAGAAGTTCCGCCGTTAAAATCATTGGTGTACAATTTGAGCAAGGATGTGGAAAAGGATAAAATGACTGAAATGTTGAAGGATTTGTGAAACGTAAAAGAAGTCTACACAAAAACGTTTCAATCGAAAACAACATTGACAATACTTGAAGAGAAGGTTTAAATCTGTGTTTTGGTAGATTGAGACGAAGATAAAAGGCAAGGATAACTGATGAACGTATATTCCCATATTAAATATCGATAAATGTTTCAGCGAAGTCTTTTTATTCCAATAGCATACGCAAGGTTACTTGCAGTGCCTTTAACTTCGTACTATTATTAAAATTTTTCTCTAGTAATAACTCATATCATTATCAGCATAACAGATCGCGTAATTTTTCTCGGTCTATTTGCGGTAGAAAAACAATTCTCTCAGAACGATCGTTTCTTGTTTACAAAAGAATTATCATTGTTGCTAGCAGTTTTCTCCTTTTCTATTCTTTCCCATCGAGAGCGACACAAGCGCACACCAGTTCTTGCTCACATGGCTGAACTCATCTAACAACTAATCGTACTGCTTGCTCGCGTTCTATCGGAGGAACAAATATAACATAAAAGACTACAGAAAAACCGGAGCAACCAGCGATTTGGTCAATTGTCTTTTTCGTTGTGCTTCTTCTTGCCATTATATTCTTACCATTTTTTCAGCCAAGTATGTTATGTTTTTTCATTACAAGTTTTTCCTTCTTGGAAACCGTTCTTCTTTAAGTTTATACTCGTCACACATCTGAAAAATGGCACCGGTATTATTTATGGAATTCAACTTGGAAAAGATTTCTGATTGGTTTAAGCCTATCAATCGCTTATTACATTTATTTGTTCTCATTATCTGCTTCTACAGCATGGAATATGTTCACATTTAGTTTTCATAGCTTTATATCATTATTTGCATTACTTTTTTCGCTCTTTATCACATGTACTGGTCTACCGTTGGTGAAACTTCCATCGACGAAGATATCGTCCTCCACGAAGTTCTCAAGTCTACTTTGGATTGTGAGCAAAAATCTTATGTAATCTGATCGGCACTCTGGCAGCCAGTGTTCTTCTTTTTCCTTCATTTCTTTCTCAAAATTCGTCACGATTAAATCATTTGAACACTCAACGATTTCTAATCATATTCTTCATCATGCTAATTGGAAACTGCGCTGGAGTTCTCAGTCCGCTCGGTGATCCTCCCTTATACATGGGTTACACCAATGGCGTGAAATTTGGATTCACATTTCAACATCTTTACAAAGTTTTCCTCGTAGCAAATGGATATATTTTAGTTGTATTCGGATTGATCGATTTATTCAATGCGTGGACATATCGCAAAGCGAAGCGTATTCCAAAAGCCCAGCAGTATAAGTTAACATCTTGCGAAGAGAAATATGATCTTTCATCAGCATTACCAATTCAATGGCATGGGCTTTACCATGGTGTGTTTTTAATATTGATTATCGGTACTGTTTTGTTCAAAGGTTTTGATATTCCATCGAAATGGTCGGAATATGTTCAAGAGTTGATCTTACTGATCATTACAATTGTGTGTATTTGTTTTGACGCGGTTTGGACGAATCAGTCGTTGGGACAATGGTGGCAAAGAAATTATCCGACACGTGTCGAACCCGTTGCCGAAGTTATCGTAATTTTCGTTGGACTGTTTTTCACAATGTCAGCACCGATTACGATTCTATCAAACATAAATCTTCAGCTGGGACCAAAAGTACGTCCTTTATCGAACGCAAAACAAAATAATCTCTTATCCTATTTAGTTACTGTTTTTCTTCTCGGGAATCTTTGCTGCACTTCTGGACAATGCACCAGTCTACATTAGCTTCGCTGCGAGTGCTGCCGGGCGCTATAATATCACCGTTGATCAATCGAATTCCAATGGTTTTCTTAGCACTCTCTTTACTAAACACGAAAGTGATGCAATTATCACAATGCGTGCAATATCAGCTGGCTCAGTTCTCATGGGCGCGTGTACTTTACTTGGCAATGCACCAAATATGATTGTTGCATTAATGGCAACTCGATATACGTATCGAGTGAATAACTCTTTGCGTCAAATTGAACAAATTCCAGTTTATCACCTTGAGACGATTGGATTCATTCGATTTATGATCACATCTTGTCTAATATTAACGCTGATATTTGTTTTCATAGCTCTATTGATGTTGTAAGCAATCTAAATATAAATTACATTAGATACTGTGATAATGGCGAACAATTTTACACGTTCTTTTCTCAGTACGTAAAAAAAAGCGAACGTCATTCAAGATGAGTTCATTTTCATCAACATGTTCTTAATTCCGGGCTTTTTCATACTTATCATGAACGTTATGACTAATTTGACTAGGTTAAATTTTTCTTTTCTTTTCAAATATATCGCATTTCATGATTGTTCTACGTAATGACGCGTTCTCAGTGGAAAATCATATTGCAAACATGTTTACTAGACGCTTATGATATTTTTTTGTTGATTTGTTTAAAACATATTTTTTTCCGGCGTGCCCCACTCTAATATAATTAAGAATTGTATTTGCTCAACGAGGTTGATTAAAAACAATATGTTGATTCACCAAATATGACTTGTAAGAATCTGAAATGTTGTTGAATTATAATAATCACATGTTTGTCGCTTCATTAAATTTCATAAAAGGTTAATGAGAAAAGAGACAAATAGTACCTTCCATGACAATTCATTGATTATATGTCTTGAAAGATGCTGGTTTTGTCAGCATCATCCAAGAAAATCATGAATTTCTTCTCTCATTCATATAATGACTTCATCAATATCTAATCTTCGTGAGTGTTATATGACAACTGATAGTACTAATTTCAACAAGGTTTTAATATGATATTTACATTCGAATATTCATCTTTGAAAGGTCAAAAAAAGCGTACATGTTTACAACTAATTTCAAATAAAAAGACAAAAGAAAATAAATGTTCTGATGTTCGTTGTTAAGTCGGAATAAATATATGTATATAACTATATATCCATTATGGCAGATAACAAGAAACAATCTGTCGTTTCACTTGTCTAATCCAGCCTAGAAAAACGAGAGAGAGAGAGAGAGCAATTAATATTGATGTAATTATGTGTTCTTTTCCTCTTTGAACTCTTACTGGATAAACAAATGATGTCAATGTTCGACACTGATTCCCACAGCAAACTTGACATTTATATAATCCCATATGATCTTCGAAATTGGCATTTTTCAGTGATAGATCGGTTTGTTCACCGAGTGTGTCCAACGGCTCATCTTCAGGATCGAACCATCGTACTGTACATGCATCTTTTTCATGATGATTAACACGGCACATCAGTGATGTTTGACTTCGCGGTTCGAATAATGTTTGATATGTATGAACTAAACGAAGTCGTCTATAGCAAAACGAGTAATAGCGTTAAGTAACTCTTACCGGTAATCATAGCATCTTCAGAAAATTTCGTTGGAATAAAATTCGCATCTAATCAAGTAGAAAGGAGATGAGCAATGAATTCAATGAAGGAATTGACTTACCATGCATTTTGACGCTAACATCGAAACTATGCTGAGCAGTCAGATCATCATGAATGGCAATACACTGATAGGCTCCGTTCATATCGAAATGTGCTTGTTCAATTTCGATGGTTGAGACGATGGTTGATACAAGATAGGGACTTTCGATTGAATCGTCTTCTTCTTCTGAGATAGACTAAAGAGAAGCAAAACGATCGAAATGAATTGATTAGCAATTTCAAAAGTACTGAGACATACAGTGGAAATAAATGATTGCATTACTGTTCCATTGTGAAACCAGAAAACATTAAGTTTGTCGAAGTTAGATAAGAATGCACAGGTTAAACGAAATGGTGAACCTTCGTCAAAAGCCACTTGATTTGCTGTGCTTAGTTCAGGTACGAAAGCGATTGCCTTTTGCCGCCGCAATTTATCCAATAACAGCGATGATGAGCAACTGGTAAGCATAATCATCACCAAATACTAAACCGAAGAATATGTACACTTAAAGTCAGACTCAGTCAATCAATTGACTTACCAATGAAATTATATTGACCATGTTCATTTGTGAGTTTGATAAAGAATAAAGTCGAGCTTACGAAGAAATAGATTAATGTATACGAATGTGTCGAAATGGTTTTGGTCGTTACGCTTCTTGAGTCTTTATATACTTGTTCTTTTTCTCTCTTTCTCTTTTTATCTTTATCTCGTTAACCAATTGCGAGCAAGGAGAACGGCGATTTCCTTAAAACTTGTTAACTGACGAGAAAGTCAGACAGGAACAGCCTCGTTTGTTAGATAAAAAAGGTTTTTGACGTTGGATAAAGTGTGTAATTTTATGATTTTGATGAAAAGTCTTGACATGTAAATGATTCGAAGAAAGATTATCATAGCAGTACGCCTAATTCGAAATGCAGAGAGAGAGAACCAGTATGCACTTCGAGAACTGTGTTGGTTCTTTCAATCAAACTCAGTAACTCAGAACACCCGCTTTCCGAATGTCATTTTTCTTAATATGTAAAAGAAGCCTATTCAAAGCAGACGTGTGTTGTTTACGTCTGAGCGTCTATTATAAAATACTTTCTATACTCTGACTGACGATAACCAGTTTTTGTATATTTATGTCTCAGCTGCAGGTTGATCATTAGAAATCAGCTCGATTATAATATATTCATTATTAATGTGAACTTTTTTGTTCCTACACACCTTGATGGCAATTACCTATCAGTCAGTATGATGAACATCACAAACGCAAACAAATAAACAGTCTATTTACAGTTGATTTATCGACGAGAACAATACAGGCAAATGGAGACTGATACGAATTCGTTTTTTGTTTGTCTCTCTACTTGAATGTTCTGATTTCTATCGGAAACTATGTGTAGTTTGAAACCATACATTTCAAATTGATTCATATGCTACAAAGCCAGGTTGTGACAAGCTTTTCATTCTGCCGAACAATTGGTTCCTTTCAAATAACATACATTTCCATCAGCATTCAATTAATCAGCAAAGGAGAATTCAGTAGAAAAAGAAAATCTTTAAGAACAATAACAATCAATCAACGTCGTCGTCTGTAATATATTGCAATTCTTCAATCAATGCTTGCTTTCATATTTTCATCGTGTATATATTCTAGTCAATTTTCTCTTCACTACAAATGAACTTGTTCTTTTTTATGACCTCTCGCTAAAATTTGGAGATCAGTACATTAATTAATTAGTTTTTCTTCCACATCACTCGTGTGATTAACCGTCTTCTGAAGGGCCTTATTTCAATCTAAATATAGTAGAGCTGTTTTTAGTAGAGAATACTTCATTAATTTCATGAACACTTCAGCATACTAATCCTCAGTCACACCCTTCACAAAAATCCGAGTGACATCTAAAAGACTCACTCAAGCAATATGCATGACATGTTTTTCTTCTCAACTGAACACAAATTAATAATATAGTGTACTATTCAGTATCATTTTAACAGTATATCTCAATTATAATCATTAGAATTTCTGAGGAAATGTTTGACCAGGTAATGAAGACTATTTATAGGTAATTAACATTCTTATCATGCAAAGAATACGGGGCGTGTAAATAAATTGTGAAGGTTTATTGATGAAGACGAAGATTATTCTTTTGCATGATATAATCATTTTGCAAAACAACGTGAAAATAGGTGTGTAGTGAAAAAAAAGCAAATCTATTTATTCTATCATACGGTTGAAGAAAGCTGATTTAATCCATTTCTGTCGTGTTTCAAATCTAAGCTTTTCTCAAGAAAACCGACACCGAAGACAGATTTTTTTCTCTCTCTTTTTCATAATTGATCCATATACTTGGTCTCTCTTTTTTTTTGTTCATCGATAATAACAAATCGGATCTGTTTTCTCCTTATTTTTCTCACATGGTCGAACTTGAATAGGTCTATATACTTCTTGTTCGTAGGTTAAAAATGAAAGAAACGTAAGAACATAGAAAAGGAAATAATTGTCAACATCCGTTTCTTGTCTATAAAGAAACGCTGTTCTAGCGGGTATAGTTTTTCAATATATAACTGAAAAAAAAACGCAATGAACGGCGAACGATGTGAAACGATAAAAGAAGAAAGGCAATGCGAGAAGGAGAGAGCAGAAAGGAAAAATGTCAGTTCTTTTCATTTTCTTTTCTCACTGATGTTATATTTCAGAATAATTCCATTACGGCTAATTATATTTTGGCATTATTCATTGATTACGGTACACAATAGTGAATTCAATGTAAATCAATACGAAGATCAATGCAATCCACACCAGCACCGAATTTGCATAATCCTCGATTGAGCACAAGTTCATATTCGTCTTTATCAGCGACGACCACTGCACTTCTCAACGGTCTTCTATCTCCACATCGATTATCTCAAACATCGGGCAGTGCACCCGTGTCCGCAGTCAATAAATTACAAAAGACTACGAATCGACTGAAACGAACTGAAAGAATCAAGCGTGGATGTGTAATTCTTGTTTTAACTCTTCTGCTAGCCTTCTTACTCTTAATTACTGTTGAATTAACAACAAAACTTGTTAAAGCACAAGCGAAAGGAAATCTTGTGAGATATTCAAATTTAACTACAACGAATAGAACGAATGAATACGAAACAGCTCCTCCTATCCGTGCATTTTTTACATGTGTTTGGATTTTCAATAGTTTCTTACTCATATCTTGTTTTATCGTACATTTAATCGCTGTTCAACGTCGTTCAATTCGCTGGCGAACCACAGCTGTCTTTCTCAGGTAGTAAACAATCAAAAACACCCTAAATTAAAATCGATCTAATCATCTAAATGCATTCCATCGAGTAGAGCAGTAGTTATTAATCAAATGAACTGCAAGAATACATGAATAGAGAGAATGAAAACAGTTTTCCTTTCTACGTTTGTGAATAAGAAGATAAAAAAAAGAAATGAACAGAAGACTACTCTAAGTAGATTGCGATGAATAGAGTACCTCACAATGTCTTCTTCAAGGTCTGAGATGAAATATAAAAGAAAATACACAGAGGAGAAAATTATATTCTTTGTCTGGAAGTGAGATTCTTTTGAATATAACTGACATTTATGTATCTCATCAATGACGTTAAGTTAAGAAAGCATTTGGTTTATTTAGAGAATTTGGTCAAATATTTGACAATAGAAAATCATCATCAAATAATACGCTAATCGATTGTTTAATTAAAACTTGCTTATTATGTTTTCTCTGGTATTCATCATCGTATTTAATCTTTCGTTCCATGTCGATTCTTATTTCTATGGAAATTATCATTATTTATTCAATCACAATAACAGCACGGCAATTTCTCGGATGGATTTTTTTACACGAACAATTCATCGGAAATAAGGTAAGCAAAATAGATTTCTTAGAACAGAAACCATGTTTATCATTGTGTTTAAAAACAGATTATTGCGTATATACTTGGCTCATCGACATTACTTCTACTTGCACATGCCAACGGATTTCGTTTAAACACATTTTTACTTGGTCTTTCAATGTTAACAAGTGGCGTTGCATTAAAAACAACCTTTGATGTAAATAATTATTTTGTTGAAAAGTCTCATTGCGATTACATTGCTTTGCTTCCTGATTTCGAATAGATTCTTGTCAATGGGTTTATTCCCGATTTAACTAGTGCAAAGTTAAGAGTTGTCATGATCAATGTATTTTTCTGTGGAACGTTTTTCCTATGGCCGTTCATGGTGGTTTTACATCTGCTCGGAATCGAACGGTTGGATTTTAAACATATTCAATGGTTAATAACTATTTTAACATCAATCTGTGCACTACGTAAGCAAGAAAACAACGAAATACTTGTATAGATTGCGTTTTTTTCTCTTAGTATTCAATGTATTAATCATTGTTATTCCATTTAAGTACAGTTCAATAGCTAATGTGGGCTGTTTACTTGTCGCTATTCCAGCAACTTCTAGTAAGCGAATAGTTCTCTACAGTTCGATTCCTTGATTCACAGACGATACTTTTCAGTTATTGATCAACGTGCATTGAATACAACTTATCCACCATTGGTTCTTTCAGCTATTGTATGTTCATTTATCGGTACACTTTTATCTATGGTGCCGAAGCAATGGTTTCAAACGAATGACAGAACGAAAGGAAAGCAAACATTTGGATTACTGCATAAAGATTCCACTGGCAATGCGAACATGATGACAGCACTTACTGGCGGAGCATCGGCACTAGATGAAATACGTGCTCAGCGTCGTATTCGAAATGCACTTTTGTATAATGAACTGAAAACGTGATAGGATTTGATGTCACTCTAGGATTTCGGAAAGGAGGAAATATACTCTTGAATTGTGTGAGATGCAATGTGATATTCTAGATCAAATAAACAACAGACGTTGTTTTTTTTTTCTTTAAAAAATTCATGTCGAAGTCAAGGTCATTGACGACTAAGAATGTATTGCATCAATGTTATAGTTCAAAGCATTTAATTATGCTCCACATTGAACGAGGGGAAAATCGATAGACCTCTTGTTTTTTCGTCTTTCTTTGTCAATGTTTATGATTTATTGCTTCTTGTCAGACGTACGATAGTCGATGTAGAAAGAAAAGAATCGTCAATGTACGGAAGGTAATTATGTCTAACTAATATTGAACTGTCTATTACTCAGAGAAAAGAAAGATAAATCAAAATATAATTATGAATCCAGTTCTTTTGTTGACTCTCAATTTGTTCGATATAACCTACGGTGATGAGTGATGTGTTATGAATGAATTCTTCTGGATTGATTTCCAGAACTCGACAAACGTGATGCTGTGTGAGATGACTTCAAAGACGCGGAAGTGAAGTAAACAAAGATTGCCTCTGCCATCGTTTTGCTTCCTCTTTCACGTTGATTGAGTGTAGGATACAAATAGAACATGAGCAATGTGTGCAAAACAAACAGCAGCTATTTGCCCTGAATAACCCATAACAATCGCAAAGTTAGTGATGCGCAAAGAGGAAGATTATTCGTGGCGTATGTATTGAAACATATATTAAGTGCAGTCATTTGTCTTATCGACAAGCGGCCCTTGAGTTCATTTTTATTATTTCGAATTGTCTCTATGTTTCCGTCGAATGAATTACCGAAAATTATTGCTGATGATACCGTCGTGCCAGTTCAATCTGACAATGAAAAACAAACACATAAAAAGCGTAAATGAAAAGATGCATTTTATAGTTTCAAATGCACGAATAAAATCTATTTTCTTCAAGGAAAGTTCATAATACCAACGTCAAATGAACAATTGATGACGCTTGTCTGTATTCTTTTTATTGTATTCATTATTGCAAGTGCTGTACTAATCGGGTAAAACAGAAGTTCAACAAAATACATATCCGTAAGACCTTCTTTATCTATTCTGATAGACTGGTGTCAGTTTTTCTACCAAGACCAACTGATAACAGTTCAACAATCGAGACAATAACTGTCACCTATCTTTTCCCCATCACTTCACAAACGAGCAATGATTTATTTTCAAATAATAATTCTCTAATAGCGAATTATTATCTGAATAACAATCAGAAGAACATCTTCAAAGCGTGTGTATGTATTGCAAACAAGTTCTTTCAGTATATAATGTGTTTATATTTCGTAGTTACAATTACGATTGTCTGAAGATGATCGAACCAAACAAATGACCATTCTTTCGATCGGTAATGCACATATTCTATCTGCAAATGATACTAAAACGGTAGATCAGGATATAAATTCGATCCAAAGCGAAGAAGTTTTTTGTCGTAGAACTCTACATCGAGAAGGAAGCGTCGTCGACAAATATTGCCTCGAATTGATCAAGTAGAGATAACACTCACAATGCAGTGTTATCCATCGATATCAAAGATGGAATGTCGACAGGATATTGAGTCCGTTCTGAATACTAAGTACTTCGATTCCTACAAATAAATGACCAAAAAAGAAGAGAAAATTATTGATTTTTTAGACAATCACTCACGTGTACAACAGCAGATGAAACGATGATTGCAACAAGCTCGTCGAGTTCGACAGAAATGAAAGATGAACAAGTTGCCCATATTCAACACTGGCGACAAGTTGGCCAACTATTCCTTGCCTTTGGATTGACATCATTGGTAGGACTTGAAAGACAACTGCGAGGTAAAAATGCTGGTCTACGTACGCATTCTATTGTGGGAACAACGTCTGCATTGATCCTACAAGTGAGTAAATATGGCTTTAGTGATGTTATCCATGAAGGAATGGTTGTTCTTGATCCGTCTCGAATTGCTGCTCAAATTATCTCGGGCATTAGTTTCCTTGGTGCTGGCCTAATTATTACACGTCAGAGAGCGATTCGCGGGTTAACTACGGCTGCTTCAGTGTGGTCAGCAGCTGCGATTGGCATGGCTGCTGGTTGTGGACTTTGGGTTTTGTCATTGGCTGTTACTGGTCTTCACTTTATCATTTTACTTGGCTTTTTGCCTTTAGAAAAACGGCTTCCAGTGTTTGATAAAAACTCACCATTTTACTTAAAAACTGATCCAAGGAAAGACAATGAGGGCAGCAATGACGAGAGTGACGAAGACGCTCAGTCTCTTTAAATAAGTTTTGTGTATACAGAATACGATTTTTAACAATGCCATTTTACTGAATCGTTGTTGGATAATCACACCTCACTTTCATAAAAATCCCATGAATAGTGCGCATTTGAGAATATGTCTCTAAGAAACTTTTAATAGAAAAATAAAACAAAAATTTAATTTTTCCAAAGGAATATTTTCGCTCTGTCAGCATCTCAATAGGATAAAAAGATGTTTTTTCAACGGATTTTTAATCAACAAGCCTCTCAAACTTCTGAACTCGATGGTTTAGAACATCACTAAAATAAAGACTTCCTTCTGAATCAGACGATAAACTAAAGGGACGCCTAAATTGATTCCGATCTTTTCCGTGAGGGCCATTTAGTCGGTTGAGATCATCTCCAGAGTCATTACCACCAGCCCCTACTCGTCCTTCTTTTGCACCTTTCTTCCACTTCATCACACGATTATTACCTCGATCAGAAACATAAACAGATTGTTCATCATCAACGAATATGTAAGTGGGACAGTTCAGTTGATTAAGTCTGTTTCCTTGTCCATTTCCACCAGCTACTAACTTGCCTTGCTGATCACCAATTCTCCATCGTCTCACTTCATGTTTCTTCACATCAGCAACATAAAGACATCCATATTTATATATTGCTACACAGCAGCAATCGATCCCATTGACAAGGACTTCATAATCTTGGCCAAATCATCTTATAACTCGTCGATTTGCATAATCGGCAACAATTAGTGCACAGTTTTATTCATCGCAAATAATATCCACTGGCGAACGTAGTTGAGTATTTTGACTTCTCCCTAGTAGAACTTTCTCCTGTTTCGCGCCACATTCTCATCTAACAATTCGATGATTGCCAAAATCTGCAATGAAAATATTCTTATTAGCATCAGTATAAATCCCATCGGGTTGTGATAACTGATCTAATCGCTCTTCTTTTTCGTTTCTTCCAGCAACTGTAACTGCACGCTGTTTCCATTTGCCACATTTTAATCCTGAAAATAAACGAATTTAATTGGCAGTTAAAGTACGTTGGGATTTTGATGAACTGACTTCTTGGCAAGGAACTGTTCTTTCAGATAATTTAATTTCGTTCGTTTCCTGGAAACTCTCATTTGTTCACTTATTGGACGTAGTTTGTTTTCAGCATCTACGACAATACGTTTCGCGTATTTGTTCGCAACGATCCTACAATCATCTGCCGTTTGTTTAATCTTCACCATTGACTTCTTTTCCCATTCGTCAATCTGTTCCATTACCAATGAATACTGCGGACTTTGTTTTCGTTCATCAATTGTTTGTTGGAATTGATTTTACTTGTCGATAATCCCAACTAACTTTCCATTTAACATTTCCCGATGCTCACCCAGATGTTCAAAACAGAATCTGTTTGTACATCTATCACAATTATATGTAATATTTTCTTTGTTACATGTTACACAACGCGTTTTAATGTTTATTGCCGCTATGTTACAGAAGATGTGAAAGAAAAACAATCGGACACGTGTGTTTTGTATTCTAATTTCATAAGTCGATAAAAACAATCAGTATTTTCCGCCAATAAATATTTTGATAAAGAAGAACATTTCAGTGCGCGAAGCGCGGTAAATTGCTAAAAGTGCATGCAATATTTGAAATGAAAACAGCGGTAAATATACCCCTCGCACTATGAACCTTTTCTTTTCAATTGTGTTTACCACGACGATATCAACTGACTGACAGAATGGAAGAAAAATAGAAAAAAGTTACAACATCACTTGTAACTACCACCGAAGTTGTTGTTTGTCCACATATTTGAGTAGTCGTCGTGTAATACTTTCAAAAAGTATTTTTCCCTCAAGGTAGTTTTACTAGAAAAAAGACTCATTCATCTCATGCTATATATGATGGAACTTTCTGAGCAGTTTCTCGGATCTGAAATTTATTTCAAAGTAAAAATTTTTCATCAAATATCGTTTGCTTAATCGATCATCAACTCGAACTTTTGAATGCGACTATTATGATAATCAGCAACATAGAGATTCTCATCTAAATCGAATGATAACGTTGATGGGCGATCTAGTTGGTTTTCTTCAATTCCATTACCATGTCCACCGGCGATAATCGATCCCTTCTCGTCGTCTTCATACCAACGCATTATTCGATGATTGTCACAATCTACCACAAAGATACCTCCCCATTGATCAACAACTAATCCTCCAGGTGCGCTTAATTGATTAAGACCAGCTCCTCTACCGTTGCCACCAGCTACTATTTCACCTTGCTCTGCATATTTTTCCCACTTCATCACACGATTATTACCTCGATCAGAAACATAAACAGATTGTTCATCATCAACGAATATGTAAGTGGGACAGTTCAGTTGATTAAGTCTGTTTCCTTGTCCATTTCCACCAGCTACTAACTTGCCTTGCTGATCACCAATTCTCCATCGTCTCACTTCATGTTTCTTCACATCAGCAACATAAAGACATCCATATTTATCTTTGCTTACACTATAGCCATCAATATTATTAATAAGATTTTGTAAATACGATGGATCTCGATGAAAATGCTGAATTACTCGTCTGTTATTTCTATCAGCGATAATAAGTGATGAGTTAGTTTCATCGATGATCATATTTATTGAATTAGACAATTGATAACTTTCTTGTTCCGCTTCATTTTCACCTGCAATGATCTGACCTTCATTTGCATCACACTTCCACCGAACAATGCGACGATTCCCTCTATCAGCAATATACAGCGTTTTATTTTGATCAATGGCGATCGCTGAAGGCTTGAAGATCTGATTTAATGCATCGCCACATCCGTCTTTTCCAACTATAGTAATTGCATTTGGCTTCCATTTCTTGTGTTTCAATTCTAAAAATAGGAATCATCATCTTTTCGTGCTTCGAAGTTGACATACTTAAATTCGACATGACTGAAATACGCTGAATAAAAGTCGGCGAGTGATGTCGAAGGGAAATGTTCGATGAATCGAGATATTCATCGGTAATCTCTTGTAATTCGGTTTTCAAGTCATTCAAATCCATTTCGTCAAATCCATCTTCTTTGTGTTGCTTTATTTTTTCATTCAATTGACAAAATTCTTCTTTAATTTCATTCACAAATGCTTTTGTACATTGAGAAAGTCTTTGTCGACACTCTTTCGCTGTTTGTTGGATTTTTTCAATCGCTTCCGTTTCCCATCGATCAATTTGTTCAGATAATAACGCATTTTGTTTATTTTCATTCTGTTCAATAATCATTTGTTGATATTCATTATAATCATTGATAAAACCTTCTAATTCTCCGTTTAATTCTTGTCGATGTTCACCCAAATGTTCATAACAAAATCTGCTTGAACATCCATCACAATTGTACGTCACTTTCGTTTTGTGACACGTTAGGCATGCAAGTTTATCATTCGACATAGCTATGTATAAAATGGTAAACGAACCGCGAAGAAAGAAAGAAAGAAAATAAAACACCAATCAGCCAGAAATTCATGTTTCATTCATTCATTCGTTCGTTTCACAAATGCTTCTCAACACAGAGACGAGGTTTTATTCGCCTATTTCGCTAATTACGATGGTGCCTTCATCCGAATACATGTAATTATGACAGTATATTTCATTTAGTTTATCCCGTTTACCGTGTTTACGGGCAACCCTCTCATCTTATTCTTCTTCCAATTAGAAAGACAGATAAATCTACGCCGTTTCTTTTTTGTAACAAGCAAAATATTTGAATTACCTTGTTATTAATCATTGCTTCATATGAGACAATCAAGGAATAATAGGGCGTAACAATATACTTGTTTTTTTCGTTTCGATTTTCAAGCTTTATCAAATGTGCGAACGAAAAAACGAGCTTTTACATCTATTTTCTCTTTAACAGTGATGTATTTCTAAATATATCCAACATGAATATCAAAACGAACAGACGATAAACATATCGACCATAGCTTTTAAACTCTTCGTTCGTTATATACCTTTCTGGTGTCTTAGTTTTCCCCGCATGTGGGAGTCTCGTAGAGTATTTCTCTGATCAAGTGCTTTCGATAACTTCTCTCATACAGGACATACGAAATTGATAGTATGTACATTAGTACTGAGTACACAGTAAAGTCATCCTTATTTTACCCAAAACCAATTACACTGTTGTAATGAAACGTATCTAATCATCGTGACGTACTATGCATGATATCACAGGACTGGTTTATCCCTATAATAATGATATAGAATCGTGAGGAATCATCATTACACCATATTGGCGTGTATTTGCGTAAGATGGAGAAATCTATTTGAAATCGAAATCAATAGATGGAGCTGAGAATTTTCCTTCCTATTGGCTATTCGAGAAAAGTCTTCACAGGCGTGGTATATTTTGCCCGTTATTATTTTCGTCGATGAAAATGTTCTGATTATCTTTTATTTGTATGTGTGCGTTTTGAAATATTTTTGAATAGGAAGCTATGGTTCAATGTTCGTGGTGTGGACAAGAACTTTACTATAATGATTTTACCTATTGTAAATTAGAAGATGACGAAAAACATTCACTATGCTCGTCATGTCATTTGTCTGGTCATGCTTGTCAATCTTCTTGTCCGACATGCTGGCATGATTTTGCACAATTCCTGATCTCACGTGATTCATTATGTGCTGGCTGTACAAAACCATTGGATAAAGGCAGAAATTTCGATACAAAAGGTCATCCATTGTGTATCCAATGTCAAAATTGTATCCTTTGCTCATTTCGTGAACAAACTAAAAAAGACTTTTTTACTTTATCGTACCGTGAACACGAACCTCGCATACAAAATATTCTTTATCTTATGCAAATGTGTGTTCAACGCATAGAAATTGAACGTGAGCCGTGTTCAATTTGTATTGAACCTTTATATAATAATGATCTTAATCCCGTGAAAACTCTCGATCAATGTCAACATCGATTTCATTCGAAATGCATAGAAAAATGGTTCAAAGAAAAACCATGTTGTCCTTGCTGCCGGCATGTCTATCAAGACCACGATGAACCTAGTAAATCTTTTCGTTCAATCACTGATATTTCTATTTGAGATATTTTAGAATATAAGCGAACACGACGAGACCATTTCTTCGTTTCCCCTGCACTTCAACTAAATCGGCTCGAAAGAAATACATTAATGGATATTTATTAATCAAGCTTATCTATTTTTGGTATCTTCTGTGATATTTCATCGTTTTCCCCTTTTATTGTATATGACTTACGTAGCGTTATATTGCTTTCCTATTTTTTCTTCTTGTGTGTCTTCGTCTTTCTCTACTTCTTCGGTTTTCAAATATATCAAAGATTCGTATCTAATTATCGATGGTATTAATATTTTTTATTTTTAGATGGCGAGTGTCTTATCTACCAACTGCTCATGGTGTGAGCAACCGCTAATCGGATACCAACAAACGAAAATTTGTGAAGTACATAGTCTCTGCAATAAGTGCTCATTTAAAAACTGCCCCTGCCAATCTCAGTGTCCTTGTTGTTGGTATAATAATGGAACTGAATGCATAAGCAAATGTAATATATGTCCCGGTGAGTTATTGCATCTGATTAACAACTGTAAATCTAATTGATCGGTTTAGGCTGCGGTATGCCGCTGGCTACCGATGATAATTCACGTTTATGCGGTTATCAACATAAACTTTGCTCGAAATGTCCATCTGGCAATTGTAATTTATGTAAATTTGTTCAGTTACGTTCTATGGCTCATAGTAACTTCGAAAGCTTACCAGCCGATTGGCATCCGATTTTGAACGCATGCTTTATGTTGGAACAAAAGTTTGAAGAATTACAACGAATGAGTTCGGACCATTGGGGACAACCGTCGGCTGGTGTGACAACCGATGGTAATGTAAATTCTGCTGCACCGCAGACGAACGCGGCAACAGATCCTTGTGTCATATGTATGGAAGATCGTAATTCGACCAGTGTACTTTTACCTATTTGCCAACATACATTCCATCGAGCTTGTATTGAACAATGGTTTCAGTTGAGTGGTAAGCAAACGTGTCCAACATGTGGGTATCTTTATGGCATAAGTAAAGGTATGATGAATGGATGACATTTTGATTCAGTGTAATTTTCTTGTTTTATATTCAGGCCCTCAGCCTGCTCTAGGTGAGATGAGAGTCAATTACTTGCCAACACCTTTGCCCGGATTTACAAATGAACAGTATGGCATAGGTGAAGCACCAACAATTGAAATAACGTATACGATACCATCTGGCATTCAAGGCCCATTAAATCCTCATCCTGGCCAGCCATTCACTGGAACAAATCGCAAAGCTTATCTACCCAATACTCAAGAAGGAAAATATGTGTTAGAATTATTGCGACGAGCTTTCAACGATCAACATGTATTTACTATCGGTAAATCAGTAACAACAGGAGCCGATAACGTTGTCATTTGGAACGATATTCATCACAAGACAAATATTCTTGGTGGACCGGAAGGGTATACATATAATTAAAGAAAAAACAAAGAGAACATATTTCTCTCTAATTTGTGTTTTAGTTTTGGCTACCCTGATCCTACGTATCTCTTGCGAGTCCGTCAAGAACTTGCAGAAAAAGGTTATAAATAGTGACGAGAAAATGAAGTTCCTATTTTCATAAAAGTTTTACGCTCTTTTACTCGTTGGAATCATCTTAGCACAGAATGCTATTTTTTTCAGATAAAATATTTAAAATAACTAATCAACAATGGCTGCATCCTATTGGAAAAGTTCACAATTTGAACAGTGGTTATTCGATCGTCAAGAATTAACGTCTGCTCGTCTTCGTGATATTTCCTCTTGGCCATCGACGAACAATTCAACCCCAATAACTGAAGATGATTACTTGAAAATCTTGATCTTCTATTCCAACATTATTCAACATATTGGTGAACAGAATAAAGTTCGTCAACAAGTTATTGCCACAGCTATTGTTTATATGAAACGATTTTATGCTCGATATCCTTTGAAAAGTATCGATCCGTGGTTGCTTTGTCCAACCTGTTTATTTCTTGCTGCTAAAGTAGAAGAATTTTCGACTTTGAATCATCAGAGAGTGATTACTGCTGCTACAATGACTTACAAAAAATACGTACATCTACTTGGTAAGACTTTCGTCGACGAGAATCGTTGTACTATCCTATAAACATTTGTTCTTTAGGTACACACGGTGACTATCCATATGTTATTAAACATGTCCTTGAATGTGAATTCTATTTACTGGAAATAATGGATTGCTGTTTAGTTGTTTATCATCCGTATCGTTCATTGGACATGTATACACGTGAATTTCAAATCGATCCTTCGTTATTTGATTCTGCTTGGCGTATTATCAATGATTCGTTGAAAACAGATGCACCTCTTCTTTATCCTCCCTATGAAACTGCTCTCGCTTGTCTTTTACTCGCTGCAACATATTGTGATAAAATAGCGATGCTAAAACAGTATATGATCGATGCTCAAATTGATCTCGAACGAATTTATGAAGTTGTGAAAATGTTACTGAAGCACTATGAACTGATGACGACTTATGATGCCGATCTGCCAAATCATGATGGTAGACAAATGAAAGAACTTTTCGCTAAGGTTCCCAAACCGAAATCAACACCATCAGTACGTCCATCGTCTCAACCCAATGAACAACAATTACAAGTGATTCTTGAATAGGAGAATCGTCTTAGTTCATGTATCGAAGTAATTGATTATATTGGAAACATTTAGTTCAGATATATCCTTGTTTCTTTTTTTTTATTTTAATTGAAATTTATTTTTCTTCGGTTTTGTTTTCTTTCAAATATAAATTCATATTCATACATAAAAAATCTATTCTGAATTAAATCAATTAGTTTGGAACTTCAGATGCTTGTCAACACATTGAAATGTAGTTTGTAAAGATAGCGAGGATAATAATAATGATTTACAAGTGTTGAAATGCTTATGAAGGTCACTAATATAATATGAACAGATCAGTGGTACACAAGATCAGCTATTTTCGCATTGATTGCTTTTTCTTGATCACAATACTTGATTTAACCCCAATAAAACAATCGTCTACCTATTACAGGAGATCTTTGTATCAATTCAACTTTCTACCGAGTTCTATTATAATTCGACGACACGAGAAATCCTGTAGGATTCTTTAGCGCAATGAAATTTCATTTTCTCGTAGGCTATTTCTACAAGAAAGTGAACACTAATTCTAATGTGTGAAGAACAGGAGAGCCAAAACTGGATGAGAAAACTCTTCGTTATCAAGATATCACAACGAATGGAAAACACCTTAATGATCAAGAGGAAGAGGTTTCGTTGTGTTTCTGTCTTTTGATTGATTGATTTCTCACGTGTGACTGACGAGAGAAGCGGGTAAAGAATAGTAAACCAGCTCCGATGTTTTAGACCGAGTTTTGGACTCAGACGTTTGCCATGCAGTTGGCGACAGCAATGAAAATCGAAGAAGAAGCAAGTCGACAATTGTGACGATTATATCGGTTATTGCATTCTGTACGCCCTATATGTCTTTAATATCTCATACACCTGCATCCTCCACCATATGCTATTACTGATCCTTTTAGCCAGTTGATGTACTTTGCACTTCGATCAGGGGATCGGATGTATATGAAACTGCATATTCGAAACGCTATATATAGTGTGAAGAATATGCAGCAAAGTAGCTTGTGTGTTTCCTCATTGATGAAATGAAGCATTATACGAACAAATGTTTTTGGTGGTATAATGCTTTATTTCATAAATGAGGAAACGCACAAGCTATTCTACTGCATATTCCCAGATCAATCAACTCCATACCCGGATCTGATCGGATTCAATATAGGATTTTATTGGATCCTACAGGAATTCGGCGGATCCGATGAGATACTGGTGACGGAATCGCACCGGATTCCGATGCTCTCGGATCCGAAACACGGATTTTCTAGGGGTCATCATAGACTATAGCTAAAAATATCGCTTATAAAATTTGCAATAACCGACTGAATTTTTTCCAGTCAGATTCCAATGCAATTCCGTTTCCAGGAATCCGATCGGGTCCAGCATCGGATTTGTTTACTCGGGTTCTTCGCCCTATATATAGCGTTTCGAATATGCAGTAGCACATCCATCTAATTAGCTGATCCGATGACCTGATCGAAAAGCAAAGTGCATCAGATGGGTAAAAGGATCAGCAGCAACATATGGTGGAGGATGCAGGTGTATGCGATATTAAGGACATATAGGAGCGTATAGAGTGTAATAATAGATATAATCGTCATAGCAATTATTTCTTCATGTTTTATAAACTGAGAGTCGACAAACGTTCATTTTTGTCTGGTGAAAACATCTACGTATGTTAGTCACCAGTATACGTGTATGCGTGTATCTGTACCACGTCAATGATAAAAAGCTGAGAGATGAAGTATGGTAGGTCTGATATACCAAAATCAGCGTTCTTGCACACAATGAAGTCTAAACTGTCCTTATTAAGTAGCGATCAGAAAAGAGCTATAGATGTTTCAGAGACAAATTGCTGTCCAGTTTGCACGGGTACTCGAGTTAATCGTGCTAAGAGTTCAGGGTGTAGCAAGAAAGTTAAGAAAAGAACGCAAGAATGATTAAGTTGTTCTTTGATCTTGTTTTAAATATAGAGATTAAAGGCCTGCGCAATTTCTAAAAAGTTCGATGTCGTTAGTGTCGCCGTTAATATTATCACCAATTCCATCTTAGTAGGCAGGAATGAGTAATTATTCGATCTCCTTAAAGATAAAGCACATTGAGCACAATAAAAAACTTGACATTGAGTTAAGAAATATGGTTGTTTTTCTTTCATAAAAACGCGAATTTCACTTGTTGACTTAGTATTAAATCTTTCGGTCTCCTTGACCCGTTATCGTTTGGTAGATGCATCAAACATGATCTACTTTACCCATAGTTGCTTTCTTTTAAGCTAGAAATTACAGATAAAATAGTTTTATTCTTCCTCATAAACGAACCGTTTTATGAAGTAAGATCGCAGACCCATCCAATGATTATTATTTCAGTTTTCGACTGGAAGCAGACGACATATATAAATAGCTTTTTTGTTATAAATGAAAGTCTTTCTATGAAGTATTTGACTGTCAATGATTTATATATGGAACCCTACGGTGGAATTGGACGAATAATTTCTCTTTATAATGTCAAAACGAAAACTGCTTACTTTTTATGATATTTGTTGATAATGCTATAGATAAAGCGATACTTCGTATTATTAAATACTAAAAAGGTAGTTCAAAACTCATATTATCATTTCTTGACGAAGATGTTTATTCTTTTCATTTCATGTAGGTATATCTAGGAAAAACCAGATGGACGAAATTGCAGTTCCATTGCTGGTTCCCTTTTCTGAAGGAAAAGGTTATAGCCGCGTTAAAAATTTTTTTGTTTGTCCAAGCCAATCAGAAATGAAGATTTCTTAAATCATCGAAATTTATCCTTATCAACTAGAGATGCGACTAATAGATGAATAATCGAGGTCTGGGATCTCGAATTCGATGTTAGTTTTTCGATATTTCAAATAGCTAATTACTTATTGGGCAATGAAAGCTTTCCGGCTGTTAAGTAAGGATTGACCGAAGGATAGTCGGAATCGGAGAAATTGAATCCGTTGTCAGCTTTTTCTTACTCACTATAATCCGTTTTCTTCCTTTCTCTTTCTAAAACAGATACTTTCCCGTATCTTTTCTAAAATCTTGCATAGAAGGTAGTGGATAAAACCCTATTTCTGGATATGACGTGTGCGAAGATAGTACTTTAGGCCCTTGCACGAAAAGATTTAGCATATCTTACATTATCCTATTTGCTTCATGAACTAGGATACATGATGTCTCTCGATAGAATTTTACGGGACATAGGTCTCCAAAAGGTATAATCGTCAGTGTAATTGTGTGTTATTAACTATAGAGACAACGGCTAGCCGTCAGTGACCGACCGGAGATAGGCCAATGAGAGACTAGGCGTTAGCATACCCGATTAACTTTACAGTATACATTTGGAACAACCTTATTATATTTGACGAAAGATTTATGAAAGGGACTTCATGAATGTTCCTTCATGAAAATATTCAAAAGAGTATCATTTTCGTGAAAGTATAGAAAAGAATCAATTGTTAGCTAAAACGCACAGGCTAATATGCGAGCTTAGTAAGTCGACGATTATACATCGTACTTTTGTCGGTAACTAAGTAAAGTATCCCGAAAAACCTTCATGTGTATAATGTGAAATTAGAAAAACAGAGTATAAAGATCAATGTGTAGCTTTGAGTGAGTGGCCGGACGGAGGCCAACGAATGACTAACCATTAGGCGGTGCGATTTTTAGTAAATATAGCTAGTACTTGAAAACACTATTCACTGCCAAATGGGTAATTAATTCAGTTCATGAAAAAAAAAGAATCTTTGTCTTGTATTGATTCTCCTGTGAGACACAATGCCATGGTCTAGCGGAGATCTAGTAATAACCATAGTGCCGTATTTGTTTTTCAATGTGTCTGAGTATGTTCAGCTGTTGAAAAATTCTTTCAGAAAAGGGTGGGCGAATCCATAGAATGAGCGTTACTTGTTTGTTACAGCATACTAGATTTTTGAAGTGAAAAAATCGAAAACAGTTCTTTAAGAAAATAGTTCAGACTCTATGAATCGACGAACTATAATTTTTCAGTAATTCATGTAATGCATAACGTGCATTGAAATACATGAACTTCTTATGCATTTATAATTACTTCTGTGCATCTAAAATGAAGAAAGTATTTGTACGAAAAACCAATAAGTAATTAGTCTTTGTTGTCATTTTTGATATTCGGCTACAATAAAAAGAATATGGATGAACATCACCTAGTAGGGATGTCGGGATCGTATAATTCCAATTCAACTACACAGCTGCGCGCAATCGAATCTGCAATTCCATTTATTCGGCAAGCAATTGATGTCTTAGATCTTACTTCTTCGTCTCAACCAATTATCATTGCAGATTTTGGTTCTGCACACGGTTTAAACTCGTTTTATAACATGAAATTTATTGCTGATTATATCAAAGAAACGAAAAATTTCGAAGGATCATTTTTAGTGGTTCATAATGATTTACCAACGAATGACTGGAGTTCTTTATTCAAGATCGTAAACCAAGACACGATGTACTTTGGCTTGGCTAATGGTCGATCGTTTTATTCACAATGTCTTCCATCAAATTCGATTACAGTTGCTTCTTCATCGACTTCAATCCATTGGCTCTCACAAAAACCATGCAACATTAGAAACCAATGTTTTCAGATATCTCGAGAAGGAGAAGAATTTGAACTATTCAAACGTCAAGCTCGACGTGATTATGATGACTTTTTGGCGAATCGTTCTCGCGAATTGATTTCCGGTGGAATATTACTTCTAACAATCCTCTCTTATGGCTTTCAAGGGACACAACTGATGCAGCGTACGTAACGAAGAATATTAAATTATATTTTTGACGGAATTGCGATTGATATTTCAGATGGATTAGGTTTTCTATATGAATGTGCGAAACTGCTTCCCTTAACAGACGAAGAATTACTCGATTATACAATACCTTTGTACCGTCGATCATATGAAGAATGTCTTGACAGAGATTTGTTCGATAAATATTCATTGAAATTAATCGAATCTAAAATGGTTTTTCTTAACTCAACGTGTTATGAACAATGGAAAAAAGATGAGATTACTCTCGAAGAATTTGCAGCGAACGAAACTGGTTTTATTCGTTGTGTTACTGAATCTGCTTTAGTTGAAGCATTGAAAAGGAATGAACGGCGTTCTAAAGAAGAGATTGATCAATTAGTAACTAGATTTTGGAAGATTTTTAATGACCAAATCAAACGAGAACCTGATCGGTTTAACTCAATTGAATACCACACACATTTAATATTGAAAAAACTCTGAGAACATCTTGTCATCCTTTTCAGCACTATATCAGAGAAAAGCTTAAATAAAGTTCTTCACGCTGCACTCTAAATAGATGCGAAAACTTCGGCCTTTGTCCGGACGTTATGTATACTGCAAAAAGTGAATCAGATAGAAGACATAACGAGTCATAGAGAAACATCAGCTCCTTCTTTAGTGATTCATGAGTCGGTCGTCCGATCAGTCTCATATTCGAACTCTAACAAGATTTTACTATTGCCATACATCATTCAAAATCCCACCTTATTCGCATTCGCTTTTGTGGAGTTATCGTATAAACGGACGAAGAGCCCTGAGCAATACTAGTAGTGCGCTCATATTTTCAGTCTGCCATACATGTATAAGTCGAAAACTCAACTCGAGTATTAAACTTTTGAGGGCGTGAGTGTTGTAGTCCACGAAGCATAGTAAAAGTGAACGGGAGTGAACGTGTTGCCGAGGTACAGAGCGCGGCGACTAGACGAAATATCGTACGGCTGGGTAGACCTCCCATAATTCCAAAACCTTTGGTTTTCGAACTTTCAATTGGCACCTTGAAAAACTTAGCAGGTTAGAGCTCGAATTCTAAACTGAAAGATTCAGAATTCGAACCCATGTCGCCTCTTTTTTAGGACTACGTCGCAGTTGCGCGTATTTGCGACCCAGTTACCGCATTTGTTCAGTTTTCAACCAATGAGGTTCGAGGTCACAGTTATCATCGTCAATATGATTCGACATACTATATTTTCAGGTGATGGGCGATGAATGACTGTTAGGAATAAATTATAGATGCCTGGGTATCATCGATGATGCATAGGTGAGTGCTTTTCATGTATTTTGAGTCATTGATAGGTTGGTGGATGCCGCGAATGAGTCATGAGCAAGTGAAAAGTGGACCATTATTGACGAGAAAAGCGAAGAATGATGGTGGATGGGTACGACTGTCGGTAAAAGCAGGATATCTCCAGCCACTTTGGGTGATATTATTTCGTTTAGTATAGACGTTTTCGTTGTAAAAATTGTGTTTTTTAGATGATTTAATAATTAAGAGTAGATGAATGATAAAGCACGAAAACTTAGGCAGTTTCATCACCAATTGTCATTGTAATAATAGGTCCAAAAGAGCTGAAATAGAAACAGGAGGTAATGCAATTATTGCGGTGCAACTGCGTCGCAATCTGGCCGCACGTGAAAACATGGGAAGGAAAGTTGTAATACTCGAATCGAGCTAACGATTCCTATACTACACACTAACACCCTCACCCATTTTCTAATTACTAAAGAAGGATTTTCGTTTTTCTTCAGATATAGTACAATGGCAAGTGAAGCTAATCCGTCTCCATCTATAATAATTCGGTCATTCCAAGCATCTGATCTAGCTCAATGTCAAGCTCTATTTTCAGCAGGACATATGTCTTATGGAAACGCCAAGATATATATCGACCACGCTATGCGGAAAGATATATCTGATATAGACAAGAATTATATGCAAGTTACGAATGGACACTGGTGGGTGGCTGTATCCACGGAGGATAATCGGATTATCGGTCAAATAGCTATACTACCATTGAAAATAGGTGATCCATCGTTCTATAAAACCATGTCTGATGATGAATGCGATCAAACTTGTGAGTTAATTCGATTGGTTGTTGCGCCTGATGCTCAAAGATTAGGAATAGGCAAGAAGTTAATTTCAACATTGTTCGAGTTCGCGCGTGAAAGAGGATTCAATCAAGTACATCTGACTACATTAACAAGTATGGATAAAGCCTGCGCGTTCTATGAGAGGAACGGCTTTGTCAAAGGCCATATTGAGAAATATTCACGGAATGATGTTAAAGTTGATTCATCAGAATGCGTGATTCTTGACCCGAATGCTACAATACCGGAAGAAGACCAGCGACAGATGAAAATGCAATTGGACAAAGCGGCATTTTTGTATGTTCAACATTATTTTCGAAAGCTTTAAGTCAATTTCAAGATGTCTTTATTTTCTTCAACTGCAAGAGTTATAGAAAATTAATACTTTCACTGCTAATAATCGACACATGCTATGATTTTCCTCTAATTATGTTTTGATCAATACATAAAACGATGATTTATCCATGTTGAAAACAGTTTATTTAACGATGAAAATTGAAGCTACACATATGGCATGCGCCTGTTCTCCTGTGAAATGAAATATATTTGTGCATTCACAAATGATTTTCATACAGTCGAACACGCTTAATTTGTTTACGTAATCGTTATTCGTGACCTAACTAAAGATATATTCAGTCACTCAGATGAGACATTTTCATTGACTGAAATCTATTGAACAGATACAATCTTTGTACGAACATACGATTGGAACATGGACCTTTCAATCACAGTGAGATTGCCTCAATCAAATGCGCACCGGATAACATATATGTAATACTTGAAACTTGAAATCAAATATTGAAGAAGTCAACATTTCAATTGTTCCTCACCCACACCCACACTTTTAGAAATTCACTAGAAATCCTTCTGATTAACAGTATCAAGCAGATGTAGATGACATATATAGATTCTGGCGTGACAGCTATCAAACTGATACAGTTCTTTCAGAATATAGTTCTCGTATATCACTTAATATTATTCATTCCAGATGGGTCTCAATAATCATACAGACAGATAAAAAAAAACGTTTTAGTGTTGAAAAAAGTCAATGATAACAAATTTTCAAACGTTAGTACGAAACAAATCAATTAGTTATAAAACTTCCATCTGTCGATAATAATGATCATAGATCGATCGAGAAAATATCAATTATTATTTATGTTCATTGGATGGGTTAGATCATAGTCATAGTCAGCTTATTTGCCATAGCTTCATTTTCAAAATGGCAATCATTATAGTTACGACGGTGGTGCTGACGAGTATTTTTAGTTTCTGCTCGAATGTGAAACTTTTTCGGTGAGAATACTGACGCAAAGAGAAATATATTATGACCTCTCGATCATAGTACCAGTATATTTAATTTGAAAAATAAACCCATCCAAATGATATAAGAGCGTCTTTTTTATTGAATAGCAAACATATTCGCAGATCAGATAATATAACATAACATGAGTAATGTGAGACAATGCACATAGAAAATCATTATGATTACTATGTTTTGTGTAAAATTGCCGGATAACGAAGTTTTCCAGCTGCACTTAGTATTGGTTGATCTTCTTCATCATCCGACGTGACGAGTGCTTTCACTAAATCCACTGAATCGAGTCGCAGAAAAGTACAAATTCTTGCTGCTTCCGGTGAAAGATCGGTAACACTAGAAAGAAGATATAGATTTAGAAGATAAAATTTTGATGGTTACCTTGCATACGGCCTTTTCTTCGTAAATGTTTTGTTATCAGATGTCGGATTCTTCAATGGTGATGTGACTGTACGTGTTTCTGTATCTGGAATGGGTATGCATGTGATAATGCGGAAGTCCAGTGCGTAGAACATTCGGAAATAATTTTCTTTGATGCCCAGGTCGATCATTCCGGCGACTAGATCCGTTGAAATCTGAGTCGGTTCCGGCACAATTTTCGCCGATTCCAGCAAGTTTCAACAGGTTCCTTGCCGCCGGATTCCGGCCGGAATTGCACAGGAAATATCCGATCAGTTCCTGACCGTTTCCAGCTCGAAGTTTGCAGGAAACGGTCGGGAAATGACTGGAATCTACGCTTGAACTTCCGGCCGGAATCCAGCGGCAAGAAAATGGTCGGAAAACGAACCTAACCGATCGGAACCGACCGTGCCGTAATAACTTGGGTGAATGTCTTTTTTTTGTCGTTCTCGTAGTATGATGTGATCGATTAGATAAATTGACTGAGTATTATCCGTAAAATGACCAATTGCATCAGCAACAGACCCGAAGAAGTGACGTTCGATCGAGTTACCGGCTTCGCCAGTAAGACCATGCATGGCTGGAGATGAGAATTGTTCATCTTCAACCGGTAGTGATCATCCAAGTTCGGCTAAACATGCATGAACAAGCTCGTGTAATATTTTGGTGTAGAAAAAGTATGTGATTCGAGCATATGCATCGTCATCCTTTGAAGAAATTGTACTTGCGTCAATTACTGTAGCTTTATCGATGGTAATTATATCAAAAGTTGACCATGCATCGGTAAATTTGCCCAACTCAAAATTAATATTCTGGCAAACTTTAATCAAATGCATATATATTTCAGTGATATGTCGACGACATTTTCGTAAGTCGAATAATGGATCATTCCTTAATACTGTCACGCATGTTTGGCCAAGCTTCACTGGTAAATTTGGATTTCCTATCGTCGATTCCACTAAAGATAAGGCATCGACGAATGGTTGATTAAGTAATAAATTTTTGTCAATGCGTGTTTTATCGAAGAAACCGAAGTCATGATTGTTGGTGAACGTGCCTAAAGCGTCTGTACACTATGCAAATGTCTCGTTTCATGCTGACATACTCTGTTTTGACGATTCAGCCGTATGCATTTGGATTCATAAATTGTACTTGAAGAACAATATTACAATTAGATCAACTCTTTTTCTTACCAATGATTTTCATCGCCGTTACCGGTTCGAACAATGTTATTTGCTAGTGATATTTACCCAGTGAACGTCAGGCTGACAAAATAGACATATAGATGGTGTTATGTGTTCCAGAAGCGATATACAGTGGTTCATCTTGTACACACCGCTTGAAAACGCAAAAATTCATCTGAACTTTCTACCAATCTTATGACATTTGACAACATCAAGGAAAATAAATTTTCGTCATTATAATCGAATTTTAGGCTATCATTTATGAATTTGAGTCTAGATTCTTTTTTGGTGCTAACCATTAGTTAATCCGGCGGAAACTCATTTCTCATCTTCAGACACGAGACATCGACAAGAGTTTAGTTTTCGATGTTGCTGATTTTTGCTTGATAAAAACAATATTTTCGATAACATTTGATTATCGTGACGAATATAATAAAAGTAGGTTGATTACAAGTCAAATTGAGAAACTCATTTCTTTTGCTGATGTACTTGAAAAGCGTAAAAGATGATCTATCAAGTTACACTGTATTCAAGAAAATTTTTATAGTATATCTTCTTATTGTCAAATCAAATTTCGCTCAAATTAGCGAGTATATAGTTTAATGGTCCTATTTCCTTGTAGAAATTTCATTCTGTGTACTTCAACGTTTGAAAAAGGTGCTCTCTTCATTGATGGACATGTACTGGATGTGTATGACATGTATACAAAGTTGTTCTTTGGAGAGATCACTGGGTCAGAATTAAGTCTAAGATCAACACTCTCAACTGCATTATTTGGAATAACTTGAGACATTGTCTTTGATAGTTTGGGATGTTTTTTAATGTTCTGATGTATAAATTTGCATTCAGAGCGGTTTCTATGACGTACCCAGACAGAGCTGGCCTTTTCAGGTGATTTGTTGAAAGCACAGTTGAAATCAATGCATCGTTCAATGTGATATAATTCAATAACGAATCCTTCTCGATTAGGCACAAAGTCACGGTCTGCAAATAAACTAAAGATTTGAGCTAAAAGAGCGAACAGAATATTTCAAAACAAACCACAGCTTGTAATGATAAAAACAACAGCACAGCGTCGTCAACGTCAGAAGACATAGACCACCAATGATTCCGATTAATATCCAATTTCCTATTAGATCTAAAATCGAAATTGAAATGAGAAGTTAAGGAAAACGATAGCAAACCGTGTTGTGTTATGTTGGATTCAGTCTTAGTACAATTTTCTCCAGGGCACGAACAAATATCATTCTGTGATACATAAAATTTGAAGCAATATTGTGCCGATTGAGTATTTTCACTAAATATCAGATAGTTTAATTCCTATGAGAGATTGCATCTTATATACCTATCGAAAGCCATCGCACACATGACCTGATAGCCAACTTGTGCCAGTGTTGGTGTCCACGACAAACTTTTGTAATAAATTGTTGCATCGACCTTAGTAATATTACTGGTCACCATACCAGAGAAAGACAAAGTTGAAATGTCTACAATGGTCACATTTGGACCACAATTATTTCGAGCTTTCAGCTGTGATGTAAACGTTTGTCCTACACGCAGAGTCATACATGAATATTCAAGAGGTATGCCAATAATCTCAGGTAAAGTAGGACACGATGATGCACTAATTACATGAACAAGAAATTGAACAGGTACAGAACTAAGTGGAATTGTACTCGAGGAATTGATGAAATCTTCAACCTAATAAGAAAGAAAGCTTCTAGGTTAAGACTGAATAGAGAGAACCCAGCCAACGAACCGTGACTGCAACCGCATACCAATCACTAAGATTTTTTCCATTGATAATGATTGTACAGTTAGGATAGATGATCGTATCGGGTGGTAAGGAATCAGGTGGACATACACCTCGACATTCATTGATTCCATTCGATTTATTAGCCCATCGACAACGAAGAGTATCTCCATCAGCATCAGCAACAGGAATAGTGATACTAATAGATTTATTATAAGGAATATTGATTGGTGACATAACTGTAGCAACAGGAGCACTATTGAAATATCCCGTATCAGTTCGTGGTTTCACAATAATACGTGTAGATATTGCCCAACTAGCATTAGCACTTGTTGCTAATGGACGCCACGAGGAATCTCGAAATGCTGCTGCAAAATCGTCATTAATGTCTAGATATACTGTATCCGAACGTTGTCCAGTTGTAATTCCAGCTGCTACAGAGAAGTCTGTACAACGAGGAATCACACTAATGTTCGGATAGCCAATTGCTCCGGTAGCGCAGTTGTATATACATTCGAGTACTTCAGCTGCGAGTCCCCCATATGAGGGAACATATGCATTACTTGCAATTGTGACTTGAGTGCATGGAATGTATGAATAGGTCCATGAATAAGTTTGAGTAATAACAATAGCAACAGGTGAACCAGTTGCTGATGTATTCGAGGGACGCCACGAGATTGTACCTCCAAGGAAATGATTTCCGTCACCAACACTAATTAGAGCAGAGTACAAAATAAATAGAGAGACAACGACCATTACCAATAATTCAGTCGTTCGATGCATACAAAATATTGCCAACAATCTTTATAGTCCACCGATTTCTATGATTTCAGCAGACAATGAGCTCATTTACATTTCTTTCGAGAAAGTGAAAGAACCCTATACATTTTTACATAAAAACGGATCACTTTCGAAGTGTCATTATGTGTTTCGTGTATGTCGGTACAGATATTTTCAGTCGAATATCTATACATGCAAATCATTTGAAGACCTCAATTGATTTGTTTTTTTTGCGCCATACCTATAGGCTGCTGTTCTCAAAAGAGAACAAAACGACATTACCAAGAAACTCTCAATACATTTTTATTCGAAACGAAAAATTCTATACTCTATACAACTACTACTTTGACCTTATTCGACGACGAGGTAAAAACAATTGAGACAAACATCAGTTTCATATGCTACAAAACCTAATCGGTTATGTGTCTCAGTAACATCATTGACATTTAATGCAGTCGATATCATCGGGAAACCTAATGTTGGTTAATTGAGAAAAATAGACTTTGATGATAAGAATTTATTCTTGACGAATTATATATATATAGTACAATTAATCATTATCAACAGGAAACAAAACTGTCACAGACGCAAAGTTGATAATGACGGAAAAGAACAACAACCAAAAAGTGGTAACTTGACAAAAAAAAAGAAAGAGACAAGAGAACATTCTCGAGAGGATAGGTTACATGCGATTAAGAAAGCATTGCACACGACTATCATTTAAGTACTTAATCTACAGAAATAGAAGAAAGGCACATTGAGTTGCTTATTTAGTTAATGTAGGACCAGTGCGTTGCGACGGTTTATCAGATGTTAAATTTGAATTAGTTGCACTTTGCTTTTTGTCATTTAAAGTCACAACATTGCTTGCTTTTTCTGTTAATGGTGTTCGTTTCGTTGTTTTGCGATTTTGAGCGTCAACACCACTTCCATTACCACCACCATTCTTGTTACTTTCGTTTGATGAAAGTACAGTTGGTGAGCCCAGTGATTCATCCAGAGATTTCATCAGTTTATTCGTATTGGATCCTTTTAGTTTTTTGATATGCCAAACATGCATATGTCGATCTAGACTACCACTAGCAAGAAGAAACTCTAATGAACTTCCGCATTGAGCAAGAGCCGTGCATTGGACAGCACGCGTGTGTGCACGTCGTTGAACATGAAGTTTATCTCCGTTAATTGCCGAATAAAGACGAATATCACGATTATCGAGTGGAACAGCAAGAATATCATTAGCTAATGATATCCGATTGCATGGAGAAACACATTCGAGTGAAATTAATGGTGAGCACGTTGTTGAACGTGAATCCCATATGTGAACAAAGCCATCGTCGGATGATGAAACAAGACGATCATTGCCGAGAAATAAAGCAGAATTAACAGCTTTCGTGTGTCCGTTGAATATTTGAACCGAATGAGTCAAAGTTCGACAATCCCACAGACGAAATGTTCCATCACCTAATCAAAGGAAAACAAGGCAAACAGATTAAACTTGTCAATCTAACGGCCTTGTCTTACATCGTTTTATCATCAATATTTACTTATCACTACCATCATTGTTTCTATTATTAGATGGCATATAATCAAACAAATGTAAACAAAATGTTTTGTATCGCTCGAGCGTTAACTATTTACCCTTTGCTTTTCTGCGCATGAATTCCTAACAGGAAATATTCATTAGTATCTGCGGGACATCAACAGAGATTTGATCTAATTTTTTCCCGGCATTTACTTTATTTAACATAGGAAATCCATTAAAAAAAGGCACTTTGTGCATCGCCTCGTACACTTGTTTCTCGTTAGAAATCTTTTCTCGGAAGCTTTCTTTTTAACACAAAAATAAATGACTTCTCCTTTCTCTTATGTTAATCTTATTTCGAAAATAGCACCCACCATAATAACGGAAAAAGAAAAGAGTGTTTTAACAACGTGCTCTATTTCTTACTTCGCAATACTCGATGAACTTACGCGAAGATGTAATAACAAGTGGTTTGGTCTGATGACAAGACACATAAGTTAATTCTCCATCGTGTCCATAGAGTGTTCGAAGAGATGCACCTGTCTCTACCTATATATCTCGAGATTAATGTGTGCAAGGTTTCAATAGATGAATGACAAACCTGCCACAATGTTGCGCTTCTATCCCATGAAGCCGATACAATTTGATCACGTTGAAGCCAATCTGCGCATGATAGAACATCGTCACAACGGAGCGTTGACAATGGACTACGAATGGTTTGTGCAATCACTTCCATGTCTTCATCTTCATCATCTTTATTATCATCGAGCGAGTGCCGCCATACGTGTACCTCATGATCGCCACTGGCAGTTGCAATGAAATCATGATCGAATGAACTGAACCGACAAGAATTGACACTTCCACGGTGACCCTGATATTGAAGAAGAGAACGTCCTGTTTTTCTCGACCAAATAACAGATGTCTTATCAGCAGATGCTGAACCCAAATAACGATCGTCGGTACCGCCGATCTATTTATAAAATACGAGGTTGAGATCTGAGCAAAAACAAGCTTTATCGAAATAAGAGCAAACCTGAACATCCCAAATAACATCTCGATGTTGATCTGTCGATGAAAATATCAAATCATCGGTTTGATTGCCAGTTCGGAGTACTACTCGATTTCGGATCATCGGGAAAATATTCACTGCACGAAGTTTACTTGTCGTAGTTGATGCATGTGGTTGATTGGGATGATTTAATCCACCATATCGTTCTAATTCCTTTCGTAAGGCGACATTCTCCAATAAAACGGCTTCGAATTCCTTTTCAACTTGACGTAACAACTGACGCAGACGAACTTTCGATGCTGACGGATTTTCCAATGTTGATAAACATAGATTTGTTACGCCGAGTAACGGATCAACATTACTCGTTTCAATTGATGAATTCAATGGATCTGAACTTTCACCAAGCATTGATGCACATCTAGAATAAAATAAACAAAACTAGAATTGACCAGACTGTTTCTAGATAGCACGTACTTATGGCGAATAGCAGCGAGTTTTTGTCGTCGATCTGACATTATAATAAAAACGAATGAGATTTATTTGTTTAATAAAGAATTTCTTTTTTCAACCATTCAAGCGAGAAACAACAACAACAACCGAGACAAAAGGAAAGACAGGAAACCTTGATAGTGTGATATGACGAAAAGGAAAAAAATATATCTATTGATGATTGAATCGCTCGTCAAGTCTGCCGTGTCTGGATCAATGAGCGGCGCTTTTGCATGTCTTAGGAGAGCGAGAACGATATTTTGTCCAAATTATCTATCTTTCTTCCTTTATTGATACTAGTTACAACCAGTGTTATTTCTACGTCCGAACAGCTTTTATTGTTCGTAGATGTTTTTCTCTTCAGAAAAAAAAACGACAGACTTGACAGGACGATACTTTACAGAAGAAAATATCTTTTCTTACAGGCATCGATAAGATGCACAAACACAGTCGCGTTTCCCTTTATTCGACAGGAAGAGAAAATGAGGAAAAAACAGTTTCATCTGCCCTTTCATTAGTTTCATATTCCGGAATGACAGAAGTGTTCTATAATAATGATGATCAATTATATATCATAATAATAGTAATAATAATAAACAGATTCGTTTAGATCTCCGAGATGGCAAAAACGTCAGTTTCAATCAGTGAATCTTAAGTACGATCGATAAAACAAAGAAAAACACAAGAAAAAAGCGCGAGACTTCAAATAAGCTTTGATTAGATATGTAAGCGTTAGGTTCTACAACGAGTAGCATTCGTACACATAAAACAAAATAAGAAAAAAAAACAGCCATTCACTCAATTCAATTAAAGGAAGATTATATACGATGGTGAACATAATTGTCGAATCAGATATCATCTTGAAGTTTCTTGTGAAAATGACAGACTAATGTGTGGCGACAACTACAGTCAAATCTTCTCAACGGCAGCTGTTTTCCTCTCTTCGAAGATGTCAAAACTAATGATATATTATTATAGAATGAATGACCTTTTTCAGTTGATAGCGTGCGCTATTTAATCTATTAATCAAACGCTACCTTTCGTACTTGAAGACTCTTTTCTCAGGTACAATCTTTAGTCTTCAAAAGGATGTTCGAAAGTACATGTCTTTGTACATTAATTACTATTCGTTTCTTAATGCAAATATGACAACAAGTAAATATTTCATGCGTTCTTGAGAACTTCTTAAAATTTATCGTTCATAATGAACATGTCTACAAGCTTTCAGACACTAAGAAAACGTTTGTATTGCACAAGGGTGTATGTCGGAAATGAATAGTAGCGTAAGACAAACATATGCTGAAGGACAATTGCATTGGCCAAGTCGGAAGTCGCTAGAGAAAGGTTGAATCAACATTCCAAAAAAAATCTTTCTTTCAGCTCATTTTATAAAAAAAAAAGAGCAAAATTAGCATACTAAACTTAAATATACAAACAGTAAATTTTAATATTCATCAAAATTAAGTTTGCTTATTTTAATCTATTATCAAAAAACTTCTCTTCTACTCGAATGCATTTCGTATTTCTTTTGAAAATACATTGAAAACAAAGTGATTAATCTATTCTATAATTGTGTTGAACACAAGATTGCCAACTGACATGTAATTTCAGTTCGTAATTAGATTGTTATTTGAATGTCTACATGCATCAACTTGAAATGACGTTGGTCTGTTCAGTTCGGTGACAACTGTACAAATGATTTTTGAAAAAACTTCTTTCATTCTACATGCGAGTAAAAATGTCTCAATTTTTTTTCTTCTTCAACCAATGTCGGTCAAAAAATCTCATTTTTTCTTCTTCTTCTTCTTCTTCTTTTCTCACACACGTTTGTTACTCGGCCAGTTCAACTCCGCACTCATTTTACATATACTTTTGACTTATTCTCTCGTCTTTTTTCTCTTTCTCCTGTTCAAATGGACACGCAATTTAAAGTCGAATCAAAGCGACAGAGAAAAAAAAGTGAACGCATTTAGTTTATATGCAACACATCAGGTATATCATTATTTCGCGCTCTCAAAATGTTTGGAGACATTGATTTCCTTTTTGTGTTTTCTTCCCAGAGATGAAAAGATATAATAATAGAAGGTAGGTCATTTAATGAACGGATCTCTCGTTTGTAGAATGATCATCAATATTGAGAAAAGGATTTGTCTGTTGTTTGGTTGAGCTGGTTCAGTTTATTGCGGGGAGGAGAGAAACAGAGTGAACTATATGATTTATTTGCATATTTCAATGAGTTTATGATCTCTGTATCGTTTTTTTTTTGAAAAATGGATAAACGATTGTGATCAATTATAACAATGAAGATGTAATGTAAGTCAATATCGAAATAAAAGTTCTTTTTACGTGTTGTAAAATATTGTTTTACATGTAAATCTGGCGACAGTTGCACTTTATACAAGAGTATTATTACAAACATTAGTTGAGCAAGTTATTTAATGGAATGTTATTCGAAGAATGAGAAAAAAGTTGATTTTATTTATTCAATTGTGAGATACGTTTCCCAAGCGATGCATTTGTATTCTTGTTCATGTCATTCTTTTTAGTGATTTCATCTTCTCACTTGGTGGTATTCCCAGCAGATGTATATACACATGGAAGACCTTCCGACCTTCATTCTTCTTCGCAGACTCATTAGAATTACTATTCTTTTTCTTTCTTCTTTTCTCTCTCTCTCTCTCTTTTTCGGCACACGTACCACTTATATCTTCAAGGTTTTTTTACTCTCGGTGCCAGTACACAGATGCTCTATAAAAAGCTATTAGGAGTGGGTCACCCAATTATTATCTTTTCCTATATATATGTAACGTCAAGAAAAAAAATGCTCAAGTAAGAAAAGAAGGAAAAAAGATTACATCATGAAAGGCCTTGTATTCACGCCTATGTGAGTTTCTATGTATTTCAATTCGAACTAATTTAATTCCCACTCTTTTCCTCAAGTAAAAATGTGTTAAGAAATAACTAGATTGACACGACTCTTTCTTTCAACTGGATGTATTATATAAAACAATTCGCTTTATCAGATTGTTTCGCTCCGAGGTATGTACACCGAAGATTAAAACCTCGACAATATATATGTACACAGGCCAACGAAATAACAAAGTGTGCAAGTTATCATTCTTTATCTGATTATTTGTTTGAGAACTAAATCAAGAGAAAAATATTTTCGTGTTCACTATCATATGAGCACTGACATCAACTCAATCATTTTTTGCTTAAGACGCTGAAGTTATTTCGTATGACCATCACACAAACACATACACATATGCACATTCGTTCATTTTTCTTATTTGCTTTGCCTTTTCTTTTTCGTCTTCTAGACAGACTATCGGTCACTTTCATTCTCTTCTCTTTCTCTCCATTCATTCATCTATCGTTAACGTCATAGACATTCTTCGCTGTTATTGTGATGTTCATCATCTATGCACCTTCGAAAACGAAGGAATAGGACAACGAAAGATAAGATATTCGTTGGCCAATATTGAGTTTAACAAATAGAAATTTCTTTCATAGATTCATCTGTTTCTTTTTTTCCCTGGTAGCTGTATTTGCTACTGTAGCTTAAATTGAGAATGACGTAATCGTTATAACTAACAGGTGTCTCTTTTGTTTGATTCTTTGAATCTTTCTCTCTCTCTCTTTTTTTTTCGAAGAATATTGTTCAATGATGGACATGAGTTGCTTTGTTTTTATTGCCCCAGACGGACAACGCGACTGACCGATTGTATATCGTTTTCTTTCTTCTCACCTTCGTCTAAGAGCTACATTGAACCGATTGATAAAAAGTGAGAGTAAATAAACCGAATAGGTAGAGAATCATATTACGACAAAGCGTGTTCATGATTGTAATCAATTTCTTTAACGAAAAATCTCTTTCTAGACAGCAGTTAAACATGTAAGTTGAGATTAAGATAACGAAGACTTTTTCATTCTAGATGGTCAAGTAGAATTTGTATTGTCAATGGAAAGTGAAATTCTACAAACAAACACAATGCAACAACAGCAACAAGACGAAAAGGATGATAGTGGAATTGAGCAAGACAATAGTTTTATTTATATTCGAGTCGCTGTCGAAGATTTGAACTTACAGAAAGTACTCAAATTTAATCTTGATGATACAGTCTGGAGTGCGAAACAAAAAGTTTTACAAGTTCTTGTTCGGGTAAGATTCGCTACAGAAGTTTCATGTGTTTTTTTTTATGTTCGATTTTCGTAGGAATTGATCGATGGATTAAATTTTGGATTATATTTACCGCCGAGTAACGGTCGAGCGGGAAAATTTCTCGATGAATCTCGTTGTTTGAGAGAATATCCACTGAGTGGATCTGTTAGTTATCTTGAAGTAAAATGATGAATGAAAAAGCGATGAGCGAAAATTTTAATCGAATTGTTAATTTAGTTCAAGTACAAACGACGAGTTTACAAAGCAATTCACCTTGTACAGAAAAATTTGAACTCGAAAGTAAGTCAAACGAAGAAAATGAAATCTAATTCATTGGTGTTCATCTAGGTTAGTACAAAGAAATTCATCGAATGTGTGAAAACCAATCAAGTGACCAAAGTCGCAAGATATTTAGAAAAAGGATTCGATCCAAACTTTCACATATCCAATGATGGTAAGTTAACTGAAGACTTGCAAGCGGACACCTATAAAACTGATTATGACCAAATCATTTAAAAGTCAAGGCTATACGAATCGATACAACGAACTTCACTTCCACTTTTCTATCTTATATAAGAGTTTATAATGACATGCACTTGATAAACAATGCGAGGAGAGATTGGAATAAGTGGTCACTTGTCAAGTTTTACGTCATATCAACATAGCCGAGAGACATTCGAGTTTTCTTGTCTTCAGAAACGGCATTATCATGTGCGTGTGTGGATTTACTCGAACCTCGATCAATGATAATGACACTGGTTAACGGCGGTGCTCATCTAGATTTTCGAACACGTACGGGTGGTTTTACACCACTTCATAAATCTGCTATACATTATCGAAAAGAATCGATTGTTGTAAGTAAAGCGGTATTTATTTTTACAAATCCATAGAAATTTCGTTTTCCATTCAAACTAGACACTGCTTGAATTGGGTGCTTCACCAAATGTTTATGATGAAAAAGGTCTAACTGCACTTTATCATACAGTTTTAAACAAACAATCGGAATCGATCAATGATTCAGCATATTGTTGTCAATTGTTATTACAAGATCATTCAATTGTTAATTGTCGAGATGATTATTTGTCCACTGAACTGCATCAAGCATGCCGTCTGGGTCTTGTTCAACATGTTGAACATCTACTGTTCTATCGGGCAGATATCGATGCAGTTAATGTCGCAGGAAATACGCCTTTACATATTTGTGCGGCAGGAAACCAAGTAAACATTTCGAATGATTTCGTATGTTAGAAGAAAAAAATTCTGTTTTCTTTCAGGAAGCTTGTGCTCGTGTTCTTCTTTTTCGCGGTGCGGACACAAATATTGTAAATAAGTCCAATCAAACAGCTTATGAACTGGCGCTAGTTTCTCAAAATCCTTCAGTAGCCTCGATTATTCAATCACATAAACCCGATCATGTTGTTCCATTTCGCGAAGCACCAGTAGTCAATCCTAAACGTCGATCGATTTATCTTGAAGTTGATAAACATCGAACACGTTCATCATCAACAACAACACCTTCACTATCCTTAGCTAGTCGATCACAAAGTATGCCAAAACTGAATGGTGTGAATCTTCTACGTCGAAGTAATTCACCGCCCAATGAACCCTTCTCTCAACAACATCCATCAAGTCGTAGTTCATCGCCGAAGTCCTTTAGTGTCAATAGTGATCACGGATTTGGAAGTGAATGCGCATCACATTTATCATCCAGTAAGTCACAGAAGTTTAACGGAAAATGTCATTGATTCCTATTCCGAATAAAGATTCTCCAAATGCGACGAATGGTTGTTATACGTATAAACGAAAACGTTTATACGCAGCCGCACCTGGACGAAAGTGTATGTGTATTAAATCGTATCAAGCGAACTCTCCGGGAGAATTATCTTTGAAGAAAGGAGACATCGTTGAAAGTAAGATGAACAAAATCGTCTATTCGGCAAAATAATGAATTTGATTGTCGTAGTTTTGAGCGTTGGCGAACAAGGATATTTAGAAGGACGATGCCGAGATATGGAAGGATGGTTCCCAAATAATCATGTTCAAGATATTTGTATTTTTAGTACGTATTAACGAGTTGAAGATTAAACTGAATTGTTAATTTTTCTTTCTGTTTATAGAAAATAATGAAATGACTAATGGTGATACAATTGTTATTAGTCGTGATGCGTTGTCTGCTTTGATGATCAATAATGACACATGTGCACCACGAACTGTTGTCTTACAACGTGGAAAAAAAGGTTTTGGTTTTGTTCTTCGCGGATCTCGAGGTAACTATCCAATTCAAAGAAATCTGTATGCATCAATTCATTTCGAATTTATACAGTCGCAGGAAAAATGTTTCAACCAACTCCCTCCTTTCCTGCTCTTCAATTTCTTGATAGCATCGAAAAAGGTAGTAATGCTGATAAAGCGGGATTAAAACAAAATGATTACGTTCTTGAAGTACGTTCCCTCAAATTGCTTATTCATCTCGATTTTCAACATGAAAATTTCTAGATCAATCGCATAAATGTTATTTCAACACCACATGAAGATTGCGTCAATCTGATCAAACGCGCTGGTGATACTTTAGCATTAAAAGTAGTCACCGTTCATATGCCATCGGTACTTCATTCTCATCAAGAATCCCATTATGCTGCTTCACAATCGTTACCATTCCGACGCAAAGGTAAATTGAGAAACAAAAATAATTTTCCGTTCAGAAGTAAACCTCTCTTTCAACTAGTCGTTCGTCCGAGTCTTGATAGACCTTTCGGTGGTATGTTCGCACACATTTTGTTCCTATCTCAGCATGATTCTTTTCCTTCTTTAACTTCGTCACGTGCTTTAGTCTTTTCATCATCGAATAAATCTTTTCAATCATTGCTCATGAACAAAGCAGAGCATAGTACCGTCCTAGGTATTTCCCAAATAGAGAACATTACATTTAGTTTACTACATGCATGAAACATTCTCACTAAAAAAAATATCGAAAAATACTCGCTAATGCATGCTCTAACATTTTCATGTTTCTTTTTCGTAGAAGATCTGGACCGAACGTTGGCTGAATACGAATACGGTAGTATGTCGGAAGCATATGTATCTATCGCTAAGCAAACAATGGAAAATATTCATAATGGGACGACATCCCTTCGTTTAAAGTATAGACGAATTTTGTTCTGAAGCAGCCTGTTTTGATAGATGGTACTTTTCAGGAATAAACCAATGGTTCCGGAGAGAGACTCGTCGCTTTACGATTGCTTTACTAACAATATTCAGCATCATGCTTATAACAGATTCCGTCCATTGATTCCTGCTGTAAGTGTCCCCAATTTGACATCTATGGCAAATCTTCGTTGTAACTCGAACACTTCATCCAATGAAGCTGATGAAGAATCATCGTTATCATCAATGAACAGTAATCAAATCGTCCAGCAAACAACATCAATGGAAGAGAATGGCATTGGAATTTATATGACACCATCATTATCGTTAAGTACAACGAACATGTCGACATTTAAAACAATTACAACCAATAATCCTCTACCTTCGAAACCAAGCGAAGTGAAAAGACGATCGAATAATCGAAAGCAAATCTATGCAACAATTAATATAAATAACAAAGCTATTGAGAATGAAACGTCTATTGCTCCTTCTTCAGTTCCACCACCGCCTCCACCATTTCCAGCAAATTTCGATTCGCTTAACAAAGCATCTTCGATTCAACCAAAATCGATTAAGGTTGAACCAGTTACAACAACGACGAGGCCGAATGATTTTCAGATGCAAATCGAACAGGCGAAGAATGGATTGAAGAAAGTTAATCTTGAAACATCACCAAAACAAACAAAGTCAAATGGATTAAGCAAATCAACTTATAAAAATCCTTCAAGTAATTATTCGTATTTATCTTAAACATAAATTCGTCAAAGAACACATTCGTGCTCTTGACATTTTGTTTCTCTTCTCACTTCGACACATGTTTATGTAACTTCTTTCATTGTTATGCAATTAGTCAACTCTACCTGCAATCACCATTTTCGTATAGAAGGTTATGTCATCGGAAGTTAGAATGTCGTCGTAATCATCGGTTTTAATAGGTGAAAAGAAAGGAAACAGTAATAAGAATTCTCAGTATCTAGTCAATGAACTTCTTTCGAGGTCATTCACACATTACAAAGTTTTCATCGTGTTTCACTTGTTTAGATGATTCAAATCATTACCATCCGCCGGAATTGAAAAACATTATCATCGAAGAATTACCACCAATGAATGGTTTTCCTCCTCCTCCATCGCCAACAACTCTTCGTCGTTCGACAGCACCAAAACCAGCACTCGATCCTCGATTAGATACTAACTTTTCTTCTGTTATTGCACAACGTGCAGCGGCTGCAAAAGCGCGACGTCATGAAAATTCGATTGAACTCGAATTTCATTCCAATGGTTTACCGCCCTCAACAACATTCTACAATCATTGTATTACCACCAACGGTATCTCATCACACGGTAAATAAAACAAGAATCCACTATGACATGAGTAGATTAACTGACTATTTCAGCTGTTCATCATCATCGTTATTGAATTGTTAACAACATTGATACATATATATTTGTAAGAGATACGTGTGTGCATATCATAATGGGATATATTTACTTCTTTATCGGGGTTATTTGTGTCTATAAATTGCATGACGAGTCCTAAGTAGAGATATCGATTTCTTCTGCATGGGCATACATGTTTTAGTTCTTGTCGTTTGTGTCTGAAAGTGTCGTATTAGAAAGTCATGTTCAAGTTAATCATCCTTATTTTTAACGGCGAGAACTTCTTTCTAAAATGCAAACCTAATCATTGCTCTTTTCTTTTCCTTCGAGAAGATATCGATCACAGCGTTTTTATACTAATATATGAACCAAGCTTTTCTACTGGCGCATGTTTGGGAAAATTCTGTTCATTCAAATAACATATTCTTTGCTTCTTATACTGAATAGTTAGATATTCGATTGATAATAATGTCGATTCTGATTGTTTTAGGTTCATCAAATCCACAACGATTCAGCGCGACAGCAAATCAATTGTTAGAGAATCTCAAACGTCGTGGTGGACATTTAACGCCAATTGATCCTTTAATTAAACATTATAATTAACATTTATTTGTTTGTTTGAATAAACAATTTGTGTATTTTCATTTTATGCGACTGCAACGAATTTTGTTTCATTGTATGTGTGTGCGTGTATAGTTGTTTTGATCAGTGATAATCACAGTCTAGATGGCTGTGTCCAATTTGAAAATGTCGCTCTTGTTTTTGTTTGTTTATATTTCTATATTGATCTTTGTTTGACTTTTTTCGCACTCGCATCTTGTCCAGTCACTCTACACACATTCCGTGCGTTTTCAATCGGTTGCTTAAAACACAATATAAGAAAAATGATAAACATTTGAAAGCGACGGATATGAGTATGAAATCTCATGTAAAGTAATAAACTATTCTACTGTAGACAAAGTTAAACACTGAGTTTTCGACAGCAATTCGAAACTGTCTTGTATCGAGTCTGTTTCATAGTTAAATATCACACTACATAGACAATGGATCTTAACATTACAATCTCAGTTCACACATTAGAACAGTACTCGAAAAGCATGTTTTCGTTTTCCTGCATTATTCCAGTATTCAAATATTACTGCTGAGTTTATAAGTAGGGATTAATGATTTTATTTTCATTTCAATCAATAAAAAGAGGAGAGAAGATGAAGGAGCAGCGATTGGAATAAAAGCGAAATACAAAGTGGGACAAGTATACGTATGGGTTTCTGATTTCTTCGTTTTTCTTCAATGAATAATAGGCAACATAATAAATAAGAATAAACTGAGAATTGCCCAGGAGCTATGGCTTGTTTTATCGCTAGAGCTTGTACTTGTGGTTCTAACTGTCGAAGATGATGATACTGTCGATCTAGCGGTCGACGATGAAGACGCACTCGATCCAGCTGATGAAGATGCTGTTGCTGCCGACGAGGTTGCCGATCTACCGGTCGAGGATGACGATGCCATTGCTCCACTTGTCGACGATGATACTGAAGATCCACCTGCTCCAGATGACGTTGAAGATCCTACTGCCGATGTTGATAACGAAGATGATGATGATGCCATTGCTGCAGTTGACGATGATGCTGGAGATCCACCTGCTCCAGATGACGTTGAAGATCCTACTGCCGATGTTGATAACGAAGATGATGATGATGCCATTGCTGCAGTTGATGATGATGCTGTACCTGCAGCAGTAGACGACGATGTTGTAAACGAAGCTGCATAGGTCGATTTTGTGTAAGCAGTCGCTGGATTTGTTGTGCAATTTGGCATCGCATTAGGATAGTTTCCTGGTCCAAAACAACCAGTCACGTATGGATATGTGCTCGTTGCAAAATATCCATAGTTACCAACAGAATCATGGAACATACCGTTACACACATCAAAGCCTGATGTCACTCGAACCCCACTCGATAAATATGGACCATAAATGATGTGGCCATCTTTCGCAATACCAATCACTGTCAACGTTTGATTAGAGGAAAACATCTGAACCGAGTAGTTTGCTACATTATTCAAGCATCCAATGTCTGGCCCACAGCCTGTTAAATTACCCGACGGTGGATTCACCATACATCCACTAGCAACATGATAATGTAGCTCACCGCCTCCACCTGGATGTGATAAGCATTGATCAGCGCCTTCTGCTGCGTAACTTGTTGGATTGGGGAAAAACGGATCGACCAGATTGGCACTATTCACATTGAAAATACTTACACCATCAACGGCAACACCTGCGATCACATCCATTGCTGCCATAGTCGTGTTTTTAACAAAATTGGATGTTGCTGGAACGCTCGCGTGATTTGTAATGTTACACAACAGATTGCTAACATCTCCAATACTGGTCGGTGATTGAACGGGTGAATTAACACTCACGTCAGGATTGAAGTTTACTTCGAAGTCAATGTTCAGTTCGACGATTCGTGCGGTTAGCGGTACCAAAGAGCATCGTCTTGGCAAACCATTGGACTGAACCCGAATACGAACTGTTGAGCCGTTGATGCAGGTGAGAGCCAGTTTTTGTTGATAGGTACAAACTCCATTGACCATTTGACCAGGACACGAGATGTTGCTGAGCTGTGAGCATGTGACATTGACGCCTGTTGTCATTCGAATATCAGCAACCGGTCCGTTTGTAAGTGTTCGAGCGAATTTGGCAGTTAGCTGAAGGCAGTTGTCATAGGAATTGTTTGCTACTGCCGATGCAGTTGCAACAAAACTCAAGAAAAGAACAATACGCAATAAATATAACATTCTAAAAATTGTCACTTTGTTCAGAAGTGTTATTCTGCGAATGACAGCGGATGAATAAATTTCTATCTTATATAATTTTTACAACGCCTCTGAAAAACTGTCGGAAAAAATATCTAGCGCATGAAAAAAAGATCTTTTTTTGTTTTTCACATTTTTTCAAATTTCTTTCAGTGGCCTAGACTCTGCCACTTTGTTGCATGATATAATAGAATGTCGAAAAAAAAGAAAAAGTGGCTTTTTCCCTCCTACTAGATACTACAGATGTTTGTCGCAGTATCAAAGCAACAGTGATGTTTTGGTAAGATATGCAAGACGATCAAGTATTCAATTTTGAATAACGTCAATCAACTGATAAGAAGATCTTGAAAAGAGTTTTTCTCCATTATACACTTCATCATCTTACAGTTTTCAAGCGAACATTAGTATTGCCAAGACTAATATGTTTGTACTTATTTGCTACTCACGATATTGAAAACATATCTTGAAATGTTTTGTTTGCCATCGTTAACGCTCAGTTTTTGTCGGCATTGGCATTTATATTGTTTTTTCTCTTATAACACCGTGGATAATGAAATTTTAATCTCGATAACGGAGTGAAAAGTTTACGTAGAACCAGGAGTTCGAAGTTTATTTTTAGTCGCTTGATACAAACTTTCCTCATTTCATCCAGATAAATCTTGGTCCCCAGAGCAACGATGACAAAAACTATTGTGTACAGTGTAAATAATAACAAATACGCCACGAGATGGACAGTACAAATTGATTTGCTAGGGAAAGTCCATTGCATCACGAAAAGATTAATCAATACTAACAAACTTCCATCGCATTTTTTTGTAGAGGTTTTGCTTTCGCCATGTTTGCTTTTCAAAAGTCAACACTATTTCTAATATATTCGATGTATTAAAAACCATACTTTAAAATGATTACTATTTCATAATATGTCATCTGCAGTACGCGTTTCCACGTCACTTTTTTGTATCAATTATAGTGAGCAGTGTGCGTCACCAATATGCTATGGTTTTGTTCTCTCATTTGATCGTTTCATTTTTATACATTTATTTAGTCAATATTCAAAAACGAGAATCACCACAAAAGCAGCTGAACCAGAAACAAACAAAAAGCAATAATGATCAACGTATATATGGTTAATTGCCCTCAGGTTTTCTTCAGTAAATAATAACCATCATAAAAAATACCAAGAAACCCACCATTACCGAAGAAAGATAATTCATATCGCCACTTGATGTTGTAAACGAAGCTGCATAGGTCGATTTTGTGTAAGCAGTCGCTGGATTTGTTGTGCAATTTGGCATCGCCTTCGGGTAGTTTCCCGGTCCAAAACAACCAGTCACGTATGGATATGTGCTCGTTGCAAAATATCCATAGTTACCAACAGAATCATGGAACATACCGTTACACACATCAAAGCCTGATGTCACTCGAACCCCACTCGATAAATATGGACCATAAATGATGTGGCCATCTTTCGCAATACCAATCACTGTCAACGTTTGATTAGAGGAAAACATCTGAACCGAGTAGTTTGCTACATTATTCAAGCATCCAATGTCTGGCCCACAGCCTGTTAAATTACCCGACGGTGGATTCACCATACATCCACTAGCAACATGATAATGTAGCTCACCGCCTCCACCTGGATGTGATAAGCATTGATCAGCGCCTTCTGCTGCGTAACTTGTTGGATTGGGGAAAAACGGATCGACCAGATTGGCACTATTCACATTGAAAATACTTACACCATCAACGGCAACACCTGCGATCACATCCATTGCTGCCATAGTCGTGTTTTTAACAAATTTGGATGTTGCTGGAACGCTCGCGTGATTTGTAATGTTACACAACAACTTGCTAACGTCTCCAACACTAGTCGGTGATTGAACGGGTGAATTAACACTCACGTCAGGATTGAAGTTTACTTCGAAGTCAATGTTCAGTTCGACGATTCGCACTGTTAGCGGTACCAAAGAGCATCGTCTTGGCAAACCATTAGACTGAACCCGAATACGAACTGTTGAGCCATTGATACAGGTGAGAGCCAGTTTTTGTTGATAGGTACAAACTCCATTGACCATTTGACCAGGACACGAGATGTTGCTGAGTTGTGAGCATGTAACATTGACACCTGTTGTCATTCGAATATCAGCAACCGGTCCGTTTGTAAGTGTTCGAGCGAATTTGGCAGTTAGCTGAAGACAGTTGTCATAGGAATTGTTTGCTACTGCCGATGCAGTTGCAACAAAGCTCAAGAAGAGAACAGCATAAATTAAAGTTAACATTTCCGCAGTAGCTACTTTCCTCAGAAGCGAGTGTTTCTAGAAATGAGTGGAATTTCTCAAATGATATTGTGTTTCAATCTATACTTCAAAATAACCGAGGAAAAACGAGCAAATTAGCTTTCTTTTATGTTTACGCTCTAAAAAAATAGAGAAATGTTTGACTTTGTTGCATTTTGTCTTCGAAGATCATAGAAAAGAAATATAGTATTCTCCTTCAAAATGTCACGAAGGCTCGTCACAGCTGTTGAAACAACCGTGATGTTTTCCTTAGCATCAAGCGGTAAACAAACATACACTTCTCAATTATTTAAACGTAGGACAAAAACCAGTATATGAAAGATGCTGTTTTTTCCTCTATCTCATATTTAGTTGCCCTACAATCTTCATTCAAAACCTAAGCATTCGCCTATAGCCACTTCGAAATCATCGAGCGTTTTGGCAAAGATTCAGCTATGGTGATTTTCCTGCATATTGAAGTGTTATATTAACAAAATTCAATTATTAGCTGAATATAATAGCATCATATACTATATTGTTGTACAAAATAAAAGAAGAAAGAAGATTGTCAATGATAACAGTCGACTATAAGAAAGATCCAATTGAAAAAGATTTTTCATGAAAATTCTCGTTACGTTTGAAATTCATCCGACAAAAGGAGTAGAAGAAAATTGACTGAACACACAAAAGAAAGAGATTTAAAACAACAATAAGAACAAAAAATGAAAGAAAGAAAGAAAGAAATGAGCTAGCGTTTACTATCTTCTTGAAATAGAATTATAGATGTTGCTGATGATTGTTCATCTTCGACTAGATTGAGCGGTGAACGTGGAAGATTGAGTGGAGCACTTTCGAAAAAAATAGTTTCACCATTTGATGACGGGTTCGGGGGGACAAGAGGTATCACAACATGTCGAGTTCGTGGACTAGGAATACCGAAGATGAAGATAATGCGAAATGATAAAGATCACTCTTACCAAAGCTTATCGAGAGGAATGATACAGTTATCAAAATCAAGTTCCGGTATGGACTCGGATAGAACAATTAGATCGTCTTTTTTCTTTTTCTTTTTATTGGAATTTATTGGAGGATTTCGTCGTTTTTTCTTTTTGGGTTTCCAGTCATCTTCGTCTTCGTCGTCATTGTCAAAATCTCCGGTATATTCCTGATCTTCGATTACCATCCGTCGATGGTTGTTACTTGAACTTGATGTGGAATCTAAACAATCGACATTCATCTTCGAATGTCTATCATTTTCACGATTATTCTACCTGTACATGATCCTCCGTCTTCTTGAGGATGATAGTTCACAACTTCTCCATTCTGATATTCATCTCCGTTTGATCGACTGTCATCTGATAAACCACTGATCGTTGTTACTTGGTCAACAATTCGATGTTTTGCTTGTCGAGATGATCTTCGGCCAACACCTTTGAAAATGAAAAACAAAAGTTACACTTCAATTAATCGAATTTCAAAACGACAAAAGAATCTAGTGTGAAAACACTCGTTTTCGTTCTTTCTCTCACCGAGACATTTTGCTAAATGATAAGCGAATCGTATAGCAATGATATTTGATTGACCACAGTGCGGACAAAGACATGTCTGTTTTTCGATAGCTGTTGGCTGTGTTTGTGCGAATGGCATGAGAAAAGTTTTGCTTTTAGTACCATTATTATTTATTTCAAGTTGACTATCAGGAATGCCTTTCAATGACGAATGAAGTTCGTAAACTAAATCAAGTATAAGATCATCCAATTCATTATCGATTATTGTTTGAATGATTACAGACGACTCGTCCATCGAATTCAAACAAGATGAATTTTGATCTGTAAGAAGAAAGAATTACCCATTAGTAAAGATTTTTTTCTTGCAAAATAGAGAGTGTGAGAGAAAGAAAGAGACATACACACACACATACACAAAATACACTGATGATAAATGGTTGACAAACAATGTACAAACAAAGAGACACGAAAAAAAAAACAATGTACAAGTTGTTTCTTGTTTTGAATTTTCAGTTCTGCTAAAGTATTTATTGATACGGTTGAATCGTATACACATAGTTAGGATTTTCACCCGGTTGATCATTTCGAATACAAGTTACCACCCTCACCTTAATTGAGAAATGACAGTTCAAGAAGTTAAGCGATTTTTTTGATCTTACCGAATGTCCATATGGCTCAAGACCATTGGGATTGGCTGTTGCACCAGCTGGTTTGGCAGCGATTGCTTGGCCAGTTAATGGAACTGCAGCTGCTGTGGCTTGTGGTTGAACTTGAACTGTTGTTGCAACTTGTGCTTGTGCCATGGGTCCAGATGTTTGATTAACTTGTGATTGAGCGACTTGTATACGTAAATCATCACTTAACTCACCACCCATCGTCATTGTGCGATCGTACTTCGATGCATCACGTACTTTAGTTAAAAATGTTCGTAGTGGTTCAACATAAGAGTCGAAGCCGAGTGTTAACATAGCCAAAATAATATCTTCACCATTGATGGTTTTACGTTTTTCTTGAAGACATCTATCTGATGCTTCACTGGTAACAAATGAAATGAATTCCGAAACACATCTGTTGATCAAACGAGAGAAATATTCAACAAAGTTTTACAGTGGCATGTAAACTGTAACTTACTCTTGAATTGTTTCTTTAGCATCTTTGGCAATTTTACCTTTTTCAGGCACACCTTTCTTCATGATTTTTGCCACATTGGCAATCGGTAAAAATCTGTCTTGTTCACGTAATGGTCCTGTATATCTTGGTAAATCATGTTGATCATTCCCATCATCATATGAGCTATCCAATAGATGTTGTTGTTGCGATGGCCTGCCACGTCCACGGTAACTTGACTGTTGATGATGACGACGTTGATGATCGTCATCGTCGTCATCTTCATCTTCATCAAGTTCATCATCATCCGAATAAGGTGCATCCTCTTTTGTAGGATGATAAGTTCGATCAACATTTGTTGAACCAGCTGATATTCGATGCATAGAATTGTTTTGATGGCTTGATGGTGGGGGACGTGTACCTTGAGTACGACGACGGTGAATTGGACCATCATTGGAATTGCCAGAATCGTTGTCTGAATCCATTTGAATGTTTGTTGAAGAACGATTCGAGGGAGAAGTCGACCACTGGTCACACGAAGACAGAAGAAAGAATGAATGGAGCGATTTATCAACAAATAAAGGACGAGCAAGCAATAGAGAAATGAATATTCATCTTGGATTTTGTCCTTATACAACCAATTATAGGCCTCTAAAGTGACCTCTCTTATTTTAAAATATGAATTATTACTTTAAAAAAACTCATTTAAACTATGAAAATCGGTTATATTCTTTTAATGTAGAACAAGATAATAAGTATGCGGTTTTCCCCAGAGATATAGATGTCGCTCTAAGAAGACAATAGTACCATGAATCATAGATAGCAACATTATTTCACTTTGGTGGTGGTCAGTTGCGTTGCGTTCTACGTGTACGAGATAGAAACGTGACCTACTTTTGTTTATTCTTATAAGTATATCGTATGACGTCGTTCTTTTCACAGATACAGGAGAGACGTTGAATGAAGCTCATAATTTCTTCATTTTTTGATTAAAAATGAACATTCAAATAGCAACTAATTGCACGTGATGCTACTCTTTGAAGAATGGCTTTTCGTTGGTGAACGTACTGATAATAGTTCGTCTACTTCACTCGAACGGATCAGTGGCCAAGTTGTAATTTATAATAAAAATCGAGTACGAGAAGCTACTTCGGAAAGAGCATGAAGTTTTGAGCCGAAGACGATATTAAGCGTGTACTCTCAAACAATGCACTTTCTAGGTCTGATCAACAGGCGTCATAATACAACAACTAACTACTTAGCATTGTTAACCAGTAACGAACAAGATTTGAGCATATTTCTTACGGGTTTCAATTGAATCTCGTCTCATGTGTAGCCATTCGTAAGATGTCGAAACATTTGTGCAAATTCCTTTTCACTTTGCGCGCCAAAATTACGCATGTGAGACGATTGAAACATAGTCATCACTATTAGTCACGGGTGGTACGGAGAGCATTAAAAGTTCTGAATTATATTCACAAACACATACTTGGATTGTATTTGAATTGACATGTATCAAACGTATGGGATGAGAATACTCATTAAAATCGCTAGTTACTCGTTTGAATTGATCTCAGCTGCATTCTCTTCTTTCAAGTCAAACAATCTGGCTCCAAACTGATTTGTACCAGCGTCTTCTGCACGTTTTATACAAGAAGTTTTCCAGATCGGACAAGCATACCAATCGTTCCTACTAAAACTGATTACATCGTAGCTCTATCGAAACGACAGGTTTCGAATTTGATATAATTGCCTGGATTCTGTACAATGTGGAACAGATTGACTCAACTACTTTTATTCTCGGGAAATTGAATTCATAGATAGTTCTCGAAAAAATACTTTCTCGTATTGTTTCAAAGAAAGAACGATTAAAACACTCATAACTGATGTTACGGCTTTCAACAAAGTCGTCTTCGTTCCTTGATTGTTCTTCATAACCTTGGGAATGATATGTACTGTAGAAATATAGACCAATGTTCCAGCAATAATTGGTGATAAGATCTGATTTGACCAGTTCTGTACATTAGCGTATGACTGAAACTGAACACTCGAGGCGAAAACAATTGAACTAATCATTGTTGTTAATAAGAAATAGCGCATTGCCTAAAGAATTAAACGCGTCATTTGAATATGGTTCAGTTTCGTTCAGTACCTTAGTTGGAGTCCATCCATAATTAAGAAAGATAATATAACCATAAAGCACATGAAGAATTTCGAAGCTAATTTTGATCGTCGCTTCTGTTAAGTCTTAGTGAACAAACAACGCATAAGTAATTGTTCGCTAAATAGACAAATGAACTTACCAAATATTGATTTATTCATAAAGATCAACGGAGTATTTAAATTATTTGTAAAGTTATGCAGAACGTCTATTAATAGAACTAGAAATATTAAGGTATTGGCGGACGTCATAAAATCTGTTTGTTCGTCATGGCCGTTTAAAAGAAGTGTACGTTGTGAGTGACGAAGGAACTTTTCAGTTCCAAATGAGAAAAAGACTCCCATCAGAATAAAACATCCAGCACGATTATGTTGTTGTTGACTTGTTAGTCCGGATGAATTTATAATGTCGGGTAGTAGTCGAAGAAAAATATTTGCCATGAAACCACCTGCTGTAAAACTAAGAAAAATCGGTAAGAAAAATGAACTTCGTCGAAGAACGATCATCAGTGGAATCAAGAGAAATATTATTATAATATGAGCAGTATTAAATAATAAGATCGAGTCATTCATTGTATAACTTTGTGTAGAGATTATTTATATGATGCAAGTTTATGTGAATATTCATCTTCGGCAATAGAATTGATAGAAATAATGGATGAATTCAATGCAGGAGGAGGTGAAGTGTAATTGTCTAGGATTTTCATGGCTTATAAAAGTCATTTTACCGAAAACGACCTTACCAAAGTTCATTGTTGTTCGACGAACGATTCATTTATAAACACATGACAAATTTTTCATTCTTAACGAACATCGTCAGTTATCGGGCTATTCAATGTTTGACGTGCTTATCACTATTTGTAAGATATCTTGCGAAGTTGAAGCAACCAGTTATAATATGTTTATACGACTTTCGAAGCAACGATAGTGACTGACTAAGTTCAAACCAGGTAACGAAAAAAAGGAAAAGAATGAGATCAGAGCCTTCGTGATACGGTGAGAATATGCACACTGTAGGAAGAATGGATTCTGCGACATAACAAGCGAATAATGGGATAGAAAGACAATGAGAAAAACACAATAAGAAAAAGGTAATGTCGCGTATCCGATCGGCATAGGATAGTGATGATGATGATACAACGGTGAGATTTTCATCTTTTGTAACGGTTTTTTCGTATCGAATATGTTTAAGAAAATAGTTTTTCTTCAAATCAACAAGCCCGGCTAGCTCAGTCGGTAGAGCGTGAGACTCTTAATCTCAATGTCGTGGGTTCGAGCCCCACGTTGGGCGTTATTTTTATTTTTTGTTCTTTCACATTCATTTTGAAGAAAAGATCCATTATTATGTCCATTACTTTTTTTCTTATATAAACAAAGAAAATTGTTTTTCTAAAAATCAACAAGCCCGGCTAGCTCAGTCGGTAGAGCGTGAGACTCTTAATCTCAATGTCGTGGGTTCGAGCCCCACGTTGGGCGTGATCTTTTTTTCATTCCTTCACATTTATTTCGAAGAAAAGATCCATTACGATGTCCATTATTGCCTTTTATGGCATAAACGATCAAATAACATATTCTATAACAAAGAGTAACAGCTGATCAGGAACATGTTGTAATATTGCCTCGTGTAACATATGTGTCAAATAAGCTTGGACGTGTTCGAAAAGTCGAAAACCATGAGAAAATCTTTGGTAGAACAGAAATTCTTGTTGATCTTTGTTCTTCTGTATGCGTATAAAAGCGCGCTCAGATTTGCAATCATATCATTTGCTAGAAAATTGTCCAGCATATGTGCTATATTGACAGCGACCGCAAAAGCATGGGCACGAAGAACAGTCAAAACATAACTAATTCAAAAACATACTATTTACTCCTACTCTTCTTGGTGTCATCATTTGTTTAATCGCTACTTATTTATGAGATCTCTCATCGAGATACGGATATTTCAAACAGCCTCGCATTTCAGGTACGCCACTTGTATTTCTATATGGTCATTATCTAAGACTGGCGAGGTACCTCTTGGCGATTAATAAATATCTATGTCGAACGCGTCACGTGTTGAAAAGCTGTAGATCGTACAGATATCAATGTGCTCCAAATTTCTCCGTTGAGGGTGAGGGCGGATGAACATTTTTTAATAATTGGAATCGTTACAACTCATCTAGTTGTATCTGGAATAATTGTTGGAATGGTAGCTAGAAGTGAAAAAACGAATCCGTGCGCGATTTTCTAAACTTTTCATGCTTTTGAAGGTTTTTTGCAATTTTCATGAATAAGGAAGAATATTTCTCAAAATATTTTTTTGGAATACACTCGTGTGCGAATCCGTTCAAGAAAAGGTCGAACCCGTGTCCAGAATATCTTGCATTGGTTCATCTGATTTAAGCAAAGAAAAATGTTCTGGCTGGTCGATGAAATCTTTCGGAAGAACGTATGTTATGAATCGATCAGGCTTTGATACTACTTGCCACGTCGTGAACGTTAATAAATATGAGTTTAGGAAAACGTCTATTTATTAAGAAGAGAGAAGGAAGAAACACAATAAGTATAGAGAGAACAGGAGAGATATAGATGTAAGAATATATATATAACATGCATAGAGCGATAGCTATATATACATGCGTGTGTTGGACAAAACCATAGCAGAATAGGATAAAGCCCATGATACATAGTGTTCAGATATGTGGATAATTCCACTATATCACACTACTGATTGAGAATATGAGGGTAAATGCCTTTCCTACAGCGTCATCCTCGCCCATTCCATAAAAGTAGTTTATGTTTCTTGTTTAAGATATATTATTTACTCAAAAAAACCACTCTAGTTCGGATACAAACACGCGCAATCCAGTCAATCATAGTTCGAGGGGATGCATCTAAGCTGGACATTATAAATCGTCCCATGTTATCTTCGCTTTTCCTTCAATGTAATCAATGGATCCAGGAACACCATGACGCGAAATTAATTCTCCAAGTTTATTTGCCTGATTTTCGTCGATTGACACTCCACTCAATTCAATTCTTAATTCATAAGTGAAGCTTCGTTCATTGTCCGCAATCCAATTATTTTCACATATTTCCGTAATTTCCATGTATACGTAAGCAAAAACAGCTGTTATATACTTGCCGCCTTTTTTGCCTCGGTACCTTTCCTGGAACTGTAATATAGTAGCGAATTTTTCACCTGGAGATGGACAATTCGATAATTTTCCTTCATAAGGTTTTGTAATATCCATACTCAAGTCTTCTGCTCGTACTTCTGCGATCTTTTGCTGATCGAATATCTCTTGAATTGATTTTCGAAGGTATATGTTGAAGTTGTGAATTACCAGGTTCTTTGCTGTTCCCATCCCAACGTTGTATACTTTGAAATTGCTGCGGAGTCGAATAGGTTTCGCGATGTCGTTCATTTCAAGAAACTTGGCGAACGTCCCAGGAATGGTTTGATAAACTTGATTAACCTTTGCTTGGATATTACTCTCAAAAAGTAGCGAAAAAAATGGATAACTTATCTAATTTAATCAAAGAAAAAGGTTTCGATGGTACGATAAAATCACTAGAAAAAACACATGCTGTTACTTGGTCTGATATCGATGGTGATTATTGAACGGAAGAGCATCTTCTACACAGTCACCTATATTCACATTTTCTTGAAATTCTCTTTTGTTCTTAATAAACTTACTGACTTAGTTTGTATAATCGAGAAACACCAAACGTCGATGTCTTTGCTAATAAATCTTCGATTATTGTTCTATACGGTTTTGGAAAAGAAGTCGCTAAACATCATTCTAAAAGAACCACAGAGGGTTGGTTCGACTTTTCTATCGGCTAGTAAACACTCACCAATAGAAATTCGTTTCAATTCGCACGTTGCTTTTCCGCATTTGAATTTCTTGTTTTTAACTTTATTCGACAATTTCACGTTATATCTTTTGTATTTTTCTTATAAATTGAAGGGATGTGCCATATCTCGGGATGACACAATGAGAGACATGGATCGATTAAACAACGGATTATCGATAATTCAGTTATATTAAGCGAACTATTTGACCTCTGATAGTTTATTCCATGGCACATAGGCGTAATGAATAAAAACTGATGAATATTTGTCAGCTAAGTTCTCGATTCATTAAATATTGGATCATCCTAATGGTAAAGTTGGTATAAATAACTAATGTCTTTGCCGTAAAGGAGTAAAATCTACGTGTGAATTGACGTTTCTTTTTTGTAATAAATATTTGCGAATAAAGAATCATTGTCTTCGTTTCATTAAACTATCGAATACTCATGTTTGTAGATGATGCGCCTTAATGCGGTCATCACGGCTTACGTAAAAGTATTGAATATGTTCTCATACTGTGCTGTACCTCGATTAACGATTTCCTCTATGCATCGTAGGTAAGTCAATCATCATACACAATTGCCATCTTCTTAAGTATTTTCTTTAGAAAAATGTCTTCCAACGTTAGAGACAATACATTATCTGTATGCACGTTTAACATTCTCGCACCATGTTACAAACGTTTATCATCTGAGCATGATCGTGAAAGTGCTTATGACACATTGTGGCAAGCACGGCATTTATCTATAATCAAAATTCTTCAATCGTTAGATATTAATCTGATTTGCTTACAGGAATTTTGGTTGAAAAATCCGTTATTTTCTCAATTATACAAATCTAATCTGTCGTCGAAATATTCGTTCTATACACTTCAACGTACTGGTGCACTCGATGATGGTTTAGCTATTCTTGTCGATTCGAGTCATGTCCAAGTGATGGATAAATGTGATTTTAAATTGAACGATGTTGGAAATCGTGTTGGATTATTACTTCATTTAAGATTTCGTGACAAAGATTTAATTTTGCTTAATGTTCATTTAACATTTCCTCATTACCGATTCGAACGTCGTGTCCGATTGAGACAAATCAAAAAATTTCTCGATTTATTATCTGATTATCAACAATCGAAAAATCTTCTTAATCAATGTTCGACCATCATCTGTGGAGACTTCAATTCGTCATATCATCATGATCCCGTTTATCAGTTGATAGAAAAAAATCAATTCCTCTCCTCATATCGAGTTATAAACGGATTCGAACCGAACGTCACTCATTTAACACATCGAAAAGAGCAATTGGGCGTCGATTTTATTTTTTACAAATCAAATGTTCTTCAACCGATCTCCAGTGAATTGATACCGCATGGTTGCAATCATTTAATCTGGCACGATCAAAGTGGATGGAAACTGAGCGATCATCGACCTGTTCTCACTGTATTTCAATCTATTGATACATAGACGATCTTATCTTGTATATTTTTCAAGTAATAAAGTACATAGGGATTCTTCAGATTTATGAAGCCGCTCTTTTTTGTTTTCTGTTTTGCTTTGTATCGCGCCAAATGTCTCTTTTGCTCACTTCTTCATTTTTAATTTTCTTCTCATGTCACGTAATAATAATTACCAAGCAACATCGTCAACTCCATCGACTACAAAAGACTCGTTTTCTTCTCAACAAAAAGATATTGTTTGCACTGACTGTGGTGGTATATCTCCAACGAAAGTTCAGCAATTATTATCGACACTCGAAGGTACAATACCATTCTCAACAAATGTCTTTCCGAAACCGATGAAATCTCGCCCAACTCACCGGAAAAAGTGCAATTTGACGCAGAAAAAGAAGAATTCTGCACGTAACAATAGTCAAAAAAGTTCCTTTCACCGAACTGTGAAAAAGAAAGTCGCGACAAAACAACGTCGATTAACTAAAAAACACAATCGATCATCCTTAACGTCACGAAATAACAACAGCCGAATTCGATCAAAAACATCATCTAAAAACTAGATAAACATCATGTGCTTTTCTTTAATCAATTCGTTTCGATTAACCGTAGTTTAGTTAACACAAAAAAAAACAAACAAACGCTATCGAAACTATTTTCGAAAAAAATGTCATGACTTTAAGAATAGAAAAAGCGTAAGTTTGTCGACAGTCACCAACTGACATACATCACCCTGCGTGGAATAGGTTATGAAGTATCAAAAACTACAAAATACTCTTGCCTTGATCAGTCAGAATAGAAGATGACGAACTTAGTTCAAATTGACAGACGACGAAATTTCACTCTTATATGTTCGAACAAGGACAAAAAATAGTCTCAATGAACATATACAATATTCTGTCAATCAAGCAGTAATAACCTTGGTTTCATCCTGCTTCTTACTGTCATAAGGATTCGAAAAAGAAAAGAACACATCACTCTTACTGTTCTGCAAAACTGAAGTGGAACAACGCCTTCGTGTGTACACGTGCATGACGTCGCAGACATATTTGTTGCTAAGATGACAAAATATAAACATGATTTATTATATTTTGTTTGTATTGTAATCTTTTATTTCAATAATAAGATGGATAGGAAGAAGGAAAAGGACATTGATATAGACATGACTTTGTAAGGTATCCTGTCATTGTGAACAATAAGAAAAATATTTTTCAATTAGAAATTATATGACGCAATCAATACGTATCACCTTGAGGATTTCGAACAGCTTGTGGTGCAGTTGGTTTTGGTTGATTACCATTGTAAACTGATTGCCGCGGAGCATAATTTGGTTGAGGTGCAGGATAGTTGTTGTTTTGATAAGAAGCTGGAGCTATTCTTGAAGCTTTACTTCTTGTTATGATATAAACAATAATGTATACAACACAAAGAATGCCGCACAAGGCTCCGACACTTAGTTGAACGATTTGAAAGAGAAATTTTGCTTGAGTTTCGGTATAATTTGTGAATGGACTAAGTTGTCTAAAGGTACTGAAGAAAGAGTTTCGAAAGTAATAACTAAACATCGATGTTGACGAAGCATAACTCGAACAGCTTGGTGTTAAAATACATGTCGATGGTAAAGCAATAAAAACAGCATCAAACGTTATTAATGCGATGCAAGCGACAAGCGCGACAACTGAAATAATCAATACGACGAGACCAATGGTTGGACTTGGGGCACAACAACCTAAAACAAGAAGTATTTCTTTTCTTTTCTGATGAAAGATAGAAACTTACCAACAATAAACAATGAAAGAAAATGTATAATCAAAACACAACCACACCAACCACCAGCGAAAACATTTGTAACCCAGAAATTACTTCCCACGTTGCCCAATTCAGTAATAAACATAACAGCAACACACACAACTTCGATAACACCTATGACTATCGGTAACCATCTGGGAAATACTTGCCGGAAACCAAAATCTGTTGGACTAGGCATGTTTTTTTTTCGTTAAGAAAATTCTACAAGATAGTTAACTGTGAGTTACTCTCAATATTTTTAAATAAAAATACAACTATAACGTTGCGTTATGACTTTAAAGTTCTTTCTTCTCTCGCTCTTTTTCTTCTACTCTCTTACTTTTTGATTTCAATAGAATTAAGTAAAAAGAGAAAAAGAAAGAGAATATGACGGCAATTTCTCCTTGCTTCTATGAACTAAGCAATTTAAACTGGAATAAGTAGCGAAATGAAGTTATTATATTTCACTTTTCATTGATTAGTTATTCTTTAGTCATGGAAAAAGAGAACGACTGACTCTGTTGTACTTTTATGACAAGTAGAAATTAGTAATACAAGGAGAAAAGAGACGAATCATAAATGACTGACGCAAATATGATCGGTACTTGAAACGAAGCATTCGAAATACTAATTCGTATTCATATCTTTCGTTACAAACGCTTCAGAATGACGAAGTATCTCGAACATATCTGCTTATCAAATCAGATCGATCATGCATGGAAAGAAATTTTTCTTTAAGTGGGCACTTTCACATATTGGTAGAAGCCAGTCGATGTAGAATGAAGGTGTTCGCTAATAAAATTTGTCTTATTGTTAACAACGCCCGCCGAGCGGGGAAGAATGTTGGTAGAAACCATGAAGAAAGAGATATTACTCAGGTGAAGTTTTGTCTGCGCCAATCAGTAATATTCGAATTTTTCAAAGAAATTTATTTTTAATACTTATTTATAACCTTTTGTTCTTATTTTTCTTGGAAAAAAACAGTACAATAACAAGAAAAGGCATTTTTTACACTTTTACTGTTGCCCCGATGCATTTCTTCCTTTCATTTTAATTAATGAAAACATACGTATATTGCATTCATCGAACAAAACTCTTTTTTTCTCAGTACGAACGACGTTTCGTCCGTAATAACTATAGAAATGAAAGTAAATACGTGGAACGAGAGCACAATTTATATAAAATAAGGCATGTCACATCGATTCGGAAATCGTAAATTATTCATTTTGACAATTTAACTATTTTTTGTTTGAAATGAGTGTTCAATGCCAACGAGAATATTTTCCCTTTTAAGAAAAAATTCTCTTCCGAAATAGAACTATGAATATGATAATCAGCTGTTTTTGTCCTTTATGATTACGAACTCCGTACATATACGTGCTATTCGCTAGGTTTCAATACATTTCAGAAAACACTCTCATAGTCAAAGATCTCTTTGGAGAAAAGAACACTTCGTAGTGAGAGGACTAATGGAAAAAGAAATTAAAATTACATTATCATATCAAAGCGAATGCTTCTCGACAAATAATTTCCTTGCTCCAAGGTGCTAATGACAAAAATCAGCCACGACTGACTTTCTATTACGAGGACATTGTAGAGTTTCGGAAAATCGATGAAGGTATTGCGACATTGAAGAGAATTTCTAATTGTAAAGCATGATTTTGGAAGAATTGTGGGTACTGGTAGTTTGTGTCAATGTTAAAGATTAAATTTAGATAAAATACGAGTAAATAGAAAGAATTATGATAAAAAGAAGATACGAATATATAAAATAACATCGGAATATTTATTTTTACAACAAACATGAATAAAGTATATTGCTTTTATGCATTGCATTACTTATTTGTTCTGAATTCAGTTCTTTGTAGACGTTCGTTAGCTCCGTTTGACGTTCGTATTGATCATCATAAAGTTGAAACAACGAATGATTTGATTGTTAACACACCCCGGCCGAGATTCTCTTGGAAAATTCCTGTTTCGGACGATGCATTACAACGAAATATTCACCAAGCTGCTTATCAAATTCAGCTAGAATCGATTAAATTAACTGCGATAGAGAAACCATTCCGATGGGACAGTGAGTGTATTCTTTCGTCAGCGTCGATCCATGTTCCATATACGAATAAAAATGATCTCCTACCCTCGACATATTATCGTTTTCGCATTCGAATTTGGACGACAAATTCTAATGAATCAAGTCAATGGACCGATTGGATTCAGTTTCGAACTCCGATATTTGATCTCTATCGATATATTATCAATGAAGATGATCTCAATTGGATTGGTTCAACAAAAATAAACATGAACGAATTACGAAAAGAATTTACGGTGCCAAATACAAGTCCAGTGAAATCAGCCTTTGCTTACGTATCTGGCTTGGGCTACTATGAATTTTATTTGAATGGGAATAAAGTAGATCTGAGTCGAAAGTTAGATCCTGGATGGACAACGTATGAATTACGTACTTTACTTGTTGCTTATGATATCACTTCGAATATCACGGTATTCTTTGTTTCTTTACTTTGTTCGAATTGACTTTCATTTATTTAGATTGGTACGAATGCAATTGGAATTAAATTAGGTAATGGATGGTATAGTCAAGAGCAACACGGTGAATCTGCTTACGGTAATCCAGTTTGATTGGCCGACTGAAATATATCTGTGCTTTTGTTAATTTCAGGTCCACCACGTCTTCTTTTCACCCTGTTTATAACGTTTATGAATGGTGATGAAGTGAAGGTTTTCAGTGATCAGACATGGACTGGACGAGAAGGTTCAATTAAACACGATAGTGTTTATAATGGTGAATTTTATGACAGCCGAAACGATCGTCCGAACTGGGCTCGACCAGGATTTAATGATTCGTTATCAGCATGGATCATGCCGGATTTGCTACCATCGCCAGTGAATATGTCGCTTGGTGGAATCATCATTGTGCAAGATATGCCGCCAATTCGAGCTGGAAATGATGCTTTACATTTTGAAGTGTCAACGGATGAACAACAACGAAGTTATTTGAAAGCCGAAGAGTTAGGAGATATCAAAGGTGCTCGATTAGCGGATGGTGGTGTATTAAAACCTATCAATATGTGGTCGTCTGACTCAGGTAGCTTTTTATGCTTTAGAAAGGAACTAGTTTTGAATTTCGAATGGCTTTTAGGTCTTATAATATTTGACCTCGGTCAAAATATGGCTGGATGGTGCCGAATAAAATTTCGCGGACCACCCGGTTATGGTGTTTACATTCGTCATGGAGAAACAATCACTCTCCCAGATATAGCAACTAAGTATATCTGCACACTTTGGCTCTCTCATTGAAATCAATACTCATCGCCATTGTAGTCGATCGGCTCGTAATATTTATACGGAAAATCTTCGTGCTGCCACAGCATCTGACACATATGTTCTTCGTGGTGATCCTGCTGGTGAAGTTTATGAGCCAACGTAACTTCGATTATCTATATTCTTCCGAAGCGTATCTGACTATTTTGTTTTCTTCTAGATTTACCGTTCACGGTTTTCGTTATCTGTCTGTCTTTGCTCCACCGAATGCATTGACAAAAGACGATGTGGAATGTCCGTTCGTGCATAGTGAAACAACACTGAAAGGTAGTTTTAGCACAAGTAATCCCGTCGTCAATCAAATTCAACATAATATACAGTGGGGACAATTAAGTAACATTATGTCTTTACCAACTGATTGGTTTGTTTTTCAGCTTATATTGATTTTGTTTTCGTCTTTATGAAATATTCGCTTCTATTGTAGTCCACAACGAAACGAACGCAGAGGATGGCTTGGCGATGCTGCACTGTCAGTCGATGAAGCACTATACAACTTTGATTTAATTAAATTTTATCAAAATTTCTTGAACTTAATTGTTGACGTTCAACGACCTGATGGTCAAGTGCCTAACTTTGTGCCTGGGAATTCGTATCCAGCCGATTCTAATTGGGGTACAGCACTGCCAACCATAACTTGGCAAGTATATCGTCATTACCACGATCTCCTTACTCTTGAAAGCTATTACAATAACGTTGTTCAATATGTCGAATATCTTCATAATGTTTACAATACAACAGGTCTCGTTAATTTTCCGATTCGTTACGGAGATTGGGTACCTCCACCACCCCAACCGATGACAAACAAGCATTTGATAACTTCGTTTGGCTTTCTTCACGATGTCTATCTATTGATTAATATGTCACAAGCATTGAGTAGAAAAGAAGATACAAACACGTATACAATACTTTATCAAAAACTTGCTGAAGAATTCCATCGCGTTTTCTTTAATTCGTCTATTAATTCGTACGCCGATGGTATGCAAGCAGCACAAGCACTTGCCCTAGCTCTACCAGGTGTTGTACCAGCGAACGTTCGATCAGCTGTAGTCGATAAGCTAGTTGCAGACATTCGACAAAATGAAAATCATGTAACAACGGGCATCGTATCCACAGCTCAGATCTATCCAGTTCTATCGGATAATGGATATCATGATTTGGCTCTTGAATTAATATCGTCGACAACATATCCCTCATACGGTTATATGTTCACGAATCGTTTTGAAAATGCAACAACAATTTGGGAACTTTGGAATGCGCCGTTAACAGGGCCTGGTATGAATTCTCGTAATCATATCATGTACGGTAGTGTTGGCGCATGGTTTTATTCACATTTGGCTGGTATTGACCTTTCATCGAATGTACTTACCATTCGACCTCGCATGGCTTCAGAAATAAAAAAACATCTGATGTCGAAATTAGATTGTCAATTGAGTACATTGTACGGACGTGTTCATGTCTCCTATACGCGCAATGAGCAGGATACTGCTCCAAAATCGATTCTACTTCGTGTTACTATACCACCGAACGTACAAGCTCGCGTTATGTTTGAACCATTGTTTCCTGGCGCTCAATGTCAGACTCTGACTGAAAATAAGAAAACGATTTGGTCATCCCATACGAGCATGATGAATGTACGAGAGTTCATAGTGGAAAAAGATTCATCAAATGAATTAATGGTGGTCCATGTTGGTTCGGGCCATTATGAATTTCATGCATCATGGCAATAGACTTTTGTCCTACTTTTTTCATAGGACTATATAAAATCTTTATATCTATGCAGTTCATTCTTTTCGTAGATTATTTTGTAGTTGAGAAAACATTCAGAAGAATACCCTCATCACTATGACTATATTTAGTAATCATAAAAAGATTTGATTGTCATTATATAAAATACAAAAAAACCGTTGTCTGAAGTATTAAAAAGAAACTTAAAGTATTTATTCAAGCCGTTCAAGTTCAAAGACCACTACGTTTACCTGCAGGGGGTAGTTTAGATCCATCTAATCTTTGATTCTCTTTTGGGCGATGAGGATTGAATTCTGGCGGAAAAGGATTCTTATGTGATACTGCTTTCGGTGGGTCTTGTTTGTCGTAACCCATTATACCTACAGATGAGTTTTTTGGTGTCTGTAAGCCAATTTGTGGTGCTATTCGTTGTTGTCGGGAAGAAGCACCACTTTGATTTTGGTTCCCATCAAAGTATAGCCATTCAGCAATACAAATGAGTAGTTTATGAGCATACAATTGACGTCCCCATCGAGAGGAAACAGCCTGTAAACCATAGTATGCACCAGCCAGTTGACCATAAACAGCAGCAGTTGTATCAGCATCATCTCCAAGATTAACAGCGTTCAAAACACCGGTTTCAAAATTATTACCATCGGACCAAAACGCCCAGAGTGCAGCCTCTAATGTTTGAATTATGTAATTTTTGCCCCGAATACCATCTTTATAGCCACCTGGTCGTCGAAACGATCCATTCGCTACAGCAACAACTTCAGGATGTAACCGCTGAGATTTAAACCATGGCCTGTGCTTTTCGATAAATTTTTCATCTAACAATTGATCTTTGAATTCCCCATTGACTGCCGCGACGATCAGCGCAGCAAAGTACCGACAAGCATCAACAGCCTTTTCATCTCCATGGGTGACACGAGCGCTTTCGCCCGCCAACTGAACGGCTTCTTCTGGTTGTCGATAGTAGAACAGAGGTACGGGTGCAAGACGCATTAAAGGTCCATTGCCCGCTTGTCCTGGTAAACCGCAGAATTCACTGAATTCTCTTACTTTCCTGACCTCCTCTAACGGTAAACTATCGATCCGTTCTTCCGTTATATGGGGAAAATGTTTTCTAAGAATATTTTGTCGTTGACAAAATTCTTCTATGGAAGCACGAGTAGTACTACCAATATCAAAACATTGTCCAGTTGATGAGAGAAAACCTTTCTTGTACCACCATTTGTAGCGAACCATTTGATCATATGTATTAAACCTGCGTTGTGTTAGAAGCGATGAAGCCAAGCATAGCGCCATGGAAGTATCATCTGTCCATTGTCCGGCTTGAAGACCCCACGTACCACCACCTTGTAGATCTAGGACAGGCTTTTCCACAAGATATTCATGAGGACGAAATTCCACACTAGCCCCAAGTGCATCGCCGATAGCGAGGCCAAGAAGACATCCGATAACCTTATTTTCCTTATCAGATTGTGACTGTTGCGGCGGTGATTGGCACAATATTCGATCAGGTAAGATGCGATCATCAGGACGTGGGAATGATATTCTTTGAGTCATGCTTGTAAAGCTCTACAAAAGACAATAAAACTTTTGGTTTCTGAATGTCAATTTCTGATACAGCTGAATTCTCTTTTTCAATTGCTTCGTATGACTTCATCGAAAGTTTCGAAAAGAAAGTCGTAATTTTAGCGAAGCATGTGGTCGTCTTTTATGTTGAATGAATGTCTTTTACACTTCTTTTCTTGCTGTTCTGCTTGACGACAACGTCTGCATGCATAGACACTTCCTATCTGTTATTGTTGTTGCTACTGTTCGCGACCAACTTCGGTTGCACGCTACCATAAAGAAAAGATTTAAATTGTAAGTAGGTCCATGCGCACAGGACGAACATAGTTCCTAAATAAAACTTCAACAACCAAAAAAGATTCTGTCTTCACAAATATTCCGAGAAAAAAAAACGATCGAAGAAAGAGGTTTCGTATGTGCACATAGTCGTTAAAAATAAACGTCAATTCAAACAAAATTACGATTGATCTGATGCTATATGCAGCGCTTATATAGATATCAACATTCTACTTCCAATAATGACTAATTCTAACCATTCGCATAGCCTACAATGGTGAATAACATCACCCTCCAGTACTCGATTCCCCATTGATATTGCAAAGCAAACATGACGAGATAACACAATGCTATATATATTCACTCCACATTGAAAGAAAAAAAAAACAAAAGATAACCGTTCGTAATTACACCATATCTTTAACACCTGATACATTAGTTGCAGAAGACTGTAAGAAAAGATTTCTTCACGTACTAAGTTTATTGTTGAATAAAGTAATGCATTACTTCCTGTTTCCTTTGTTACTTTTGGTAAATAAAGTATCAAGTGGATATATCAATCGTCATACCTATAATTTTACTCTTGCTTACGCTGATAATTCGACGTCGGTTTTACTCGTTAACAGTCAGTTTCCTGGTCCGACGATCCGAGTGAATGTGAACGATATCGTTATTGTGCATATCCATAATGCACTTCATACGATGGAAGAAGTAACCATTCATTTCCATGGCATGCTTCAACGACAAACGCCACAAATGGATGGTGTTGGATTCGTTTCTCAAATGCCTATTCCACGTGGACAAACATTTACTCATGTTTTTCAAGCCTATCCAGCAGGTACACATATCTACCATTCTCATGCAGGTTTACAAGCTGTAACGACATTTGGAGCATTGATTGTTGATGATCCCGAACGCCCGTGGGAAATTCCTGAAGCTCCATCTGGACCAATCGCATTTTCCGATGAATGGAAAGGCGTTGATCGTTTGATACAAGAACAGGGATTGATCGGATCGCCATTTAAATGGGAAGGTGAACCATCACATTTATTGATTAACGGTCAGAAAAGTTTCGTCTTAACTCTTGACCCTGGTAGAACGTATTTATTACGACTACTTGGTGCAACGAGTCTGTCAACTGTTGTTTTTGGTATTGCTCAACACCCGATGACTGTGGTTGAAGTTGACGGTAAATTAGTCGTACCTAAAAGGAATATGACATCAATTGAAATCGCTTCTGGGCAGCGGTATGCAGTTATGATTGAAACTAAAAATGAATATACCGGTGTTTATGCAATGCAAGCATCAATTCGATGGCGACTTGCAGCAGCCAATTCAAGGTAAATCATTCCTTTGAACATGCAATCAATCATCATATTGCTATCGATTTTAGCTGTATTGGCATTCTACGATACGGCTTACAGTCAGCCATTCCAGCAAATATTTCTTCACTTGCACTACCTTCTCTTTCCAATGAAACTGAATTACTTTTATTTTCTTTCAGTCAACGCTATCAATCGTTGCTTCCTGATGAGAAAATGCCTCCAGGAGACCAGGGTCGTCCAGATATGGAAATCATTCTAGTTGCAACACAAGAGTACACTGCAGATGGTAAAGGTATTCGTTGGCTAAGTAACAATGCTACATTTGATATGCACCGCCTACAAAACTTATCGACGCCACTTCTCATGGACTTATATCATGGAAACGAGGAAAATCTTCCGAATGACGTCATCTACACGCTAGGAAGCAATCAACTGGTCGACATTGTTATTCAAAACACAGTAGCATTGAACGGAGTGTGCGAATCACATCCAATGCATATGCATGGACATAAATTTTGGATACATTCGTATGGAACAGATTTATACGATCCAGCTCGAAACATTCTGCCGGATAGACGCGATCCAGGTTTACGAGATTCACTGATGGTGTATGCAAGTTCTTATGCATATTATATGCCGAATAGAAGTGTATCTAATCACGGAAAACCGTGTGGTTGGACAAAGCTGCGTATGATTTCTAACAATCCCGGTTTATGGATGTTTCACTGTCACATTGGTGCACATTCATTCATGGGTATGAATGTTCTTCTTAAAGAAGATATTGAACATTTGTCAATGACATACTTACAACAAAACTGAAGCAATCCTTCCCGTATTCTTATTTTTATATTTCGCTTGTCAACTGTTGAGACAATATTCTGCACAGCAACATGATTTTCACATAGTAATTCACAAATGAAATTATGTCTAAAATTAATTCGACTGTAGCCTAACTATCTGCTTTCGAAATACAATCGACCGGTGACTTTCTTCGCAATGACACATTTAGTTTATTAATAAAAACGAACTTTGTATGAATACGATACGAACTATTTATAATTTCGATTTGATACTTAAAATGTCTGATTTTTTATCTTGTTTCTGCGGCCACTGATCACCTTCGTAGACGATCCATTTACTTAAACATTCGATGAACTCTTTCGCATAGACACGTGAAGTCCATTTCGAAGGTAAATTCGAATAGCCATAATATGCGCCAGCTAGTTGTCCGTAGATGGCTGCTGTTGTATCGGTATCGTCACCGAGATTAATAGCAGCCAGAACACCCTTTTCAAATGAATTGTCATCTGATCGAAATGCCCATAGTGCAGCTCTTAAACTGTCAACAACAAAGCCCGTGCCTCGAATTCCATCATTGTATCCGTTCTGTACATGATATGATCCCTGACTTATTTCTCGAATATCAGAATGAAGTGGAACATCTCCAAACCATTTTATATGATTTTCGTAAAAATTCTTGTCTAACAATGCAGATTTCGGTTCACCGGAGAGTGCAGCTACGATAAGTGCTCCGTAATATCGGCAAGCATCAGTAGCTCTCTGATCGCCATGAGTTAGTTGATTACTAACACCGGAATATTCGACAGCTTGAACGGGATGTTTCCAGAAGAAGAGTGGCACTGGAGCCAAACGCATAAGACCTCCATTACCAGCAGCGTCATGTTTTCCACAAAAGACATCGAAATGTTGTAAAACATTTTCATCAGTTATATGATCCATATACTCATCAGGAATTTTCGTTTGTTTACGAAATTTTCGTTGTCGTTGTTCAAATAAAATTAAAGATTCTCTAGTCGAATTCCCAATGTCAAAACATTCGCCAGTCGATGACATGTATCCATTGCGATGCCACCATTTGTAACGCACCAGTTGATCATATGGTCTAAAACCATGACTAACAATCAATGAAGCAGCTAAACAAAGTGCCATCGAAGTATCATCAGTAAACTAGACGTGTACTGAACATAGATAACTTTACAATGTTCAAATAGACTACCTGTCCTTCTTGAAGTCCCCATGTTCCACCACTTGTGAAATCTGTTATCGGATTTTCAACTAGATACTCATAGGGTCTGAACTCAACCGATGCGCCTAACGCATCGCCCACAGCTGAGCCTATCATCGATCCTAAGACGCGATTGAGCACAAGGCGATCAACAGCTTGTGGAGGCTCTTTCAATACAGGCCGTAGTTCATCAGGTTTGAAAATACTTGTACGCTTGTCATCATGATATCGAGGATCAAGCCAATGTGTTCCTAGACATCGAAGTTAAGACATTATAGAGTACAGAGAAATTACCTTCACGAGCATATGAAGAAGGACGATCCTTTACCACGAGTTTCGACGCTAGAAAAATATTTAAAAATCTACTATTGGAATATTTTAACGATTCTTACATCTACATCCCATATTTTTCTTTCTTCAAATTACCTTTTTGTTGATTAATACTACGAGATATTTACGGGGGCTGCAAGGCAAAAAACTTTCTTTCGTTTTGATTGGAATGCGATGTTTATGACGAACGAATGATATTGTTTTTCTCTTTTTCATTGGCAAGATAACGTACATTCTGTTTTGGTCTCATTTACCTGACAGTCAATGACATTGAATTAAAAACGCATCCAACACCTTCTTCATGAAGAACGAACTGAGAGATGGCGCTGATTTTAAAACGATAAAAATGCAATCGCACACAAAATTTTTTGACGAACATCTCTACATATATCATACTGTACGGTTTTTTTGGCACTCAAAATAATTCAAAAATAATCTATTTGCATTAGAATTTATTCAAGTACGCAGCATATTCATTGACATACTTCTGAATTATTATGCATATCTGAATGACGTTGAACTTTTCGATTCCTCCCTTCCTTCTCGCGATAAATGCGGCCATGCGTTTTCTATTGGTAAATTGTATCGATAAAAAATGTTTCTAGTGTAGAGTATATGTGAGGTCCACATTTGAACCTCAAACCATGGAGATTTTTTCAATTTTCCACATCGAAATCAGGTCATACCACTTAGATTGATTAGCATATCTCTTCAATCGAAACATATGCGCATAACTTTCGTGACACCCTCAACGAAAATTGTTCTAAATATCTGTATGTTGACAACTTTGTGAACTTTCAGAAATCCTTCATTACGAACTATATGGAACAACTGTTCGGCAAAGAACTTGCTCAGAAAAAGACCAATGGGCAATAGAACGCTTCAATGGAGAATGGAGAACTAGCACACGTAGCTACATCATCGACTCAATATACAACGTTCACATACAGTTATTAAGTTAGTAAAGACATTAAAGGCAAAAACTGCTCGAGTTACTATTCTCCTTTTACGAACGCTAATGGCGGTCAAATAGCAGAATAATATGTCCAAATTCAACCAAATTTCTCTATGGCTCCGAGAAACCAAGTATACCAGTTTGTAGAGCAAGTTCTGTTCTATCATTTTCTATATGTTTGATGTTCCGAGAATTTAGAAAACTGGATCTTTATTAGCGAAAGTGTAGAGCCATTCACAATGGCATCTATAGAAACTTATGAGCTTGTGCTCTTTCTTGAAAAGTTATAGAGTCTGAAGCAACATAGCTCCACATAGTGTAAACAAAACTGAATAAAACTAGCCTATTTAGAGAACTTTAAGTACAGAAATATATGGAAAATAATAGTTAAGAAAGAAAAGTTTCGAAAAGTACCAGTGTAGAGTTTATGTGAAAAAGTGTGAAAAGTTGAGCTTTGGAAAGCAACGATGCTGTGACATTTTGCGAAATCTAAATCGGCGAAAATGATCGCCCCAATGAGCTCTACGGACGCTTTACTGGTTGTCGATTATACATCGTTCTTCTGTGCGCAACTTAGTAAAGTGTCCATAAAAGCTTTCATGTGTGGAATGTGAGAATAGAAAAACGCAGAAACTTCTGATTTTATCCGAGAGTTATGTGTGGTGCAAAAAGTGTATTGGATAGGACACATAACGAGTCATACAGAAATATCAACTCATTTTTAAATAGTCCATGAGTTACTTGTTCAATCAGTCTCATATTCGAACTCGCGCGACATTTTGATGCATCAATACACCAGCGAAAATTTCATCTCAATCATATTTGTCTTTCTAGCGTTGTCGTATAAACAGATAGAGGACACTGACCAATTCTAGTAATGCACTCATATTTTTGGTCTACTACAGCGGTAAGATGCTTCAAACATGTCTTCCGTAAAATTTTGTTAGTACTTTAACTATGTTGAATTAACGCTCAGTTTTACGTAAGATGGGAGCTGTTTCTGAATGGATTTGTAGGCTGCACATCATCGAGGACATCTAGAATGGTTTCCTTAGCGCCAACGAATGCGATGATGACCTGGATGAAATAAACCCAGATCCCTAACGGGTTATTATCATGCAGTTCCTAACCACATATTGTCGTTTTTCTAGGACAAAGCTAGCCAAGAGAACTTTCACCGAAGTCGTCCGCACATACTTCTATACTGATCGAACAACGGGTTTTCGACGCTTTCCCAGACCTAACAGTGCTCCACAGAAATTTGAGTGCGTTTTCTTTCACAAAGCCTCTTCGGTGAAATTATACCCAGGTGACACTTAGCTCTTTCGCATCACACTCAGCCACTTCTAACTAGTTTCTCAACACTTTATCCACGTCTCCCTACATTTCCTGAAGCAATAATGACGTTTTCTCGTCGTTTCCTATCGAAAAACCGCTTGAGTGAAATTTCACCCAGATTGCACCCAAGTGACCACCACCCACGCTCCACTGGTGTATGAACTTTCTGCCGATGTTTCCTATGCCTCAGGAAGCAGCATGAAAAATGTACTCGTGTTTTCTTTCGCAAAGTGCCCTCGGTGGAATTTCACCCAAGTAACATCCACATCACCCATGCTTGGTAGTCGGCACTCTGCATATTTCTCTAGCCCTGCAGAACCAACATGGAAACCTAGGCAGCCATGATTGGTAGAGGATGTGAATGCATAGTGAACAAGCATATAAACAAGCTATCTTACATATAAGGATCAGAGGATTTCACTGAAAATCAGCATTAGTATAGCCGATCGAGTCCATCCTCGAACTCAACTGAGGTATTGATGAGGTGATGCTGGGTAGAAAACTTCAGTTCAGCTCAGTTCAATTCTTCTATCGAAAGTTATTGTATAAATGGACGGACGGACACACAGACCGATTCTAATAGTGTACTCACTTTTTGAGCACACAAAAGCATATTTTGAAGGTCAACCGCTAATGGTGAGTGGTTGACGAACGACTAACTATTAAGTGGTGAAGCTTTTAGTAGACATGGCTAGTTGGTTCGATTCATCAAAAAGAACAATCTTTGCTTTCTATCAACTCTAGGGCGTGGCACAGTACCATAATTCAGCTGACTCGTGAGGACCAGTGGTAATCGCAGTGCTTCACCTGTATTTAAAAGCGTCTGAATGTACTCAGCACTGGGACAATTCTTTCAGAAAAGGATCAGCTAATCCATCGGATGAGCGCTATTTATATGAATAATAGTAGTCTAATAAATCTGTAAACATGTGAGTGAATGCGCTGATGGGACGGCGCTTTCATTCATTTCTTCTTCTCAAAAGTCGCAGCGCATTTTTAAAATTTCCGCGTGTACTATTTTGCTCGGAAGCACTTACAGATAATTTCCCTCGAACTTTAACTGGAGTAAGCTACAATTAGTAGCACGTATTACAATTGCAGTCAAGCAAAAAAAGATTCTGAGAGAATTAAAAATTTGTACTTTTACTGGGAATCGCATCTCCAAGTTAGACAGAGCGCTGATATAACGTTACCGGAGTGAATGAGGAAAAATAAAAAGAAATGTTGAAAAGAGAGAAAGCGAAAAGAATAAAGAAGATGAAGAATCGAAGTACACTGGAAATTGCGCCGCATTTATATAAAACCTGCGTCTGTGCATCTCTCCGACGAACAAAAAAATAGGAAAGATCATATAAAACACATCGAAGAAGATGCAAATAGCATGCGCACAATACATGTAACCGAGATCGTCAAAACAAAGCTTCTCAAAACTAGGAGAAAAGCGTCTAAAGCCTAGAGAGAAACTAATCTTTAAATAAATTTTATTTTTCGTTTTTTCCTTCTCTCTCAAGAGTAATATATTTTTTGAGAGAGAAGGCAAGAGTACAAGAGTAATTTTCAGTGGGAATATCCCACACCTTCCCCTCTGGTGACACACATTGTTGGTATCTACCAAGTCATGACTCAGTTTGTTTCATAATGGGTTGCATGAAGAGAGTTGCGTATATAAGAGAATATCTTATACTTAGTTTCGTATCAATTTCAAATTTATATAACTTGCTTTTATTAAGCTCAATTCATTATGGCAATGGCCTCCAGAGCTGAAAAAATTCTTGTTAAGGGCATCTCAGCCGTTATTCTTGAACATTACGATCAGTTTCAAATGGCTCTTGACCGAATGGAAAAGTATCATAGTTTTTCAAATGACTTCCAAGTTATGTCATTCAGTAAAGTAGACAAAATGGCTCTAGACAACATTGTTGATATGTTTGAGGATGAAGATGCTAAAAAGTTAATTCAGTCTCAAATTAACATTCTTAAAATGCAAAAAAAAGGTGGTGAAGCAAATGTTTTCCGCGGTTCATCGAAGCCTGCTTCTAAAAGATTCTACAAGTATATGTTTATTGCCAGAGTCAACTATGATGATTCAGTCGACTTCAACTTATGTAGCATGGAGAAACAAGGCAACTGGGATGTCACAAAGACGCTTTTCGAGTTTTATAGCGAAGTTGGAGAGTCACTTTTTAGTTTTTTAACAGGTGCTGCGATTGTCGGTGGAGTGGCAGACTTTATTCAAACTTGGGTCGCAGCTCTTGGATTAGGGATAAAGAAAATACAGGCCCTTGAACACGGTGAATTTATTACTGAATTTGATATGACTAAGCGACTTATCGATGGCAATTACTGTGAATTCGACAAAGAGAAGAAACAATTGTTTCTGAAAAGTTAACTTAATTGTATGGCATACATTTATCTTGCCCAACTAAAGAGTATTCTAACTTTCTTTCGAAGGCGTAGATTACCATAACAATACACCGTTTTTTATTTTCAAACTTTTACTGTCATCAAATATTCCAGATAACGCGAAATAAATTGTATAAAAAACCAGAATGATCTTTGCATTCATATTAGTATGTTCCCTGTATTAAAGGATTAATTTCATTTTGTAGTGAATGAACTAATTGATACAGATGATTTACAATTTATGAAGTTCGCATTGGATTACTCGTTTTTATAGTGTGTTCGCTGACAAGGGGTGAGTGCAGATCGGATACTCTTAGCACCTGAGCACCCAACTAGCATCTCAGCATTCAACCGACCCGTAACGCTGTTTTTGGGTTCTGGTTGCATGCACCCGCCCCCATGAATCTAGTACTCTGATGATATTTCCAACAACTAAAATTTGAAAAAATCTAAGATAAGATATTATCAAAGTATCAAAAAGTAAAACGGCTTAAACTCTAAAAAAAACGTGTTCGAAAGCTTTCAAGAGCAAAACATGACTTTATCGAGCATCAAGCAAAGTTCGATTCTCTTTCGTCTATTAAGTGGTTTTCGGTATCATAAATCACATAGAAGTTCGACTCATGCCAGGCCATGAAAAAGTAATCCAAGAAGATGTTTGTGGACTTTGTAGCAGTTTATTTGCTAAATATTCATTTCTTTGGTTTTAAATGTGTTGACTGCTGTTAATGGAACTAGAGAAGTTGTCCTTATTAAATCGAGATCAGCTTTCAATCATCATCTTTCCGATACACCACCTTTTCAGCCCATGCTACTACTTTCATGTATATATAGTAGAATACAAATAGTTGTTTTTACCATATATTGAGTCTTAGAAATTCCTTACGTCGAGCGCTTCCAATGAAAACCTAATCATGAATAATATAAGTTACACTAAGGATAAACTTCGAAGATCCATCAAATCTAGCATGAATTCGATCATTTGAAATCAAATTTATCCCTATCGTCCCTTAATGGTCGTCAACGAACTGCGGTACATCTTCCATGTTTCATATAATTATAAATTTACATACGAACGTATATCCTCGCTTATATACATGTATCAACATTGATACTCATATCATCTCACGTTTTACCGTCAGTCCTCTAGAATGAAGTAGTTCATTTACCTCTACACTGCATAGAAAATTCTTGTCGTACCTACGAATCAGTTTCCCGTGCAATTGTTCGTTGAAAGAAAAATCAATAAAACAAACAATAATTCGGGAGTTTAAAAAGGAGCCTTATACGCTTCCATGGGTTTCGAAAAAGTGCTACATTTGTATTAGTCTACGTTAATAATGATCAAATCAAGAGACAAAAACCTATGATGTTTACAATATCGAGTTGTTTAGAGAAAAGATAAGTTCAATTGGAAATTTAGAATCGTCGTTGACAACGAGGTTTTCGCAGAACAATTGTATTTCGAAATCGTTTGAAAACATTTGGACTTCGTTTAACCGAAATAAACCGAATGATTTCATTGTTTGCCGACAGAAATAGAACGACTGGCGAATGTAATTTAATACATGGGCATGTCTTCAATGGAAGGTCAAGTTGATATTCATTAGAGCCAAGTCGTTTAAAGTATCGAACTTTATGCTTATTGGCAAAGATATAATTATTCTCCGATGTTAGTGAATGCTTAACTGGACGCGTACGCAGTACAGTCGATGAACGGCAATAATCATCAAGTAGATCACTAGTACTCGCGCGTGAATGACACATGGAGCAGATGTCTTCTTGTACGATCGTCGTTGGTGGAGCTCGAGTTGTTGTCGTTGTAGTTGTTGTTGTAGTGGTGGTGGTAGTCGTTGTGGATGCTTGTGAAACGCATAGTTCCGTATCCGCTGGGTATTGATCGCAAGCGACTAAACGAGAAATAGATTGAAAATCGAAGAACAACAAACATATTGGGAAAATATACTCATTGTTGGCCATTTATATCCAAATTGAGCGATCATTCTCGGTTCACAACTTTGTTTTACAGATTCACAAAGTGTCCGACATGGATATAAGAATCGTTTATTATCATGTGCCATGTTCAATACTGAATCTTGATTATTATCAAACGAAACCAATGTTGGCTTCGTTGATACTTCTTGACTAAGGCAAACAGGTGCAAGAATTGAACAAAGTAATAATCGTGCATTGGGATGACATCCCAGACTGAGTAACGATTGCCATAAAGGTAATTCGTAGAGAATTTCTGTAATACTTTCATGATTGAGTAAATTTGGTAAATGCATTTGTGTATAGCCAAGTCCATAGCAAAGAGTGAAATTCGACGGAATTTCTTGACAACGATGAATGTTTCCTGGGAAAAAGTCATAACCTTCGATGTATGGACATGAGATAAGTAAAACGAACACGGCGAGCAGCATTCTCTTCATGAATGAATGTCGATGAACGTGAAATGAAAGAGAAAATGGTTGTTAATTGAGCGGCATATAGCTCGACTTCAATCGACAAGACAAGTGCCTTCAGATTTTTCTTTCTTCCCTTTCTGTCTGCACTCGACTGAATGAATAGCCTCTATTCTCATTTCTTTTTCCTTTTAACAAATCAGTCAGTTGTTAATAGAAGAATTCTCTCGCATCGTATAACAATAATTGACTCTGTTGCCTTAGTTTATCTAAGAAGTCAATGAACTGAACGCAAATCATTAGTCATACACGTTTCAATGATCGAAAGAACTGTGACAAAAAGAAATCCAAGATCATTTGATAATCAATCATCAAATGACAATGTGAACTCGTTCGCTTCTCTTCCAGATATGATCTCTTATCAAAACTCTGATCTTTCTAACCTGTCTGTCTTCTACGACATAATAATTAATGATTATACAGTCTTAACCGAGAGATAACTCAGGAGAAATATGATATTATTTTTACGAAACTTCCTTCCAAGACGGGGAAGTATACGCGCTACGTGAACTCATCTTTTCGAATACATACTCGCAATGGCACGCAATTCTATTTCACGCGAATTAAATGTGGACGTAAAACGAACACATCGATACATGTTGAATACATTCATTTCTCTCTTGGTAAAAAATACACGCAATGGATTTGTAGAGAAATAGTTTATGGATAAATCTTTAGGTTCTCGGTTTTATTCATTTACCGTTGAATACATATTCTTTAATGATTAACGATGCGACATGGTCGATTGTTTATTATCGACGAATCTATATTATGATAATCAATATAATTTTAATCGGACTATATGGACTTGGTCTCTTTGTTCTTCATCAACATTCTCGAACAGGATTACTTGTGGTATGATTGATCGATGCGTGTATTTATAATTGAACATCGTTTCATTTTCAGTTTGCTTGGTTAGTAGCAGTTCTCGATATCATTGCCACTCTTGCTGTTTTATCGATTCTCTTCGCTATCATCTTTTTAATCTCGCCGATATCAGTTTATTCCGTCGAAATATTTACTGGCGTGTTCCTATTCATAATTCTTTCGATTGTCGGATTTGTTTTCATGGTATGTTTCATAGTTCAACGTTTTGAATGAATACTGTCCTTTTTTTCCATAGGCAGTATCAATTCAACATGCACTGCACTTGTCTAAACTATTTAAAAGCAACAGACAATTGATCACCGAAATCTAACTATTTGCTTTTTTTAAATTTTACTTGACTAATAAAATACACTACCTTCGCATCGAAAGTACATCTCTATGATAAGATATGTATTACAGTATAGTTACATAATTCTGTACGATATACATCACAAAACATCATATTCTCTTACACATCTTTCTTGATGATAACAAAAGCAAACGCATATAAGAACAACACTTTTTTTTGTGTTTACCAGTACTGATACAATGCACTTTCGTCAGTTTGTCTTTATTGTGACTATTTTGTTTGGTCCTCTGCCAGCAAAAACTGAAATAAAACCTGTTTTATTGAATAAATTTGAATTACCACATGCTGGCTTTTCGACACTTTCACGGTCATGGACATTGAATTCCACTTCATGGACATTGACGATCTCCTGTTTCAATGCAATTCCAAAGACAACAGATTATGTTTATAACGTTCCAAATATCGAATGGCAATTGACAACGAAAATTACACCGACATTGGTTACTAATAAAATCGTCTGGCCTAATGGAATCGTTCCAGCTGATCCGTTAGTTGAATACTCAGTGATTGTGCCAAGCGGTTTTCTTGTTCCGGGAAAGACCAACGGAAATTTGTATTACATATCTCGATCCGGACCAATCGCGTTGGTACCAGATGATAAAACTAATTGGTTTTACCATGATGCAGCCTTCAAGGATATGGATGGTGATGGTCATCTAGATATTGTAACGGGACGAGCGAATGTTCCGATTATTGGAGCACCAACAACTCAATTGATTTGGTTGAAAAATCCTGGCAATGATACGATTACTGGTCCTTGGAAATTGAATTATTTATTACGGGAAGGTGGTCCAGATATTCAAGTTCAATTTGTTCGAATTAATTCGACAAACGTAAAATTGATTGAGTGCTTCAGGTTCAATTTGATTTGATTTGATATTTTTAGGTTCTCTTCGCGAATTCTTTTTTTACACGTAAACTTCAAATGTTCTGGTCAGATTCCGATCCACTTTGGAATGACACTGCTCAAATACATGTACGTCATATTGATTATGAAACAGTTCCATATGGATACGTACAATTAATAAACGATCTCAATGGTGATCAAAAGCCAGATCTTCTTGTTACTGTTAACGATGAATTTAACGGATCGTTAATTGCCTATGAAGTACCATCGTCGGGTGATATACGTCGAGCAAACTTTACGAAACATGTTCTTGCAAGTGGCTTTGCCCCTCGAACTCAAGCTCGAGGACGTGGAGCACCAGGACAAGCCGTAGCAGTTGAATTCAAGTCGCTTTCTACTCCTCGAAAGAAACCAGTTCTAATTCTATCAGGTGATGATGATGGTTGTGTTTATCTGTTAGAAGCACTTCATGATGATGATCCATCAAATTGGGAATATTCAAAGAAGGTTATTCATCGTTCGAGCAAATCAACTATTGGACAAGTTAGTGTCGAAGATGTTGACAACGACGGGCATCCTGAGATGTTTGTACCAGCTTACAATGAAGGTCTAGTCTATATTTATCGATTGATAGACGGTTGAAGTGAAATACTTGTTTGTTTAAGATTTACTTTTATTTAATAAAATTGTCGGTAATAGGAGAAAACACAATGTTGTATAAGTTTTTCTCAATCAAGAGGATTGATAGAGATGATTGAATCAAATTCTCGTTCTCTAAGGAGATTCCTTATATTTGAAATGGTAAGTAATCATTTAAGAAGAGCGGAAACAGTATGAGACGAGAAGCTATGTTGAAGCGCCGAGTAGCGACATCTTTCTTCGTATGGTTCACGAATGGAGTATTGAACTAAGCCATTCATAAACATTTTTATCATCGAGTAGTAGTCGAGACTTACTTCTTCGTCTGAAACTTTCTATGAGTACTTTTTAACTTTGAGTTTGTTGATGAGCGGAGCAACTAGTGATCAAATCACCACGGCGATTGTTATTCCTAGTGAAAATCCTTCAAAATCGAAAGTAAATCAAATGAGTGACGACAATTTCTTATCGAACAATTCAACCGATCGAATTGACACTAAACGTGTTCGATATCCTCATTGTATTGTTTGGACACCAATTCCAGTTCTTACTTGGCTCTTTCCCTTCATCGGTCATATGGGTATTGCACGTACCGATGGCGTCATTCGAGATTTTGCTGGGCCCTATTATGTTTCCGTAAGTATTTACAAATATATTTATTCAACTATAGCAAAACGTGTTTCAAAAGGAAGATAACATGGCATTTGGTTTACCTACACGCTATCTTCAATTAGATTTAAATCGCGTATCGTCGTTGGGCAGTTCAAACAATCTACGAAATGTATGGGATAAAGCCGTTGAACAGGCATCTGATGAATACAAGAAACGAATGGTAATACTTGAAAATTAGTTCCATCTGAAATAGAATAATTTTCTTTATTTAAGCATAATCTTTGCTGTGATAATTGTCATTCGCATGTTGCCATGGCCTTGAATACTATGGGCTATGATCGAAAATATTCATACAATATGGTTTCACTGGCATTTTGGATGTTCTTTTGTGGAAAATATGTCAAGTAAATCTACTTTATCCTAATCTTTCATTTTCTTATTTGCTCTCGTTACAGTTTCGGTGGTCTTCTCCGCACTTGGATCCCATTTCTTATCTTAGCCTCCATTGTCATCGTTGTCACTGTCGTTGTCAAATTGCAAACATAATCTCACAATAATCGAGCTTTATATATATTTTTTTTTTGCTTGATTTTCTTTTGATCGAAGATATGGTCAGAAATACAAGTCTCTGCAACAAACGATTAATTACAAACAACACAATGACATACACGCTGAACATATTTCCAGAAAACAGACCTTACATTTTTGTTCATCATAAAAATAAATATAATTTGCGCATTAGTACAAAAACTAACCGTCATTACACAAATGAGATAAAGTTCAACAGGTTCTTTACCAGGTGTTACTGTAGCCCATATTATAAGGGTAAGATTAGGTAATCCTGCTGTACCAAGAATAGCAACTAGCGTAAGGACATTTTTTAGAACACGGATATTTCTATTTGCTGTCAATGATAAATTTGTAGACACGAGTGTGACATTCACACGTCGTGTCTGACGGACGATATATCGATAAATGATAGTTATAGCGAAAAAAGGAATACCCATCGCTGTGCCCATATAAACAAACAAAAGCCATTGAGTAGAAAATGCTATTGTACACATATGCATCTCCGATGCATATTCAAATGCATCTAAACCAATGTATATCAGTCAGAGTGTTAAAAACACTAAAACGTTCGACTTACCCGATAAGTAAAGAAATAAAGGAAGAAGGATACTAATACACCAACTAATAAATATGATCAAACAATGCATACGAAGAGTCAGTAAATATTTTTGATGGTACAAAATATTGAAAAAAAACTGACTAACAGCAGTAACAAGATATGAATAACATATGGCATCTGCTGAAATACTTGTAAAATATGACAGGATTAAACAGATATATCTATGATTTGTATTACTTCGTGCCATACCAACGATCAGTTGAATGATGATAACTATCGTATAGATAAGTATGGCAAAGCTCGAGTTTATTGTCAACAAATTAGGGATCGTCCAAAGAGTTCGATTCAAACTAATCGTTAATATCAGAGTCATACAGACGAAGATATTTATGATCTGCATTATTCCTACCAGAAGAAAACTAGTATGTAGGTAAAAAGATGAGGGTTCACGGCGTAAAAGAATTGTGTTGTTCATTTCGAAGTTTATTTTTTGCCAAATGAAAGTAAAACTGCATTCATTTACAATTATAAAAGTCACGATGACAGTCTTCAGCCTCTTCATCCTGTCATACCAATTGAAAATAGGATATCTTCAAAATGAGGACTTATTTTTCTCGATGCTTCTTATATCTATGACAAAAAAGTTCCATCAGAGTGCAATCTATTTTCTAACGATTGTGTCGCAGATTTACTGCAATCGAAAACATGGGCACTACAACAAATATGCTTTTGATGTTTATTGACGACCTCATCCTTTACTCAAAATTCACTTAGTAATAATCAGCAATTATACAAAAAAAAGTATTCATCTAAGCTTTTTACGATGATAAACAAATCACAGATATTATACTCGAATAGCTGAAGTTTTCCAATTATTCATTCCCCGCATTCACATCTATATTCTTTAACATAAACACATGTTCAACATTCGGTGTGAACATATTCTCAAAGAAAAGCATTGCAAAGATAATCGAGTCTTTTTTTTATTATTGTTCGAAATTTATAAACGCCGCCAAAATTTTCAACTATGATAAACATCTCCAATTAAATCCCGTATACTAGATTGTGTGTAGCTGATCTTAAGATGGCGGATACATTGTTTGCAAAATGAAAATATCGGCAGGGAAATGTTGTACACTTTAAAGTAATTGGTACTCTGCTGTTACGAGAAAATCTTCGACAATGCGCTCAAAGTTTGAAAACTACAATAAAAATAGTTCGATGTAATAAATAAAAGATCATCTCTTCTATCAATCGAACAAACTTGCTAGTACGTAATGATCAGTTGCTCTGTAATTCTAATATCTCAGGATAAAACGTGATTCTTCCGACAATGAAGTTCGATAAAGAATAAAAGGAATGCACTGATAAAAGTTCGATCGGTTTGCATCATTAGTCGCTATGTTATAATCATTAATTCAGTAGCTAAATGTATTTTCTCGACTGAATGTGTGAGATATATATAGAGATATATAATGATGAGATAGTCAACTAGTTGTGAAATGAAAGATGAAGTACACGTGTTAAAGATAAAAGTTCTTTCATTTATGTACACATTTATATCGTCGATAGAAGATTAGAACAAGCGTCAAACGCAATGGAAGACTTTTTTCAAATAATAATTCGAATCTTTTTTTTCTGCTTCTTGTTATGTCGAAAAAGATAAATGATATTTGGATAAAACAGGTGTCTTAACGATATGATTCCTTTCTTTTTTTTAATCAATGAACCAGCATGAAAAATGATTTTTAATTTGTTGTTTTCTTATCAACGAAATTGAAGAACGGTCAAATATACAATACAGAGAGAATTGCTTTCGGAATGTTCGTTTATTCGTTTTTTTTTGTTTGCTCTGTCATCATCATCGTCGTCTTGTTCTCGTTCCCTCTCTCACTCTCTCTCCCTCCTTGTATATATTCATTTGAAGTTAGTTTTATCGTTGTTTAATAGAGGAGAGACTACCTTATCTCTATCTTTCTTCTCACTGTTGGCAAGCAATGAAGAAAAAAAACTAAAAGAGAAAGAATATAAGAGCACCTTTCGTTTTTGTTTTACTACCTTCTTCTGATTAATAATCCCTCTTTTCTTTTTTCTCAACACAGAATCGAAAAAAGGCAAGCACATATGGTGTATACGCCGTTTCATATTCGAAATTTGGACATGATTTCTATATTTTAGTTAATCAATGGATCTCGAATCTTCCTCGTCCAGTATTGATCATCAATCCAATCTAAATAATACATCAAGCATTTCCCACGAAGAATCATCAAATTCACATTTATCTCCAGCAAATATTATTGGAACGCATCCAAACGAAATCATAACGAGTGTCAATCCTGATAATGGCTATCCTGTACGTCAAGAAAATGGCCAGCGAAAAACAGGTCCACCACCTGACTGGCCAACAACTCGTCATCCACCTGGACGCGGCTGTGAAGTATTTGTAGGTAAACTTCCACGTGATTGTTTCGAATCGGAATTATTTCCACTCTTTGAACGTTGTGGACAAATCTATGAAATGCGTTTGATGATGGATTTTTCTGGTTGTAATCGTGGCTATGCATTTATAACGTATACCAATCGTGACGATGCAAAACGTTGTGTCAAAGAGTTGAATAACTATGAAATACGTTCGAATCATTTGATTGGCGTTTGTCAATCAGTTGATAATTGTCGACTTTTCGTTGGTGGAATACCGAAAACTAAGAAACGCGAAGAGATACTCGAAGAAATGTGTAAAGTAACCGAAGGTGTTGTGGATGTGATTGTTTATCCAAGTGCAAATGATAAAACAAAAAATCGGGGCTTTGCTTTCGTCGAATATGAAAGTCATCGATCGGCAGCAATGGCACGAAGAAAATTGTTGCCTGGAAATATTCAATTGTGGGGACAACAAATTGCAGTTGATTGGGCTGAACCAGAGAATCAAGTTGATGAAGATGTTATGGCCAATGTAAACGAAAGAATTTTGTTTTTCTTTTCTTCATTCGAATTCGTATTTTGAGTTTAGGTTCGAGTTTTATATGTCAGAAATCTGATGATGAGCACAACAGAAGAACAAATCAAGGAAGTTTTCGAACGATTTAAACCAAATTCAATCGAACGTGTGAAGAAATTGAAGGATTATGCATTTGTTCACTTTAAACAACGTGACGATGCATTGCACGCTATGAATCTGATGAACGGTAGATTTCTTTATATTAGGTTTCAATTGTTATTATCTGTTTATCTTAGGTTGTGAATTGGATGGATCAATCGTCGAAGTTACATTAGCAAAACCAGTTGATAAAAATCAATATTTTCGATTTACACGTGGCGTTAGTCCATCCGCATTAGCCGGAAATGTACCTGTAAATCATTTTCGAGAGATATATTGTAAAACTAATGATTTGTTTTTTCTCGATATTCAGTTTGCAATACCAGCAGGCGCTCTTGGTCCAGCCACTGCATTTGATTTGACTGCTATTCCATACTTAACAATTCCAACAGCAAATCCTACTCATATTCCAATGACTAATGGCACAACAGTCATACCAGTTGCTGTCAATCCTCTTCAACAGAAGTAAATTCTAAACATTTGCTGTCGTCAATCAATCGAATCTTTTCTTTTTCTATTAGAAATGTCCGTCGATGTGTCAATGCAACTGGGCGTCTATCTACTAACGGTAATACCAGTCCACCATTATTAAACCGTACCACACCAACAGGTATTCTTTCGTCATCGTCTCGTCCAAGTCAACCATCACCAAATATCGTTCACCATCGTGGTGCCTATTACACAATTCTGCGTCCAACATCGCGTCGTACTGATGTAGGTGTCCTTTGAATATTGTTCTCATCTTCAGAAAACATCTTGCATGAATTCTATCTTGTTTGTCTTTTTTATCTGATTTGAATGCTCCGCATGGCTTAAAATTGATAATTGTTATGTTTTGTTTTTATAATTTTCCTCCTAGGAAAAATGTCTTGAAGATCTTTATAAAGAGACCGATGCTGCGCTGTACAGCTCACCTGCTAATACTGTCGCTCCATCGATAATGATGATCGATCCCAATCCGCCTCAGTTCATTTTACCAGAACAACAAACTCATCTGCAGCAGACAGAAGAGGTAATTGCTTTACTGAGGTTTTATACTAACATAAACAATTCTTTTCAGTATCATAAGGCAGCTGCTTGAGGAGTAAGGCATGATTTCTCTCTTCCCATTTCTCTCCTTTCTCTATTGTTAGATTATAAAGATATTTTCGAAAGGAAAAGAGACAACAATGACGACTATTGTTGTTTTGTCCTGCGTTTAATTTTTTCTGCATGTTAATTTCGCTCTAGATTGAGTTCAGCTGCACATTATTCTATTCGATAAAAAATAATTCATACTTATATTTGATTCTCATCTGAATATCTATCGATAATTTTCTTTACGATTTTTCTCATAGATACCATTGGCTCCCACCGCATTTGGTTTTCCTCCTGGTACACCGTTGTTTCAACCAACAGCTATCTTTCCACATCCACTTCTTGCTGGACATCCAGCAGGTGCTCAACCATTTCCTCAACAATCATTAGTATTTACAACAACAGATAATAACGGACAAACTCAGCAATTTTTCCATGCTCATCCGCAACCAAATTTCGCTTTTCCTTTCTTTTTAACGCCGCAATTAACAGCAACGCCACAAACACCATCAGCAACAAACAATCCCGAACCATCCGTATTCAGTTATGCAACACCAACAGTAACAACAACTGCGACGGATACTAGTTCATATACCGCTTGAGAAGGAAACTATGTTGAACTCTATTCTATTAGCGATGCTCTTTTGTATTTGATAAGAATCACAAAGAAAGAGAGAATGTATGAAGAGCCTATTATGAATATTTGTATGTTTCAGCTATTATTTATACTCGTTTTGTTTTTGGTCTCTTTTCTTCTCTTTAAATAATATTTGTTTGCTTATTTGTTGGTTTTTTTTGTACTTCTATTCATGTGTGAGCTGTGAATTTTCTTGCTTATAGGAAAAATGTATTGAAGAAAAGTATCATTTGTTCTTTTTGTGTTTTTTTGGTGTTTAAAAGAAGTATACATGAAAGAAAACGAAGCCTGATGTTTATCATCAATCTGCAACTAATGACTTTGGAAATCAAACAAGTGCGATCGTTCGCATTGCACTTCTCTGATCTAATTAATTATCTTGTATTTATTTTCTTTCAAGGCAAAGGTCAATCAAATAACTAATGACTTGATAACACCTTAATTAACATATTTATAAATAGATCTTTCATAATTATAATGGAAGTTTAGTCAACTTCGAGAAAAAAATCGAAGGATATTATTCATCTGTTACGTTAAATATAGACAAAGATTACTAAATGTCACCAGAGATATGCATTCTTTCCGATGTGGCTACTTAAAGAGAAGAAGCAATCTGACATTGTATAGATTATATAAACTCAAGCCACACGACAAATGCCAGTTGCGAAAGGCAAAACTGGGCACGGAAAGTTGATTCAGCTAATTTTTTTTTATTGTTATCATAATATACAAAAAAAATCACTCAATTACTTTTCCTACACACCCGGACTATTAGCCAAGAAGAAAAAAAATGATACAAAAACTTTCTTATTTTTCTTTGCTATGCCTAATAACACCGATCTAATACAACAAGCATCATTATTGATGTCAGCATAATCACAATGATAATAATAATATCTCTCGCTATTTGCGAATCATAGTAATAGTACCAAGGTTTTCTTCTTTTCTTAGTATTCTTTTCTATTCTTATTTTTCTATTTTGTACATGTAGTTTGATATCGCGATGCTTCTACTTACATACGTCTAAGCAGCGAAAGAAAACGACGAAGATATTTCTTGTCTTTCTGTATGCGTATGTCGATGTGTGCGTGTGTGTAGTCAATAAGAAAGAATTGCCGAGCATTTTCTTCTCTAAATGCATCTTGTTTTTTTTGGCTCTATTCCTAGCATTGAGAAAAGCATAAAGGATATTCTAAGTAGAGACGTATACTAACATAATAACAACTGATGAAATTGTCGTTGTTAGTTTAAATAAGAGATGAGTACGACACCAGGTCTTGGTGCATTTAATAGGGATAAAGTGGCTAATAAATTCGGTATTCAATTGAAGCCTAAAGATGCACCTTCAACTAAGCGACCTTCAACATCAGCGATTGATTATAAACCGACGGCAACGACGTCGACGACGACGGCGGCAACAACTGGATTATCTATTGTATCCAAAAATAAGACGATTAACGATTTTCGCACGGAAAAGAACACAAATGGTTTTCTATCGACTAGTAATCATTCTCCTGTTTCGAAACCAATTCCGGATAAAGTTTCAACAAGTAAATCAACTTCAAATCTTCTGAACACATCTGTTGAGAGTCAACGAAAAAATTCATTGACCACCAATGTCAATCATTCCACGACAAAATCCAGAGAACCTTCGCCTGCTCCACTGAAACGAGCTGTTTCACCGGCGCCACCTGTTAAAAAACCAACTACATCATCTCCAAAAACTGAAGCTCAAATTGAACACCAAAAAGATCAACCCTTATACCGAAGACAATTATCCAAACCCTTGGAAAATCATTCCTCAACAGCAAATGTGCCTGCAACTACAACAACAACAACGAAAACACCACCACCAGTGGCATCACCGGCGGCCTCGACAGGTTCATTGAGAAGGTAAATAACACAAATGTAATCCAAAACTCTAAAAATAGTAAAATCCTTTCAAAAAAAAACTTCTTCATTCCTTCATTGATTCCAATACCAATCTTTCTTCCTGGCAGCCTATGTTTTGATGAAACTTTTACCTTGAATTCTTCTATGTATAAATTACAATATACGTGCTTGGAGATTCAATCGAGAAAAAAAGGTGCGATGTTTGCTATTTTTGTCCCAACGAAGTAAAAAAATAATCACAAGACGTCCATGATTATTAATCGTCATTGAGTATATATTTCAATCACGTGCTTCGTTTTTGACGCATTCTTTGAGAATTCATCATCAGATATGCCTGTTTGTCTGTCATCAAACTACGTATACAACTGTCCATCTTCCCCTCCTCGTTCTCTTCTCCTTTTCGTTGTTCTGTCTCTACAAATAGTATCATGCGTTCCAGTACGCGAACTATTTTCATCTGATTTTTGTTTCTCTACCACCGTCAACCTGTTGTAAACGGGGCGAAGAGAAAGAAGGAAACGAAAAAGACAATTAGAACACGTCTCGACATCAAAAAGCAATGAGTTTCGTTCAATTGCTCGTCATCATTTTATACAAAAAGCCTTGGCCTTGGCATACGATCTGTATACAATAATACGACCTTTCTTGGCGGGCGCTTGCCAATGCACTCTCGTGTTTAATGACTCATAGAAGAGAAAATCAATGTTGCATATGTACAAAAAAAAAGAGGGAAGAAGACAAAAAAGAAACGATGCGAAGGTCGTAAATAGATGTAGACGAAAAAAAGCTTTTCATATCATAGAAATAGAACTTAACTACTTTCGTATCTTTTGAAAGCAAAATCATTAATTGATTTTAATTAGAAAAGAAAAATGAAGTAAGAATGTGTTAATAAACGATTGAATCATGTAATACATCGTTTCGTCTTTTTCCTCTTCTCTCTTTTGCATGGTTATGTTCTGTTTTCGAAGAGAATCAGTATTATTATCGAATAGATTCGTTTTCTCTTCCTATCCTTTCTTTCGTTCTTTTCTTCGTCAATATCGGCGCATACGGTTGATTTCTCCTTCAAATAAAACGACGATTATACCTTTGTACAGTATACATGAGAGGTTGAAATTGACACATACTCCTGTATACATGTACATTATATTACGTACTTTTTCTTTTTGATAATGTCTTATTATTATTATTGTCGCCGCCGTTGTCGTCATCGTTGATAATATTGCTCAATGTGGTGAGTTATATTCGTTGTGGTTTATAATAAATTTACTGTTATACATTGAATATCAAAGAAGAGAAAGAAAGGGAAGAAAAAAAAGCTGTATAAGAAGTATAAATATGTCTTCATCAACGTTCACACAACGATGGACATCTGTACATGATCTAACAACGAATAGTAATAAATCGAAAAAGTTAAATTTATTCTTTCTCCAACCATCGTCATCCGAATCGAATGCATTTACATTTCCATTACGTCCGACACAATCATTGATTTCACTAGTCGAACCATCAACATCACCGATATCGACAACAACTACCACCAACACCGAGTCAACATCTTCTCATCTACCGAGACAAACAAAAACATCTTCGTCTCGTGTTGCAGAAATTATTCACCGATTCGAATCGCAAACTGTGTCATCGATGAGTAATCATCAAAACAAAAATTTACCTCCAACTCGTTCTATAATTATCAAGGAATGGAAACGAGCGCCTGTTCGAACTCCTCTCAATGTCACCATTGAAACGCCTCCAACCTTCAATTCTAAAACAAATGCCAAACCGCAACCTATCATCGTGTATGAAAGAATAACAAATCATGATAGGAAACAACCGAAATCGTCGTACACACCTCCAATTGTAAGTCCGAAAAGTCCTTTAGTCAAAACATGGCTACACAATCGAACGAAATCTCAACAAGCTATTGAAAGTGATACTGATTCAGCTATACAGACAATGGCCGCTGTGATACCAACAGATATGACTGATTCTGTTGCCTCTTCTCGTTCCAATACAACAGAATCCAATTGTTCTTCATCTTTATCATCATCTACTTCGCCCATCATTCCTCATTTTGCACTTCCGACAATCGCTTCCATGCAAAAGCAACGTGATAATTCTTCGAATGCAACATATTTTAAACGGACCTCTTCTCCTCCATCTCCTACCATTGTTACTTTTACACGTGCAATTCCTTCGACATCCTCGACATCGAATGAAACTCGTCAACAATCCCAATCAACAGACATATGCTCGTCAGAAGAAAATCTTGCTGATCAAACCGATCGCGTATCCTCATCAACAAATTCCAATCCATCAGAAATAAGTTTAATTCGAACGTCCATAACAGAACTTATAATAAAAACCAATCTACCATTAAAATACAAAAGAGATTCATTTCTTCGATTATATGGGTAACATACGTAGAGAAAATACTAATACTTTTCTTCTTCTCCTATTCATACTAAAACGTCTTCATCAAACATAACATAACATTCATATTTTCATCGATAATAAATATTTACTTAACAAATTATAGTCATAAGTATTTTGTTTATTCTTTAGACCCGATGCTTTACAACAACATTGTCACCGAAAGTCTCAGGATGTTATACTCGAAGATGGTAACAAGACTTGTAATCGAATTTCTCTTATTGCTTCATCGTCCTTTATTCAGATATTGATCCACCATTTTCTCCACGTATAGTCACGATAAAGAAGAACAAAACAGTGACAGATGAATATGAATTAATGGAATTTCTTGGAAGGTAATATCGATAGGTTATTTTTCTCTTTTCGAAAAACAAAGAATGACATATTTTAGAGGAAAATTCGGTGAAGTTAAAAAATGTCGTGAAAAATCTACGAAACATCTATTGGCTGCAAAATTTATTCAGGTGCACAAAGAACAAGATCGTATTGAGGCTCATAACGAAATTGAAATCATGAAAGCACTTCAACACCCGAGACTTCTACAACTTTATGATGCTTTCGAAACCAAAGGAGATATTTGTCTCATCATGGAATTGTAAAACTATTTTCGAACGACAACAACAACAACAACAAAAGAAATTTGTCTTCTTGTTTCTAGAATTACTGGCGGAGAATTATTCGAACGTGTTATTGACGATGATTTCATTTTAACTGAACGTCTTTGTGAATTATACATGATGCAAATATGTGAAGGAGTCAATTTTATGCATTCATGTAATATTATTCATCTTGATATGAAGGTTTGACTTGGGAAACGATGAAGTCTGTTGGATTTTTCTTGCTCGTTTTTAGCCGGAGAATATTCTATGTTTGAATCGTAATGGTCATCGGATAAAAATCATTGATTTTGGTCTTGCGAGAAAATTCGATCCAACGAAACAGTTGAAAGTCCTATTTGGCACTCCGGAATTCGTTGCACCGGAAGTGATTAATTTCGATCGAGTTGGATATGGTACAGATATGTGGTATGTATGGAATTTCAAATAGGATCTTCTTCATTTTGTTTCTTTTCAGGTCAGTTGGAGTTATTTGTTATGTTTTGTAAGTAAATCTGTGATTTACAAGAATGAATTTGTTACGTCTTGTTTCGTTCAGATTATCCGGTTTAAGTCCATTTATGGGTGAAAATGATAATGACACGTATGCAAATATCAACCGAGTTAGTTATGATTTCGATGATGAAGCATTTACGGATATATCTGATGAGGCCAAAGATTTTATCTCTAAATTATTGTTGAAAAACAAAGAGTAATTATACGACTTTTTCTTCAGTATGACAAAGAGAACATTGGTTTCATCTACAATTTCAGTAAACGTCTTCAAGCTAAACAATGTCTGACACATCCATGGTTATCGCGACGACAAAAACTCGTCGCTACACCGAGCGACGAAGAAACAGCGGAAAAGAAATTATCGACACGTAAACTACGTCGATTTGTTATACGACGACGTTGGCAGGTAAAGGACATGATAACTTTCTCTCTTTCAAATAGATCGTTGTTTTGTTTTGTTTCTTTTTTTTCGAAATATTTAGAAAGCAGTCAATGCTTTGTTAGCATTGAAACGTATGGGAATGACGTTGTGAAAATACCACGACTCCATTTATCTGATTTTTTTTCTTTCTTTCTTTCTCTCACTCTTTTTTATTCGATTATTTGCATCATATTTTCTCTTTGAGTCGCGCGTCTTTCACAAATAAATAACGCTTTTCTCTTCTTCTTCTTTTTTGTTCGCTGTTGTTACCAGTGGTTTGAGTTTGTTTGTTTGTTCGCCCTGAGAATACTGCGTGTGTGTATGGAACAACGAAAGTTCAATGTTCATGTGTACATTATTTTTTATCATCAATTACTTCTGCTATAAGATAAACAAAACGATGAAAGATATTTTGAAAATTTTTGTGTTTCAAAATGAAGAAACAAAAGAATATGTTACCGTGAATAATCCACTGTCTGTATATTATTTTTATTGAAATATTAAAAGAAAAAGGAAAATTTATAAAATAACTTTCAAGTCAGTAAAAAGTTTTCGAAAATATTCAATGATTTTAAAAAGAAATTCATAGATTGCACTATGCCGTTCGGCATACTTTGGTCGGATCGTATCTCTGACCGGAAATGCTTGTTCAAATCCATGTGCTACACGTAAAAGGGTAGATTCTGACCATGCCGTTCCGGCAAACATCAAACCATATGGCTCATTATTTGATTGATTGAAACCCAATGGAACGACAATTAATGGGTAACCAGCAAATGACGCAAATACCGTTATTTCGTGTTCTGGGTCAGGAACAATAAGTGCATCTAATTCATATTCGTTTAACCTAAAAATCAGCGCGTTGCATTGGATTAATAGTCACAAGAAAAACTAGTTTACGTTGCATCGATTCCATCACGACCACCCATGTGTTGCGTTTGATCGTATAAGGCTGCATATTGATCAGCCGTTAAATTAGTACGGTTTTCAGCTGTAAGAAAAACGTCTTGATTCGGAGAATATTCTTCATGAAATTCTTTATCAGCGTGTTCGTTGTTGAATTCGATAATATCTTTCAATGAACGAATACTTGTGTTTCTAAGTTCAGATAAATAATTTCGAAGATCTTTACGAAAATTATAGGACATTATAGTTTTCAAGTAATTCGTCAAATTTTCATCGTCTAAACCAGTGACATTCACTGGATCAATTACTATTGCACCGTGAAGACGTAATACATCGATGGCTTGTTGTACTCTATCAGTCTTTTCTTGTGACATATTAAGGCCTATGGAAAGAAAAAGTTTCGATCACTGAATATGAAGAAGAGAAAACTACCACCTTGTCGGACAACACCTAAGCGAAGATGTCGAAGTCCGGCAATACCTTGCAGAAATTGAGTGTAATTTTGATGGCGAACAATACCGGCTTTTTGTGTCATATTATCTCGACTGTCAGCACTTTGTATCACTTCTACAACATAGAAAGGAAAGTGTGAAGATTTTCTCGACTGAATACTCGAAATAATGGATATCGTCAGTTACCTAGTAGACGAGCAACATCTTCAACAGTTTTACCCATTGGACCAACTGTATCATGATCGAGTGATAATGGAATAACACCGGAACGTGACGTTAGGCCTACTGTTGGTTTTAGACCAACAATATTCGCACGACCAGTTGGTACAACTGTACTACCACACGTCTCTGTTCCAATAGCTGCTGCGCATAACCCGGCACTTGTAGCAATGGCAGAACCGCTACTACTTCCACCTGGATTACCATCAGCCACATAAGCTGAACTAAAACAATATCATCACGGTACGAACACTAGTTTAAGTGAAATAAAACGTATTTACCTAGCTAAACCACCTCGTGCTGACCATCCAGCTCTGGTTGTATTATCTGCTTTAAAATTACTCCATTCACTCAATGACGCTTTGCCAAGGATGATTGCGCCTGCCTTTCTTAATCGTTCAACAACAAATGCATCTCGTGGTACTCGAGAACCCACGAGTGCTAAACTACCAGATGTTGTTTCCATTTTATCATCTGTCGCAATGTTATCTTTGATTAAAATAGGTATTCCATGAAGCGATGATCGTGTTGTCCCATTGATTTGTCGCTCGATATCTAATGCATCGGCAATATCCAATGCATCAGGATTTATTTCAATAACAGCATGAAGTGGATGAGGACCTTGTTCATTAACTTCCTCGATTCGAGATATGTACCAACGAACAAGATCTGATGATGAATATCGACATTTTGACAAATCGTCTGTCAATGTTCGAATATCTGCTTTGACTGGATCGACTAGAGGAATATCAGAATACGTTGAACAAGATGGTGATACTCGCGTCGAGCTGAATCGTATATGTAGAAAGTCTAAAACTATTGAGACAGTAGTGATTTTCCGTGTGAACATTTTTTTCATACTTGATCTAGCTTCAATCGTAGTGACAAATAATAAAATTAAACTGATGACATACACCTGTGACGTGATCATATTCATAGTGCACATTCGATGATTTACTTGTGTGTGTGTGTGTTTATCGTATCGAAGTGATCGATATAATACGGACAGACAAAAATGTGAATGACTTGATTCCGTTTTAATGTTCTTGTCAATTTTTATTGGTTAACTCGGTTTTATCTGGTTCTGTCTGTTTGAACTCTAACTTCAAGAATTGGTGTCGTCTGCGATGACCGTATCGGATCATATACATAATAGTCCAATTCTACAACAACATTCTTTTCTTTTCGCTCTGTTCTTTTCTCCCCATAGTTTCAGAATTACAGTACAGCCGTCACTGCATGAATCATTGAAACTATATGCGAAAGAACAATGACTATGACGGACAAATTATTTGAGACATAACTCTAATGCGGACCGACATCTTCGGATAACCATCAAATAAATATCGTATTCACCAGTGAGAATACAAACATTTAAAGCATCAACAGAGATCAAATTATTTCCTATGTATTCGCTCCTCTCATTCGCATTGAAAAAGAAAAACTATGGCCAGCACGATAAAAATCATCTACATATGTATGAAACATGCTTCACAAAAAGATCTCGAGCGAAAGATAGTGAGACTGAATATCTTTGTATGCATAAAAGCCGATATTATTCAATCACACGTATCATGTAGTAACCACAAACATCAACAAGAATCATTTGCCCAATCGAGTGCCAAATAAAACTATTTTTTCTATTCAATTGAACACTTGCAAATTGGCATAATCGAAATCATCACTAAACAGTTACAGATATTTTTTGGAAGAATCTGAAATCACAACAATACAGCAAATATTTATATTCGCCACTCAGCTTTAATTGCTTGTTTGATTCAGATAAATACCACACGATTTTAACCAGTTGATGAAAGACTACTCGTAATATTTCTTAGTCAACTCTCATTGACAATTCGTTTGCTAAAGTATCTTTTCTGTTCTGTCTAAAGCTTCTTGTTATTTCGTAGTGCACTTTTAGACATTTGCTTGCTTTGTCATAGTTATTCTACTTATGCGAATAAATCAAAACAACATATCTATTACATCTCTTCGTGATCGGCATATAACTTACCATTTTATGTTATTTTTGCCTTTAAAACCCTTTCTTATCTTTGTACTCAGAGAAACTATAACGTCTTATCAGTACAATGACAAACACCTTGGGATGCAAACATATGAAAAGCAGGCACGTTTTGTCCTCAGTGCATCCTACATGAGAAAAAGCTAGATCATTCAAGGACAATCTGTTTTTATTTATAAGAAAGAAGTTGAATGAAATATAAACAGATATAGTTTGATCTATCTATAGAATATATAACTAACAGAAATTAGAGAAAACCAGAACGAAAACATTCAATTAGAGTTCTTTTCGGATAGCATCTTCGAGAACGTCAACAGCAAAATCTGCATCTTCTTTCGTAATGCACATGGGCGGTGTAATACGAAATACACTTCCGAAGTTGCCACCTTTACCTAGTAATAATCCGTTATGTCGACAACGATCTAATATTGCGTTCATTTTTTCAACTGGAAATGGCTTACGCGTTTCCTATGTAATAGTCAACAGATGAGTAAAAATAAATATGTCTTCTCCTTCTTTTTTACCTTATCCATAACCATTTCCATTCCGATTAGGAAGCCTTTGCCTCGAACATCACCAACTGCATCGGGTAACTGGTCACGTAATTTAGCCAAACGTTTCAACAAGTGCGTGCCTACTTGATGAGTATTCTCTTGTAACTTTTCTTCTCTGATAACATCGAGCACGGCCGACGCCACAGCACATCCAATCGGATTTCCGCCGTATGTGTTAAAATATGTGCCAACCGCTTTGGCTATTTCAGGTCGAGTAACAATGGCTGCAAATGGAAAACCGTTTGCAATTGCTTTGGCCATGACCACTGAAAATCGTTAAAATGGAAAGAAAGTTGAATTACATTTTAATGTATTTCTTTTTACCTATATCAGGTTTTGCACCGTGTGCTTGATAACCCCAAAAATGTGTTCCTGTTCGACCGAATCCACTTTGCACCTACAATCAGATTAAAAAAGTAGTTATTAAAATACTTTGTTATTCAAACGAACTTCGTCAGCAACATATAAACCACCATTTTGTTGTACAAGTTCCGTGGCTCGTTTAACATAACCTTTAGGAAATTGCACTGTACCACCATAGCCCTATTCAACGAGATTTCTAGTTCGTGTCTGTAAAGAAATGAATCAACAAACTTGAATTGATTCAATCCACATGCCAGCAACTTTCTTTTTCGACACTTCATAATTCAATAATTCCTCCAGTTGCTCAACATATCGATCCGATGCTTGACAATGATCTTGCGAACAGTTGCATGAACGATTCGTTTGAATAGGTGAATCACGACAATAACGACCACCCCAAATACCACGGTATGGATCAGGATTCATTGCTACTCGACTTCCAGGAACATATGGCCGTTTAAATCTAATCGTCAAAATATATTAGACAATTGATGTACAATAAAATTAGTTTTACCCAGTAATATTTGTTAAACCTAACGTTGATTGAACAACACCATGATAAGAATTTCTATGTAAGAAAACATTCAGACATGGATTATTGAGTTTGACTCAATCAGTTGATTTTACCTGAGTGATATTACTTCATGTTGTTTCGTATACTCTCTTGCTAAATGTAGTGCAAGATCGTTTGCTTCAGAACCACTATTTACAAACAAACAAACCTACAAATATAAGTATAAACTAAAGTCATTGTATTTCATTCTTTTCTTACTGATAACTGTGGGTCATCTTTGAAATGTTCTAATAGTTTTGTTGCATAATCTTTGACAGTATCTTGTAAATAATATGTTGATAAGTGCCAGTATTTATTCATTTGCTTATTGGCTGCTTCAATCAATTTTGGGTGACAATGGCCAACGCCAACAGTCACAATTCCAGCAAAGAAATCTAAATAACGTTTTCCAGCTGTATCATAAATGAATTGTTTTTCAGCATGGGCAACATGAAGATGTTCTTTGTACTGAAGAAACGGAAATGATAGATGCTGAGAGAAAAATTCACCAATGGATTTTTGATTTGTTGATGCAGCTCGAATAATCTTTAGAAACTTAGTTCATGAAGTATTTAGGCAATTATATTCATACAGACTTGTTTCGAAGGTGTGTGAAAGGATCGAAGCAGCATTTTGATCTTAATAGTCGATGTTTCTATTTCAGTCGAGCATATAAAGGTAAGTAACGAAGCCAAAAAAACAAGATAAGAGAAGATGTATGCGGTGCGAAAACACGCACAAATAACATAACGTTAGCTTTTGTTTTGATTCGTGCTATCTTATGTTTACAAATTGATTTTCGCTATTATCTATACATGTAACCGTTTACACGTGCATTTATGATTCGATATGACGATAATGATAAGAACTGTCAGATAATTAATCTGCTTTGTTCAAATCGTCATCCGAGTTTTGACAGAAAAATGAGATATTGTTGAAATAGAACTATTTTAATTAAATGAAGAATTCGATATAAAAACAAACGAGAAAAAAAGGAGGAGAAGGAGAAAAAAAATAAATCACTGCATTTTATATTAACAATTATTATAGTATAGAAGATTTGCGTAATTGAGCTAGAAAACTATGTCGTCGTTCAGTTGATTTTCTTTTCGTTGTCGTTGTCGACGGATTTCGTCGTGTCCAACCGATAATTAATGGTAATCGTGATGATACTTCTTCTGTATTTCGAGATTCTTTCGATACTGCCGGTATCAGTAAAGGTACGGATGATTCTTCTTGAATAGCCTGTGCAGATGAAGTAACTGGTGGTTGCGATGCAGATGAACATGTACATTGACTACCATCACTGACGTTCGTTGTTGGCATTGATTCTTGTGGTAAAAGATACGAACGAGAGAATGTATTGTAAGGTATTCCACAAGAAGTGCTCATTTGTTGATATATTTTATGCGGATGATGACAAGGACGCGGCGAATGATGATGTCGAGCCATCGTTAACAAATATTCAGGTATACATTCGTACTGATGATTTTGAGGAGTATCTTGTCCGTTAGCGACCTTATCTATTGATAAAGATTGAGTAGTTTCATTTGATTTGACAGGATGACGAGAGGAAATGTTTGTCATTGGCATTAATTGATGGGAATAATAATCATCACAACAATTAGATGTGCACTAAGAAAATGAGAGAAATTATAATGAATTTTTGATTGACAAATGTCATGAAATCCCTCAGTTTTTGCCTTCCATGATCATGTTCCATTGAGCTCATTTTTTCCCCTTTATATCTATTTAGATAATTAAAAGTCTGGTTTGAAATGGCTCAGTCGGTATCTGCTTACAAGAACAGAAAACACCTCCAAGGTTAATCCTATTTTCCTCTCTACAGACAAGTAAACGATTACATTATCAAAAAACATTTCCCATTAACTTTAATCTATGCTTTAAATTGTTTGATTTTCGAAGAAAAAAAGTCCAGATGTTATTGATTTTATCGTTGACAAGTGTCTATTATCAATTTCCGTATACGATCGATCGATAAGGAAGTGAGAGAGAGAGAGAGAGAGAGAAACGTTCGATGTAAAATGTTTCACACCTGTCTGCGATCTTTTACATGCACACTTCATTTTCTAAAGTGTTTTCCTTCGATCAACTAACATGATAGCTTTGACCTTGAATGTTTAATCAATTAGAAAGCATTATATTACCTTGTAATGTTCACTTGTTCTTGTACACGAATCAACTTGAGACGGATGACGACGATAGTAATGCGTTTTCGACGATAGTGTACCAGACATGAAATAATTTTGATATTGTTTTTCTTCTTTGCGTAACTTTCTGGAATAGAAAACAAAACAGTTCAATAAGTATTAAGCAAACGATTTCATTCGATATTCGTACTTTAGACAAATGAAAATGAATATCGCAATGATAATACAACAAATAACACTAATTACAGCCAAAATGAGAAGAAAAATATTTAACCAATTGATAGATTCTTCATGGTTTGGGAGAACACTTTCTGGCGAAGATGCATTCAATAGATTCAACGATGGTCGAACACATCGACCATTTAGAATCTCTACTGTTTGAAAGTTCTCAAATAAGGAGCCTGGTGGTGTTGGTGGTGGTCGAATTGTAAACAGAGGTGGAGGAGGAAGACGAGATGTCCCGTCTTGATTCATCTAAAAATGACAATAACATTTTGTTGTTAGTATCTCATTAGAATAGAGTTCTTCCGTCGAAATGAATCGATAAGTCACGAACTATACATACTTATTATCATACACTTAAAATACCGACCTTCCCTCCTCTTTCTTCTCGATTGCCTCAAAGAATTTTTATTAAGATGCTATTTCAAGATGATGGTAACGCCTTTTCGCTTGACAAACAACGAACAGGGAGAAGAAGAAGAAGAAGAAGAAGAGGGAAAAAGAGAAAAGGTTTATTTATTATAGCGGATGAAAAAATGAAGAAAGAATAGATATTGTCCTTGGTTATGTCTTAGATTAAACTAAACGTTTATACTTTATTCTTTCCGATAAGCAGATGCGATTTTGTTTCTTCTGCTAACATTCAATACGAAAGAATATTTTCCTCCTTCTCTTCTAGTTACGTATATACAATAACGAGAAAAGAAAACCGATTGAATGATCTAAACACTAACCGTTATCAATGCATACACAAGTTCATATCGATGAAAATTCCTTGTCAACACATGTGCAAGTTGATATTCCATCGTACGATGAATGTATTATGTAAAACCGAGAAGTAAGAATCAATGATAACTCATGATTGATTTATCTCAATTGAATCGAATAAGAAAAACGACAAGAATTGTCATTTTAAACACTCAAAAAATGTTATACCCTCAAGGTCATTCTTTTTCTATTCACTTATACAATTGAACAATCGTTTATCATCATATGAGTATTAATGTGCATCCTTCAATTAACAACTAATGACATGTGACAACCCTTTCATTAGGACAAGATCAAAATAAGCCAAGGGCAATTCAAACGAATATCAAAAAGAAGAAAAAAAAACCTAGATATGCTTTCAATTCGAATAAACAATCGTCTTGTGCTAAGCTGATACACGATAGTGAATAGCACATCAATCTAATCCTATTTGCTATTCGATCCACATACTGGAAAGTAATGTCCGTAGTTATATTCCTATCGAAAGAGAAATGAAACTTATCATTATGCAACTATCTAATTAAATACAATGAACTCATCTTCACACCTTATATCACTATTTTAACTGAATAAACAAGAACGAAGAAGAGAAGAAGCTCTTATTCGGTCTTATCTGTTCACCTAAGATGATCATACACGCAAATACTAAGACGTAAAGATTTTAATCTACGACGCAGATATAGTCAATTGATTTGTAAATAAGAAAAAAAAACTCTCCACAGACATGCACAAAAGTTGTTCGATATATTAGTGGTAAAAACTTATGAATTCTCCACATGATGTAAGCAGAAGAAATTGAGACATAATAACGATTGAAGAATCGTCTATTCATTCCGACGACATAAATTAATACAAACGAAATCATCGATATAAACTCACTCGAATTGTCAAGATGACACTAAATCATTCTTTGAATACTAGTCATTATTCAAATATCATTTTCGCTCCATTGAACTTTTGTTATTACTAATGATTATGCAAAACAAGAAGAAGCTGGCGCATACAATGATACATAACATTTGTATATGATAGTGTTTCCTCAATGAATAGGGGAACATAGACATATATCTATCTATAATGTTCATTCAAATCAAAAGGTTCAATAGATAAAAAGAAGATGGTATATTCTTTTGTCTTACTTGGTTCAATCGATTTCTCTGATCCAATATTTGTCAAGTATAGTGATAAAAAAAAAAAGAAAGAAGGAAGGAAAGAAACAGAACAATTTTTCCTCTCATCTTTCTTTCTTTATTATATGGAATTAGCCTCATTCTCTTTGGGAGAAGGTCAACCTACACACAACTATACAGACAAATAAAAGAGGTCATTGCTTATTTGAAACAATGTCTGTTGCGAGAAAGTATATGAACACCTGCAGTGTCATGTAAGACGATCTTTTCATTGACATTCATATCCTACCTTCTGTACACATACAAGTTGTGAAGTGTGTGTGTGTATGTGAACTAGACGAAATAGACCATCTAATCTTTTTTTTTTATGCATATGTTTAACAATCTGAACATATGTTTAAAACGCACCAGGGAATAAAATACATACTAACAAATTGAACTGAAGAACAGAAAAGATGTCTTCTTTGATAGAACTAGAAAGAAACGAGTATGTTTATTGAACGTGTTCAATGATTGGCAAATATTGGATATAATCATGTTGTTTTTTAATTTGATTTTTCTTCCTTTTTTTTATCCAAACGAAAAGAGAAATATACGTTTTTTCGGTAATTAACCAATGAGAAGTGTTCGATTAGATTACGGACGAACCAGCTGGACGATGTCAAATGGGAATGATGATGATGATGAGCTACAGGCAATAGCGGTTAAAAATGAAAAAGAAATTACTTGTGTGTGAATGATTCTCTTAGGATAAGATGAGATATGTCATCGATATGGACAGGTCAATCTCTTGAGGCAACAACTCCTAAGTATGTCATTGCTCACATCGTGTGCAGACGTAGGCGAATCCCATCATATGAATGATGTCTATCAGAGAAACAAAAGAGATTTCTGATTCTTTTTTGATGAACGAAAGAAAAGAAAGATTTATTCTGTCACTGACTTCTTTGTTAGATATTTCACCATAAAATTTGATGTACATGGTGCAATAGATTGTATTGAAATACATTGTCATATAACTTTGATACTTGTCCAGTGAAATACAATTAATCAGCTTTATCAATAATAGAGTACGAAACCAACTTGAAATTAAGAAGTGTATTGAGAAATTTATATAGGCTCGCAATAAAAGACTTCAAGCAAAATTGAACGAATTGGTCAAAATCTCATCGATTCCACGTATGGCAGTGAGAGAATCCCATTGTACCAATGGAAAATCTATCAAGCACGAATGTCAATGCTCTATATTATACAAATCTGATAAAGTGTGTCTTTTTTTTGTTATATCTATAAGAGAGAGCAGAAGTGTTAGATGCAAGATAAACAGCTGTTTTTCGTTCAAGATTTTAAATTGTTTTCTCATCGTTCAGAGAAGTACTAACATGATTATATCGAATATTAACCTGTTGAAAAGTTAACAAAAGATGTAGGTTTGTATTGTGATATCCTGAGTACCGCTTTTTTTTGCTACTATCGGTCGTTTGAGCTTTATGGAACATTGAATCAGGCAATGTAAGAATGTTCTTATTTCGTGTATAGTTGATCATTATCTATTTATTTAAATGTTGGCCTTGATTACATCAAAATTGAACTTAGGAAGAGAGTGAAAAAAGTCTAGTAGATTGCTGAAGTGATGCCCGGCGAGCGACCGAATAGACCTGTAATTCTGTGTGTTTGATATTTCAACGTTTGTTGCATCGTGCCAACCTATCGTAGTTCGATACATTCGTTTGTTAAAAGCTTCGAGTTGTGTTTGTTTTGTGTGCGAGAGAATTGAAAAAATGTTCTTAGGAAACAACGTCATACTATAAACTAATCTTTTTTTTAACAGTATCATCTTAAAAAGTTATCATTGTATTCAAGGGTTTTGAAATAATGAAACTTCTAAAATCGAATCCAATGAAAGTATTTTTTTCCAACGAGGTTATCCCATAAGTAATATGGATTTCGAATATGTAATATTTGTTGTTCATATGTTCAACAATCGAGCAAGAAACAAATAGATGCCAAACGATTGAACTGAAGGACAATAGCGATATCTTTTTCTTCTATAGAACTAGAAAGAAGTGCATAGGATTGTTGGAGTTGTTCCATATTTAACAAATACTGCATGTATTCATGCTGTATTTTCGAGAATATTTGGTTAACTTACGATCGAACCAGAGGCGGCTGATGACTGTCAGAAATGTTTTCATGTTCATCGGGTGACTCAGACTGGTTTAAGTCATATCTATTGTTTTGTCACTAATTACTGTGGTAAATGTTTTCCTTGATATCAGTTCTGTGGATCGAGCCAACTGTGATGACATGATAAAACAAATTTGTCGATTAAAAAAAGTACCGAACCGTCTGACTTTTTGAAGCGCAATGAATGTTTTCAAACTTATTTGTTCCCCGTAAGCAAAGCAGAAAAGTGCTTGTGACTAATTCAAAATGTTATCATATAAATGTTTGCCTCATTTATTATGAGCATAGATTAATTTTGTTTTGTGCTCTGTTTTTTGTTTAGTGTATTCCAGAAGAATTATGTGAGTTTGTAAATGTTTTCCTTTTGTTATTTAGAACAGTAGAGGATTGATTAAATAATGAAATAGCATTATTTCATTCACAAAACAACGCCAGACGTCACATATTTTTTCAATATTTCATACGGATGCGAATGTAAAAGATCAGATCTCTCTCGTATGACAATCGGAGAGAAGAGAATTATCAGCAAAAGTTCAAGTCCTTGTTGATCTTATCTTACTTCTGTCATTCGCTATTCATGTATATGATAGGTTTCTAATAGAAAACAACGATTCTTCAATTTGCATTGTGTCTTATTATGATCGAAAGTGACAAGGATCATGCCGACCTCGGTTTTGAACATTTTCCGAATGTCAATTAGATGTCGGAAATCTTGCTCGTTTTCGAATGAATATTAACGTCATCGACAACATTTTCTATAGCCTACGGAAAACTAACGCAAACTTCGAACGAGTAATTAAACTAAACATGCAAATTGATTTATTGATAGGAACTGCTTGTTTTCGTCAGAAAATCTTCCCGCTTCGATCTATCATTGAAGAAAAACATTTCTCGAGCTGCTCAATGTTGTCATGACCATTGCAAAGAACGAGAATTCTTGTTTTAAACAATAACATAACTATCTTTTTCTGATTGTTCTCTCAATTTAAAGAAAATTAGTCAAAATATTTTCATCGATTTCCTACGGGAGCGAAATCATTGGAATGTAAACAAGCAAGGAATGTAATTGTTACTATTAATAACTGATTCATTCAAGGCACAGAACCTGGCAAAATGTCTTGAAATGCTACCATTCGTTTCTGATATATAAATATATAATTCAATGTTAAAAGTAACTACGTCGTTATCTCATTGAGGTTACTTACGAGATCATTTCCAATATACGCTATGATACTTTGCTCAAGTGTATGGACGACAGATTTTCCCTTTTAATAGATACAAAGTCATCTTGTTGGTTTTAACTAAGTAGGACCTGCTAAATGTTCCTTTCCTTTAGAATCCAATTATTAAAAAAACACGCCTCCTCAAGATTTGAAATGAAATCTTTTGTGTATCGAGAAACGACGGAAAGCAATTTAAATATTTCCCACTCAATTTACTTCGTTTTCTCCTACTTAATACAATGGGTCGAAGGAAACTTGTCTGTCTTTTAATGATCATAATTATTTCTTAGGTCTGGCTCTCGGCATTAAATTACGAAAAAGAAAGAAGAAAAACGAAAACTCAGACATTTAAAATAAAGAAGTCATACAATAAAAAATAATGAAATAATTGCGAGAAAAGAAAGAAGAAAAAAAGCACACGCATACATTTACAGAGAAAAAGAAGAAGAAGAAGAAGGAAACGCGCAAGTTAGATACGTCAAATAAACAACAAGAACAACATTGACGACAAGCAGCCAGAAGAGAAAAAGATACACCACACACATACGACAGCAAAAGAAATCAAGCCGTCTCTCATCAATATACTTGACTAGTCGCACTCTAGATAGATTGAAAATAAGAACAAAAAAGAAAACAAAAAATGAGAAAAAAAAAGCGAAAATATGAATAAAAGAAGGATCGACCGGCGCTTGTCGAGATTGACAAAAGAAACGAAAGCTAAAGAAACAAGAAGCTGAGCGACGGCGATACTTGGTATCTGGATATACGCGAGAACGGTTGTTTTTTATAAAAGAAAAAAACGTAATAGGTAATTGTATATGTTTCATCTAGTAGAGACCACTGGCACGGAGATTGTTTGTTATGATGACGTCAGTAACAGCATCACTGGAAATAAGAGAAAAATAATATGAAGAAAATGGCTGCTGTACTATTCAATAACTTACAATACAAATTGAACATTTTGGGTGTCTGTAGCGCACGTTAGATGACAATAGATTTCCTAAAGATGCGAAAGAAAAGATAAGAACAGAGTTTGTCGAAGAGTTTCGTGATACAAACTTTTTGCTCGCTTTTGTTTTGTGCCACGAATTGAGCTTGAATGTATTCGCTTGCCTCGGTATATTCGTCTTTACCTTGATATTCTGGAAAACATTTTCTAAAAGGCAGAAGAAATTCCATGCGATTGTTTAACCAATGACTTTCTTCAGCATACCTTAAACTTGATCGTGTGATTTTTTCCGCAAATAAATCCTTTTTGTTTAAGAAGAGAATGATCGATGTATTAACAAACCACTTATTGTTGCAAATTGAATCAAATAAACGAAGTGATTCATGCATACGATTGGTTGTTTCATCTTCGACAAGAACCTAAGCATTGACGAGACGACTTAGACGAGAAAAAGTTCATTCGACTGGCTAAACCTACTTGATCATATTCACTCAAAGCAACGATAAAAATAATTGCAGTTACATCTTCAAAACAATGAATCCATTTCTTTCGTTCGGATCGTTGACCACCCACATCAAATACTCGAAAATTTAAATCTAAATTTCATTTGCATATGTCATGATTAATACCGTGTGCGTCCAAACAAACTAACCTTTGAATGTAAAGTTGATCTCGACAATACCAGTTGTTTTAACTCGAGTACGTAAAATATCTTGAATACTTGGTAAATATTGCGGTGAACCGATTTCGTCCAATTTATCAAGAAAGTATTTCGCTGAGTCATTCAATTGATATTCATTAGAACGAGCAAAGCATTGTTGAACGCCAACATCATTCCATAATTTTTTCATCGCATCGAGTAGTTCGCTTTCAAATGGTTCAGTGTCGGCCATACGAGAGATTTTGTCTAAGACTAAAAGACAAGATTCTGTATGTCAAAACAAAGAAA